TCCTCCTCCCGCTCCACCACGTCGACCAACCTGGAAGTTGACGAAGCAAGACCGGCTGCGCATCGAGAAAATTGAGTACGCAAGGCAATCTCTTGTCCCCCGGCACGAAAAGCTGAAACTCTTTCAGGACCGGCTGACCAGCTTCGACCTGCTATTCAGAGGAAAAATCCCCCCTCCCCATATTGAACAGGTACTTATGTTTCCAGAAATTTGTGTTGCGGATTTGAGGTCACAAATCACATCTGTCTTGATGCAAGAAGACAAGGGCAGAAGCTTCCGCCCCATTATGGAAGCGATTTGTCATGCTGTTGGGCCTAAAGGGGGGCCGTTTGCCATGCTGAACTACTAGACCCATGCGCCCCTATCTAGCCTGGGGATCTGGCCGCAGTGCCTCTCTGCAATACAAAGCTGATTTGTGGCCACAAATCAGCATCACAAATTTTCGTTTTGATATGGGGAGGGGGGATTTTTCATCTTGATACCTGCTCGACCTGTACACCTTTGAGAACCACATCGAGAAGTGGCTCGAGGACACGGCCAAAGTGAACGCTTTGACGCGCCGAGCAGAGAAACTGGCGGAGGGCATGCGACAGCACCACCGGAGGAAGGTGGAGAAGGAGTATGATGAAAATGGTGAGTCCAGTTGTAGTGGTCGTTCTACAACAGGAGCCTCGGCTTTCGCTGCAAGAAACACTGCAGCGAACGACGAGGACCTCGATAATCGCAGCACCATTAGCAGGCTAAATGTTCTTGGCGTGAAAAATAACCACAACAGCATCCTCGAAAGTGATCAGAAGGCCCTGGAGATTTCCGTTTCTGCCCATGCGAGGCGGTTCGCGCTGCACCATCGGGCAAAAAAGCTGTGGCGAAAGCTCTTTGAGATCAGCACACCCACAAAAAAAAGCATGAGGTCCGAAAAATGTGGAAAGAAGGCTGACGGGGACCTGGAAATATTAACTGACGAAGATGCAGAACCGAGGAAAAGTAGCTTCTCCGCGGTCGGCACCGCACGGCAAGGGCTTGTCGAGAAGACGGACAGATCACACCGGCGTGATCGCGGCAGTTCCTGTGCCCCCCCTGCCGCGAGTCAAGGAGAATCCCTGTGTCGCTCGTGTATTCCTTTTTCGCAGGACTTCAAAGCCGTCGTGGAGCAGCTGGAGATCCTATCAACTGTAAAAATGTCTGGGTCTGGAAGATTGCAACTTGTCATGCTGTTTTTGGACTCCGACTCTAAAAAGATTTGTATTGCATGACCAGCAAGAGGGGCACAGTTTGTGCTACACGAACAGGGCACTTCTCATGCGGAAGGTGCATCAGGAAGCCCTCTAAAAGTCTGCGATGCTAGGTCCTGCATTACAGGAATCATGAGTCATGAGAAATATGCGTGACAAATCTTGCATTCTTCCAGACCCAGACATTTTTGCAATCCATAGATCCTGTACACCGACGAAAAGGAGTATCGCACGAAAAAACTGTTTCACTGTGAACTTGTGATGCATAGAATGGAGCACACAACTATTTGTCTTGCTACACATGCAAGGCATTGGATTTTCAAGCGTGTTTTCCCTTGGTAAACGCGCATGACAGGTTTTTAGTCTCAAGTGTAGCAAACTTGTGATGCAGATCTTGCAAAATCATCACAGTGAAACAGTTTTTTCTTTGCATAAGGAGCAGTATGCGCTGACGCGGAAGCTTCAGCGTCAACTCCAGAATGCCAACGGGGAGCTTGGCCGCGTGGCCGCGACTTTGTCGGGCGGGATGAATGCCGCGCTGGAGCGTCTGACGGAGTTGAAGCGGCGGTTCCAGGACCGGATGGAACCGTACTATGAAAAACAGGCCAGGTCGATGAAATTGGAAAAAGCTTGTTTTTCCCGCGATAAAGAAGAGAAGAGCGGCGGAAAGCCGCGCTTCGTGTCGTCCTCGCGGGGGCTGCTCGGGGGGAAAAGAGGAAACTACACGGACGGCGGAGGAGGAGCACGAGCGCGAGCACGCGGCCATTGCGCTACTTTCTCCGACGACCGCAGGCGTGATTTTCCTCCGCGCGCTGCCCAGCAACAGGACGGCGAAGTAGACCACGAACTAAAAACCTCTCACTGCTCTGCCGAACAGATACAGAAGACGCTTTTCGAGGCGCGCGTGCAGGCGCGTCGGCAAAGTCGCGTTGTCACGCTTCACAATTTCGCCGCGGAGGCCGCTGCGGTGCAGGATCTTGCCCAGAAAGAGAGGAACAGCGAACTGCGTCGCGAGGATTGGAAGAAGTTTCTCTCCTACGGCGCGGAAAGCACAGAAGACCGATGCCGCGACGAGTTCGAGGCGCACTTGCTGAAAACCATCCAGAGGCACGAGGCGCTGAATGTGCAAGCGCGGCTCGGCTTCGCGAGCGGCCCCCGTCCTGCTCGGAGTGCTGGCGCAACTGAAGTGACCGACGGAAGAGGAGGAGGAGGAGGAGGAGATGCAACGGGCCGTCTACCTTCCTGTTACGTGACGACGCACACCTCGACGAAGGCGACGGCCGCGGCTTGTGCTGCGACCGAACAAGGCGCCGTTGCACAGGACCTCCTCCAGGAGGATCTTCAAGAGAACTCCGGTAATCGTACGAGCCGGGCTCGTACCTCGGCTGACGAGATGTACAACGTGCGACAAGAAATGAACCACAAGATGAATGGTCGGAAGTTCCACGAGCTGGGAGGGAGTGACAAGCTCCTCTTCCGCATTGAGGATCCTGATCTGCATCACAGGTTCTTCTTCACTGACAGCACAAGAACGACAACGACGGCTCTGGAGTATTGAAAGGAAAAATCCCCCCTCCCCATATTGAAAACGCATTCGTCTGAAAATTTGTGATGCAGATTTGAGGTCACAAATCCTGTCTGTCTTGCAAGAATGCAAAGCCAGAGAGTCCGCCGCATTATGCCGGCGGTTTGTGATGCTGTTGGTCTTACAGAGCCGACATCTGTCACGCTAGTCCCCTAGGTCAAAACCTCTCGACCCAGGCTTGGCATATGCCTGCAGTCCTCTCCAGCAAGACAAATCTTATTTGTGTACGCAAATCCTGCATCAGAAACTTCGTTTCGATATGGGGAGGGGGGATTTTTCCTCTTAATATGGAGGAGAAGGCTCTCATCCACCAGATCCGGGAGTTCGACTTTGTGCCGATCAAGAACCTATCAAACGCAAAAGTGTATGGGTCTGGGAGGATGGAACTTGTAATGCTAGCTTTACATTCCTGGGTGGAAATCTGTATTGCATAACCGACAAAAGCCGCAGCCATTTTTGTCATGCAAAAACGCAGGCTTCTCATGTCATGCGGGCTGCATATGAGAAAGTGCTCCGGAAAGTTGTCATGCTGGTCTGCATTCGGAAGTGTTTCCATCATACACATTTTAGTTTCACAAGTTTCCAGACCCAGACATTTTTGCACTTGATACAACCCCGCAAAACGTTTGGAAGTGTATCCCCTAGTAGAGAAGTATAAGTAGCACACCCGAAGTAGAACTAGCCAATTGTGTATGTTGCGGTTAATATTCTGGCAGAAAAGTGTTTGTCATGGTCTTGATGCGCAAGATGAAAGAAAAGCTGCCATGCAAAATGGACACTGTCATGCGATGCGATCTTCACGATGGGAAAGCAATCGGAGAGGTCGCAAAAAAAAGATTTATGAACAGACGAAGTGGTCCTCCGTGTTATTGCTACATAAAGTAGACACTGCATCTACTCACAATTTTTTTCATATAGGGCACTTCATTGGGTGTGCTTTTCTCTAGGAAGAAATGTTTGCGAAACGAGAAAATCCGAATGGTGAAGACGTTGCGAAGCAGGAGTGTAGTACAACGACGAGCCCCCCGCCGAAGAGTTCAACGGAGACCTACTTCGAAAAGCACTTTCTGCGCGGGTACGACGAGCCCGCCGCCGGGACAGACTGGATTAGTGTGCAAAATTTTGTGAACCAGATGAATCGACGGTTCCCTGAAGGGGAGACCAAGGGGGAAGCGTGCCCAACCTTTTTCGCGCTGATGGAACAGCTCTACGTCGGCCGGTCGCGAAACTGGGTCTTCGAAATTGATGTGGAGAAGACAGATTTTGTGGAGCCGCAGGCACGCGAAGTCGAACAAAGCGAGCCATCTCGTGGCTCGTCGTCCACCGGATGTTTCGCTGGTGGTGGTGGTGCACGAGCAGCTCCAGGAGTAGGAGATGTAGAGGATGCAGCACATCAACTTCATCAAGCGCCAGACCCGGAGAGGACGAATGAAGAGGAAGATGTACTTCTAGCAAATATTCTTGAACAGCGAAGAACGCGTCGCCCAGGAGCAGGTCCTAGTATCACGGTCCACCTGACACCAGCCGAAGAAGTGCAGGAACACCAGATCCTCGCGCAGCACCTCCAGACCGGTAGTTGTACTGGTCAGGTGAAAAATCTGCAACAAGAAGAAGTGGCCAAAAATACTCCTGCCGGGAACAAGAAGCTCTTGTTGCCCACAGCCTGCCGCGGGATGCAGTGGAACCGAAGAGCACACGTCCGCGCCGAATTGAGGAGCGCGGAGATGCTGAAACATGGTTCCATGATGCTGTCTATGCTTTGCAAAAGTATCGTACTAGTATGAATTCTTGCAATACAAATTTCGATTTCCTCAGCATGAGAAATAAAATTTGTAGTTCGGATTTAACTTGAGAAAGACGCTTGTAATGCATGAATGGCATTACTACGAGTGCGATACTTTTGCACAGGATGCTGTCTAGTTGTACAGATGATCCGTCGAGGCTCGTCCTAGCAAGAAACGCGTGGCGACATGATCACGAGTTTTCCCCAGAACCTTATTTTCTTTCATCAGAATCCAATAGCAGAAATATTATTCCAATGAAGCTGGATAGCACAACGACCCCGGCACCGTCTACAGACGTAGGACGAGGCATGGAGGCATCGTTTCCCGCCGCCGTGTGGCCCCCGACGTCAAGTACCTTCTGCCTCTTTTCCTTCCTGCCGTCCCCTCAGCAAGCCTGTGCTGCGAAGAACTCACTACAGCAAGTGGTCTCCTTTGTCGACGCGCGCGGCCTTCTAGTCGAAGATCGTAGCAACGTGCGTGTCAATATGACAGTTCTGACTCCCTTTAGCCGCATCAGTCCACCGATTCCCGTCCTCACTGAACACGTGCGAAAGGGCAAGTTCTACACGAGAAAGGAGCCCATCCAGGACTTCATGCTTGACAAGGACGACCTGTGCGACGTGCACAACGAAGTTTTTCGCGCTGCTGGGAATAGAAGCGGGGCCAGCGCCCACTTTCACTTTTTCCACGAGACCCTCCCCGAAGCCAAAAAACAGTTGCTGTTTGTTCACCAAGATGAAGTGCATTCCGGCCGCTGCAAGAACTTTTCGGACAGGTGGAGCCACGACAACGGCGATGAAGTGGGCACAGCCGCGCGACAGGAGTTTCAGCAGCAGCAGCACCAGCAACACAGTACTATATGGGGGGCATCCGAATCTTCATGGGCGGAAGGAGAATACGGCGCCCCTCCGCGTCGCCAGGCATGTTCTGCGGCGGCGTGGAGCCGCTTGCTGGTGCAGTCGAAAAAGGGCTGGTCATATGAGATCGCACAGCCTGAGCTTGAGTCTCTCCTCCCGCTCATTTCAATAGGGCATGAGCAGCAATCAACCGAAGCAACGGCAAATGCAGAAGTGTAGCTTTTGTATGACGATGAAAAATTCTCTTTCGTGTACGAGGTCGTGTAATCGGTCCTGTTTGGACTTCCGAAAGAACTCATGGCTCTGCAAGCATTGCCCACAGGAAGGTCGGAGGGGTCGACTAAGTATTGCTGATGTAGTTGAAGAAGGGGAAGATGGGGCGAGTTCCTTGAGGTGTTCTTTCATACTTTACCACAACAGCCTGCTCCTCTCGATCGGCGACACGCCAGAGAAAGGACCAGGAGGACAAAAAAATGCCAAAGCACAACTCCCGGGCCTGGTGAAGACCACGTTATGCTTGGTTCGGTTTCGGCCTCCTGCAGCAGGAGGTACGCGCCAAGAGCGCAAGAACGGCCAGGATATTACACTTCGCTCGATGAGCAGAAGGAGGACAAGACTAGCCCTTCACTGCTTGATATGCTGAGAAAAAACGGACCCCACAACAGCGACTTCAGCTCACTGACATTTTCCCAGGTTTGGATGTTTTGTCATGCGCAGCCGCATGAGGAACATTTTCTAGTGTGCATTTGGAATTTCATAAAGGATAATGCGCATGCGATCGATTCTTCATGCGGCTCTTAATAAAGAAACTAAAAACGACCATTCCGCTGCGAATCCAGCAAACCGGTTATGCACAAATTGCCGAAGCTTCTAGATTTGTCTTGCCAGAGACGGTCGCATCTTGACTATGGGGTGGGACGTTTTTACACAGGATGCCGCACCTCCGGAACCAGAGCAGCGATTATCCTAAGCGACAGCAGCACGACGACCAGAGTATTGCCAATGAAACTTTTGTGTTCCAGACTCCCCAGTTCCAAAACACGATCTCCAGTCTGTTGAACACATCTACGTCTCTGTGCCAGCTCAGCTTTAAGGTGTTTCCCCTCGGTTCCCAAAACCAGGACTATTCCGAGGAAAAATCACCCCTCCCCATATCGAAAAGGTGTGTTTCCGAAAATTTGTGTTGCTGATTTGAGGTCACAAATCACGTCTGTCGTGCAAGAAGACAAGCGCAGAGGCTTCCGCACCATTATGGAAGCGATTTGGCATGCTGTTGCGCCTAGAGGGCGCCCGTTTGCAATGCTAAGCAACTAGACCTATACGCCCCTACCTAGGCCGAGGATCTGGCTGCGATGCCTTACTGCAAGACAAATCCGATTTGTGTACCCAAATCCTGCATCACAGATTTCCATTTCGATATGGGGAGGGTGGATTTTTCCTTTTGATAAGGACGAAGCCGTCCGCATCCACAACCAGATGCGGCACATTCGCCACAACCTGATGTCGATCGTATGCATTGCAAATATGTCTGGGTCTGGAAACTTGTAATGCAAGTCAGTGAAGTGGTCTAAGTACTCTGTAATGCAGCGCCAAGCATGAAAGGTTTTTTCGTCGCGTTGTGTTGCGTACTCTACATGAGAAACTGCGTTTCTGCATGACAGACAGAGGGAACTGTTCGTGGCCACGCCACACAGAGTCCAGAGTCATGCCAGACAAGCATGACAAATCTCGCAGTCTTCCGGACCCAGACGTATTTGCATTTCATAGATTGAGCACCTGCACAACTTCGTGGTAAAGCCCCGGCTTCTCGCACATACGGAGATGAGTTTGCCCCTCCGTGTGCGCGAAAAGCTCTCCTCGGCGACAGGATTTTATCCTGGATCGGGCGATGATGTTGAGGAGGGGGAGCAAGAAGAACGAGAAGAAATGTACCAAGTGCTGGTCCGCGACTGGCTCACTATGGGAGTAGACGGCGCTGGCTTTGGGGCGCACGGAGAGGTAATCACGACCGACGCGGCCGACCATTCCGTTCGCTACTTGAACGCCTTGGCACAAGAATTCATTGCGGATGCGACAATTAGGCTCGCGCACGTAGCCGGCAGCCTCGGTCTTGCCGGGGTGTGCTCCCAAGCCACGGAGCTGCTCAGTCGCTGTGCGGCTTGCTGCGTGCAAAGCGAAGGAATTAAGATGTTGGAGGACGGCGACCGTGCAAGTAGTGGTAGAGCACGTAAGAGCTACGTGCGTTCTTCATCATCTCGTTCATCTCGGAGTTTCAGAAGAAGGTCCAATGCTGCGGAAGAAAAGAACGACACCGGTCGAACAACTGCTGGTGCCCAGGCAACCAATGACCTCGTCTTGCTCATGCTTTATCCTGAGTTGGAAAAACGCATCCCCGCAGCCTTGTCATGCAGTGCTGCATTTCATTTGAATTTTATTTTCTCACGCGGCGCTCGCTCTCCATGAGGGGCTTTTTCTAGTGTTGTCTGGGATAATTCTGTCGTGCTCGTGCGCTAATCAAAATATAATAAAAGGACTGCATTTCTTGTAAAAAAGAAATGCGTCTGGACTAGCAGCTTATTAATTTAGTCAAGCACGACTAAACAACTGCGTAGTAGCGAAGCCTGTCAACATGCGTGAGTCCGAAAAGTTTTGGACTTGTCTTGCAGCGTTTTCATGTTTACCTTAGGGTGGGGACGCTTTGACACAGGATGTGCTTTTGGAAAAAGCAATCGAATCGCTTCGCGAAGAAGACGAGGTGCTCGGCGCGACGGCAGAGGGATCTTCATGTGGAGCAAAAATTGTGCCTGCACCGCACGAAGGCGAAGGCCCCAGTTTTGCAACAAAACAAGGGCGAGCCCATCTTCGACAGGAACCTCCAAACACGACGAGAGTACCTCCAGGAGCAGCACAGGCGTCCACACCATTTGCGTGTCCCCCCACGGAACTACCGGAAACAAGACAGGAGAGCACGCAAGATCTACCACTGCTCTTTGCGCATGCGCGGGACCATCTCGCGCAAAACGAGGCACTCCATGCGGATCTGATGCAAGACCTGATGTGGACAGGAGCACATCGCCACAGCCAACGCAACACGCTGCGTTCGTCCTGCGCATTCGATCATACGGACGTGCTGTTGGGACATGAAGTGGACGCGCGAGGCCGACGAGTGACGAACGTCGATCCATTGCTCCACGAGCTGTTGCGCGTACCGAGGGGCGCTGGAAGTGGTTCCAGCACGTGCGCAAGGAAAGACAGAAACACGATAGGAAAAGACGCACAGAGCAACTGGGTGGACCGCAAGACCAAGAGGACGAAAAGCAGAAACAAGAAGAGCACTTCTTTATCGGGATCGACGACAAGTTCCCAGAAAAGTGTGGATCTGTCCTCCGCCGGACGCAGGTACTCGGCCTTGCTGCGGTCCGACGGCGAGGAAAGTGAGGACTACACGACCTGCTCTCTTCCATCTCAGCGCACGGCCGATGATGTCAATCGTGAAATGTTTACTAGCATTCGGAGCTCCGGTTCGCCGAGACGCGAGCGGTGCCTAGAAGTTGCTGGTGGAACGAAGAAAGCAGTCGCGTCCATGATGTTGTCAACTGTGGAAGTAGTCCAAGCCGGAAATGAAGATGAAGCTGCCACCGAAATTGCTGTTCAGGAGCACGACGAACCACACGAGACGGAAACATGGACCTGCAATGGTGGGCAAGGTTCGCGCTCCTGCACGAACAAAGAGGAAATCGGCAAAGACCACCAGCTCGTTGAGAAGGAGGCTATTGTCGCATCGCTGTTGCTTAAGACCGGCGCCGCTGAGTCCCGTCTTCGAGCGCGCCTCTTCGCCCTGCAGACGAGAATGATTCGCACCGCCTCCTGTTTTCGATTGCGTTTTTGCTCCACCAGATCCACGAAAAAACAGGGCTTTATTTTGCGCTTGAGAAGAAATCTGCTGCGGATCCAGGGACACTACGAAATAGTGCTGGCCGGAGATGGTGCGGTTTGTGCACCGGATGATAGCGGCGCAAAAACACTAAGGAGTCTGGGGGCATGTGCCTCCGTCTCGTCCGAGGAAGTCGTGTGTAAAAATGATCTATTTATTTCCAAGAGTAGCAAGACTGCTGCCGAAAGAACGACCGAAGGCTGGGAAGAGAACGACGGGCGGAAGAGAACACATACACGAAAGCTACCAAATGATAAAGCACAGAGCAAGATGAAAACATCAAGCTCTGCTATGTACTTCCGCCGATGGCTCGCGTCCTTTCTTGCCTCCCGGCGACGGTGGGCGCAAGAAATGCTGCGGAAATCCGACAAAACTCTCGTCGCGAAAAAGAAAGTCATATCTTGTGTAACAACTACGTCCCCACCTGAGAATGAAGACGAGGATGGGGATTTTTTTTCTAGAGAAACCTACTAGCAGCAAGTGTTGGCTGTTGGTGTAGTTCCGTGTGCTAAGTTTGGGGTCGCAGTGTATTTTTCACGACCCCTTTTCAACTGATGCAGCTGCAGCGCAAATCGGTCAACTTATGCTGCTTTTGGCATGACAAGCTCCCAGATACAGATTGCATCAATAGAAAATGTTTCTGATTATGGGCTTGGAGATGAGCATGACACGTCTGGGGAGGTGGGGAAGCGTTTACACAGGATGAGGCACCTTCAATTTGGAGGTCAGCGACAGCCCCAGACGGGAAGCAAGAACTGCAAAACCAAACGCGTCGCGCAGTCAAAGCGCTTTGCGACAGCCGCAGGACGACAAGCATGCGAAAAAGTGGGACAGCCGGCACGAACAGGAAGCGCCGCGTCGTGCACCAGGAAGAAATGGAACGAGACCACCAGAGGGTCGACGTCCGAAGATCTGTTCAGCAACATTGCGACATATGCATTGCAAAACCAAAAGTATCGTACCTCCTGTGCGTGTGCTAGGAATTATATCTCAATTTTACACCAGAAGATGAAATTGAATTTCAAATGCAGAAGAGGTCGATCATGCAGCTGCCCTGCAATGATCACTAGGAGCACGATACTTATTTTTTTTGAAATTTGGATACGTCGAAGAGTACAATCTTCTTCCCATGCGACGAGAACCGAGAAGGAGAAAAATCGCGATTGCCTTTTGTTTTCAGGAATATCAACAGCAGCAAGAGGTGCAAGGCTGCTCTCAAGAAAGCCAGCTATATCAAGAGCTCATCGCAGGCAGCAAATGGAATTGCGTCGGGTTTACCGATTTCAGCTGCGAGCTGTCCGAAACTATTGTCGCTGGCTCCTGTTCGGAGGTAGCACTAGTGCCGAGCAGGCGAAGATGAACCCGCCCTCTTCTCGCATTATTGCGCACGACGAGGACGCGGCGTTATGTCCCCTCCCCATCGGCGCGCGGAGGTCGGTCTTCTCGGACGTGCTGAAACAGGAGCTGCAGCTCCGGGACAGTTGCAAAACGTCGACGGAGGACGACGCAGGCGGCTTGCGGTCATGGTGGACGAAGGGCCGCGTCGACTTCGCAGAAGAATTCAGCACTGCGATCATCCAGAGCTGGGACGTCGTCCTGGATGTGTTTGAAAGGAAACAGTATCCGGAACAATCCTTTCCCAAATACTTCCGAAGTTGTACACCACAAGCCCTGGTGGAAGAAATGCTGTTGAATCGAGGAGGTCATAGTACTACGCAAGACCTCCGATTTATTCCTCCCACGGGTGGTCGTGAAGTGGACCAAAACGAAGCCCTCGCTTCACTACCGAGAACTCCTGCCCGACCGGTTATTGCGTATTACCCGCAAGGACATATGGAATTTTTGCTCGGAGCTATCGTAGGTGCAACTACTACCGCTACCGATATATTCAAATTTTTGAGGGTCGAAAAAAACAGCTGTTCAGGGTCCAAAAAAAAAGGGTCTCAGGGTTGCCGGAATCCCGACGTCAGGCTGCGGATCCGACCCTGCCGAAAGCCTGAAGACCGCACTGCTTCATCATCGTCGTAGCTAGTAAGAACACGCGACTTCATCATCATCTTCATGAGTTGTAATTTGATAAAGTGCTGGCACGTTATAGTTAAAAGGTTTGGGGTTTAGGGTCTAAAGTCTTTATTTGTGAACTAGCTAACTCCTCAGAAAAGAAGCTCAAAAAAAGTCGAAAGCTGGAAGCCAATCCGGGCGGGACTGTCGCTCTGGCCCCACCTGGGGCCAGAGCGACAGTCCCGCCCGGATTGGCTTCCAACTTTCGACTTTTTTTGAGCTTCTTTTCTGAGGAGTTAGCTAGTTCACAAATGAAGATTTTATATTAGCTATAACGTGCCAGCACTTGAAGTATTACATTAAATTACAACTCATGAAGATGATGAAGTGTGTTCTTATTAACTATTCACGACGACGATGAAGCAGTGTGGTCAGGCTGTCGGCACCAGGGTCGGATCTGCAGCCTCCTTCGAGATTCCGGCAACCCTGAACAGCTTTTTTCTTCGATCCTCAGAACCTATTTTTTCCGATCCTCAGAAGCTGTTTTTTTCGACCCTCAAAAATTGGAATATTCCGGTAGCGGTAGTAGTTGCACCTACGATAGGAGCAGAACACGAACACCGTCCAGATCCAGAAGCGAAGAAAAGTGGAGGTCTCGTCAGGAGGAGTGTTTCCACCAACAAAACGCGAGCAGACCATTCTTTCCCCATGGAAATTGAAAATTCTACTTGTTTCACGGGGGTTGAAGATGAACAAGGAAGGCCTAAGGGTAAGGATATTCGTATGCCGCACCAGAGGAACTGCATCAATCGCACGGTTGCTTCGCAAACTGCCTTTCGCCGGCTCCTAGCCCGTATGCATTGCAAACACGTCTGCTAGAAGGTCTGGGCAAAAAGAAGCCCGCTAGCCTGTAGTGCTTGGCTGCCTGGCTGCATAATTGCAGGAAAAAAAACTGTATTGCATCTCCATGACCAACGAAAGCGCGACCTTTTCGGTATCCAAAGTGGACGCAATTTGAGCAACCAACGGAAAGCGTCCGATGATCAATTTACCATCTTTCGCTTGATGGCTGCACTGAAAAGGATACGCGACGTCGGTCAATAACATGATGCAGCGTGATCGCATGTTTGCCGACCCAAGAAGGAGCAAGACATTTGCAAAATGCATAATGCGGCAGGAGCGCGGACGGCAGGATGACACGCGGCTGCCGCGCAGGGAGCTGCTGGCGAAGTACGGTCTGACTACGTTATCCAGAGACCAGCGCTTGGCGCGCTGCGGCTACAGACGAGCAAGAATGACGAAGGAGATCATGGGAGCGAACGACCAAGATGGTCAGGAGATGTTGAGCGGAAATGTCGAAACCACTGACCACGGGCTGAAGAGCGCACGACTTCTGCACGTAGCAGCAGGACGGGTCCAACAAGAAGGACAGCAAGAACCTCCCCCCTCAAGAATTCCGAACTTTCTCGACCGGCGCCCTTGGCCCGAGGATTTATCGCCAGTTGTCGTGGCATCCGATTGCGAGACGGATAGCATTTTTTCGGAGGAAGAGTACCTTGTCGCAGTCGCGGAGCAACTCACGGTGTGCACTCACCAATACGTCACGGAAGCGCGGAGGTTGATTGTCCGGACGAACGACGGGATGATCAACACGATGCCGGGCGCGCCGAGCCATGGTGACCTTGGCGGCTCGTCTGGACACGACGTCGCAGTAGTTGGTGCAAATTGTCTTCTGGCACAAGCAGACGACGACCTGGATGAGGACTTTGGTGAAACTACAGAAAGTTTTCATCATCAACATTATGTTGACGCAGCTTATGGATACGGCGCACGACGAAGACGCCGAACTGCCGTGGAGCGCAAACCCAACCGCACCGAGAGTACAAGAAGCCTTTTGCAAGAATCAAAGCGAAGAAGCGAAATGCACGAAAGGAAAGCTGAAAACAAAGCGATGCGAGATCAAGCCAAGCAGCGGCTGCAGGTGCGGTTGCGAAGCCTGTACGACACTTATCTTACCCGTGTTGCCATCCTGTTGAAGGACATCCAAAAGAAACGGAACCGCTATCACGCGGAGACAACTACGATTCTGAAGCCTAGTCGTCCAGCTCCCACGCAGCTGATAAAGAACGCTGCAGAGGTGGTCGTCGGAGCAAGCAGTTTCCACCGTGTCGGAACAAGCACAACGACATCACAGAAAAAGGGCATCGACAGAAGAACCCAGGAGAAGCTGTTGCGCAAGCTGGACTATGAAGCAGGCAAAAAACACAACGAGAGTCGCGAACGCAGTGCGGCCGAGATCGAGCGCATCGTGGAAAGGGGCCTGAGCCTATCAAGTGCAAAAATGTCTGGGTCTGGAAACTTGTAATGCTAAAAGTGAATGATAGGCGCACTGCAATACGCAGCTAGGCATGACAAATTTTTTCGCTGCCATGTCTTACGTATTCCGCATTGCAAACTGCGTTTTCGCATGAAAGGTAATAGGGCCTTTTGGTGCCTATGCAACACAGATTCTCGAATCATGCCAGACAAGCATGACAAACTTGCATTCTACTTCCAGACCCAGACACTTTTACATTTGATAGAGCAAGAGCCTCTACCGGTACTGCGGGACGGGGAGCGGCTGCGGGGACGAACTACCTGCGCGCCGCAGTGGGGGAAACAACGTGGCTCAGGATCATGAAGAAGGTGCGCATCGTCGTGAGGATCACCTGCACGAGCTGCAGCAGCACTGCAGCACCGAGCTGGATCATGATCCTCTCGTCGACCAAGAAGAGCAGGATGAGGATGTACTAAGTGCTAGTGCTGAACAAGAAGCACAAGGACAAGCAAAAGCTGCACCGATAAATCGCCAGGACGACGAAAAAAACCAGAACGAGCAGGCACGTCTATCGCGAGGAGAACACAAATATCACCTAGATCAACCTGCTGAACGTCGATGGCAGCACCCGCGGTTCGCACCTGCCGGTCAGAAGCTCGTGCAGGCATGCAATATTTTCCGCCGCTTTTTGTACCTCAAAGCCGAACTGGAGCACAAAAAGGAAGTAGAAGAACACGTAGCTCCCTATTCTTCAGAAGAATTCATTCTCGGTAAAAATAAAAGTTGTTCTTTCAACATCAGTGCAACTACAAGGTACTACGGGGACGATGTCGAACCGTGTACGAACAAGAGAACTTCCAGCTCAGGGACTTGGACTTCTATCGGGAGGGTACAAGAAGAACAAGTCGGGAAAAAGCGGGCACCACACCTTGATGATGGAACGAGGAAGCGAAATCATGGTGATGTCGTGGCCCGGGCGCTGCACCAATTTTGGAATAACTCGCTGACTCTGTCTGACCAAGCTGCTCTGCTAAGTGTCTGCGACCACGTGGCCACGACACACCAGAACGCGAGTGCTGGAACCGAACGAAAATGTCGAAGCACTGGTGCGCGTAGAAGGTCTAGGAGCGGCGCGAAGAGGAACGGAACTCGAAGACCGGCAAGAGGCGCAGGCCTCGCCTTCGTTCATCCCGACGACGAAGACGACTACACCGCATCTTCCGAAGCGGAGTTTTCCTCCGAGGTTCGACCGGCAGGAGACGATTTCCGACGGGCGGGCGGCGAAATTGGTAGAATTGCCTCTGGCAGCACGACGAGGAAGAGGAACAGCAGTGGAGCAGGCATTACTAGGAATTGCAAAAGTTGTGTCGCGCTCGTACTGATTTTGAGAGGTCGTGCATTACAAGGGTGTAGATTTTTCCTCGGATCAACAAACTCGAACCCCATTTGCCAACATGCTGAGGAGAAAACTTGTGATGCATTGCGATTTCCAGCTCCACTAGTCCTAGTGCCATACTTTTGCAATGGATAGTTGCAAGCCGTAAGCAAAAAGATTTTGACCCGCAGCCCCTTCCGCAGCCGCGGAACCTGGAGAGATTGATCCGGTGCTATCTGCGCTCATGTGTAACGACAGCGACTGCGGAGCTTGACGCCCTGCGATCCTCGTTTTGCCAGGTCGAGTCTAACTACCGTGCGGGACTGCAGAGGCAGGTCGACCGCGACAAGGAGCAGCAGGCCCTGCGCAAAAAACGGCAGCAGTACAAGCGGGAAGTGGAGACGAAACGAGAAGCGGTTCAACATCTCCAGGGGTACAACAGAAACCTCAGCAAGGTCCCCGAGGACGGAAATTACAACCCCGACGGTCATATGCATAGGAAAATTTTTCTAGGTCTGGAAGAATGCAGTATGTCATGCTGTTGCTATAGATAATACCATGCATACGTAATAAATTTGAATCGTATTCGTAGGTACAAAAATCTGTCTTTCATGAACGCCAAAAGTTACCCATTTCTTGCCACGCAAAACGCACTTTTCTCTTGCGGAGTAGACATTAAGAAGCTCTTGCGCAGTTGTCTGCGATGCTCTCGTGTTGTGCATTCTAGAGTATCTGTGTGATCCACGAGATGCATGATATATCAGCACACGCATCTCCCAGAGGTTCCAGAAACATTTGCAGTTGATAGACAGTCGAAATGATCCTGATCCATTTCTTCACGACGCCGACGGCCGCCGAGTAATGTTTGCTGCAGCCTCATCCGCAGTTTCCCGCCACAAAGGTGCAGCAGCTCGTGGAACAAATAACAGCGACGAGGACGACGATCGTGCAGGTTATGGAGAGGACGCCGACAGTCTTGCTCTGGACTCCGAACTGGATATCAGCCCGCAGGGGAATACGGACTTGGCTAGTGACGCGCTCGGCGGTCGTTTGGGCTGCGAGCCGGTTTTACACGGGCAGCAGACTGTTGCGCAGCAGCTCGGAGCAGTGGAAGAGAAGTCGACCCCGGCGACGATTTGTCCGGGGGCGGCGGGCGGTACTCAAGCAGGCGAGGGCGGAAAATTTCCCAAGGAGCAAAGCGCCACGATACGGCGCCGGGACGAGGCCCTGAAGAACTTTTATAACCAGGACTTCACGAAGATGACGTCTGCAGACAGGAGCGAAAAACTTTTCACACTGAGCGCGCAGAGGCAGAAGGCGGCGCGGCAGGATGTGGAGAAACACAAGCGGTTCCTAGAGCAAATGAAAAAGCGGCGCAGCACAATGAAAAAGACGAAAGACCGCGAGGCCCTGGATAAGGAGATCCGGAAAGTAACGCTTAAGATAAACGGTGGCGATCTGTTGGAAATCGAGGATCTCAGGCAAGGAGAAAATTGGACGGATCTTTTGCAGGGACATATGTCCGCTCTGCAGGACCACAAGCTCGAACAGGAGTGGCACAAGAATTACATGCTCGATGCGCAATATGATCGTGAGAAAAAAATGTCTCAGTCTCACCTTTTGTTTAGCTTCCTTGACTTGAGACAGTCATGCCCCACATGTACGACATTCGTGTCGTCTTTTCTACGAATGTGTTTTCCGTTGTCGTGTCAGACGTTGATTGTGCTTTGCAGTTCTATTTGTTTCCGTGTCATGCTGTTGAGCATATTGGTTCTTCTCTTGTATTCCGGAGTCTGCATAATGTTTGAGACTCAGACAGTTTTTTCTTGCGATATGCGAAACGTCTTGCGCGTGCACTCAGGGTACCGAGAGCACCACCTGCTGCGAGAGCAAATGCGGGGAGAAATTATGGGGAGAAAGCTGCAGGTCGTGCGGCACGCGGCATCTTCAGGCGGGCTCGCCAAAGCGATGGCGATGGTGATGCCCCAGCCGCCGCCGCGCGATCCCTACTGGCGCCTGATTCCGAAGCCGGATCCACGGAACCTGCAGCGGGGCAGCTGCACCGAGTTTGAATACGTTCCCTGGAACTTTCGGAGCACAAGAGAGTTGCACGTTATCCGTGCCTATCAAATGCAAATTCTAGATATGCGTCTGGGTTCTTTGGAAGAGTGCACGTGCAAGGCCTGTCATGCTCAATAAAGCACACTGACACTCATCAAGTCCTCCATCATGCGCATTTATTACCGAAAAGGCAGAAGCAGGCCCCTCTGTCTAGTTTGAAACCACACAGGAGAGGCAGATTCGGCAACAAGCAGAAGCAGCTCAAAAACTTGTCATGCTTTGCCATAATTGATCGAGGCGAGGCCGTTCTTGTGATTTTTCAGTAAACACCATCACAAGTTTCTCGACTCAGACGCATGCGCAATCCATAGTGCCTGTCCCATTACTACGCTGTCCTTGATGCGGCACCGGGAAGAGCAGGAAAGAGAAAAACACATACAGAGCCAACTCAGGTTCGAACGGATGACGAGGCAGGCCGTTGCTCCTGGCGGGAGACGGGGTCATCCGCCGGAAGGAGCAAAATGGGACGACCACGACCAGGAAGAGCACCTGTGCCAGCATATCAAAGGGAAAAAAACCCCCTCCTCGTCCCTATACTAGTCAAGATGACAAGGCTGCTAGACAAACCAACAAGCTTTGGTTGTTCCGCATGACAAGTTTGGCCACATAGTGGGATCCTGTCGAGCAAGTTCAGCAGCGTCACAGATAATTTAAGTAGCGCATCGTGGTGATAGAAGATTGGGACATCAACACAAATTGTTCCGAAACATGACTAGAAAATGCTTCTCATGGGGCTCTGCTGGAGAAATATTATGAGCATGCAGATTTGCAATTGCATCACAACTATGGGGTCGCGGGGACGTTTTTACATAGGATACAGAAGCTCCAGTCTTCACGAGGGCACCACGTGAAGAACCTGCAGGAGTGGCAGCTGGCCGAGTCGGCCGCTCGTCATTCATTTTACGGTAAAGATCATCGTTCTCAGCACCCTGGCGCAGGCACGACCAACAGCAGTACCAAAAGATGGGGAGCGGCAGGCGCCGGTGGAGTTCATCTGCTGCAAAGAGGGGAGAACCAACACCACCAACCAGCTGCGCGCCACCCGCTGCTGTTTCAGTACAACCTCATGGTGGACGAGCCACCGCCTAACCCGCCCGAGCTGCAGCTGCTCTTGGAAGAAGACGGATCGGAGGACGAGGAGTTGCTAAACGAGGAAGAAGACGACGAGGCGCGCACCTACCGGGCCATGAACGAGCGGCGGGAAGAGCAGGAGGAAAAGGAAGCCAAGGAAGATATTGCAAGGAAAAACTCCCCCTTCCCAAATTGAAAACGCATCCTTCTGAAAATCTGTGATGCAGATTTGTGACCACAAATCGGGTCCGTCTTGCAAGCAGGCACGCTCAGGCTATCCCTCACGCTATTCAGGCGATTTGTAATGCTGTAAGGCCTACAGAGTAGCGTAGCCGTCGACCATGCTGGGTGCCTATAACAAAAGGCCCCCGCCTAGGCTCAGGATCTGCGTGCATTCCTGTACAACTGCAACGCAAATCTGATTTGTGTATCCAAATCCAGCGTCAGAAACTTCGCTTCGATATGGAGACGGGGGAATTTTCCTCACAATAGAAGAGGAGGAACAGACGGAGTCCAGCACGGACTCGGACGACGTGGGACCCCGGTCGTGGTGGCAGCGGCGCTATCCTGTGCAAAAGTATCGTACTCGTATTGCAAATCAAGCATTGCAAATCTTTTTCTTGAGGTAAATCCGCATTACAAATTTCATTTCTCATTCTGAGGAAATTTGCAATGCATTTATACGAATGCGATACTTCTGCAGTGCATAGGCGCGGCAAGCACAAGGTCGGACCAGACGATGGCGACGGAGCAGCTGGAGCGGATGCGTTCGGGAGTCAAAAGATAATTTCCTCCAAGAATCTTCATACGAAGCACGACAAAAATGACACTGGCAACAAGAACGCAACGACCAATAACGACTTTGAGTCGGTCACTAGCCTCACCACTGATAGCAGTTGGTCCTGGTCTCCATCTGAAGACGATGACTCTCGCTGGGGCGGCAAAAATACTCGCCGGCCTGCGAGAAGGTTTACTTCTATCGATGTGCAAAGCTCTTCCTCGACATCCTCCGGAACAACAAGAGAGGATGAACAGAAGTGCAATGTTGAAGTGGTTGCCAGCAGAGCAGGCAGTACTCCTGTGAGAGCGAAGATCCGCGGTGGAACTACTACAACCAATATTACACAGCATTGTCCGACAAACACGTCAGCCGCCCTCGCCCAAAATAGCAGTTGTGGCTCCGCGGAGCTGCAGGATGAAGAGCGTGCAAGCCTCGAGGCCGTTGCGGTCGACGGTGCAGCTGGAGCTGGACCAGAGGTGGCAGGAGCGGTTTCATCTATTTATTTTCGCAGTAGTAAAACTAGCACGACCAGCAGGAGAGAGGACGAGGACTTCTGCGCAGTGGGCGAGCAAGAACTGCAAGAGATGACCACTGCGGTGGAAAGAACTTTGGCGTGCAATGATGAGGCTGAGACTTCTCTGCCTCCTGCTGCTGCTGCAGAGCAGCGCCAGCCGCAGTCCTTCTTGATGTCCGCGCCGGGAATGTTGTTTGAGGAAAAACATAAAGATATCACCACTTCTTCTTCTAGCGAAAGACACGAACAAAAAATGATACCAGCGGAACAACAAGATGAACATGAACTACAGAAGGGCCAACAACAAGGGCTGTCCGATTGCAGTACTAGTTTGCTCGACGCTGCTCTCTTCAATACTGATCCTCCAATCTTGATGAAGATGCCACGACCAGCGGCGAACTTTCCCGTAGCGGCTGAAAACGGCCGTGACCTTGTCGCGGAAGCGGAACCGGGAGGTCCAGCAGGAGCGCTCTTTCCCGTAGGCGCGGAAGACGACCGTCATCAAGTAGATTTTGTCGCGGATGAACAGGAGCTGGCGGTCTCTGGTTTACGCTGAGTAAAAACGTACCCACACCAGAGTTGTAATGCAGATTTGCAAAGACAGGAAGACTTGTAATGCGCATCCCCATGAGAGCCAAGTCCAATCGTGTTTTGAAATTTGTGATGCTGTGAACAGGATGAGCAGATGAATCTGTGATGCGGCTGCATTTGCTAACCTGCACTACACTACGAACTGCAACTTGTCATGCGTGATTCACAAAGCTCCTAGGTTTGTGTTGCAGAATCCCCATCCTGACTCTGGTGTGGGTACGTTTTTACCCAGGATATGGCTGTCCTGCACTTCTTTCTACGTCCCCATTTTTGCAGCTACAAGAACTACCGCCACCTCCCGCGACACCGGCAGCTGCTGCGGTGGAGGTGGTCATTAAGCCTGGTGCCAATGAACCTCACGACTGCACCAGCTACACGACACAAGCAAGAAGGAGAACCTCTACCACAGCTCCCGCTGGTCCTGGGGAGCAAGCTGCACATGAGGACGGCCCTCAATCTTTCGACCCCGTTGTCGTTGTTTCCCCGGCACGCTACGCGGCGAACTTGCTTCTGGAGAGGAATTCGAATTCTCATGGATTTGCGCCCGCTCCAGGTCCTGCAGCTCTTGCGCCCCCCGATGATGTTGGCGGAGGTGTAGCTGTTTTGTCAGGAAGACTGACGGGTAAGGATGATGTGAATTTTGTACGGGTCGGCCACGGGTCCGGGCACACCGGGCAGCCGAGTTTCGAAACGAATTCCAACGGACTGAAAAATACTGATTCATCAGCTGGCACTATAGGTTCCCCTTCTTTGAATGAAGTACTTGTCGCGCCGCCCCCCTCCACGTCCTTTGTGGACTACACAGACCTTCTGCCCCTGGTGGCGGATCAGAGAAGTGAAAGGAAGAAGCTTCGAATGAAATTCCGGCTGCTCGACTGCAGCGCGATTGCGACGAATCGGATGGAACTTTTGCGCGCCGGGGATGATGCACAAGAAGTAGATGCTGTAGCGGCCTTACAAGTCGCTGCTTCATCGTCCGCACGCACAGCCGCTGCATCAAAGCGAGACCAGAAGTTATTTTCTGCGAGCAGCAACAGCATATACGTACGACAGCTCCGCGCCCGGATCCGCAAGGAGCTCAGATTGCGTAGGAGGCAGCTCCTTGCTCAGCAAAAAAATCATGTATATGCGGCTAGACGAGGAAACGAAAGTGCCAAGATTGACTCGTCATCTTCCTCTTTCACAGCGGAAGAAGTAGAACAACACGAACGTCCAACTGTGGTGGTGCCTTTGCTGCGCAATTTTTTTCAGGCTGCGCGCGAATTGTACGAACTCGAGCAAGTTATGATAGTGCACAGCTCGTCGTCGTCCCCCTCTTCGTCATTTGTCATCCACCAAAGTGGTGCCACAGTCAAAGCCTGTCCGGGTCCTTTGAGCATGTTTGCGTTAGAAGTCGCGGACACCCAAACTGCACTACATTCCGGATGCCGATTTGATGTCATGCAAAATCTGCATCCTGTACATACACATAGGTTGTATATCGTTTCTGTTGCTAGAAATGCTATGCGAATGAGGGGCAGGGGAGTTCTTGTGCACTCTCATACAGGTTGAGCTTCTTTCACGAAAAAGACCTACTTCGGCTATCTTGCCGTGTCTATTCCAACTCGGCACCGTCCTGCGCGGCGAGCTCTTACGTGCCTGCCAGCCGTTCGCCTGCCATATCAAAAGAAAAAAGTTCGTCACGATCACTCATGGGCATTTTTGCAATACAAAATTGTCTGTCATGCGTAAAAATGCATCACAGCCACACTTCATAAGGGATCTCCCTAGTGTTTCTGCAATACAAGGAGAAGCTGCGATGCTAGACAAAGTTGTAATGCAAAACCTGCAACTTCGTGACTGTGACAAACTTTTTTCTCTCCATATGCCACCGAACCACGCTACTAGTGATCACCCAGGCGTTCCGGGACCTCAATCGTGTGTTTCTTTTCTCCGCCATGTCTGCGTCGCCTCAAGAGGGCCCGACGACTATTAACGTGGCAAAGACCGGGAAAATAATCGTAGGCGACGCCGACGACAGTGCTGGTGGAACTTCCTCCCTGCCGCCTGTTTTTCAAGCAAAGTACCTCTCTATCCCCCCTGCAATATGACAATCAAAAGTGCGTCTCCCACCAGAACTTGGCTGCATTTGTATTGCAAAACTTCGTGATAAAAACACTGCCCATCTTGGTCTTGCATGTGTCCTCAGCGTCACAAATTTTTGATGGCGAATAGCAAAAGTCTGTGCTGCAAAACATGACAGCAACAGCCGTGTCTGTTATGCAAGAGATACATTGTGCTCTCTGGGTTCTGGAACGAAAGACTCGCAGTCCTTTTTTTCATGCAAGACAGAAACTTTGACTTTCATGACTATCTGCGTAAAGGTTTCCGAATAGGTTGCGTCTGAGATTGGGGTCGGACTAGCAAGGTACTTCAAAATCAAATTCAGCCTGCATTACCATTTGAAAATCTACTTATATGCATCAGAAGATTTTGCAACTTCCGTTGTGGGGCCGCTTTTCATTTTGATAGGCGCCTGAGGTTCGTTTGCACCAGATTTTGCGGAAACGCTTGGCCGGCAACTCGTCGTCGACGCTGGGAATGCTCCGGCACCTGTGCGACAGACTTGCGCGTATACCCATGCGAGACCTGCCGCAAACACAACAGCGAGGCGGTGGAGAGCAATCTGTAGCTGCACCAGGGGACGACCAGGACGTGGACGCCGAGGCGGAGGACCCGGTTCTTTCCTCGTCATCCAAAGAAAACGACGCAGCTGCGGCTGTAAAAAGTCAGAAAGCAATCAAGGGCAATCTGGCTCGGGAGGCCGTCCGCCGAGCCAGACATGCCTGCTTTCGGCATGCGGTGAGCGCCCAGGAGACTCGTCAAGCGACAGTGATCTTCGCATCTCCCACACGACCACCAGTTGTAGCCGATCAGTGGCGAGGTGTAGAAGTAGTTGCTGAAAGAGGTGGTAGTTGCCATAAGCAGAAAGCTGTACTACCTGCTCGTCAAAGTGGTACAAGATCTTGTTTGTCTCCGCGCGATGTCGGTGCGGAGGAGCAAAGTGCTCCGTGGTTCAACGTCGTCGTGGGCGGCGGGGGGATAACGAGAAGTGCCACTAGTTGTATTAACTAGAGATGAATTCGTTCTGGCTTCTGTCGCTACGACCCCTTGCTAAAATTTCGGTGTCTACTTCGAAAACGTTTTCTCGACGAGCGTGCCGCGGAAGTAAAGATCCACACGTTGTGCGGCGGGGAAAACCGGGACTGTGGCAGTGCTTCAGCTTCCTCTAGCAGCTGTAGTTTTGTTTCCTCGCGCATTTTTCAAAATTTAATTCTGATTATGCCTTGCCAATATGTCTTGGACTTGGTCTGTGCAGACTGGGTCATGCTGGTTTTGCATCATGCCCCGGAAGGGCGGGGGCTGGAATGCAGAGTCTAGTCTTGAGTCACAGGTTATGTGAGAGGCTCACACGGCCTGCTTCTCATTCTCAACGTGAGAAATGATCTCTCAGCGTAGCCAAAAGTGGGACCTTTTGCTGCTCCTGCGTGCCAAATTTTTGTGTCACTGAAAAAGACGAACATCACAAGTTTGCACCGTTCCAGACCCAGACATGTTTGCATTTGAAAAAGAATGTTGACGCGACGACGATTGGTATCCACACCCAGGAAAAATGTGCGTCAAGTGGAGACTTGTGTCGCTTCCGGAGCAGCCCATGCAACAACGGTACAATTGTCATGCCAGGCACCCATGTTAGTAAAAGAAACTAGACGTGTTTCTTGTCAGTGCCTCATTTTCGCAAATTATTCCGAACTTGTCAATTTCAAATGTGACAATCCCATACGATTTGATAATTTTATCGTAACTTTTTTGTTCAGCGAGCGTCAGAGGGATCTTTTCAGCCAAATTATCAACACATAAACGAGAATCGAAATCCCTGCCCTTGAGCACGATATTGTAAAAATGCATGTCTAGGCAGCGCGCCTGACGTCGCAGTTGCTGTGGGTTGATAATAATTGATTCCAACATGATGTATAAAAATGTTTTTATTGACTGACACGACAATGCCGATGCCCACGATTAGCTTTTGCAATGTAATATTTCAAGTATTGCAAATCGAGGGATCTACTTTTCAGTTTTGCTTTTGCAGCACGTAGAAACAACCCTTTAGAGGTACTTAGAATTTGTGTCTATCTTCTGGAAAAGAATGCGCCCTTAGTACCTTCATATCATGCAACCCATTTTTCTGATGGAAACTAAATCGCCAATACTAGAGTCAAGTCGCTTGCACTTCTTTCGTGCGGCGTATTTGTATAATGACAGAGAAATTTATAGACAGGGAGTAGGGAGGACCCTGGAGGACCAGGGAGGATCAGGGAGGAGCGTTCATGTCTATATAGAAAAAGCATTGGGCATTTTTTCAAAATGTTGTATTCACCGATTGCATAGCGCATTTTCGGGCCAAGGCTACTTCAGCTTTCTGATAGCCATACCAATAACAACAGCGTGACGAAATTGAACAACGACGCAAATTGTTGAAGTAGCCACTTCAACAATTGGCGTTGTTGTTCAGTTTGCAACGTGTCACGCAGTTGTTATGGAAGTGGCTACTTCAATTCGCACAGGCAAACTGTTGAAGTTGCCACTCCAAAAATTTGCGCTGTGCAAATTTTTGAGGTAGTCACCTCAACAATTTGCGTTTTTGCTGTTGTTCGGTTTGGGTTTGCAACGTGTCGCGCAGCTTTTGTTGAAGTGGCTCTTTCAACTTCGCGGAAAGTTGAGGCAGCCACTTGAATAGCAACTGCATGACAAATTGCCACAATAGTGGCAATCTATTGAAATGGAACAAAAATTGTTAAAGTGGCCACTTCAACACTTTGCCTTCAACAATTTGGGTTGTGCAAATTCTTAAAGAGCACCATACCGCCGCGATTGGGGTTTTTATGATTTTTCGGCTTTCGGTTTTGGGTTTTATATAGCAAAATCGCCTCCCTGGTCCTCCCTACCCTGGGGCCCGGGATTTCATAAATTCTTCTGTAATGATGAAGCACACCTAGTATTTGAGACGAGAAGGGGAACGCCCCCTGGGGCTCTGTCTTTCTTCCCTTTTTCTTTTCGTGTGTAGTTCTAACGGTCTGGACGCGGGTCGTGACTCACGTGCGGTCGCAAATAAGATAGAACTCGCCCGAGCTCATGCTCACATATGTCTGGAAACGAAATGCAACCACTACAACGGCTGCAGGGCGCAATCTCTTTTATGTATCTATGCAAGAATGTGGTGCGTGGTCGGCCTATGAGTGAAACACAGATATGAGCAGCATGTAACAGAAACAACCGTAGCAAACCACGAATCCGTTGCGTACGCAGAACGGAGGTCGCGCGTGATTGTACAAGTAGGCGCAGGTGGAAAATGATGCCTGTAATGAGCGAAAAGAGTATTGTAGTGATTATGTTGATTCCCCGATGATAGATACAATCCCGTCTGAGGAGTGAATGTGAAGATGAGGAGGTGTATTCTACACTTTTAGAAGTTAGTTTCTGCCAACAGAGCTGGAAGAAGCATGGCCGTTGAAACAGTGCGCGACTGGAAGTGGTGAGTGCCTAGTATGATTACTTCATGCCCACGAGCTTTTTCTTTGACCAGATCAAAAATATGCATTCTGGTCGAGAACCGCCTTCTCGCTGCTTTCTTAAATTTCGTGAATTTCCGACGATGAGATAATTATCATTTATCAATCTAAAAAAACGTAGTGCACTCAAGTTTTCGAATTCTCGATCGAGAACGACCAGACGGAAAAGAAGACAACTGGCGACAACAGGACCACCTGTCGCTCATCTTCAAGATGATGCGACCCATTCGCGAAGGGGAGCTCACAAAAACGGTGTTATCAAAAGGAAAAATCACCCCTCCCCATGTCGAAAAGGTATGTTTCCGAAAATTTGTGTTGCTGATTTGAGGTCACAAATCACATTTGTCTTGCAAGAAGACAAGGGCAGAAGCTTGCTCCCCATTATGGGATTGATTTGTCATGTTGTTGGGCCTAAAGGGGAGCCGTTTGCCATGCTGAACAACTAGACCCCTACGCCCCTACCTAGCCTGCGCATCTGGCCGCAGTGCGCAGCGCCTCTCTGCAATACAAACCTGATCTGTGTACACAAGTCCAGCATCAGAAGTTCCGTTTTGATATGGGGAGGGGGGATTTGTCTCTTCGATAGGTGTACTCTCACATTCACGACCACCAGTACGAGGACGCGATTCGAATTCTGAACGAGTACATACCAAATGCAAAAACGTCTGGGTCTGGAAGATTGCGAGATTTGTCATGCACGTTTTCCATGACCCATGAGGTCTGTCATGAAGGACATAGCATGACAGATTCTGTGAGAGTTCTATCATACCTATCCTGCATGAGAAACTGCCTCTCGATTAGGTCAAAAGTGGACAGCTTTTGGTAATCATGCAACACAGATTTTTACATGATTCAGATTTAGCATGGCAAGTTGCTTTCTTCCAGACCCAGACACTGTTTTACATTTGATAGTACAACACAGGGCGCAACAGCTCCTCACGGGCGAACTTCAGCCTGCTGGCCTACTGCTATTACCACATTCAGGACTTTGCAAGCGCCGCCAGCTACTACCAGCAGCTCTCGCACCTTTGCCCCGAGAACGAAGAGTACAAGGCCTACTGGATCCAATGTCTGGTGAAGGCCGGGCACTACGAGGAAGCCAGCAACCAGCTGCTGTCGATGAATTCAGGCGCTGGGGGCGCCGTGAGCGCCACCAGCTCCGACCTGCAGGAGCGCTTACACCACCTGCAGGCGACCATACACTACGAACGGGACGAGCTACAGCTCGCAAGGAACGTTCTCACGGCGCCGAACGCCACGGAGGACCCGGAACAGAAAACCATCTTCGAAGCCTCCCTGCTCTGGAAGGAGCAGCGGTACGCGGAGGCGCTGAAGCTGTACCAGGAGGCGCTGCAAACCCTGGGCTTCGTGGCCTGTGTGGTGTACAACATCGCACTCTGCTACTACAGCCTGAAGCAGTATGGTCCTATGCATCGCAAATATGTAGTCCGTTCTTGTCATGCGAGATTTCGATTTGAAGCAGAGCAGGATCTGTCTTGCATGAACACGAGTGGCCAGTTTTTTTGATGTCATGTTGGGAAAATCATTTTGTCACGCGTTTTAGTACACGAATGAAAATGAATGTGCAAGAACAGGCCTCGATAAATAAGTTCTCATGCTGAAAGCCGTACCGGCTACTCTCCAATGCGAGCATGATCAGCAACACAAGTTACTTATTCCCAGGCCGAGACATATTTGCATTTGATAGGGCCGGCCTTGAAGCAACTCGCGGACATCATCGAAAAGGGGGTGCGCGAGCACCCCGAGCTCGCGGTGGGTGGGTCTGACTACAGCGGAAACAACCTGCCCACCCGGTCCGTCGGGAACACGTCGGTCCTGCGCGAGTCCGCGTTGGTGGAGGCCTTCAATCTGAAGGCCGCCATCGAATACCAGATGGAGAACAAGGAAGCCGCGCGCGACGCGCTGCAGGACATGCCCCCGCGGGAGGAGTCCGAACTGGATCAGGTCACGCTACACAACCTCGCGCTGATCCAGAACATGGAAGACAAACCCTCCGAGGGCTTTCGCAAGCTGAACTTCCTGCTGCAGCAGCAGCCCAGTCCCCCGGAGACCTTTGTCAACCTGCTGCTGCTATTATGCATTTTTGCAAATATGTCTGCGTCGGGAAGAGGCGAGCCGAGTCTGTGATGCTCTGAGGTCATCACGTCGGAAACGCAAAATATTTCATCTGCACTACTATTGCATGAGCATCCAGAGAAACCTACTTTTTGCCATTCGAAGACGGTACTTTTCATTTACGAGGAGAGGCATGAAGGAGCCTTATCGAAACTTGTACCGCAGGTGCAGCGTGCATTCCAGCACTTCTGGGTCATGCTAGACCACCTGCACGACAAGCCTTGCAGTCCTGCTCCAGGCCCAGACACATTTGCACTTGATTGCTGTACTGCAAGTATAACTACTTTGACCTGGCCGCCGACATCCTGGCCGAAAACGCGGACTTGACGTACAAATATCTGAATCCTCAGTATGGCTTGTTCAGATGTCACGAAAATCTCAACTGTTGCAAGAATAAAATCGGGACTTTGTCTAGCATGAACAGCATGAAAAATAACCTACAGAGGCTTGCGCTTTTCGCAGTACAACGAACTTCGACGAACGATTCTAATGGGATTTGCTGCGAGTGCCTGAACTTGTCAGCATGCGCATTCGTGTGAGAGAAGGCCAGATCGTGTATGATCTTCTTCTTTTGCATACGTAGAACTACGAAGTACGAAGAGGAAGAGCAGAAATCTGCATTTTATAAATAGAACAGTTGACGAGATTGTCCCACCTGCGCAGTCTATACACAGGAGTTTGAGTTTCTGGATGCCTTGATTTTGGCCCAGAGTGCCCCCGAAGACGCCTTCAAGCGGTTCGAGGAACTTTCGGGGAAGTATGGAGTTTTCACAGCGCGTTACATTCTCAGTTGTTACATGTTGAATTTGCGAACGAAGGCTTCGGCCCTCGTTCTCCCCGGCAACTCCCCGAGTTTGGCCGTTCACCACTAAAACGGGCGGCGTTTCGTCAAGCTCCGGTGGCGATCGGTTGAGACACTAATCGCCAGCTCCTACTTACAAGCAGGAACATAGATAGTGCGCTAAACAGTTACTCGCTCGCCTGAAGAAGCGAGCACCCGATTGAATTTGCGACGCAACTAACAAAAGCGCAAGTGGGTAGCTTCCCTACGCGTCTCCCATTTTTACAAATCCAACATAGACTGCTACGCTGTTTCGCCCTTCGAGAATTCGCCACGCGAAGCAGCTTGGTCGTGTGGTGGCTCAGGCTAATGGTAATGGCGATTTTGCGTGGCAAACGCAAATCACATAACAGCTGACGATGTAGCAACGCTTGCGAGTTCCATAGGAGGCACGTCGACGCGTTGCGCCGCGGAACGAAGAACATCCAGGACGCCCGACGGCAACGGGACCAGCCGCTGGTCAAGAAACATCTCGCAGAGTTCGACGACAGCTATCCTGTGCGAAAACGTCCTCGCCCCATAGTTGTCATGCAGCAAATCTGCATGCTCAAAATGTTTCTCATGCGGAACCCCATGAGAAAGAGAAGCATTTCCTACTCCTAGTCGACGCGTTTTGGAATTTGTAATGCTCCATTCAGCATAATAAGTAGTAGGCTAGATTTGTGATGCTGCTGAACGACCTAAACACCAGCACTACACTACGAGACCAAACTTGTCATTCGCAACAACCTAAGCCTATTCATTGATTTGCCCAGCAGATTTTCCATCTTGACTATGGGGTGGGGATGTTTTCACTGAGGATAACAGCCTTTCAAAATACATCCCTGTTCTGATGGGCCAGGCCAAGATCTACTGGGAAAAGGAAAAATATGGCGAAGTAGAGAAACTCTTCCGCCAGAGCGCCGAGTACTGCTCTGATGACGAATCTTGGAAGCTGAACGTTTATCAAAATGAAAAGTGCCCCACCACCAGAAGACCTCCGCACAGCCTGCATTGCAAGCGCTCCAAATGACCGTAGAGCTTTCTCCCTCTCTTCTTGAGCGCAGTAAGTCGTACTCTGCAAAACGAAGATAAACAGTGCGGAATCCGCGCATCCATCAGTGCGGAGCTGGCGGCTGTACTTGAGTTGCACCATCAGAAGTGCGAAACTTTCGCGACTGGGCGTACCGTCTTCAAATCAAATCTCATTGCCCAGTGAATAAATGAGTGACTGCATGAAGAGATGAAACAAAAACGCAACGCGTTTCGTTATATAATCTAGACCGGTACTATGCAACTCAGACCTGAACCTGATTGACATCACTTACAGTGTGGTGCTATGGTGCCACAGAGACTCACTCCCGCTACTCTGGCTTGCAAATTTGTCATGCTATAACACGCAAGAAAGCTGCGGTGGCAAGTGTTTACATTGCGAACTTTTGCAGTGCAAAAAGTTCCACATTCTGGGAGGGGGGCGGCACCTTTATTCAAAATGATAAAGCTGCGCACGTGTTCTTCATGCAAGAGAAGTTCAAGGACAGCATACGGTACTACGAACCTTTCGTACGCATATGCATGGCAAATCTGTCTCAATCCGGAACATGGCAGCTTGTAATGCTATTCAAGCTGGACCACGATACATAGCATCTGTGTTGTATGAACGCCGAAAACTTGCCCACTTTCTTGTGTTCCATCTATTACAAAGTGGCGTCTTCTTGTTACGCGGGACAGTAGGCGTTGAAAAATTCTCGCAAAATGAATATCTGCAATGTGGTTTTGTTTGCATTCCAGAGCAACATCTGCGTCGTGCAAAAGATGCATGGCGTTGCTTCTGCATTTATCTCGCAATGGAATTGCAATTATTGCAAACGGGGATGCATGACCTACAGGGTCACTTTTCCAGACCCGGACATATTTGCACTCGATAACGCAAGCACCAGGACAACCTGCTTTCTGTCACCGCAATTATCCTGGCGAATCTGTGCGTCAGCTACGTTATGACCAGCGCAAACGAGGAGGCGGAGGAACTGATGCGCCTGGTCGAAAAAGAAGAGGAACAAAAGGACCCGACGAAGCCGGTTTACCACCTGTGCATCATAAACCTGGTAATATCGTAAGAAAAAAGTGTCTCACTGTAACGAGTTCTGCAAGATCTATTGCGATCACTAGTCGTTCTCGTTGTTCTACATGACAAAGAAAATTTGCAACGCATGTTCAAAACACAGGAACTCGAATGAAAATGAATTCAGTATCTATGTATACATGTGCAGCCGGTCCGGAGGACAAACACTCCTGCGTTCGCGTTCCATTTTATCATGAGTGACAAGTTTACAGCGAAACACTTTTTTCTTGCGATAGGTGATCGGCACACTGTACTGCGCCAAGGGCAATTTCGAGTTTGGTATCTCTCGGATCATCAAATCGCTGGACCCGCTGGAGCGAAAACTCGGCGTGGATACTTGGTATAAGGGAATTGATTGTGGGGAACAAGAAAAATCTCAATCCCAGGAGCTCCTCCACTAAATTTACATGTACTTAGTTAGTATACGTAAAATAAAAAAGTGCACTCGAGGGTGCTGATTTGTCGCCACAAGTCAGGTTGATGCATTGACATTGTTGAAGAAAGTAAGGCAAAAATGCGCGAGCCACTTTCTTGTAGGCCGTCAATCCTTCTTCGGCTTCGGCTTGTGGCACAGCAGAGGATTTATAGAACACGCAATTCCAAACAGCTTGATACGTATCTACTTCTTTACAAACAGCGACCCTCGTTACCGTCCTTGTGCGATATCGAGACCAGGACGAAGCCAAAACGAAGCCAGGCGGGCAGCTTTGAAAAGCGCCCGCCTGTGTTGAAAGTTTTATTTCCGATGATGATCCTCCGAAAAGTTTCGAGGGCTCCCCGCCTTTGGGCCTCCCTCTGTTGCCTGCAAGGCGGGGCGCCCTTTGTGCCGCGTGTTCTGTGCCGCGCGTTCATTGGCCCCGGGCGCGTCCGTCGCGTTGTGCATGTGGAAGAGCCTGCGACGCGGCGTGCCGTCGGGCTCAATTTTTGAGCCGCATGGCAGTACAAACGCGAAAAAGCGCTGGCCGTCGCAAGGCTTTGAGTGTTTCGCATGCCAAGGGGGCGGCGCCGCCTTCGTTTTGCCTGGTGCCAGCTGGTTTCCCTGGTAAGCTCCAGCGCCTGGCGCAGTGTCTGCATGCGGGGAAGCGCCGGGCGCATGGGGGGGGCTCCCGGAAGGCGGGGCCCCGCGCGTCTCGTCCCGGGCATCGGGCGGGCTCGCGAGTGGGGCGGGTCGCGCGCCACCGGGAAAAACGAAGGGGCCCCCTCTTTTTGTAGGAAAAGCGCGCAGGCGCCGTGCCCCGGGCTGGAAGTGCACGCGCCTCCCGCTCGCATTGGCGCGCCCTGCGCGGGCCTGCTTCCGCGAGGGCCAAAATGTTGAAGGTATGCATGGCGACCGCGAGAGAGGCCATGTGCGTGGCTGCTCATTTTAGGGCCTTCTCCCCTGCCTGCTCGCTGGCCCGGGCCCCTCGATACCTTCGCCCCACCCGGGCGCCGCGGCGAAGCAACCCGGGCCCGGCCCTCCCATTGTTTGGTCTCTCTTTTGCAGAATAGGCAGTCGCCTGGCGGCAGGCACCCTCCCACCCGGCCGCCCGCAAGCCAGAGCCAGCGAGGCCTGGGAGAAAGAATTTATAGAACACGCAATTCCAAACAGCTTGATACGTATCTACTTCTATGCCCCTGAGCAGGCTTGCAGACCGGTTGACGGATGAAAACCAAATATTTCTTGCCAGAATGCAGATAAGAAATCTATCAATGGCCTGTGTCTAATTGCACAACTCCTCCTTCTGCTGACTGTTCCACCTCGTCCCCCAGGTGGTGCGAGTATGATTTTCACCCACACCCCAGAAATTACTCTTGCATAGCATTGCGCGTGCTGATGTCCGTCTGGTCTCAGTGTGCGGAACAAGAGGAACCCCCCTTATTTTGATAGCCTTAGCCTGACCCTGATGCACTTCTTACGATTTGTATCTACACATAGTATGCCTAGAAAGGCGGAAGGGCAGCACAACTCGCATGATACACTCGCCGCGGTGCGGAATTTCAGATCTGCGTTGTTTAAAGCAAAAACCGGATCGCGTCTGTGCAGAAAATGCGCGACCGATGACATGAGATGATCAACAACCAACACGACTCTGTACTGATTTTAAATATTCTGCTCTGCTACGCGCTCATCACAAAACAGAAAAATACTGTGAACAGGCAACTGAATAAAGGAGTAGAAGGGGGGGCAGTTTGTGGTGTACTTTCAACCGAAAGAACACAAGGAAGTCCGGGTGTTTGATTTGTAAACTTTTTCTACTTCAGGTACTACGCTAAGCGATGTTTCTATCCAAGAAAAAACTGTCACAGCATGCTTATGCACACTTTTGCTGGTTATTTTGGCTGTGATTCAGCAACACAAGTGAATTCGGGCCTGGATCAAAACTACCTACGTAGACACAAAATCTGTAATGCCAATGCGCACATGATCATGATCTTGTTTCTCAAGGGAAAATAAAAACGCATGAACCTGCGCTCCCCCTCCCCAGCTTCTCCCGCATGACAGAGCTTGTCCGTCTTGGTGGTCTTACGGCGTAAACTGTAACTTCTGTGGCACTTTTTTCACGGCATAGCTCCCTCGCGCTGGGAGAGACCTTGTCGAAGAACATGATTCTGCTGAAAGACGAGGCGTTTGAAGACATTTTGACCTTTTTCGACTCCGTCGCGAGCTATGCATTGTAAATATATATGTAGTCCGGGTGCAGGAGCCCCCGGTCGAGAAAGATGTAAACTTGTGATGCGGAAAATTCGAAAACACGCAAAAACAAAATCTTGTGGTGCACAGTGAGCTAAAGATGGACGATTTGGTTTCCAAAAGATAGCACTTCTTTTGCAGATGACTGAAAGTGGACATGGAGAACTGAAGCCTCCGCAGAGTGAATTTGTCATGCGCTGTGGGCATTCGTTCCTTCAGAAGCTTTAAGCTTCCCACAAAGAAACTGCACTACTTACAAGTGTCTGCCTTCTTGCTCCGGAGGACCCAGACATTTTTGCAGTTGAGACGAGCGCGGGGAAACACATAAACGCCAGTCTGAACCATATTGAGAGGAAAAATCCCCCCTCCCCATATCGAAACGGTATGTTTCCGAAAATTTGTCTTGCTGATTTGAGACCCCAAATCAAGTCTGTCTTGCAAGAAGACAACGCCGCAGGCTCTGCCGCACTATGCAGGCGGTTTGTCATGCTGTTGGGCCTACAGCATAGACGTTTCTCATGCTAAGCGCCTAGGCCAAAAGCTCTCTACTCAGGCTTGGCAGGAGCCTGCAGTCCTCGCCAGCAAGACAGATCTGATTTGAGTACGCAAATCCAGCATCAGAAACTTCGTTTTGATATGGGGAGGGGGGATTTTTCCTTTTGATGAACCACCTTGACCGAGATGACAAGACCAAAACCGTTGCGATATCCTGAGTAAAAACGTACCCACACCAGAGTTGTAATGCAAATCTGCATGCTGAAAATGTTTCTCATGCGGAGCCCCATGGGAAGCATTCTCCAATCGTGTTTTGCAATTTGTCATGCTCCAATCAGCATGGTATGCTAGATCTGTGATGCTGCTGAGCTAGCTCAAACAGCACTACACTACGAATCCAAATTTGTCATGCAAAACAGCCAAAGCTTGTGGATTTGTCTAGCCGATTCCCCAACTTGACTATGGTGTGGGTACGTTTTTACTCAGGATATGCGAGGGAAGCCCGACTGCTAAAGAAATTTTTTCTGAAAATCAGTCAAGATTTTTGACCTCAACATGGGTCGAAGCATGTCTTCTTTCCGTACTTGAGTGCGTTTTTGCACGGATACATCTGGACGCATGATCCGCCCAGTGCAGGTAGTACTTCAGTAGATCGAAACAGTGAGGAGTTTCAACACCGAGCAGCTCATCTTTCTCAATCTAAAACTACGTCATCTCCGGTTTTGTTTTCAGAGCGAAAGACTTTCGAGGCGATGCGCCTTTTGTGAAAATACTCTTCACAAATTATAATACAGTGGCCGAACTTCTGCTGCAAGATCTGAGTCGTGCATTCGAAGGGGAATGCGAATATTCGAGACTGTGAGTGTCACATCAGACTCTGAGGAAAACGAAACCGGACAAAATAAGCAATATGCTTCCGCCGGATAAGCTTCCTTGCACCGAAAGTAGCTGAAGGTAGCCATGTCATTATGATTATGACTCTCATTTATAGCACTTACTCTTTCTCTTGCTCACAAGGCAACATAAACCCTCGTGGTGAGTGAGCACTGCGCTGGCTGAGGACTCACTGGCGCGACTAGGATGGCCTGAGATATTCTCGTCCTCGCGAAATGGACTCAGGTGTACGACAAGACGCAGCGGCTCCAGTCAAAAAACATGATGAAGAGGAAGTTGGCTGAATATAAAAAAGAACCAAAAATACTTAATAAAAAAGTGTGTGTGCGACTGCTCTCGCACCAGCGCGCGCCAGCTCAATGCCTGCGAAACCGTCTCCGGCGCTCTGCGGGCCCGGGTCGTCGTCGTTGTTACATTTTAGCGCATATACACGTCGGCGAAAGCGAGTCGGCGCCCTCGTTTTGCTTCTCGGCCTCGGAATGACACGGATCCGCCCGCCTCCGCGACCGGTTTGTATTTCTTTTGTGCGCCCGTGCATAAAGGCTTCTGGTTGTTCTGCGCCCACCAGATAACGTAGTGGATAGTCTTTTCGATGAATAGATTAGCCACTACGTAGGACATCATCCGCCAGCAATCCGTCCTACGGTCACTAGTCCTGACTCGGAACGAATTGCGTCAGTGCGCCATATCAGAAGCCTCCTGACCGTGGCATCGGTTCCGGCGCCACTTTTCGTCAAGTGGCAGCGAGCCCATCTGTCGGGCACACGACACACACGACTGCCCTTCCCTGCTGTACTTGCACGAAGAGCGGACCCATCCAAAGGCCCGCTGAGGAGTCGGCCCGTTGCTGTTGCGTGAGCGAGGGTCCCTGGCGCGGATTCCCGCCAGGCGACGGATTAAGTAATCTTCCCTGCTTTTGCCCACCGTAGATGAACTACGTAGCGCTCGCCAAAAACTATGCCGCTGTGGCTCAGCATTGGTAGATCTGAGAACAGAGCCCAAGCGTCAACATCGTTTCAGGCCCACGCCACCTTTGAGACCAAGGCGGAGGGGGCGGCGCTAGAAGTCTAACCAATAGAGTTTTGACAGTTTTGATACTTTGGCGCTGAAGCCATGGATTGCACAGATGTTCAAAACGCGGCAAACTCCTTGCGCCGGAGATTTCTGCTATTTCAACAAGGCTGCACTCGTCGTGGACTTCGCGAAGAACACCGCGCACGCAGGATTAGCGCGGGGCTTAGTTTGTGAGTGCGGTATTAATCAAAGCGCTTTTGTTCGTCTGCTGCTCCGCGGCTAGTTTATTGCTTATGCTTTATCTAGTTAGAAAGAGTAATATCATGACGCAGGAATGGCGTGAGTTGTTGGTCTTCGATTATATTCAACAAAAAAGTGGAAGAACGTATTGAGTTCACGAGCGTTCATCTATTCTGGTGGCAGCGGGTTTTTCGCCCTGCGAATACAGCCAGAAAAACGACCATAAATTTTGATGTGGCTTGGGCTGGTTCTTTGCGATTTTTTTCAAAAATTGCCCGCAGCCTTGATTGTGCAGGCACGTCGCACCGAACTCGAATCGTGCCGCCATTCTATCAAAAAAGTATGTGAGGACGCAGAAAAGCAGGCAAAACCGGTGCCCAGCGTCGGGGGCGCGAAGTGTTTTACATTCTGGGTTCCAACGTAGGGGCACCGAAGAAAAAGCCGTGTAATGAAAAGCGGCGAACTGGCCAAATTGGGATCATGCTGACCCACCTCTAAAGGCCGCAAAAGCGGCCACCTCCAACGTCGGCCATTTCAATTTGGGCAGCAGGAGGGTAGCGTCAGCAGCATCTGTCGAGCTCGAAACTAATATTTTCAGATAATCAGCTCACCATAGTGAGCTTGCTCACACAAAGTGTGAGCATCAATGATCAACTCAACAGATAAAGACCAAAGACTTTTTTATGTAAAGCAAAGAAAGGCCCACTGAAAATGAAAATCGAAAGCCAGCCCGCACACTACTTCGCCGATTTTGAGCTCCCATTCTGGCGGGCGAGGATCTGTACGCTAATGGATGTTGAAGCAGGACTCCGCTCTTGTATGTCCCAAAGTCGCGAGATGTTGAAACAGGTCTGAACTGGGGGAAGCGAGCGTCAAAGCTGTTGGCCTTGAGCTAACGGGCTCATGCCCTCTCAGCCCTGGCTCGGTGGGCAGGCGGGGACGCGAGTCCCCGTATCGGTTTCGGAGACTTCAGGCCCTGAAGCCTTCAGGAGAAGCCTGCTAGCCTTCGCTCCAGATCTTACTTCAGGCCTTACGAGACGGCCCCGGAGCCAGCCGCAGCCCTCCGCATGCGATTCAAAATGCCCCGTGGTGGAAGGGTGCGGAGAGTCAGGCGCGATGGCTCTACTCCTACTTTGGCAGCAGGCTAAAACCTTGCCGCTCGGGCTCGTTAATCTAAACGAAAACAACTAAAAGAGAAACTAAATGGAAAAAAAGGGGAAAAAAAACAAAATTTTACCTGAAAACTGAACGAAAAGTGACACGCAGTCAGACACGCACTCAGACAAAATTTTATACGGAAAACTCAAGGAAAAGTAACACGCAGTCAGACACGCACTCAGACACGCAGTGCGTGTGTGACTGCGTGTCACTGCGTGTCTCAGAATACCGTCGTAAAACAGACACGCAGGCACTGCGTGTCAGAGCATATGCTTGGGGAAGAAGAGGAGTTTTGATGGATTTTCTTTCTATGTATCTATAGAAAGGTATTCTGAGACACGCAGTCATTGCGTGTCTGTTTTACAAGAACGGTATTCTGAGACACGCAGTGCGAAACTGCGTGTCTCCAGAATACCTTCGTAAAACAGAGACGCGGTCAGACACGCAGCCACTGCGTGTCTCAGAATATCGTTGTAAAACGTCGCGAAGAAGATCTCCTTCTATCTTCCCTCGACGTTATGATGAGACACGCAGTGACTGCGTGTCTGTTTTACAACGGACTTCCGGAGACAAACTGCGCATCCCAGAATTTCGTCGTGGAACGGACTGCGTGTCTGGTGCGTATCTGACTGCGTGTCTGATTGAGTGTCAAAAACACATCTCGTTGCGTGTCTGACTGCGTGTCTGAAAGCTGTGAGAAAATTGCCCAAATGAACTCCCCAAGAGGAGAGAACCTCTCCCAAAAAAGAGGGCTTCCCAAAGAAAAAGCCTTTTGCTGTACTTTGGTACCTCCAAGTTACAGAGAAAGGCTCTGGCGTATGCTTTGTGGCAGAAAGTATACAACCAAGGCCTCTTTCTCTGGGCCCTCGCATTTGCGTCTGGCCGCCAACTGATGCCATTTTCGGCAAGTTCTAACTGGGAACTTGCCAAATTTGTAGCTGTTCTGTGTTTCTTGTGGAATTTTTCGGGGCGAAGAGAGACACTCCGAAAGCGCCGCTCGCGATAGCAGCCTGGCGCTTCATGGCCATGGTCGTGGGCATTTAGGCAGCGTTTTCAGAGCCACCCTTTTGCTAGGCCAACTTCACTCCGACAATCTGGCGGGCGAGGATCTGTGCGCTAATGGGTCGCGGAGAGGGGGATCTCTCTCGGCGACCCCAGCACATGCAGACTCGCTTTGTTTTCTTGGATCCAAAAAGCTTGCGGCTTTCTGTCGCAAGTGCTACCGGCCGGCTGCCACACTCTGCTGATCAGGAGCAGCACCACGCGCAATCGGTATGTTGACGCACCTAAAATGGAGGCATCCGGCAGGACCCGAGACGCCCCCAGCCGCCACTCGCGACGTGATGCCTACCCTTGTGGAAACAGAGGGAAAGGGATTCATGTTGAAGTTTCTTTGCTGAGGCCAGGGCCACAAAGGAATGCCAAAATAAATACAGGAGCCAATGCCTCGCACGTCGGCACAGCAACTACATGCAGCCGTGCTGTTCAGACACAAAAAATAAACACGCTGGTCGTCACTAGTTCTGCCTAACCAAACCGGCCACTATTGGCATTTTCAGTGCCTGCGTGCCTGCTCGTGTAGTTGCAGTCCGCTGCCAGCATCTTCATTCATCACAACCACAAGCTGCGCTCAGGGAGTCAAGACTTATTTGATGTAGTTTCTCAATTTATCGATCCAGTGGCAACCAAGCCTGGAGGCGTAGGCGCTACCTCCAGTGCCTTTTTCCGCTGATAGATTTGCAGTTTTTCTTTCAGAATGAAACCACAGAGAAGAAAATATGATGCCTCTCCCGCGTCCGCGTCAGCTGAGGCTGGACCGATAAATACAAAGTAAGAGCGTTTCTCTTTCTCGCGTCGGAATTTCTTCGCCCGCTGAGCCAGCTGTCTGTCTTTTATTCGGTGGCGCTGACAGTTTGCGTGAAGCTCGAGCAGAAACTACTCAGACGGTAAAAAAAAAAGTCCTCCAGTGTCGGCGTCGCGTCGCGGCGCGGTCATTGTCCTCGCGAGTCGGAAATGTGGTCCTCCGGTCGTGCACCTCCAACACGGTACCAGAGGCCAATGAAAGTTGCCTCCGCCCTCGTCAGTGCCGCGTTCGGACGGGTGTTCATCATCAGTGCAACTGATAGAGATGTGCTCTCTGCACTCCCCTTCCTGCTGGGGAATAATGATTGGAGCAGCGGGACGGGTTCGGGGTACTTTCTGGGACGCGTTTGCGTTTCGGCACTGCGATATAATATAGATGCTACTGACGACGACGAGGGCCCGACAGTATGACACTGCCTGGTGAAGCTTCGTCGTTGACGTATATTCGTTTTGTAAAATTCCGGTAAAAGTATGACTGCGCACTAGCCGTAGCCGGCTGCCAAGCCTATTGCGCTGGTTTGGCGTCCATTCCCATTCGCAAGAACTTCCGCACTTCCTCGCGGAAGCTAGGTGCCCGTCCTCGGACCTCCTCCGTCGCACCCCCATTCGCAGACCGTTGCCGGCGTGGCTCAAGGCTTTGAGTTTGCACTGGCGGCCCGACAAGGGTGTGTAACCTGGGTAGCTTCAGCGGGATGATGAAATCAAAACAATTGCGCGCGCTATGGCATTCGCAAACGTTGCAGCCCGCGGCTGCGTATAAAAACGAAGCTTCTTGTCGCTTTCAGGCACAGACGTCAACTCTTTACGATTTCCTTCGTATTTTCCGCCAATTTTCCCGCTGGGGCTGACATTGCAAAAAGTCCCGCTTTCCTGTTGAGTTGTTGCTACGTGATGCATCAGACCCGTAGCACCACCATGGCCCCCGGTGCGATCCACCTCCAAGCTATTTCGCCTAACAATTTCGCGACGCACGAAATAGCACTAGAATTCTTCTGGCCAAGTCTCCAGCATCCGTATGCACTGCAGGACGCGCAACAACCCCCCCCTGCCTCCCCCTTGCCTTCTCGCTTTTGCTGCAGTAGCCTCGCAGCGCAAGCGCATCCATATGCCATGAAGTCCCGTTCCTAAGCTAAAAAAATCAAAAAGACGAAAGCGAAGAATCTTCCACATGGCTGGCCGATGGATAGGCTGCCAGCCGGCCCCGCGACTCCTCCCAGCAAATTTGTGAGCAGAAGCCGCCCGTGAGGCCCGCGCCCGCCCACCTGCGTGAATACCGTGCGGCACGGGGCGCGCATTGTTCTCCGTGAACAAAGTAGGGCAGCAGCCAAATAGTGTGCGTGGGCTTTTGGCTCGCAAATTTGTGCGCCAGCAATGCGCGCGCCGGAAGGATGGCCTGACACCTCCGCCCCCCTTCCCGAGTTTCCCTCCTTTTTTTTTTCAGAATTTCTGCGGCACGAAAAAACGCAAGAAACGTGATCAGAGCCTTCCCTCCAGCATATGGGTCTGAAGCTTTTGAAGACGGCCCAGCATGTCTTTTGTCCCCAATTGCCGCGATGGTGCTAGTGGGATACCCCTGGCCCTCTTCTGGGATGCCTGCCAGCATTGGCCGCCATGGCCCGCTCCCTCCGGCCCACCAATGCAGGCGCGCGCCCCGATGAGCCCCGTCGCGGGCGCACTTGTTGGCACGCACCAAGATTGGGGCGGAGGTGGTTCGCAAGCGCATCAAATGGGGCCAATTCTCGCGGTGGCGCCCTCCCGCCCCCCTTGCAATTTCCGTGGCGCATAGACTCCAGAGCCCCCACTGTGTGGCGTACTCGCGGCGCGGCAGCCCCTGACATTAATGTGCCCAGCGGGGTGGCGCGGTTTTGTTGAGTTCCTCGCCCCCCCACCTACCACAATAGTATGAACGCCGCGCGGTATTACGCCCCTGGCAGTTGTGTGCGCGAGATGCCTTCGGCGTGTCGCTCTCTGCGCCGCGCACCTAACGAAGGCCGGCGGACATGTTGCGAGACTGGCGCGCCCGGTGTCACAGCGCAGGCGGCTGGGCATCATGTGAGCACTCCAGCCGCCGCCCGTGACGTTTCGCTCCCTCCCTGCCTGGCACCCGGTCCGCCGGGTGGCTGTGGTGCTTCCTTTTGTGTTGTTAGTTTGTTACGATGGGGCGGAGATGATTTTCGCGCCCGCCGTGCGTCGTAGCGAGCCAGCGAGCCTTTGGATTTTCGTCCGGGCCGGGGGTTGCCTCGCTCTGTTTTTTGGCACCGGCAAGGCGCAGCCGGGCGGGGTCCTTGGGAGGCCATGGGCTGTGTCGATTGAGGTGGGGCGTCGGCCATGCGCTCAGACCTCCGTCCAACCGCGACCGAAGTACGCGACCCATGCCCTTCTCCTGGCTGGATGATCTCCCCGCAGCGGCCGCCGCCGTGACCCCAGTAGCTAAGGCCTGCAATTATCAAGGACGGACGCGGCGGCGGTCGTGCTAGCAGGGAACCGCCGGCGGGGGGTACCGCTCGCCGCGCGATTGAGCGAGGCCGGTGCGCCGGCAAAGGTAGGTGGCGCCCTTCCAAGTTGCCCGGCACGCCTAATTCCACCGAATTGGGGCCCCAAAAACAGGGGCGCCAAAAAATTGGCGGCGGGGAAAACAGGGCGAGTCCGCATGGTATGGGCCTCCACCGATTTGGCCTGCCTGGCTGTGTTTGAAGGCCTAGGCCGCGAAGGTGGCCACAATCAAAAATCTGGAACCCACCCGCCTGCAATGTGGGAGGCAGGCCAAAAAGTGGGGCCCTCGGCCCAAACAAAAAAACTGAAAAACGCAAGGGCCGCAAAAAGATCAAAGCCAGCCCGCACATTATTGGCCCGATTTTGGGCGCCCAAGGGGCCGACCCTGGTGGAGGCCGGCCCTAGCAGGGCCGCAGCATGCAGGGAAGCCTTTGCTTCGAGCTTTCAGGACACACAGGGAGGTGGGGGCCGGGCGTCGTGACTTCTATCAATCACCCGCGACACCAGAACGCGGCGCAAGGAACATGCTACGCGACGGAAGGCGCACGACAAAATAAAAAAGGAAATACCTCGCTCATGGGAATGCGCGAGAGCAGTAAGGGAAACGGGGCCGGGTACTGAAAGCGTTAGTGGACTTGAGAACGCTCGCACGCCTGCACTGCGCTCGTTACCAACAGCGGCGGAGCTCTCTCGTTTGCAAGGGGGCAAGCAAGTGCCGCAAGTCAGTCTCTTGCTGCGCTACATCCGGCGGGCTCATTTCATCCAGGCCCACCAAGGACATCGCGCCAATTCATCATCTCGCTCCCCATCTGAATTCATCTGTAGGATATCGCTATGAACATAGTGAGAGACCCCTTCAGGATCTGGGCCTCACTGCCCCCGCGGAGGGACGCGGTAGTGGCTGCCGAAATACTTACTACTGTAGTAGCATTGTGAAAGCTATCTGCAACGGCGTCAAACGAGGGCAACTCGGCGGCGGCTTTTTTCTTGGGCGCTGGGGCTGGCTGGTTCTCCGTATGATTCCCCTCGTTCAAAGAGTTCAAGCACCCCCGTGGCGCGGCGTGTTCCGCGCTGATTCATTAGCCAGGACGAAGGAAGGCCCGCCCGCCTACCATTGATTGTCAAGCACCGTGCGTGGGCCCATCCGTGGAACTGCCTCCATCCGTGACCAAGGACATGCGTGGCAACGTTGGCGGCCCCTTTGGGGGGGTGTTCCTGAAGTCTGTGAAGGTGGTGAGGGGGCCACGCGGTAGCGTGCTGGTTCCGAAGTGATGGAATTCATGGCGGCCTTGTGCGAGCCTTGACGGGATGCAGCGCAGCGAGAGGCGTTCGCCCTGCCCGTTATGGGGCTGAGTTGGCTGAGTGACCCGCCCAGGAGCTACAGAGCAGGGGCGCCCCTCAGCCACTCAGCCTGCCGCGGCCGGGGGTATGTTCAACAAAGTGCAGCAAGAAAGAAAGCAAAGGAAAGGGGCCGGCTGCGCCTTCCAGAGAAGGAACGGGCGCCCAGAATTACCATCCGGGCGGGCGCGTTCTTGCCTTGCTTTTGACAAAATTGCCCAAGTTAGTTTGAGTGCGAGAACTTAGTCGCTGGGCTTTTCAGGGGAATGCTTCGCGCGTTCTTTTGTCAGTAGCCCTATGCGTGGGCTTTGCCCCGAGCGACACCCAGGGCAAAGGCCATACCCTCCTGAGCGTTTGCCAGCCCTCCCACCCTTCCCGTTCGTGCCGGGCCTGCGCAGGTTCCTGGGCCCCGGGGCTCCGTTTCCCCCCGGGAAAGTTACTGTGTTTGCCGGACGCCGTCCATCAACCTGCCTTCCCCTCCTGAGCGAGTCTCGCTCAGGCCCGGCGCGGTGAGTGAGCCCGGGCGGCGCTTCGGCCCGGCGCCCATATTCCTTCGCCTTGAGTGCCGAAAGCGTGGGCCAGCTCTTCTTTCACTGCGGACGAAGGGAGCTGGTTCCGTGTGACGGATAAAAGAAAAAAAGCGCTGCTCTGTTGAAGGTCTTCAGTGTGGGGGCGCGAGCCTCTTATTGTCATTACATGCAATCAGTGCGCCGTCTGCTCTGAGGTCCCCGCCCGGGGTTTTGACTTTGAGTGGCTCTCTCGTTTTTGGGAAGTTTCTTGGTTGCCTGTATTGCGCGCGCTGTGTTTGCCTTCTTCCATACGTTGCGCGATTCGCAAGCCCAAGCCGCCCTTTCCCATAAGCACTAGACTTGGGGCTTTTTTTTTGACGCCCTGAAATGGTGCCGAGATTCCTCCCGGGTCCCGAAGGAGAAGATGACTAGCGGCGGAGTTTTATTTTGACACTTTAATACTTTGTGCCCACAGTATAGATACACCCTCAGGCATTGGCATACTGAGGGCCATCCGCTGCCGCTCACTTCGGTCAAGAGATGTGGGAGAGAGCTGATCCCCCTTCGTCGAATTCCGAGGCCTTGTCAATGACCAACGCAAGTCTGCCACTCGTGTTTGACATACGCCGTATGTTGCCGCCAGCTGGTGGCGACCGCGCGCTGCAGACTGCTGCGTCAGCGCTACAAAGGACACTCACAGGAAAAAGCGGCTTTTATGAGAAGGTTTTACACTTCAGAGACCAGCTTAAACTAAGCACTCCAGTGGCGAAAACGTTAAAACACTTAATCGGCGACGGCAAGCACCACAAGTATACCCGCGAGGAGAAACTTGGAAGGATTAAAAAACTGTTGGAACACGCAGAAAATGTCGCCACTGACAAAGCAAAAATGGTACATGACGGGATTAAACACGCGGCGACAGCGATACGAGACGCGGATGAGCAGATGCTCGAATACGCAAAAAGCGTCGCTAGTAGAATATGCTTAATTGAAGTACTATAGAGAAAAACATGGAAGATCCTTCAGAAGAAGACTCTACAGAAGACCCACAAAAGGCAGCAGCAACCTTTTGAAGATTGAAGAATAGGCAGGGAAAAACCTCGACAAATAAATTTAGAAAGACGTCGCTGCTGTTTGCGGAAGTCATTCTCATTTTTTTATAATCTTCAAGAGGTCAGGTTGGTAGCTTCCCTCCAGTTTAGACTTTCGGTGAAATCTGCAGCACGAATTCGCTTTTAAAATCTTAAGTAGAAAACAGGTGGGCCCGCAAACTTTCTGCTGAAGCTTTTAAACCTTCAGAAGCTGGCTACGTCTCTGCCTCCTGAAATTTGGCACAAAGCCCGCGCCCTTTGTTTCCAAAATGGCAAAAAGCGCAAAATAATGGACAGCGCCTCACCCACTCTGGCGGTTTCTGCCCCTCTGGCGGCCGAGTCTGCTGGGAAATGGCCGAAGAACTCCACAACCACGCCGCAAACGTCTGCAGTGGAACCGTCTGAAGAGTTTGCGAGCTACTGCACGGGGCCAACCTACTCCTGTAGGCGCCTCGAATAACATACAGAATTCTACCAGAAGCCCTACAGTGGCTCTGCGCTGTTTCAAGCTGCCCGCCCTACATCGGCGCAATCCAAACTCGGGCGCCTGGCCCGTGCCAAATAGAAAATAAAGGGCTGAGCGGTGCGCAGTATGGCCTTCGACCGTGAAGAGCTCGCGCACGCAGGTTGCCGAAGCAACAGCGCACAGAAGCCATCGCCGTGCCGCTTCCGAATATATAGCAAAAACAAAAAAGAAGCCCCAGGCGTTTGAAGGTCCCACACGCACGCAGCTGCCTTCTTCTGTGTTGCTATGCATCCATGGGCGCGATGTCGCCCCGTATCGTGAGGCCCGCAGAGAAGCGCGCGCAGGTAGCAGCGCAAGAAGGCAAATGGCTGCCACATATTACCGCGCCCGCCCAAGCGAGTGCGCGGGCTTCTCTGGTTGATAGCCTGGAGGGGGTACACATCAGTGGGAGCGCGCCTTGCATGTGGTGAGGCCGCCGCCCGGTTCTACCCGAGGTAGAAACTTTTTTCACAGCCAAGCCGCGAAACGGCCGGCGGCTTATTTCTGGCGGCCGGGCGCGCTTTTGAAAGCACAAAAAGAGCGGTCGCCCCCCAATTGGCTCGAGTCAGTTCTATCGATTGCCGATGGACAAAACGACGCAGGGGGGCCGGCAAAAGCGGCCACCCTTCTGCGCCACCCAGCGTGCCGGACCCCGCCAACTTATTTGGGGCGCCCAGGCCAGAATAAAACGTCAATATATAATTTGCCGGCGGTAAAAAACTAGCGGGCCCGCATGGTAAGGGTTGCAAGCATTTTTGCCCGCATTTGAAGGACGCAAAGCCGGCCAACGAAGTCGGGCATCTGCGCACGCGTGCAGAAAGCCAAGGCGTGCGCTTCTTTCCAATCTCAAACAAAAAACTCATACAAGAAGGCGAACGGCTTCGCTTGTCTGTGCCCCGGGCTGCGTGTCAGCGCAGGCGCGAAGGCGCTACGGCTGCCCTCAAAGATGGCCGGGCCGGCTGGTGACAGTGGCGCCAGGCAGCCAGCCCCTGGTAGGTTCGGGTAGGTTCAGCGTGTGGGGCTTCGTACTATTTCCAAAGGCTTGCAGGGTAGGTTTCGCGTTGTCGGTTTTCTCGGGTAGATTGGGCTCCCTGCTTTTCACATATTGCCCAGGGCGCCCGGACTCTTTTTTGATGGATTGGGGCCGCCTCTAATGTTTTCCATTCGTGTTGCGGGCCCGCAGCCGTGGCGCCGCCTGCTTTTGTCTTTCTATCTCGGTTCGCCCCCCGGCTTGAGAGCGCCCCCGGCCTTCTTTCTTTGCCAGGCAGGCTCTGTGGGCTCTGTGATCGATTGCTTTCCAAAAAGCTGGCCGCGTGCGCGCCTTGCGCCGTCTTTGCGTGTTTGCGCCCCCGGGCTTTTGGGCGAACGTCATGCAGTCGCGCAGGCTTGGGCTTGGCGGCGGCGAGGCCTTTCGTCGGTTTGCGAAATCGGTGGCGTGTGTGCGGTGGGCCTTTGTCAGTTTTCGGCGCAGTTTTATCGCGCGGCGACGTTTGTGCGCGTCTTGTGTTTCTCTGTTTTTGGTCGGACCCGCGACAACCACCGTGGTAGCGATTGCGATACGATAAACTCTGCAGCGGGAGCTGTTTAAAGTGCGCACAAAAGAGCATCGCCATTGGTTTTTTTGGGTTGCGCGCTACACTTTGGCCTAGTTTTCGCATTCGGGCAAATTCAAAGGCCAGCGCGAAACAACTAAGCCGCAAAGCAATGCGAAACCCAACAGCGCTGGGAGTTTTCATCTTTATAGCATAAACTGGGGGAGAAGTAGCCCAAGAACGAAAGGGGGAAGAGCAAAAGCCGGCGAAGGTTGGGGGTGGGCTGCCCGGCAAATGCGGGGGGGGGCGGCCGCAGGCCAACAGGCCCCCCCGCCCGGGCGTTTTTTTGGAAAGCAATGCCGCAAATTTGCGGGAATTTTGAAGATTGTCCGGCGCTTTGGCGGGTCGCTCGCTAATCTGGGTCGGGTTCTGGGGTTTTGCCAGATTGATGCTGGTGGGCGGTCGGGGCTCCGGCGTTTGTTGCCCGAGTTCTTCCATTCATTTGGGGCTTTGGTTGGTTGGATGTTTTCCATTTGGGGCGTTTCGAAATTGACGGCAGCCGGGAGGGGCTCTGTCGGTCGGTCCCGGACGAAGGGAGTCGCGGCGCATCAAATTGCAGCACTCGCCAAGAATGACGCAGCTCGATGGTCAAAGGGGCACGCAACTAGGCCCCAACTGGTGTGATTTCCCGAAGCCGGGACGCTGCCACTAGGCATGCAATCGGGCGCGCAATTTTCCGCCAGTTCTAAGCACATTTTTTGCGACAGCAAAGGAGTTGCTTTCGTTTTCGCGCCCCCCCTCGGGTTGGACACGAATGGGCGAAAAATAAAAATTGGGCGCCCAGTTCCATGCCTAGTTGGAGCATCCATTTTAGAAAGCCGCCCCACAGTTGCGCCGCTAAGCGGCGAAAAATCGGGCACCCAGTTGAAGCAAAGCGGCGCACTTTTTCGAAGCTCTCGGGAAAGCATGGAAGCAAAGCCGCACCCATGATAGAGGGCCTTGGCGGTTTTGCGTCTATAGTTCCGGGCGTTGGTTTTGCCCCGGGGTGTGTTTTGGTGTGAATGTGGGTGGGGCGACTTGTTTCTCTGTGTGTTTCATACGCCGCGCGGGCATGTCGGGCGCATGATTTCGCTGCCGGCCTTCTTCATCGATCCACAACACCCCCACCCCGGTGCGGCATGGTTTTCAAACTTGCAAACTTTTTGGGCGGGGGCTGGCGCTTTTCTTGGCCCGGGCCCGCTCGCCCGGGGGGCCGGGTTTGCCGCTCCTGGGGGCAGTTTTTGTGCCCTGGGTGCTGTGGGCGCAACCCATGGACGCCTCGCAAGCCCTCGCCCTCATCCCGGGGAGCGCCTTCATTCTTTTGATCGTCGGCCGTGGCCATTCCGGTGCCGTCCTCTGCGCTGCCTATGTGCGGCAGGGCCTTTGGGGGCCCGTGTCCTTTCCGGATCAGTTGCCATGGCCTGCTTGTGCTTTTCGACCTGGCGCAGAAGGCGGTGGCGCGACAGGCCTGGAGTTGGCGCCGCTGGGTTGCTTTCGCGCGGCCGCGCCCATTGACTGCGTGCGTTCGCCCCCTCCCTGTTCGGGCCGTGCGCCATGCTTTTCTTTTTGGCTTTCGCGCCTCTGCCCACTTAAAACCGGGCCGCCCGGGCGGGCGCCGTGTAATTAAGCCGGGAGGCGCTACCATGTACATGACGAAGAGAGCGCAGCAAAGTAGCTGCGGCGCATTCCATTCTTTGCAGGGGGCCAAGCTAGCAAAGCGCTGCGCGCGCGGCGGCTGTTGACCTTCCCGCGTCGCGAAATTTGTTGCATTGTACGCAAGGTTAGGAAGGATTTCCCGTCCGCGCTTCCCCTCGGCGTGAACAAACAAAAAAACACGCCCACGCAAGTACAGGACCCGCCTGCGCGTCGTTGGTTTCTCGCAGGTTGGTAGCCGCCTACTGGTTGCGCCCCCCCTTCTCAGGCCGCACATTTGTGCAGGAAAATGGCGACCGGCGGGCATTCTGATTGAATGCGAGGGCGCTTGGGCTGCTCGCGCTCCAAGAAAAACCAAAAACCGCGCCCCCGGCCGGGCTCTTTGTTGTCCTCCCTGAAACAAAGAAAGAAGGCCGCAGAAGTATCGCGACGGACGCACCTGCGTGCGCGCGGACGCTGCGTCCCCTGGGCAAAAGCCGCCCGAGCGGCGCGGCCCCACCTGCCGGGCCCTTTTTGGTTGCGTAGGTAGCGGCGCGCGGCGTTTGGCGCTGCCTCAGCCGCCGGAGCGAGCGAACACCTCCCGCGAGCAGCCCTCTCCCCGACGGCCTCCGCCGGGGGTGGCTCGCTGGTTTTTCATATGTTGCGCCTCCAGTCTGAAGGGCCGAGGCGCTGTTTTTCCCATTGTGCAGCCGTGGGTATTGGTAATTCCGGAGGCAACAAAAAAGCGGATAAAAGAAGCCGCACACGGATTGTCCAAAGACTTGGAAAAGCTTAAGAAGGCGACTGGAGACACCCTAAAAGGCGCCTACGAAGCCGTCCACGAGTGGGAAAAAAAGCTTGCCTCTGGCTATCGCCGTGCGGTGCAGTCGAAACTGAGCAAATATCTGGGCGTTTTAAAATCGACAGCAGCGGACAAGGGAGCGCACGTGATGAGTAAGATAGTGAAGGTAACTTCGGGCGCCAAGGTGGCGGAGTTCTTCTTCACTCTATTCAAAAAGGAAGTCAGCAAGCAGCTTAGCCGAGTACTTCCTGACGCCAAAGCAAAACAAGCGCTATATGTCCCGAGATCCAAGATAGCGAAAGTTTTCATGTGGTATGTTTGAAAAGCGAGCGCTCCGGTTCATCCCGGACACTAGCCAGCTGCTCGAGTTTCGGCGATTTGAATTGGCCCACTTGACGCGGTTCTTCGCGCTTGCTTGTAGCAAAGCTGTAGGGGCCTCTCATCGTTTCACAACAGAACAGATCTCGGACTCGGGGCGAGTCGAAAACTTCTTCTGGGAGAGCGAGTAGTCGCAAGCCGTGCCAGGCAACTGAGTGGATGCCCTGAGGTGTGTGACATTTTCGAAAAGAACGGTAAACGCGACCCCCGTGGCCCATGTGAAAGAGCGGGCGAGGCCGCCCACGGTGTCGCGCGAAAAGAGGGCTGCGCCGCCGGCTGTCGCTTCAAAATTCGCGCACGCCGCCTACAGCAATGCCGTCGCCCGGGGCCTGGCCAAAATTGACGTCGCCCGCCTTCCGAGCACAATTTTGCGCCGGGCGGCGTCAATTTTTCCCGAGCAGGCCCCGGGTAATTGTTCCACCGCAGAAAGGCCAAAGCGAACCTTTGGTGAACAAAAGCGAAAACTGCCGAAACCCGAAAAGCGTACTCATTGAAATCGCAATGAAAATCGGCGCGCGGCAATTTTTTTTTGCCCTTGTTGCGTCAGCTGTTTTTCAGGTTTTCGTGATTTCGCTAAAGTGGTTTCGATCTTTTCTCATTGACAGCTGTCGTGCTTCGGATTTTCTTTGTTTCAGATTTTGTTTCGGATTTTGGTGCGCATATTGTTTCAGATTTTGATGAGCAAAATGTTGTTGGAGAGTTTCATGAAAATTTCTGTTGCCCGTTTTTCTATGATACTAAATTCTGTGGCACGGCCGCGCTTTCAACTCTTCTACCTAATACTTTTGCGCCCAAGTCCCGAAAGGTTTTTTCCAGGGCCACATATATACATCTGGCGCCGCAAAGATTGTCGCGGCAGCCGCCCTCTGAAACACGGCACGAGAACCACCAACAACACGAGCTCCACCAGACAGTTGCGGCGGGGTGACTGAGGGCTTGGGGATCAGTTCTGCCAGAGTGTCACAGCTGCGTGCCCGGCGCCGCCGGGCAGCGTTACAGCGTCAGTTCTGCGCAAAGTTACCCCACGCCGCGGCGGCGTGGGATAACTTTGCGCAGGGTGGGCAGCTGCAAGCATGTGCCCGGCACAATCCAGGGATCTGGAATCATGAGCGTCATTCCAGGACATCTGCGTGGTTTCTTTTTTCGTTTTCCGGGTTTTGTATTTTGCCCTCTTGGTTCTCCGGGATATTTGAACCGATATTGCGCCGCACCTCCAAACAGTTGCGACGACCTTTATCAATGACGTCATTGCGCACCAGCTCTGGAACGGGCTACATGAATCCTTCACACACCATCACGACGCGCAGGTGGCGGAGGGGGACGCCCATCTTAATGATAGCCCAGATGCAGCTGCAGAAGCAGGCAAGGAAGAATACAGTGCCGACCCCCAAGACAAACTCCAGGCACAAGCAATTACCGCCGTTGAATCCTTAGTCATACAGATGCTAAGCGATATCCTGCAAGTCGTGTTCCTGGAAACGACCTGGACGGGTATATCCAGGAATGTAATGACTTTCGTTGATGATATGTGCGTCACGTCGCTGGAGCTGCTGATTGTCGCGACAAGCATAGGCGTATCTATCCCCTACCCAGTTTTGGAGAAAATCTGCCACATCATAGTGGAAAAACCCTTTGAAACGCACGTCATGAACGCAGTTCCCAAGTTCCTGATGGGAACGACGAGCGAAGGGCTGCGAATGATTCTCGGAAAGAGCAATACGGTACACACAGTCGCGACTGCCATTGCCAACGTCATCGTGGATACCGAGAAGGGGCCTCCGGCTGTTACTGGTCATCTTATAACGTGGCACCAATTCCTTCATACCCTATGCCGCCAGGAACCAAATGCAAAAGTAGAACACTGGCAACCCTATGACTTTCGACGTAGATGCCCGAAGTCAGTGTTTGCATCGCGATTGCCCAATTGTTTATTTGTTATTGCGCATTAATCATTATGACCGAGAATGTAGTTTTTCGGTCCAGCGATAATTTCTGGTCATAACGAGCTAGCACATGTCAAACGAAGTGATCGCTTCTTTCAAAAGCCGATCACTTCGCCTCAAATAGCCGAGCACTTCCACTTGCCTCACTTCGAAAGCGCATGCCTCTGTAAACCAAAGCTAGCGGCGACTTCTGTATCTATTAAGCCACAAACCCGAGCAATTAGCTTTAGTCTACGGCAGAACCGCTCCTATCTTCCTAGGAGGTGCGAAGATAAAGCTGAACAGGGGCAGCGTGGCCCTTGGCTCCTGACTCGCGCCATTGTGGTACCTATGCAGCTGCGTGCCCCATTGCTCGGCAGGCGTCAAAGGCGCGGCGAAAGTGCAGCAGGGCGCGTGGTCTTTGGCATAGAGGGGGCCGAAGCAGTGCGCGTAGATTCTAAGTTCTACTTAGACCTGTGAAGCCGATGAAAATCGCCAGAAAGTGCAAAAGCCAGACACTGGCCCGGCCCCGAATCTAGACTTTTGGCTTTCTCTGAGTGATTTCTTGCCGTTGAACTTGTAGAGCCCGCATGGGTCTTGTGTCCATCCCTGGCGCAAATCATTGCAGACGCGCTAGCGACTTGCTGAGCAACACGCCGAGAGCCAGACGGCTCGGGGGAGCGCTCTAAATCGGGGCCCCGCGCCGCATCGGCCGGCAGCTTCTGGCGGCCTTTCGCGCAGGCGAAGGCCGCAGCGGCGGCGTATGTGCTGCATGCTGGTAAAGGAAGCTTTTCATGCTAGGGGAATGCGCTGGCTGGTGTCTTAGGTCCGCAGCTTTTTCATACTAGGGGACGGGAAGTCGGACGACCTCCGGCCACAGACAGAACGCTAGCCACAGCTAAAAAGTTCGGTCGGATGTGGCTCGTGGTAGAAAAAACAAACACCCCCGACCGCCCCCCCGTCGTGTGCTAGCCTTTGCACAAAAACACAGTCACGCGCGCGCCATTGAGCAGATGCGACGCGTCTGCCAAGAAAGACGTCGAACAGCACGCCCCCTGTCGCGTCGCTTCCCCGCCTTTTTTGCTGCGATGGATGGCAAAAATGTGCGCAACACCCCAGGCGGCAGCGCCCCGCCCTACCTGCTTAGCCCAATACCCGCGAAAGCCTGCGGCGATTGATTCAAAGAAAAAAATCGCGCCGCCATTGGGCCCGGCCGTCCGCCTTAAGTTCTGCATAGGCCCGGCGCCGCCACTCGTTCTTGCGCAGCGGTGCGCCCGTGCGTGGTGCTTCCCGTGGAGATTTTGTTTCGTGTTCCGGGAGTATGGCCCCGCCATTGGGGCGCTTCGAAACGATTCAAAGTCCGAAACCCGGGCCGTTTCCTGGGGAGCATCGGGGCTTCATATTGTGTGGCGTCGGCGGGCCTGTATGGCCTGGCTCGTCTTTGGTTTGGTCCTTTGTCTGTCGTGATTTGGCTCGGGGAGCTTGTTTGTCTTGCGAAGAAGCTTGCTGTGATCGATCAGCAGGAGGAGGCTGCTAGGAGGCAGCTCCCCGCTCCGCGATTTTGTTGCGCAGGTTTGGGCACGATATTCGTGGAGGGCCCGAATTTTGTGTCGATATTTGGTCGGCTTTGGGTTCCGTGTTTGCAAGATGCGGAAGGGGAGCATGAAAATCCTTCTAAGCATGGACTTCGTGCTCCCTTTCCGGCTTGTACTTATCTTCTAAACCCTGAGGCCGAAGTCCAAAAGTGAGGACGTCGCGCCTGATCTCGCACCCCCGCAAAGTTAGAAGCCCCGCGGGGGATCTCTGGGTCGTGCGATAGCCTCCAGACCCGGATCAGAATCAGAAGAAAGCTGCAAAAAACTTGCAAAAGGCGGGAAACTAGTAGTGGACATTTTAGAAGCGCGGTCTTCGGCGGGTAAATTGAATCGAGAGGCATTTTGGAAGAAAAATCAGGCGGGAAACTAAAAGAGGTCGCCACTCAGAGGACGGAGGTAGGGGTCGCGTGTAGAAGAATGGCCCAGGGCCATGCGTGGTAGGAGTTTGGGGACTGGTTCTCCGACCTTGTGGCCCCGAGGGTCGGTGGGGACCGGGCGTGACGAGTTTGCGGCGATCGGGTGAGCAAAGTGTATTGGGAGCCGCCTTGCAGGTGCGTGGCACCGCCCGCGGGGATTATTGCAAAATGCTGAAAAGCGGAGGGCCAAACGCCATCGCCCGGGCCCAGGTGTTTCGCTTTTTTTCCTTCTTTGGGACTGGGCGCGGTGGTAGTTGTGTTTCTCCGGGTTAGGGAACCGGCAGAAGCCATATCACCGGGAAAATTCCACCACGACATGGGGAACGCCGGGCAGCGTGGGCGCCTCTCGCCTGAAAAACCAAATAAGCGCAGCGAGACGCTGCGCCCCTTCCTTTAAAAAAAGAACCGAAATCCCCGCCGGGGCTTCAGATTTAGCAACAAAGCGCGCCCCCCCTGCCGTAGCGAATCAAGCCGGTAGCTTTGCTCATTTTCTGCGAACTTTCCAAATGTCGCCGCTGCGATATAAAAGCCAGGCTGTATCTGCAAAGCCTCGCGGCGTTTTCTGGGCCATGGCCGAAGAGCTTCGCTGAGTGAAGGCTTTGCGGCTAGATTCCAAAAACCTGCGGCGCTTGCGCCTCAGGATATTGCCGAGCGATGGCCGCCCCTTTTGTAAGGAGCGGCGCAGGCTTTTGGCTTTTGGCTGCCTTGGAGCGAGTCACACCAAGAAAATGACACGCGGCCACTTTTGTAGGGGCAGGCCAGGGCATCCGCATCACTTTGGCCTTCCTCTGCGCCGTGGGTGGCCAAATCAAGGAAACGGCGCGCGGCCTCTTTTGGAGGGAGAAAGTGGCCGGGCGGGCTTCCTCCGGGGGGCCGCCCGTGGTCAATTCCGACAAAAAGCGCCTTTGTTGGTGAAGACGGAGCGACCATCTGAGCTTCCCCGCCCGTGGTCTCGTCTAGCTTCGAGAAACAAAGAGCGGCGCCTTTTTGTGCGCCCCCAGCAACTTGCGCAGCTTCCCCCGGGCCGTGAAGTGGCGTAGAGGAACGCCCTGCGCGCCCGCCGCCCCTCTGCTTGATTGCTGCGCTTGCCTCCTCGCGCTGCTCTTGTTCTGTTGAGCCGCACGACCCAGCCGCGTGCCCATATTGAAACCACGCCGCGGCGCCAAAGCCGCGCCGTATCCCCGGGCCGCGCCGCCACCAGCCCCGCCGCCGCGCGGGCGTTGTGCCCTGCCCCACTCCTAAGCCCCGCCGCCATTAGCCCCGCCGCTGCGCGAGCGCCGTTCCCTACGCACCCCGCTCCCCAAGCGCGCCGCCATCACCCGCGCCGCTGTCCTGTGCGAACGCCGTGCCCTGCCCTGCGCCTAATCCACGGCGCCACCAGCCCGCCCGCCCTCGGCCCCTCCCGCGCGCGTGTTGCGCGCGCGCACTTGATCGATGAAGCACTGCACCTCCCGCCATTGGCGGAAAGCGGTTCGCTGGCCCAAAGATTTGCTTGCTATTTAGTATGAGTTACCATATTAGTGGAGCCCGCTAGCATTCGAATGCGTGGCGCCGGTTTTTTTCCAGCGGGCCGGCGCTTTCGAGACCGTGGGATGGAGGGCGGTGGCAACAAAAAACCGGACGAGGCCGCATACAGCTTCGACCTCGTCCCCCATGACAAAAATCGTCGGTCATGTGATAACGATCAAAGAACACCGCACAAGCGAACAAAAACCACCGCCGCCGTGTCCCTGGCGGGCCCGGAGTTGTTATTATATGCATCAGCTTACGGCAAAAGCGCGGGCCTCGTGTCGTTGGTCGAAAATGATTCCAATTGGTGACAGACCGCCTCACTTCTGGGCGCTTAGTTTCATGCTTGTCAGCTTTTCTATTTTTGCACCTTGTTCGTTCATATGATGACTATGGCAGTCGAGTGCTGGGAGGTGGTGTAAAGAGTGAATCACAGCGGCACGCTGCGATTGGCCGGTCTGTTGTGACCGCAAAGGGTCTCGCTTTCGTGTTGTCGAAAGGGATGCACTCCGCCCGTGTTTGGCGTTGTCTCAGGCAATGAAAGCGACGCGGCCTGTCTTGTCCGAGGCGACTCCTGTTGTTTGGCTTCCGCCCGGCATGGGGCACCCAGGGCGGACTGTTCTGCGTTGTGTCTTTGCGCGTTTTTTTGCTAATCGTGATGCCATGAAATTGCGGCGCCCGTGTTTGCGCCCCCCTCGCCGTCGTCGGGGACGCGCCGCGGCGCGTCTCGCGTGCGGCCTTGCCTCCTTCTGCTCGCCTGAGCTGTCTCGGCTTCCTTGCCTATCGCCCTTGCCTTGCGTTGCCCTGCCCTTGGCCTGGTTGCCCTGGCTTGGTTGCCCTTGGCTTGGTTGCCCTTGGCTTGGTTGCCCTTGGCTGGGCTGCCTTTGGCTTGGTTTCCCTTGGCTTGGTTTCCCTTGGCTTGGTTGCCCTTGGCTTGGTTGCCCTTGGCCTGGTTGCTGGTGCTCATGCATCAGCCCGTCAGCTGTGCCATGCGTATCTATAACCAGGAAGGCTGCGAGTTTGTGTCCCGCCTGTGGTTGTCTTGGTGCCCGACGTAACGAACTACGAGGCTAAGTCGTGCAGTGTCCGCATAATCTCCGTGGTGTGTCGTGATGGTGGGGCCAGCTGGCTGCTGTAGCAGTCTAGAGCGGACAGATCAGCTACGACGCCCTTTAGTCAGCGGGGGAAAGAATGCGCAGCGGAAGCAATCACGGCAATGAAAGCCGTCCATTGCCGGGGACGATGACCATGAGCGCTTTCATTTTCACACCGCGGAAGCGGATAGGCAGAGTAATTAGAAGCTGGCGCCAGAAATTGGGGAGCGCAGCCGGTCCGGTACTCTCGAAGGCGCTCGGGTTTGATACACCCGAACGCAGACAGGCTTGCTACCCGGCCTCAGGCCTCGGCGGGTCTGTCGCTCAGCGTCAGGCGGCCGGCCCCTGGCAAACTCGGGCAATTATATTCAAGGCAAAAAAGCAAGAATGCAGAAGCTGGGGCGGGCTGGGTTTTGTCGGTTTTGCGGCCTGTCAGGTTAGGGGTCGGTCCCGTTTTTCCGATTTCGCGCGAACGGCGCGCGGCGCCGAGGAAGGGGGGCGCGTGGCTCTGCCATCATTTTCATTTATTGGCCCTTTGGTTTCTGGGTGTTTTGTTTGGTCTTTTCCCAAGCGCAGTCACTCACGCCATGCGCCTTCTGTCCTTCCAATTCCGGGTCTCTTTTGGCCGGGCTTCGCCTCGGGTTGCAGCTCGGCAGAGGTTCTTAGACCGGGCGGCTGGGTTTCGCCGTGTGTGATTGTCAGGGCGGGGGCGACTTGTCGTGCTAGTGGGCTTGGTGCCTGTATAGGGATCGCCCCCGCCTGCCCAAGCGCCGGCACTTTCCCAGGGTTGCTTCGGAAGGCCGCCGGCGTTTGTTGTGGGTCGACAGGGGGCGGAGGTTGTTGTCTGGGGTTGCTTGAGAGTTGTGAAGAATGCCCAAAACAAAGCGGCAGCGGCCTTGGAATCCAGCATACCCTCGGGAATGCGTTCGCGCAACCTCTTCAGATGCTGCATCTAAAGCACTCCAATCACAGTGGGACTACACCGCTTGTCATACAAGTGCTGTCTCGCCAATCGCGGCGGCGCTGCGATTTTCTTTACCTCGCCCCAGTCTGTCAATCTCCTGGATGCCAATCAGAAAACGGCTCTGGGACAACTCATAGAGCCTATGCGGACCATCTTTCCCACTCACGCGAAGAGCCTCGGCCAAGCGCTCAGTACGATCCTCGTCGGTGCGATCAAGGACCAGGTGTTCGTGGTGTTCAAAATTGCTACAGCAGAGTTGGAGTCTGTTCCAGGCCTTAGTGTTCTGCTCGAACTCGCGACGCCAGTGCTCCACCAGTTCAGCGGCATCATCGCCAGCTCGCTCCTCTCGTATTTAGTAACAATCGGTGGTGAGTTGATGCTAGAGGAGGTAAGCACGGAAGCGATCGCCGCGGCGCAACAAGCGCTCGCCGAAACTGCAGAAAGCCGCGTCGCGGCAGAACAAGAACACTCAACGTTTCTCGCTTACTTGCAAGAGAAATTGGAAAAAGGCAGCAACACGCTTTTCCCCGACTCCTTAAGAGAAGAGCTGATGCAAGCACTTATCAACCACTGCCTACATAAATCACACGAATTGTTCAAACCAGAAGCGAAGAGCTTTCTCCATACTGGGGCGCACGGCACTGCTGGCCTTGCGATGGTGCAACTGGGCTCGGCCGACACTGCAGCCGAGCATGTAGATCCACATGGAGATGCGGACGCGCCCCGTATCGACGATTTTCGCCGCGTGCGGTTCGCATCGGAAAAGCAGCCGACAATGCCCCTGCTGCTGCTGGCCAACAACATGACAGAGCCCCCTGTCTCTGCTCTTGACCTACAATTTTCCACCCACGACCACCGTATGATGAGCCCCGGGCCCCGGATTTCTTTTGGATTTCTTCGGAAATTTTTTTTGCTTGTGGCCAACTTGCAAAACGAACGCGCCCCCGCTTCAACTACGAGCTGACATCCAGCGCGCCGTCAAGACCGCCGTCGGGCGGCTCGCTTGGCGAAGCCGGCTGGCCTGCTTGCTGCCAGGGTTTTCGCGACATCCCCCCGGACCGAAGCTGGGCACCCCAAGGTCTGGCGTTGTCAAAGTGCACGCATTGCACGCCCAGGCAACCGTGCGTGGGCCACTTCTCCAGGCGCGCCGGGAATGCGCGCGCGCGCAATGGTGCCAGGCAACAGGGGAGGGGGGGGCACAATCGGCTGCCCCACTGCGGCTGCCATCCCAAGCTCAGGGGCGTGGCTGGGCGAGGCAGCTCAGGGGGCGGACGCCGAGGCGCTGGCGCCCGAATAAGATCTTTTCCAGAGCAGGGCCCACCCCATTCAAAGATATTCGCAACAACTCTAATCCAAAAGTCTCAAATCGAAATTTCAGAAGCTTTCGGAGCTCAGAAAAATGGCACTTTTCTGAGCTTCTGAATATCTTCTGAATAACTTCTGAAATTTGAAATCCGGATCAGCGACGTTGAAAAGAGTATCGTTTTTGCGGGCCTCTGAATATCTTTTTCGGGCGCCTCTGAATATCTTAGCGTCGACGCTATGGCGCGAAAAATAAAGAAGCTTCTTCTTGTCTTTTTTTCGCGCCTCTGATTGAATATCTTTTTTTCCGGCCACTGAATAACTTCCCGAAGATGCATGAGTATGCTTTTTCCACTTCGCTCCTCCCGAATGTATCCAGAAATGAGCTCACTGAGTACGTTTTTTTGGCTTAAAAAGTTGCGAACTTTTCAGCCAAGAACGATCTTCCGGGAACTCATCTCTGCGACATACCATGCCTGTGAGAAGTCCATGGCCTCCCCCCCTTGGTACGACATCACCCAGACGCCTGTCACAGACCATGCTTGGACTGCGCACGCGCAGGGCATGTTGGTGGACTCTGCGGCGCGACGGGGCGGCTGCCGGAAACCGCCGGCCCCTTCCCACGTGTGCGAGCAAGCCAGCGAGGAGGCCGGGGTCTTCATGTGAAGCAACATGGACGGGGACGCGTTTGGGCCTTGGCAGGCTTTACAAGCAACCAAAGATGTCCCGGGGGGGCCCTGAAGCCGCAGCTGGCCTCGGCCCTGCGGCGCCCCGCGATAGACATGAGGCGGGCCCGTGGTTGCGCGGGGTGGGGTGCCAAGCGCGGGCCCGGCGCGATGCCCGGCGGGGGGCCTGGCGGAGGCACACGCCGGACGCCCCCGGCAATGCCCGGGCCGATCGGCTGCGTTAGTTTGCGAAAATTTTCGGAAGAAATCCGGAAGAAATCGAGGCGCTTTTCCTCATCTATCAGCAAGAAAGCCGATGCCGGCACGTCGCACGGCGAGAAGGCGCTCACAGTCGTGTCTTGGGATGTCGTCCATAAGATGATTACAGCTTTCGAAAATGTGGGAAAAACGATATCTGCTCATGTTTGGACTGAATTGAAAGACTCTGCGCAGCACCTATTTGAGAACTTCGTAGGGGTGGCGGTATCCGATGCCATGAGCGAAATCCGAGCTGCCTTGAGCGCGTTCTTCAGGGGCGTCGCCTCGGATACTCTGGCCACACATCTCGCAGAGCATCCATCTGGTAAGGAACTTGCGAAAAACAAAGGGGAGCACCTTGCAGCCGAGGAGAGCATCAGAAGCGCCATCAATGGTTGCGATCTTACACCAGCCACAGAATATATTAACTAGCAATATGACACATATCAACCAATATGACACTTGGCAACGACAGCGCAGCGAAACGTCAAAACAGTAGCAGTATCGTGCTGTAGTATTGTCATATTGTCATATTGCATATTGATCGCGGGGGGCTCGCGCATGAAAATTGGTCCCGTCCGAGCTGCTTGCGGACTATGCGGTCATTAGGACCGCGCGCGCCGTTGTGCAGTTTGTGCAGATACCAACTAGGCGCCTCGTAGGTTTCTCGTCTCCGGAGCATGTTGACAACGCCCTGGCGCAGCGTTGGGCGCACTCCTGGCACGCTATTGCTGGCACAGGCGCTGTCTCTGCCATTAGCGGCTCGACTGCAAAGTCATGCACTAGGTTGCTTTTGGCGCAGCATCATCGGAAGTGCTTTCTCGGGAACTATTCCCGCGCCCGCCCGACCACCTGGCTAAATAGCTTAGTGCTGATTACAGTCTTTCTGCTTATGAGGGTAGCGCATCTAATCGCAGCGAATCTGTGTCAAACCACATTGATTCTTAAGCAGTTTCCGCGTGTTGGTCTCCTAGGGCTAGTAGGGGAATCGCGGCGACGAGTGGGCAGCCCGGGTGGAGTCCCTTCTTCGTAAAGGAGCAGCTGGGTGGCGGTGAGGCTATCGACCGTCGGGGGCGTTTTCGCGAACGAATTAGACGGGGGGCGAGGACGGTCTGTCATTGTCAGGTCATCTTTCGGTCCCCGAAGCCGATGGCTCCGGTCATATTGCTCAAAAATCAGTGGTCACATTGACAAGTTGCAGTATTGTCATATTGCTAAAAGTGCCAGAATTTTGCTAGTTAATATATTCTGCAAGTGGAACCAAAAAGGCCATACAAAAGGCGACAGACGGACTTCGGAGCGCGATCGAAACGAACGTGATCCATAACACCTTCGACAACTTTGTGAAAAAACTACTCGGCTTGCTCGGGGTCGGGCAACACACGGCCGAGGGCAGCGCGGGCGGGACTCACCCTCACCAGCAGGGCCTGAAAGATTTGATACACACACTGCTCGAAAGCTTAATGGGCCACATAGAAACGCTAATGGGCATGCTCCATGGCGGCCATGGGCATAAAAGCGCTGCCGCGTTCCTGGAGCACAATGTGGCCGGCAGCCAGAGTGTGTACGTCGATGCGTTTGCGGAGCTTTCCAATGGCAGGGAGGACAAGAAGCATGGCCGCACTCTCCCCGACAGCGTCGTGCCTGGGGATGAGTTTTCGCCGGCGGCCACCGAGCCCGAGGATTTGGCTTAAGTAGCCTCTGTCGTCTGGGTGGTGGGCCCGGCAGGCGTTTACCTTGTTCCGCGGTTTTTGAGTGGTTTAACACATACCGAAGTAGAAATGCGTAGAATTATATCAATGAATATTTATTCCAAACAGTGGCCATGTTGGATGACGAGACGCGCCTCGGAGTTGTGAAACATCAGATGGATAGGCGCATAGACCGCAGCACTCGAGCAAGACTTCAGATCTTTTTGCACCTGCGGCCGGCTTCTTTCAAGAAGAACGCCGCTGCAAGACTACCACGGCGCCCCCGCACTATTGTTTTTACAGAAACGGATAGTTTTCATTTTATAAACAATACGAATCCTATTAGACCAGCATGAGCCTCGTCATAATCCCATTGCTCGCATTGGTCGCCTCGTATTGACGTGGCGCCAGAACTCTCAAGATGGGGGGTGCAGTAGCTGGACCCGATTGATATGCCGCGTCTTCATCGCGAACGGCGACGGTGTGGCACTATATCGCTTTCGATAGAAGATAGGGCTAGGGAAAAAAAAACGGGGCCGCGCATTCGGGCGAGTGATCTTTCAAGTCTAGGCGGGCGCTTTATGTTAGTGCTTAGGGCCCTAGCCATCTAGGCTGAAGTAGGGCGAATGAGGTTTGGCCCCACAGTCGTAGGCGGGCTTTTTGGAATGGGGGCGCAATTCTAGATGAGGCGGGCCGCACGCGTAGACTAGCAGTAGGCTTAGGACGGAGGTGCTTCAGGCTCAAACTAACCTACCAGCGTGGGCAGTAGGCCGAGACGAGAAGCACTTCGCGCACTCTGAAGCAGCTGCGCGCTGTTTAATGATGACGCTGATAACAAACGGGAGGCGGAAGCAGCCGACGGCGGGCGCTCGTAGGGTGCTCGTATTGCTCAGATCGCTCGTGTTGGTCGCCTTGTGTTGATGATGATGACGCCAAAACCTTACAAAACCCTCTGCGTTACTGTAGTATCTGAATATTATAATTTTGAGTATGCAGCGGCCAACGGCCCGCATGAAACCGCAAGCGTTTTAATAGCACTCAAAAAACCATAAAAAAAAAACAGTCAGCAGCCCGCCCATTTTGCGCGTTTTGTTTTTCCGCGATATCTATCCACGCTAAGGAACAGTCTAAGGCTCAGTCTCGAACAGATTTAACTCGATCTATCCGCGCAGTGAATCAAGAGAAGCCCCAAAAGGAAATATCGGGCACCGCTGAAGTCGTCACAGGCTTCAGCTGTACAGCCACGGCGCAATCGCTCTCGTTGTTGTGGGACAACTTGGAGTAGCTCTCTTGTTGGTCATGAGATCAGAACCTCCGCCCTACTTGTGGCAGTGGTGCTCAACGTCAAGCGGTTGCACCTGCATGCACGCTACTCCATGAAAACCGCTAGCGTTTTGCGATTATCAGGCTGATTGCACGTAGACGGCGACAGCCTCTCGCATGACTGGGCGTTACGGCATTACAATACATGGCCGGGCAGTAGTTAAAGCCCCGCGAGCCTGTGGTCCGAGGTGGAAGTGTGCCGGCCTTAATCTCTACGCCGCTCGGACTTCAGTTTCGCGGGCGGTCTTTGGTAGAAAGCACCTGGCTACGATTTCCGACGGAGAAGTGGCAGCCCGTATCGTTTCGCCTTTTTCTTAGGGGCCCAACAGGCGCCACGCAGTTTCTCTTCCTCGATCCTTGGTAGCTAGCATCGCCGCTTCGGGATGCCTGTTGTCACGTTCGTCGCCCCTTCGATCCGCTGCTCCGTCACCAGCCCGACAACACAAGTTCGGCCCGGAAAGGTTTAGGACTCTAGGCTGCAGAGTTTTGTTTTAGGAATTCGAATTTAGGATATCCACTCTCGTGCTTATCGGTGTGTATACGGACAAGCGTGCTCGTCGGCGTCACTTTTAGGTCTCAGAAAGTGTAAGTGACGCCCCGACGGTTTAGCTGAGGCGTCTGCCATGCACGATTAGGCCGGGTTTAGCCCGAGGACGTACCAGTGGCACGTCCCCGAGCATTGCTTCCGGCAGTGTGACAGAATTGTGATTCAGACCCTGGCGTCCGGAGCCGGACGGCTTATTTGTGGCGATGGCCCGTTTCGGTCAGTGCTTCTGGACGTCGTTTGTCCTGGTGAAACTTGGCCGAGATTCAAACTGCAGACTCTGGCCAGACCTATCGCGAGGCAGCCTTTTGGCCCTGCCTGTCTCGCGCGTTCTACCTAGATTCTTCTTTCAGTTTTACGGGGCTGATAAGATATGGCCGCAGTGGCTAGATGTTGCCCGGGCCAGTTTCGACATCTCTGGCCCTCCTTCGTTGGGTTTGCTCTGTAGGTGGGGTCGAATGTCAACAGACCCACCGGACCCCGTGCCCGCTCGTGTGTCGCCTTTCCTTCGCCCACCCCGGCCGCATGAGGCCGCTCTGTCTCCGCCGCATTAGGCGGGGTCCCAGGTCTTGACACTTTGGCCCCTTACCTTTTAACTAGAAGGCCTCGCTGAGCCGCCGGCGTTCCCAGCTAGTCGAAGAACGTAGCGCCGGACGCGAGTTGCGCGAAAGTGAGACAGACCGAGAGCTTTGGGACCGATGCTCGCGCGCACGGATGTCTGTGCAGACGGTTTCTCTTCGTTGTTGATGAACAACCAAAAACCAACTGCGACCCTTGTGAGCCCTAGGAAGGAGACAGAACGTCTGCGCCTTCAGACCGGTGCCCTGTTGGCTGTAAAGCGCTAGCGCTGGGCGCGCAGCTATTATCCATTTTCCGCGCTGCATTTGTTGCAGCTGTTCAGGCGCGCAAAAGTGGCCCGCACCTCCCCCACTTTGCGTTCGATATGTTCTAGCACTAGCCCTGCGCACAGCTTGCCCCCTAATAACACACCTGAAGGGCTTCGGCTTTCGTTGGCCATGTGTGCGCTTCTTTCTATTCTTTGGCGCTAAAACGGGCGGTGAAACGGTATCTGGTGTGCAGAAGTGTTCCACACGTCTGCAGATATTCTCACTGCCCTCTCTTGGATTACTTAGCAGTATGTGGGAGGATTTTTCCCGCTCACCTTAAGAAGCGCGCGCGCAGTTCTATTCTTCGGCGCCGAGTGATGCCAGGGAGCGTCTTCCGGATATTGTGGCGGACCTGTGCCTGTTGTTTGTTAGTTTCATTTGTTGCGTAGGATGCTCAGAGATTTATATAAGCAATGCGACTCGCATTGATCGCAAAACCGGCCGCGGTTTGTCGCATTGCTCGCAATGCTCGCATTGCTCGCAAATCATTGGCGCCCGCCAGCAGTTAGGTGTGTGGCGATAGAGCAAGGGCCTTACCGGTGGGATTCGATCGCGAATTACCCGACGGGAAGCTGGCCTGGATATGCAGGCTGTAGTGGTCTTGCCCTCGTTTTTTTCTTTGGAAAAATAGTGCTGAGGGTTAGTAGACGTTTTCTTTTTCTCGAGCGCAGAAACAGAAACAAACCCAGACACAAGCGACGGTCTTCGCGCGGCCCGTTGGTTTGAGGTCAGGTTAGGACTAGGGCGGGCAGCCTGCTGAAGTGCGGCCCAATAGTGGACATACGCTCACGAAGTCGCGAAGAGTTGTTGCAAGAGTTGCGACAGGTCCGCGCGCCCGCGACTCGCAAGCCGTCGCATCCGTGTCGCATTGGTCGCATTGCTCGCATTGCTCGCAAATCATTGCCGGAGTTTCCTTATATAAATCACTGGATGCTCCTCGCGTCCACCGACTTGAAGCGCACTAGCGCGGGCCCCCGAAGGGCCGGCGGCCGCGATTTTTTCGCTCGCATTTCTCAGCGCAGCCGGTGGGCTGCACTAGCGCCCGTTTCCGGAGGGTCCGCGGCTTTTTCGATTTTAAAAGCCAACCCGACCGCGGGGCGGGGCCGGCGGGCCCGAGACGACAACAACGAGCCCAGCCGGCCCCCGAAGGGCCCGCGCTCGGGCTCGTATTAATAAATAATTGTGGGGTAATAAATTAATCGCTTAAGTTACCGGGTAACTTAGCGTCCGGCCGGCCGCCGGAAGCTAAGTTACCCGGTTCCCAGCCGCCAGCCCCGGAGAACGGAGCGGTCCGATCCGCTGGAACGGGCTGGCGGCTGGGAACCGGGTAACTTAGCGTCCGGCCGGCCGCCGGAAGCTAAGTTACCCGGTTCCCAGCCGCCAGCCCCGGAGAACGGAGCGGTCCGATCCGCTGGAACGGGCTGGCGGCTGGGAACCGGGTAACTTAGCGTCCGGCGGCCGGCCGGACGCTAAGTTACCCGGTAACTTAAGCGATTAATTTGTTACCCCACTTATAGTTGGAGCGATTTATAGCCAGTGTGTTTGTTCCTGTTGCTCCTGCCCTAAATGTTGAGCGCCCGCTATTTTGTTTCTTCGAAGGCGAGCAAGATGACGAGACCCCAAGTCACATACTAGTGCGACGCTGTGACTTTTTTCGTTAGTTTGAGGAGGACAAGCACAGACCCAAGTTCCGCCACACCAAAGCTTTCAAACAAGTTTTCGTCTTCAAAAAAGCGCAGGGCACACAGGCTCCAGCAGCGCTGCAGCTTAGAGAAAAGCGAGAACCTGGAATGTAGCAGAGTAGAAATGAGAAAAAAAAGCAAGCAAAAAAAAGCCAGCTCCTCCAAGCCAGTAGCGCTACTCTTTTTCGTAGCAATTCTATTTTTTCTTCTCGAAGTAGACTAAGACAATTTTTCAAGCCTTTTTTTATCAAGCAGCCAGCGACGGCATCTATCTTGTAGAGTTGTAGACCTTCAACCTTAAGACTTTTACATCAATGCTTTCGCTTTACCAGTTCAGTTTTTCTCTGGAACCGGCTCAGAGCGGGGGCTCCTCTGTCGAGCTGCTTTGTTTAAATTTGGAATCGGACGAGAGTGGACGGGCAATGACATTTGGACCTCGGGAGGACGAGGTTTTTGTTTGATGAAGTTTGCAACGTACAAGGAGTAATTTGAAAATTTGCGGTAAGACCGCCATCACGGGACCACCTGCAAGTCCCGCTGACGTCTCGGACATTCAGAATCAATAAACTTTAAATTGCAATCGTGAAAAGATCAGACGCTTCGAATGAGCATCAGTTGAAATTTTTGGAAAAATTATGCGACATCATATCACCGCGGCGGACTTAGAAGTATTTCGTGGCTGTTCGTCGTCTTCTTGCGGTGTTGTCTTGCCAGAGTGTGGTGGCAGTGTTGTCGTCGGTGTCTACGTGGATAATCCCCTAGAAGATGCGTGATGATGTGGGCGTTGTGTGCGCCCGCGGTGTGGCTTGATTCAATAGGACAGCCACTATCACGACGACACCCCCGCGCTATTAATTTAAACGGATATAGCAATCAATATCAACGGCCTGCATGAAACCGAAAAGCGCGTCTAAGTAGCAGTCGACAGGTCGGAAATGAAAACAGTCATCAACAGCGCGGAACACCTTGTGCGTTACGCTTTTCAGCGATAACGATATGCATTGAGTCTATATCTAGGGAAGCCTCAGAAAGAAATATCGGGCACCGCGGAAGTCGAATAGACTTCAGCTGTACATCCACGGCGCCACCGCTCTCGCTGCTGTCTGTGCTTTGTTGTATTGAATACCAGGACAAATAATTGGAATAGCTCTGCTGCTGGTTATGTGATCAGAACGCCCCCTCCTCTTTGCGGCAGGTGTGCTCATCAACGTCCACCACTGTTTCTCCGATGCCGAACAAGATAACGAGACTCTAAGTTCCATGCTAGTGCGACACTTTGACTTTTTTCGTTGGTTTGAGGAAGATAAGCTCAGAATCAATCGAGTTCAACCACGCCAAGGCTTTCAAGAAGTACTTATTCCCTTTCCGAAAGCGCAAGATGCACAGGCTCCAGCAGCGCTGCAGCTTAGACAAAAACAACTCCAAGGAACGTAGCAGAGTTGTAGAAAATGAAAAAAGTATGTAAAAAGAAGAACAAAAAAAGCCAATTCCATCAAGCTAGTAGTACTACTCTTTTTCGTAACAAGCCTACTTTTTTCTCAAAACAGAGCCAGACCATTTTTCGAGCAATTTTTTTTTCGAGCAATTTTTGTTTCATTAGATTAGGAAGCGAGGATATTCATCTTGTAGAGGAGACTTTCAACTTTTAGATTTTTACAGCAAGCTTTTCGCTTTGCTAGTTCGGCTGTTTTCAGAAACAGGCTAAGAGTGGCTCTGTCAAGCTGGTTTATTTTTATAAGTGCCACTGCTTGCAATTCATATCCTGCCGGGGGCAACAGATGGCTGACCTTCTGCTTTCGCCACTGCCTGACTTGCTTGCTTACCCAATTTCGCACTTCTTGTTTTTTAGTTCCCTCAGTCACGCATGCACTTCCATCCCGCAACGCGCGCACGCGGGGAAAAATTGATAACTGAATCTGAAACTGAACGGATAGCGTGCTACATTTATTTTATATTGTTTTTTTCAGTACATGCCTCGCGACTGCGTTGCGCTGTTGTTTACGGCGGCAAACATGATAAAAAACGAAACCAAATGCAAATACACAGAGCAAAATCGCTCTCGTTGATTCTACTTTTGAACTTTTCCTAGGTCACAACGCGGAGTAGCCTGCAAAGTTGATCGACCAGCTCATTTCGTGCTCATTTCGTCGCTGTTCAGTCCTTTCGTCGCTTAGAACGGACACGGCTGCGGCTCGAATTTCATTTAGTCAGAAACCGTGGGGGCGGGGAGTCTCGAGAGGGTCCCTGGGCCTTGTGGAGTGGCCGTAATTAGCCCAATGACTTTGACCCCAGAAGTGCCGGCAAAATGAAGTTGGACCGTCGGCCTTTTCCTGCGCTCACTCGCACGCGGGCAGATGCGCCCCAATGCACCGTCGATCGACGCAAAAAGCCCCTACGCTAGATTTGAACAAAGAAAGAACTTCTACGCCGACCCGAAGCAGTTCAGGCTTTGTTTCGGGCTAGAGTTGTTGGCTCCGTGCTGAGCGGGATACGCAACGACTGCGCCCACCGTGTGCTTCCCGGGCCGCTGTGTGGAAGGGCAGCCAGGGCGTCCGCATGCCAGGCCGGGGAGCGAAAAGTGTATTTGCCCGCCCCAGCCTTGTTATTTTCCCACACAACGCAGCGGCACCAGCAGCCAGCGCCCTCCCCTGTTTGCGCGCGTGTCCTTGTATTGGTGGCAAGGTCTGGACAAGGTCACTTCTGGCTTGCGGAGTTTGGGACTCCTGGTTAGTTCTGCCTGCTGAGCTGACCAGGAACGGCGCGGCAGTAGTTCTAGGGTGGATTTATGGCATCTGCGGCAGGAACGCCGCCCCTCTACATCACCGACCTTCCGCCACAATAGCTGTAAGTGACTGATAGCTCAAGCAGGGTTTTAGGGTTCAACCCGTGGCGCTCCCGTCCGGCACGTGAACTTATTCTTATTTCGTTGGCCAAGTATAGATAAAACTTTCGGTGCTCTTCTCGGGGTTCATGGCCTCGATTTCCCTATCCCACCCAGTCAGCATGAGTATCAGGCCCGTGATTCGTATTGATGCGGGGGGAAGGCAAGTTCACTGTTAGCAACCTCCATTAGAGCTTAGCAAGCGTGGCCAAGAATAAAATTATGAAAAGCTCCAGCCGCGCCGTGCAAGTTCCGGAACGCCGCCACGCAGCCGAGCCGAGGCCGCTCTGATCTAGTAGTAAATACGCGGCGCGGACCCTTTCCGGACCTAGCCAACCGGGTCACTTCTGATGGCGCTCCGTGGTGGGCGGATAGGCATTGCGCTACTTCTCCGTGCGGCGAGAGCATGGCCAGCGCTCTTCTCTGTGAATGATGTTCGTCGTGGTGCCTTGTCATGCCTAGACTGCTAAATGGTTCCGTTCTCCGAGAAGTTTTGCGCTTTGAGCGTACGATCTGGATCGATTGCGCTACCTGCGCAAGTCGGCTAGCAGTGAACCGGCACCCACGGCCACTGACCGATTGACCTATTGCCAGCAAGTGGGGCACCTATGCAGTGGTGGCTAGCAGATCCGCCGCTTCCAGGTCTGGGTTGCTTCTGCATTGATCCGTTTCGGACCCCTTGGCCGTGTAGAGTAGATGTAGAACGCAGTGGGCAGAAGTTTCCCTCCACGCGTCGCGCCCGTTCTCGCTAGTAGGATTCGAGTTCTACTACCGTTTTCGCCACTTCCAGAATACAGACTGGCGTAGCAACACGAAAAGGATACAGCTCGATCCAGATGCTAAAGTGATCCGCACAGATTTATTTCTATTTCTGATTTTGCCTTGCAATGAGTCGGCTAGTATCCTCCTCTTTCATATTTGTCATTGTCTGTGCTTTGTAGGTACTTAAGTTGATGTCGGCTCTCCACCCAGTATTTTGCTTTTGGTGTTCTAAAATATATATATAAATACGTACTTCTTCGCGGGCACCGCACTCCGGGCAGTGGTTTGCTGAGCTGATTCCCGCGTGAGTCAAATTCAGAGTAAAAATTGGATAAAGATTTCACTATGTCCTCGCCTCTGACGCCAAATCCTTCTGGTTCGAAAGCGGCACAGAAATTATTAAAAAAAAAACCTTCACAATCACTTATGCACATTTTTGCAATACAAAAAAACTTTTGTCATGCGCAAAAATGCATCACAGTCAAGAGTTATAGGCGATTTCCTTTTGTGTTTTTGCAATATAAGAAAAATTTGTCACGCGAGACAAATTTCTGATGCGAGATTGTGGCGGTATTTTTTTCCTGGATAGGAATAGCTAGAGCTTTACTAATATTGACGCAAACGCAATCAAAACAATCAAACTATGTTACAACCCGCTTTTCCCCGGTCGTGATCAACATCGTGTGAATGTGTTGGTAGAACAAGTATCTATACATATACAAGAAATGGACCAATATGAGCGGGTGTTACTCCGCCTGGTGGGCACGGAGGACGAAGCTTTTTCTGGTGTATGCTACGTGTTGCTGCCGATGGTAATGAGAAAGCTTCTGGAGCCGCTCCCCGCAACAGACGCCACCCCCGGAGCGACGCAGAAGAAAGTGATCGATATTCTAAACCACGTGCTGCAGCGCGCAAAGGCCTGTCGGACGATTTTCCTGCCTTTTTTCGGAATATTGGACTTGATCACCACCGAGATGCGCGCGGAGCGCCAGGGTGTGCCAAGTGCAAACCCCACGGGCCGGCTCCTCTTCAAGAACCTCTCGATGATTTTCCTAGGCCTTGCGATCGAGCGGCTAGAGGAGCTAGCTAGCTCCAGCAATATCGAGGCAGAGGCAAGTAGATTGGAGCGCTCCAATTCTGGCCACGGTTTTCTGGCGGACCTGATCAAAATCAACAAGCTTCCTACCGCGGCAGCAACCTTTTTCAAGGCAACGCGGACCGCGAGGACCGTGGCGAGTGAGCTGATCAAAGAGTTTCACCTGTTCCCGCGTGCGCACCAGCCCCAGATCTTCCTGGCAGTGCTCCACGCATTCGCCTGCTTCTACCCGACCAACGTGGCTAGTTTGGTCTTTGGACTGACAAACCAGGCAAAGTCGGCCCTGCTAGAGATCGACGTCGTGGCACAACATCAGCAAGAATTGACTGGGGGCGAAACGGTTTGCGTATGCAACGAAACAAATGCTTTAATAAATACAGTTACACACGACTATGTTGCAGAAGTAGTCAGAGAGGCCAGCTCCGTCACGCGCAATGAGATGTACTACAGGACCCTATGCTGTTCATGCCTTTCATGTTGCATGTTATTTTCCCGTATGATCTATGAACTATGATCTCCGCACTACACCAGACCAAGACGCCGGGAACCGGGCGTCTGGGCCTGGATTACGCCCCCCTCGTCCAGGGGCGTGAGCCATCTACCACGCCATAGTACCATGCAGACCATACCTGTGATGTAGTAGTTGCTGAATCTGCAATATTCATTGTGCGTCGACTGTAGCACTTTTTTCCTCGGATAACCGGCCTCAAAACCATTCCACGCGACCTGCACCGAAGTAGAATCCCAGACCGCAGGGTTGCTCGCCTTTCTAACGACTGCCCGCGAGTTATCCTGAGTAAAAACGTAGCCACACCATAGTCAAGATGGGGAATCGGCTAGACAAATCCACAAGTTTTGGCTGTTTTGCATGACAAATTTGGATTCGTAGTGTAGTGCTGGTTGAGCTAGCTCTGCAGCATCACAGATCTAGCATACCATGCTGATTGGAGCTGCATGACAAATTGCAAAACACGACTAGAAAACGCTTCTCATGGGGCTCCGCATGAGAAACATTTTCAGCATGCAGATTTGCATTACAACTCTGGCATGGGTACGTTTTTACTCAGGATACGAGTTCTTCTTGATCCCGGGGAACGCTATTGAAACGAAGCCGCCGGCAATCGCAGGCATGTCGTCTATGAAATGCAAAGATGTTTCTTGGGTCTGGAAATTTGTGATGCTGAAGATTGGCTGTATCACGAGCACGTGGACACCTCCCTTTTTATCGCATAAGCGAGCCTGACACGGATTTGCGCTGCAAGATGTTGGCTGCTCCGCGTGGAAAGTAACTGTCGTGCCTCTGTATGACAGGAAGGGGCTTGGGCTTCTGGGCAACGTGGTGCATGTTCACACCAAGAGGGTTGAAGCAAAGTGATGGCGCCGCGCTCGCGGCAACGTGTTGGTGTTGTATGACAGAGTTCCAAGAGCACTACGCAGTCCAGTCCCGAACTACGACTACACATTTTCAATGCATAGGCTCTGCCTCGTGGCAAGTTTGGAAAACGAAAATCGAAAAACTTCCCCCCAAGGTGTCGTCCCTCGTTCACGCCAAGACGTTGTTCCTGCAGTTTTGGTATGCGTTGGAAATATGTCTGGTTTCGGAAGGAGGCAATCTTGTGATGCGGATTCTGATTCTCATGCTGGAAGTGGAACTACGAAGAAAACAAAATAATAAATCTTTGTTGCATACATAGCCAGTTATAAAAATGCGCGATTTTTGTCTCCCGGGCGGGGAGACACCTCCGGTCTTGTCAGCACCAGGACCCAGACATATTTCTTGCACTCGATATTTGCGACTCCAGCATCACGGCGCTCCTGGATTTGCGAGCTGTTCTTCCGACCACGGGGGCCGATGTTGCGGACACCAGTGCGGCGTCTGTAGATCGTCCGGCGGTAGGCACGAGTCAAAGTAAAGCAGACGAGGTCCTCTACAGTGCTGCTGCCGCGTCTCGCGACGAACCAGTTGAGAACAAGAAAGCGGAACAAGCTGGTGAGGACAGGGGGACAGAAGTTCCCGTGCAGCAGCAGACAACCCAGAATAAACCAACCCTGCTTGCAGATGGTGACCGCACAGGTGCTCTCCTTGCCCCGTCGTTGAGAACTAGTACGGGCGGCCCCGAGCAAGATCGTGATCAGGATTCTTTTGTGATGCACAACGCTGGTGGTAAAAACGCTGCCGCAGGAGCGGTCCTCGTGGCACCAAGTGCAGTGAACATTATCGATGTGGTGCATCATATCGTGAGAAAAAAAGGTTTCACTCTCACTGTAAGTAAGAATTTGTTTTGTTATTGTTCTTTTTGCAACTTTTGCATTACTAGTTCTTGAAACATGGCAAATTAAACTACACATATGAAGACCCTATCAAGACAAATGCGTCTGGGTCTGTCTCTGTGTTGCATTCTATGCATCACAAGTAAGTTCACCGTAAAACAGTTTTTTCTTCCGATACACCAGTGCTACCTGTGTTACCTGCTAGGCACCCTCGAGCCGTACGAGCAAGTGTCGACGAGGAGCGAGGCCTTGTGGAAGCGACTTGAGCACCGGATCGAGGGTGTCGAATGCAAATATGTCTGGGGCCGGAAAGTTGTAATGCTGGGCTGTGAATAGTGGATGGGATGCTCGGTACTGCACCGCCAAGCAAGCATAATGAGAAATATTCGCGCGGCTTTGCGTTGCTTTTTCCGCATGACAAGCTCTTTCTAAACGACAAGGGGGGTTCGTCTTTCTAAATGACAAGCTCTTTCTAAATGACAAGCTCTTTCTAAATGAGGACGACCACAGGGGGTTCGTCTCAATGAAATGAAATGACAAGGAAGATGATGGTCTCTTCTTGGACACGCATCACAAACTCTTCGTTTTCATACAGTCATACGCGACGAGCATGACAAACCTACTTGCATCCTTCCAGACCCAGACAGTATTTGCACCTGATAGAGAGCCTGGGCGAGCAATCGGTCTCGAAACTGCTACTCCAGCTGATCCGCGTCACCTCTCCGCAAGCGAGCTCCCGACTCAAAGCCCGCGCGTTGCAGATTCTGCAGCAACGAATCTTGCAGCTGCACCTGGACACACCTTTGCACGTCCTGCTCGACGTCGCACCCGCAACCGAAACAAGCGACGACCTGCACGCTCGGGTGCGGGGCCAGGTTGGAGTCCCGGGAGGAACTACGTCGGCGGCGCCCGCGCCCGACTATAATGCTGCACCAGCGGAAGTACAACAACACGCAACTACAATTTCCGCCGTGCGGCAGCAGGGGGACGAGCCGCAACTGGCGCAACACGCGGCCATTGCCGCTACGAGAACCTTGGTCTTGCGTGACGCTGTGGTGGCTTTCGTCCTCGAGTCTCTCGGTAGCACCGTGGTCACGGTCCGGGAGGCCGCTCTGAGCACCCTTCTCAACATTGCAGACGTCGTCTTCCCAAAGGCCGCTGCTACCGGGTCCCTTTCCTCGGACGAGGAGCAGTGGAGCGAAAGCTTCGCCGGGGACACTTCTGCCGTCGGCGTAGCGGGAGGGGACGGTGGATCGCAGTTGTTCCCAGGGCGACCACCAAAAGTCGAGGACGAGGATCATGAGGACCCGAGCAACAAGCGCGCATCGGAGCTGTTGCACCGCACACTCCTCGGCATCGAGCACACATACTTCCCGACGGCAATCGTCGACGCGAATCTTTCCACCGCGCTCCGGCTCGCCTTCCGCGCCTTCGGCCGTCTCACAAGGAAGCAAATCCGCAACAGCCAGGAGGCGTTGCGCGTAGCGCCGAAGCTGTTTGCTCTGCTGAACGCCAATCCGGACGCGAGCGAGGAGATACTCGAAGCGCTGAACGGAGTGCTGCTCTGGTTTGCGGAGTCCACGTATCAAAAGGAAAAATCCCCCCTCCCCATATCGAAACGAAGTTTCTGATGCTGGATTTCCGTACACAAATCAGATTTGTCTTGCAGTAGAGGACTGCAAGCATATGCCCAGCCTCAGTCGAGAGGTTTTGACGTAGGCGCCTAGCATGGCAAACGTGTATGCTCTAAGCCCAACAACATCACAAACCGCCTGCAAAATGCGGAACGATTTCTGGACTTGCCTTCATTCTTGCAAGACAGACAGGATTTGAGGTCACAAATGCGCATCACAAATTTTCAGACGGATCCGCTTTCGTTATGGGGAGGGGGGATTTTTCCTTACGATACCACGTCCATAAAGACGCGCGCGAAGGCGGAAGATCCACCGGAGCCGGTAGGACGCGGCGCCGAACATCAACTAGAGGGGGCCGCCCCCGCCTCCTCGGCCGCCCGGAGCGGGCACGACAGGATGGGTCGGCGTGCGGCTTTATCCGTCCTGCTCGACCCCCTGCTTTCCCAGAACCCGAAGCCGCTGATCCGGAAGGAGGCGCTGCGCTGGGTTCTCCACTTGTTCCCGCCGGAGTCAGCGGAGTACCGCTTTTACGCCATCTATGGGAGTGTCAGGATTGAAATCTACAAAGTTGAAATAGCTTGTAATGCATAAAATCGATACCAGTTGGAAGCCCAATTTCCAAGCAGCGCATGACAAATTTCGGCACCGTCTACATCCACTTTGTCATGCTGTTTAGGGACGACAGAAGGCGCCTTTTCCTTTTGTCATGCTACTTTAGCAGCTCTATCGCAGACCCCAAAGAAACAGGCTGACAGTCGGCCTCACTTACTTTCCATCCCTGCAAGAGAGGCACTCGCACTTCATGCCTTGCAATTTATGCATGAGGAATTATTTCAACTTTTTCGATTTCAATCCTGACACTTCCATACCGTCCAGCGATGCGGGGACCAGGACCCCTCGGTCGCCAGCATGGCCGCGAAAGCCTGCGACGCCAGCCGCAAGTGTCCCACCGTGAACGAGATGATGCGTTTTCTTCGTGAGGGAAGCATTCTGCTGCCGTCAGAACTGGCCAAGAAGTGGCCCGAGGTGCCACAGATTCCCAAACTGGAGAAGGGAAGCCTCGTATGGCTTGCAAATAGGTCTGGGTCTTGAAAGTTGGAACTTCTGATGCTAACTTCGGACTCCAAAAAAATTTGTATTGTATGACCAGCAAGAGGAGTCTAGCTTGTGCTTCGCGGGGAGGGCATTTGTCATGCGGAATATTAGGTATCTGGAAGCAATCAGAAGAGAGACAATCTGTGATGCTAGGGGATACATCACAGACGTCACGGGTCATGTAAAATCTGCATGACAAGTTGCAACCTTCCAGACCCAGACATATTTGCATTTGATACCGCGCCTTCCTCGTCGAATTCGTCGTCGCCCACTGCGTATGCCTTGCAAATATCCCTGGAGGTCTGGAAAGAGGAAGGGTTTGTCATGCTTGTCTGGCATGACTGAAGAGATTGTCATGCGTGTGGTCCAAGAGGAGACCGCTCTTTTGCTTGTCATGCAATAAAACGCAGTTTTTCATGCGGAAAGCGCAAGATTACGTCGCGCAAATAAGTTGTGCTTATTTCTCATGCTTGGCTGTGCATTACGATTACAGACGAGAATTCACTATTCACAACTCAACATTACATAGTTTTTAGTTTCCAGACATCCAGGGATATTTGCATTTGATACTGCGAGGCCGAGCCGTATCCAACAGAAAAGCTGCAGCAGGCGCATAGTTGTACTAGAAAATGAAAATTCATCGTGCATGTGTGTTGCTGCTTTATTTCGCCTGTCAGCGCCAAAATTTTTGTAAAAATAGATGCTGGGCCGCTGCAAGGAAGACACCACAAGAATTTTCCATCGTCCGATAATAGCACATGCACAGTCAGATGTAGAATGATAATGAATGAACGTGCTGTGGACCAGCATGACAAAGATGAAGATCGCTGCCCAAAAATAAAAAATGTGTCCTCTTTACCTTTGGGCATCGACCAGCCAGCAGTGGATTTCGTGTTGCGGCGCAAAAAGCAGAATGAATGACAATTTCACTTTTTCTCTGGTACTTATAGGCGTCACGTGCGTTTCTGTGCTATAAGCCTTCAACAACCACGTTTGATATGGCTGCAGATGATGGAGTGCTGGGAGCAGCGAGACCTGTCGACGCCGCCGAGCAGGACGGAGAGAGCACCTCCTCGTGCAAAAGTGGAAGCAAGACCACACTGAAACGCCCCCGTGCGGACTCAGTCGTGAACACGGCCGACCACGTCGTTGCTGGAGCTCCTGCCCGCCCCGGCGCACTAGAAGGTGCCACACAACTCGAAAGAGCTCCCGAAGCTGCAGGAATTGCAGGCGCTGATGCGCCACGGGCGGCCCGTCCTCAGCACCAAAAAAAGTCCGTGGTCTCCGTGCAGGATGCCAAAGTGCTGCTTTCCCTGGCCGATGCCTCGAGCTCGTTGAAAGCCTATCGGCTCCTCTGGGAGTTGGCGCAACACGACTTGCATCGGGAATTCGCTGAACGTGTGGAATTCTTCGCAAACAAGGCTTTCCTCTCCGACAACGCGCTGGACTGGGCCCACTTTCTACAGGATATCCTAGACAAGTACGATTCACCTGCTCCTGTCGAGGTTTCTGCTCAAGTCGGTCCTCCTGCTCGCGCTGCAGTCGAACCTGAGCTGCAGCTCTTCGGAACCGACCAGCTAGAAGCGGCGCAGGAGCTCGCTGCTAAGCGGAAGACGCTGTTAGCAGAACTGTATGGCCGCTACTACGGACGAGACGAACTACTAAAAACGCCGAGCTATGCATTGCAAATATCGATCTGGCTCTGCAACGATAGTACTAGACTTGTCATGCTGACCTCCTCCCATGCTCCCGCGAATCCTCCATGCTGCGCTCCTCCCATCCTCTGTCATCCGCATCGCGAAGTAGCAGTGCTCCTTTGTAGTGATGTAAAAACGCAATTTGTCGTGCGCGTTGCATATTCCTCGCTCAAAAATTTGTGATGCTTGGCTGCGTACTGCGGTCAGTTTCTTTCGGATTCGCGACATGGTAGCAAGACAGCTTTCAAGAAGACCCAGGTATTATATTTGCATTCGATACGAGCGGTCTGTCAGCTACAACTTCGCGCGCCGCCGCGGCTCCAGCGCCCTCCTCCGACGATTTCCTGGGCGACACCGTGCTCCTTCTCCTGGCTGTCCTCTATCATGAGGGAAATAATGCCTCCTCCCTTCTATGTGGAAAACGTACAAAAAGCGTGATTTGTGTTCCCTGTTCGTGTGCTCACGCAAATCCAAATGTTATGTTGTCCTCTGTCTTGCATAAAATTCGGCAAGGAAGGCCTGCTGGACAGGCAATCATCTGTAAAAATGCGGTTAAGCCTACAGAACAGTAGGAAGGTCTACCGTTCTGAAGAAGTGCTAGACCACATCTAGAAAGAACCTAACGAGGCTTGGAATGCGTCTACTATATTTTCCCTTGATGCAAGAGATGGTGCAAGAATTTGTGTACAGGCATAGATGATGCAGCATCAGAAATTCCCGTTTGGGGAAGGGGGGATTTTCATCTGAACATCCTCGTGGTTCCCGTTTCAGGAAGCCAAGCCACGGTGACGGAGCGCGACACTGTGCCCACGGGCCAGAAGATTTTGGACAAGCTTGCGGCCTCGAGCCTTGACTCAACCCGGAAGCTCGAGGCGTATGAAAGCCTCAGGTTGGAAATTCTCAAAGTGAAAATAAATTTGTAATGCAAAAAAACGACTCCAGTTGAAGCACCATTTCTAGTCGGCGCATGACAAATTTTCCTGGCACTCAAGTCTTCGTGTCTGTCATGCTAGTTAGGCAAAGGTGTGCCGTTCTCTCGTGCTAATCTATCAGCAGCCCAATTCTACTGAACCCGTAGAAGCACAGTAGTCGGCCTCCGTAGTTGCGTTCTCTGCAATACAGTCTTTTTGGTGTCGCATTTTATGCAATTACATACAAATTATTTTCACTCTGAGAATTTCCATTCTGAGGCTCTCATAAGGCGGCCACCGTACTGGTAAGGAAACTCGGCAGGGACACAGTGCTCCAGGCCCTGTCGAAGAAGATGATAGACCCAATCCCGGCCTCATCTACGAGTAGTGGCGCGGCAGGGTCGACTATGAAAGTGCACAAGAATTCCCCCTCCCCCTCATTTGTCATGCAAAACCCCAAATACAGGCTGTGCCTCTTGGCACTGTTTGCATGACAAGTTCTGGTAGCCCAAACAGCACTAGACTCTAGCGTACATTTGTCATGCAAAACCGGCATTCGTCTTGCGCTTGCCCGATGCTTGTATTGCCGTTCATGCTATACAAATGATGGGCAGGGGGAGTTGTGCATTGTCATATCGACGAGGACGACCAAGAGTGTGATTCCGGACGACAAGCTGGCCATCGGTCTATCGAGAGGAAAAATCCCCCCTCCCCATATCAAAACGAAATTTCTGATGCTGGATTTGGATACACAAATCAGATTTGTGTTGCACAAAGGCATGGCGGCCAGATCCGCAGGCTAGCTGAGGGCGTATGGGTCTAGTTGCTCAGCATGGCAAACGGCCTCCCTTTAGGCCCAACGGCATGACAAATCGCCTCCATAATGTGGCGGAAGCTTCTGCCCTTGTCTTCTTGCAAGACAGATGTGATTTGTGACCTCAAATCAGCAACACAAGGCATACCTTTTCAATATGGGGAGGGAGAATCTTTCCTCTCAATACGGTCCGGCAGGGAGCTTCCGCGACGCCTTCGCCTTCGGTGCTGTGCGCTTCCTCGCTGTCTGTGGCGACGTGGAGCGGGTTATGACAGTGCACAACTCCCCCTCTTCGTCCCCCTCATTTGTCATGCAAAATATCCAATTCACCCTTTGCCTCTTGGCCCTGTTTGCATGACAAATTCTGGTACTAGCCCAAATAGCACTATACAACTCCAGTGCAAGTTTGTCATGCAAAACCAGCATCCTTGCTGGTGCTTGTATTGTCGTTCATGCGATACAAATGAGGGGGAGGGGGAGTTGAGAACTGTTATACGGGTGCTGGAGATTAGCCAGCGCGACCATTGGCGCGACCGCGACGACGCGGTCTGCGTCGTCGCCCTTGCGCTCGTGCTGGATGCGGGGCTGGACATCTCGACAATTTTGTCGCACATGGGCGAGGGCGAGGCAGGTGATAATATACTTCCAAAGGGCCAACAAGAACCTCCTCCGCATCAACAGAGCGGCACTACAGCAGCTGACAGTACAACTTCTACAGCACCTACAACAACGTCTGGCACGAATGATAAAATCACGACATCGGACATCCATCAAAAGGGGGTCTCTGTAGTGCCCCTGAGGCATGGCGTCGTCTGGCTTCTGTGCCGGCTGAAGCACGAGCAAGAGAAGTTGCATGGCTCCTTTTTCTCTACTAGTGCCTCACGTCAGACTTCCGCCTCTACTCCAGATCCCGGCTTGTTAAACGAGGCCACCGTGGAACTGCTGGCCCGCATTTTCGTCCGGGGTCTGCACCTGCCCGTCGCGAACCTGTTTGTGGCGGATGCGGCAGCGAAAGGCCTTGTCCGGCTATTCGCACTCACGTTCAAGAACGACACGACAAATCAGGCTCGTCCTGGACGACGTGCTGCTGCTGCCAGCAGTACTACTTGCCTCACAAAAACTTCCGCTTCCCCACCTGTCGAGCCAGGTGGTGAACTCGAAGGAGATGCAGGGACTGGCCCTGCTGCTCCTGCGGGCAGCACCTCGCTGGTTGTCAAAACCATTTTCGCCTCCGTGCAGCAGCGGACACACAACGAGAGCGCCCTGGTCGCCAAGGAGGAGGACTCCGTGCTTGCGAAATCCAAAGACAGTGCCGTTCTCGCGGCGCGGGAAAGGCAGAATGAACTGAAGGAGATGCTGTTTCTCTGCCGGCAGCTGGGAAACTTGAACTTCATCATTGCGTGCTTGGACCAGCCCACGGGCAGCTCCGTCGCGCTCGCGAGCATGGCCGCGATGCATGAGGACGCTGCGAGTTCACGGCTCGCGGAGGTCGCCAAGAAGCTCATGAACCCGAATAGCACTTTATCAAATGTAAAAATGTCTGGGTCTGGAAGAATGCGCGATTTGTCATGCAGCTTTTCCATGACCCATGAGGTCTGGAATGCAGGACCTAGCATGACAGATTCTGTGCGATCTTTCTCATGCCTATCCTGCATGAGAAACTACCTCCCGACTTGGTCAAAATTGGGCGACTTTTGGCAATCATGCAACACAGATTTTTGCATGCTGCAGATTTAGCATGACAAGTTGCAATCTTCCAGACCCAGACATTTTTACAGTTGATACACTTCCGCTATGAGCAACGGCTCGAGTTCCACCGGTCCGCAGCTCGCCGGCGTATTGACAACCCTGAACGCGCTGATGAGCATGTCCGAGAAGGACCAGCAGCGCCTGGCGGACCTGATGGATCCGCAGAAGCGCAAGGAGGCGGAGGAAAAGCAAGAAGCGGAGAAGCGCGCCCGCGTGGCCCAGGAGGCCAGCGTGAGCCAGCTCAAGAAGCAGCAACAGACGGCGTCGGTGGCCGGGTCGGGGTTCTTCGACGCGCTGACCATCCAGGCCGCCGACGTACGGTCCCTGGCGCTCCCGGCGCACCTTCGCGCGGCGGTAGCCGAGAAAAGGCTGGTGCTGCACCAGTTTCCGCCGTACTTCTTCCACAGTAACGGAAAGCTCCGGGAAGTCATCGTTTCGATATCATACGTAAAAACGACCCCACCCCGTAGTCAAGCTGGGAACTCTGCCAGTACATAAACGACCCCAAACACGCCGTACTTTAGTCAAGTTGGGAACTTAGCAACACAAACCCAGAAGCTTTCGGAGCAACGCATGACAAATTCCAGTCCGTAGTGTAGTGCAGTTTAGCAAGAGCAGCCGCACGACAAATCCATCTGCTCATCCCGTTTACAGCATCACAAATTCCAAAACGCAATTGGAAATGCCTCTCAACATGGAGATGCGCATTACAAGAGATGCGCATTACAAATCTTCCTGTGGTCGCAAATCTGCATGACAACTATGGGGTGGGAGAGTCTTTACTCAGGATATTCGATCTCCCTGAACTACTTCGGGATCGAGCGCGTGCAGGACATCGGTCCCTGGCCCATATGCACTGCAAATATGTCTGGGTCTGGAAACTTGTGATGCTGAGTTGCGTACCATGAGCATCATGAGGAGGCCACAACTCTTGATGGCTCAGCATGAAAAGTTTCTGAGCTTCTACTTCTAGGTACTATTGCCTACTCTGCATGACAAACTTCTGCGTTTCTGCATCACACAAAAATGGCGGCTTTAGGTAAAAGCGTGCGTGACAGACTCGAGAGTTATCTTGCTAGCCGAGCAAGACAAGTAGTCCCGCATTCTTCCAAAACGCCAGACAGATTTGCACTGGATAGCTCAAGGTGTACCGCAACCTTGTGCGGATCGGGTTGAGCCCATCGGTGTCTCGCGTGAGTTTACGGGAAGCCAGCTGCCGGTGCCTGACGCAATTGCTACGGTCGGGCAGACGCTGGAGGGAGCTGGAACCCGAGTGGCAGGCCCTTTGGGAGGCGGTGATCCAAGTCACCGACGACCTCGAACCGAAAATCGAGGCCGTCGCCGGCCCACTATCACGCACTCTGCGATCCCTGACCATCCGTCTCTGCAACAGCTCCGGCCAACTGGCGTCGCAGCGCTTTGACGCCCCGCCGGGGTATTACACTAAAAAGTCCCCCCCCGATCCCGGAAGCGGGAAAAAATAATGTTTGTGTATACATAACAAGATTTTTAAATGCGAAACTCTTTCGGTCTTTTCCTCTGAGCTACGAGTAGTCTTTCTACTGCAGGAGAACCTTCTATGCGTATAATTTCACAAGGATCGCTTGCATGACAAGTGCCGCGCTTGCTGGGCCTGGAGTCTTTTGCAGTACAAATTTTTGCTATTCACCATTGAAAATCTGCGACGCTGATACATGAAAGAGGGCGAGCGTTCCCATAATTGGGAACTGGAACAAGCTTTGCCATACAAAAACAAACGCTTCCACGTTCTGGGGTCGTGGCGGCACTTATTTTCCATATTTATACGAGGAACCAGCTATTTTCTCAGGGCGCAGCGAACGCCACCAGTAGTACTGGCGTTGCGGCGAGTGGTTCTTCCTCCGGAGCACCTGCAGCGCACCACCAGCGCCAACAGTACATTGGCTCCGCGGAAGTGCAGGCGGCTCTGTCGAAAACACTCCCCATGCTGCTGCAGTTCCTGCACCTGTACCCGCACGCCCGGTCCCTGTGCTTCGATGTGATCCACGAGGTCGCGCAACTCACGGCCAACGCGTCGTTGTTGAAGCCCTTTCTGCTGGAGCTGGTGCCGCTTCTTCTGGAATCACTGAACGCACTGGAGCACCGCAAGGTCGCGGAGTACCAATGGGACTTCAACCGGGCAGGCGCCGGCGAGAAATACGAACAAGCCCGCATCGCGGCGTCCAAAGACTCACCCAGCTTCCGGCTGCTGCGGCGCCTGGTGCCCAGTTTCGACCGGCCCGCCCTGTTGGAGCTGTCCGGGACGCTGCGGAAGTTAATGCGGCAGGGGGTGGGCTCCAACACGAGGTGCGGGGTCTGCGATTTCTACTCCATGCTGGCCGCGGAGATGTACCGTGAGGAAAAATCCCCCCTCCCCATATTGAAAACGTATGCTCCTAAAAATTTGTGATGCTGATTTGTGGCCACAAATCCTGTCTCTCTTGCAAGGAGGCAAATCCAAAGAATTCGCAGCCTTAGGGAGGCGATTTGTGATGCTGTTTCACGTACATGGCAGGCCTCTGTCATGCTCAGCGCCTAAGTACAACAAAACACCCCTACGCAGGCTGCGGCTTTGCTTGTAGTGCCTCACTGCAAGACAGGGCTGATTTGTGTACACAAATCCAGCAACAGAGGTTTCCGCTTCAATATGGAAAGGGGGGATTTTTCACTTTGATAAGATGCCGCATGTGTTCTCGCAGCCGATCGCGTTGCAGACTTTGCGGGCCATTGCGAGCTCGCTGGTGGACGAAAGCATCGCGGTCAAGTCCGCAGCAGCGTTATTGTGACGAAAAATCCCCCGCCCACCCCATGTCGAAAAGTAGAATAAGTTTTGTGATGCTAGATTTGCATACACAACTCGGACTGTATTGCTAGAAGAAGGCCAAGAGACGCAGCTGCGGCCTCGTTTGCGCACCATTTCTCTACTCGATGTGTCCCTCTACTTCCAGTTGCTTCCTGTCATGCTGAAGGCGCAAGGCTTTGGCTTTGTTTCCCACGCCGGCCAGCACTCCAGTCCACATGTCTCTTCCGTTCTAGCTGGCATGACGACGTGACTTGCGATTTTTGCAAATCGTGCTACACCAGTCCTCCTCTGAGTATGGGATGAAGGAGGGACTTTTCGTTGCAATACGCGTCCGCGTTTGCGAGTATCGCCAAACGGGTCGACGACAAGACGAGCCTGGCAGAAATCATCGAGAAAAAGTATCAGAATGAAAAATGCCCCCACCCCCGAACTTGAAAGCATTTGTATTGCAAACCTTTCCAAATGAAACATTCGCCCTCTTGCACCTATCAGCATCACAGGTTTCCAATCGTGAATAGCGAAAATTTGTATTGCAAAAGACCCCAGCAAGAGCGGCGCTTGTCATGCAAGCGATGCGATACACGCCTAGACTCTGCATCAGAAAGATTCATACTCCTTTCATGCATGACAAAAAGGTTTCATTTGGAAACTTCGCATCACAAATTTTTGCAATTTGAGGGGTGGGGGGCACTTTTCACTGTAATAAAAAGCTGCTGCCCGGAGCAGCAGACTTTAATGATGATGTTGAAGACGTGAATGTGGACGACGCGGCGCGAGGAGTAGGACTACCAACGCTATCAAGTGCAAAAATGTCTGGGTCTGGAAGAATACAAACTTGTGATGCGCATTCCAGAACACAGGAAAATCTCTCATGCATAGGCAGCAAAAGTTGCCCACTTTCTGTCACCAAAATGCGACTTGTCATGCGGATTCGGCATTGCGGACGCTTCTCGAATCCTGTGATGCTAGAGCTTCCATGCCAGACCTTCTGCGTCATGCAAAAACAGCATGACTCTTCCAGACCGAGACACTTTTGCATTTTATAAACGCCCAAAAAAGGCCAAGCGGAGCCTGCTGTTGAAGTGGAGCCGGGGACGAAACAGGTGTCGACAGTTCTCCGCCTAGACGAGGGCGGCCGAGCAGGAGAGAACCCGAAAGAGGTCCGCGGTGAAGTAGAAGTAGATGTCGCAATGTCACTGGACCAACGCGGGCCGGGCAGTGGTATGATGGGAACAAAAAATCCTCCCCATATTGAAAAGCCTTACTTACTTCTGAAAATTTGTGATGCTATGGCTAATTTCTGGCCACAGACCGTGCCTGTCTTGCAAAGGGGCAATTCCAGAGAGTCCGCCTCAGTACGCCGGCGGTTTAGAATTATGCAGTCGCGCCCATAGGGCAGGCCCCTGCTATAATGCAGCTATGGGCCTACGCGACTAAAACACCCCTTCGCAGCCTTAGCTTCTACCTGCGGTCGTGCCATACTGCACACAAATGATCCAGCAGCAGAAAGCCGCGCTTCAATATGGGACATCAGCGGGGGGATGATTTTTCATTTTGATAAGTGAGCACCGATCTTTGCTAAAGACCTCGGCATCCGACCTCGGGTTTCTCACCACCTCGTATCCTGATGAAAAACGTCCCCACACCAGAGTCAAGATGGGAAACCTGCTAGACAGATCAGCCAGCCTTGGTTGTCTGGCATGACAAGTTTCTTGTCCTCGTCGTGTAGTCCTGTTTAGCTAGTTCAGAAGCATCACAGATCTAACATGGCATGCTGATTATAGCATCACAAATTCAAAAACACGAATAGAAAACGTTTCAAATAGGGCTCCGCATGAGAAACTTTTTTGGCGTGCAGAATTGCATGACAGCTCTGGGGTGGGGACGTTTTTACTCAGAATACCTCGGCAAAGGCTTTGTCCGAGATCCACCTATCAACTGCAAATATGTCTGGGTCTGGAAAGTTGTGATGCTGTCTGGCCAATCATGTGGACGTCTGCATTGACAGCCAAGCATGACAAGTTTTGGAGTTGCTATAGTCTTGTCTATCTGCATGACAAGCTGCGTTTCTGCATGACAGAGAAGTGTGGCTTTTGGGTGGCGCGCATGACAGACTTGATAGCCATGCCAGACTAGCACGACAAATCTCGCAATCCCCCAGACCCAGACACTTTTACTTTTGATACCACCGCCGAGGGTGCGATTTGCGTTCGCTCCAATTGCGCGACCGCCTGTGCAGCCAGTGCTTTTTTCACCAGTTCCACGCGGTGGACCGGGTCAAGCAAGAATGGACCGCATTGTGGCTGGAACTGGGCTTTTCTGTCCGGCAAGCCCTTACTCTCGAGCCCGTCGTCACCGTTTTAGCCCGCGCGCTGCAATCGCAGGACCGCGCAACGCGGATGCAGGCCTGTCGCGCCGCGGTACAACTCTCGCAAGACCTTCTCGCAGGTCGTACCACCACTGGTTCAGGAGACGAGGACGCGAATAAGGACCTGCAGCGGCTGGCAGCGGCGCTGGCGAAATACGAGAGACATGCAACCCCCCCCTCGGTCGTCATGGTCATCGTCGCCTTTAATATTATTGGTAAATTATTTTTTCGCATGCAAAGATGCAATTCCAGGGCAGTACTACCTAGCCTTCTAACTAGCTGCGTCGTCTTGCATAGCACTACAGGCCGTACCTGGATCTATTTTTGTCATGCAAACGCTACAATTCTATCCTTGTCGCGATTGCCGCGCATCACGTCCTGCAAAGGGAAGGGGAGTTGTGCACTGTGATACGAAAAGTGTGGAAACCTACAAGCTCGCGTACGTCGGGGCAAGTGTGGTATTGCGCGCCCTGGTCACGCTGCTGATGCACCTAAATGTAGGAACAAATATGACATTCACCGGCGCAAGAAGCGCAGATGAAGCGGCGGGCGACAAGGACCACGAAGTGGGAGGTGAGGACTCAACGTTTCTTGCAAAAACCGCTTCTTCCCCTGGTGCTCTTGGCACGCGGCAGGTGCAGGCCTGCGTGGAGATGGTGAGGTCGACGCGCGTGGAGGATACCGATCGCGCGGAAGCGCTGTGCATTCTGACCGACATGGTCGCGAAACTGGGGCGCGGCATCGCACGGGAGATTCCCGTGGCCGATCTGTACAGGTGGATCGAAACCAAGCTGGACCAGAAAGAGTATGGTGTTCTCAAACGTTACATTCTCAACTGTAACATGAATCTGTAATGCAAGAATGGCAAAAGCCAAAGGGGGAAGATTGCAAAACTTGCATTACAAATGCCACGCTGATTTAGGTGGTGTTTAGCCCTTCGCAAATTTGTCATGCGAAGCAGCTTGATCTTGTTGATGATGATGGTAGTTTTGCATCACAAACTCACGTAACAGTTGAGAATGTAACGTTTGAGAACTCCATAAAGAAGTCGAGCTCCGCCAGGAAGCAGAGAAGGACTTTGCCTTCGTGGCGAAAGTTCGTGGACGCGGCCCGGCCGAGAAGCTGCTTTCGCCGGTTTTCGATCTCTGGGCCGCGGTCCTGGACGGCCAAGACGTATCAAATGTAAAAATGTCTGGGTCTGGAAGAATCTAAACTTGTGACGCTGTCTCTTGATTCGAAAAGGATTTGTATTGCATGACCAGTAAGAGGAGTAGATTTTGTGCTCCGCGGAGAGGGCATTTGTCATGCGGAATGGGCATCAAGAATCCCTCCAAAGCCCTGTGATGCTAGGGCATGCATTACAGGCATAATGGGTCATGAGAAATATGCATGACAAATCGCGCACTCTTCCAGACCAAGACATTTTTACATTTGATAAGACGGGGGAGGTGACGATTCTTATACGGTTGCACGACCACCAGGAGTTGCATTTTTATGCATTCTTGAAAATGTCGATCTCAATCTGGAAAGATGCACACTTGTCTTCATGCGCATTTCTGATTTTTGCGAAGAAAATCTCTTCAATGCATAAACAGCACAATAAGGTACTACCCAAATATTGGCACTTCATTCTATCGAGCAAAGAGAAGATTACATGTTCTCTCGCTGCAAAAAATTGATGTTCTCAAAGCCTGTGAAGATGCCAGTAGGGCTCCTGCATACCACGTGACCTTCAGCGTCGTGCGAAATGAGCACCCGACCTCGACCAAGAAAAGCTGCACTATTCTTCCAGAGCCAGACACGACATTTGCATTTGATCAGTACCGGCACCACGACCTGCCGGGGGGACCACGGGGCCGCCTGCCGCAAGGACGACGCAGCAACTGCTCGGCCGCTATCTCCAAGCGTGGCTTCGCGAATACGCACACGCCACCGGGACTCTGCGCGTGGCGATGCTGCGCGCGCTGCGGCGTATCCTGCTCAAGCATTTCTCAACAGTCCGCGTCGGGGGCGGAGTAGATGTTCATACAACTGGTGCCAACGTGGACCACAACGCCGCAGCTGCCACTGCCCGTTTTTTCGAAAGCGATTTTTACGGCGAAATGGTTCCAAGCAGTGGAGCAGGACAAGGCATCATGACCACGCCGTCGAGTGGAACAAGAACGACCGGCAGAGACCTGCTTCTCCAAGTTGCAAAGATCGCCCTCAACACCGTCAACGAAGATTGGTCGAGAATCCGACGCGCGGGCCTGATCCTGCTCGCCGCCTTCGTTCGAGTAGACGTAGACCAGTTGTTGCGGACCTGTGTGCAGTTGGAAGAGTTGGAAGCGTTCTTGCTCACGCTCGAGCACGCTGAGACAAACAACCTGGACGAGGCGCTTCACGAGGATCTTGAAGAAAGACAGGCACTGCAAACTTTGAACGCGTTCAGAAATATGCATTGCAAATATCGATCTGGGTCCGGAACGAAGAGTGCAGGTTTGATTTGGCATGCTTGTCTCACATGACAGTTGGATCTGTCATGCGTGAGCACGCAAAAAGCCTCTTGCCTGTCATGCAAAAGTGCAGTTTTTGCCAAACAGAAAGCGAAACACAAAGATGCCCAGAAACTCTTCGGGCGTGGCTGCGTATCGCGATAGGGTCAGCATTCACGGACTAGCAGCCCAATTTTCCAGATACAGACATATTTGCAATTAATAAGAAATGAACTTCGCGGATAAGATCAACATCCAACTAAATGAAACGAAGGCCAGCTCCAAAAGAAGAAGAACGCCCTTAGCACTTCACTTTCCCAAAAAATAAATGCACGACAAAACAGAGATCTGACGGCTCCACTCCTTTTTTTTTCAGACTGAGTAATATTACCAGCCGGACAACTATAACCACAGAGTCAACGCCTTGGCATCAATTGTGATGAATGTCGCGAAGAGTCATGATTGACATCGTTGCTGCTGCAACGAACAGCGGAGGAATTTGAGTCAGAAAAATCTAAGACGAATATTGATATCGATCCCAAAGAACAATGATCACCGGATCCGCTTTTTTCTTCCGAAGCCGATCGATCATTGAAGGATTGCGGATATTGATTGTTGGTGGATTCTTTGTCTTTCGATTTTGTCGATGAAAATTCCAGAACTTGTGGCTCTCTCTGTCCGTCACAACCGAAAAAAAAAATCGCTAAAGTTATCGGATCGATTCTTCCGGATCAAGCGGATATGTACCAGATTCCTCGATAAGATTCTGGTCGATGAAATTCATTTCATTTCCATAATTCAATCTTGATTGAGATTCTGTCCAAGGAAGAGAAAATGGAAAAAAGAATGACAGAGAATCTGAGTCGGAAAAAAGAATGACAGAGAATCTGAGTCAAAATTCTTCATCCATTTCGAATGATAATTCTAGTCGTTGGATTCGTGAATCATGGATCAGTTTTCTGAAAAAAATTGTTATAGATTTATTTCATCCCATATCTGATATTGATTCAGATCAGGAAAAGAATAAATAGATTCAAGGATAATTGGAGTCCAGGTTCTGGATTGATGCCGACACACAAATATTAATTTTTAAAAATTTTATTTCTCATGATGGGAGTCTGGATATTTCCCTCAAGAAATTCCGATAAAATCGGAAAAAGAATATCTGAAAATCTCTGAAAAATATTCTTGAGAAATTTTGCAAGAATTTTCGTCCGATCGTCTCGTCACAATCGAGTCAGGTCGGGTTTCGAAGTTTTTTGGAAATTTTTCGGTCATGTTTCGAAATTTTCGAAATTTTATTTTTCTAAGTTTTTCATGGGTCTGTAAATTTTCCAAATATGAAATCATGGAAAATCGGAAACACAAATATGATTGAAATCCGATCGGATATATTCTACAGAATTTATATCGTTATTATTTTTCTATAATTTCTCAAGCAATTTCATTTCCAAAAAAATCTCCTAAAATGAAACAAAAGAAACAATGAGATCGAAAATGATATGAGAATGATATTGGATAATCTCGGATGGGATTAAAGAGATTGACAATCTAAATCATTCATCATCTCATGATTCATCGATCTGAATCAATCCTCGATATTCTCATGATGAGATGGTATGGAGATCAATCCTCTTTTTTTTTCGTTAAAAATTCTATTTCTCTTCCATCGATTCATTCTTCCGATATTCATGTCTATTCGAGAGAGAGATAGGGAGGATAATTCTTGCGATATTATCAACAGATAGAATTCATTTCATTTCGTCCATTCTGACATATATCCACTCCAATTTTTATTTTCATATCGACGAAAAATTTCTTTCTTTCTGGTCATGTCTGGGCATGACTCAAATTGTCTCATAGGCCCAATCCGAGATTATCCATCTTTGTTTCCATCTTCATTTCTCTTTCTCTCAAAAGATAAAACTTTTCGTCGATTTTATCTTTCTCTCAAAAGATAAAATCGACGAAAAATTTCTATCATCAATCATTCTTGATTCTCTCTGTCTCATACAAATTTATGACACAATCTATATTTCGACAACGAGAAAGAATGAATCATTGCCGAAATTTTTGGAAACGAAAAATCAACATGAGAACAACATTATTCTTATTATGGATTGAGATTTTTTTTGATTCATCAATATATTCCAATGTTGATAATGGAGAACCCAAAAATTTTTTTCGAATAACCTTACTCCCAACCCATCCTGAAGATTTGATATTTCGAAAAACATATATTCTTGCCTATCTCTCCAAAAGAATGATGTGAAGATTAAGAGAATCAAATCAAACATACGGAACATTTTCACCTCTCATCTGAAGATCTGTGAATTATTTGTGCCCACTCTCCTGCACCGACAATACCCACACCAACGAACTAGAATGGTTGGACAGACCGATCGATAATAATGACCATGACCGGATGTCGGGCTCTACCCCACATGGATGCATGGAATGAATGAGGTCATGGATGCGTGAACCCATCAAAAATCTCCAATACATTCAGTGATTGGATATCCGAAGCCACAGAAAGATCACTATGAATGGAATCTCGATCAATCTCGAAATCTCATACGGTGGAGCTCGCTACCTCATTTGGAGGCAGCGACTGTCTAAGCGAAGCACTAACGCGCTCGCATCAGAACTATGAGTGAGAGGCACCCGGGCGATAGCTACGGCGCGCGGCCCGGCATGATTGCGCCGGCGTTTGCGCCGCAAGAAGAGCGCGCTAACGCGCACCCAACCGGGCCCTGCAGGGCACTGGGGGCACCAAGGAAGCTAGCGCATTGGGCGATCGGCCACGCGAGCATGGGTGCGACCCCCCTTGTGGCAACGGCAACGGGGGAACATCAATTTCGAAATGAAACCTAAAACAGACTATGGAAGTGCATCGTTGAATCCGGACACCCATCCACACATATACGATCATCCGAACCTCCTACATTAGAATCATTTTCCTTTTCGTTCGTTTGATTTCGCAATTGGAATTGGTACGCTCGCCCACACGCCGACAAATAATACGGCTGAGTGATAGATCAAGATTTCCCGCCGATAAGTCCGCTCACCACCCACAGCCTGACAGACATACGACCTTGCAGCAGGGTGTTGCCAGGAGGATTCAATCCATCCATCGGCATTGCTTTCACATGAGAAGATGGAAAAGCATTCCAATGCTATCTGATATGTTGAGTCGCTCTGTGAGGAGCGAGAGATCGCTCGGCCTTTCGAACAAAAATTGAAAAATATCTGCTGATCATGTTTTTAAGAAAATATGGCGCCGCGGTTACGGAAGAGAGGTCCGTCCCGAGCACCTACAGCAGATAGCTGTCGTTCTGCCGTGTTGGAACGACAGCGACGAAGTTCATCTACTCATAGTCGGGAAGAAGCCCAGTGGTGACCAGCATCAATCATTATATTCGGCGCTACTCAGCAACTCCAGGGATGACATATTATTCGTCTTGCGCGCCCGCGCACATGATCAGGTACAACCGCCAGCCTCCCCACGACGACCGTGTGCACCAAGTGCTTGTGAACGCGCATCTACCCCAGGGAAGCCGCTAAAATCCCCCTAGCGGAAGAGGGAGCCCACAGAAAAAGCCACGGAAAAAGAATCGCACGAAGACTATCTAGAAGATACACAAGTCACGCACGTACGACCATTCCCAATGTGCAAGTTTCAAAATAGTTTGAGATCGTTTCCAATGAAGAGGCATGCACCGAAGATAACGAAGAATGTTGCTACGATGTAGCTACATCCGAAAATTACGAAAAGAAGAATCTGTGACGGTGCGGGGTCACGGCAACTTTAGTATTATGTCTTGAGCGAGGGACGAGTTCCGATAAGTAAAATCCAGAAGCACGGGACCCACTTTCGAACACAATTACCGCACGTCCTCCGGGCAACTCACGGTGGTGGCGAATGCCTGCCGCGATGCTGTGTAGCTCGCAGCATTTTCTGCTCGCTGGCGTTTGATTTGCTTTATCAGTGGTTGACAAAAAATCTAGCGTAAATGGGTGCTTTGATTCATCAGTGCAGAGGTCCGCAACTCTTCATGGGGCATCGCAGTTCGTGCTTGTTCACGCTTCCCGCGTTGCCACGGAAAAACGATTCCTTTAACAACCGTCGACCGAGATGTCATGTTTGGAGTATTTTTGTGTGGACTTGTTCAACATCTGTGTGAAGGAATTAAAAAATTGTTTTTTCATTCCTGCGCCAACTCGCCAAGAACCACGACTACACCAGAAGACTGGGACCCGATGATCGTTGATGACAGCCAAGAAAGACTTGTTTATCTTCCTCCTTACTTCTTCTTCTTCTCCAGCTTCTTCTTGTAGAAGGCCAACTCGTCGCCTTCCAGGATGTAGCCATCGCAGCGGCCGGTCTGGCCCGGGCGGGAGCTGATGCAGGCGAGCAGACGACCGGAGTTGAACTGGTCCTCCAGGTTGGCGTCGAGCTTGTGCACGCGACCGGCCTGCTTGGCCTTCACGTGTCCGGAGATCTTCACCTCCTCCTTCTTCTCCTTCTTCTTGCCCAATTCCACACCGTAGTGCTTGGAATACCTGCGTTTGCGTGTTTGTTTCATCTTTTTTTGATACCCGTGCGTGCACAGCCATAAAGTTTATTTCCATTGTTCATCGTAGGACTATCATTGTAAAGTCTGTGACGACCCATAAGGTCATTATGGAAAACGGAGATCTGAAACATGAAAACTTTTTCTTTGAAGAAAGAAAGCTCCTGGTGAAAGAAGTGGTCCTTCAGCTTCACCACGACAGATCTATCTGCATTGACAACAAGTGCACTTTCACTTCTTCGGGCATGAAATTTAGAAAAACAAATACCACTGCTTGAAGGGCATGGCGTCGATCTGGACGATGGTGTTCTTGACCAGGGTCTTGGTGCGCACCAACTCGTTGGACACGGAATTGTACACAACGTCCATAACACGGACCTTGCGCGTGCAGTTCTCGCTGCCCCACGAGTAGTTACCGCTGTCCAAACGCAAAGCGCGGAACTTCTTGTTGGCACCTGATTTTTTGTTCATTCGGTGATATCCTTGCTTTATTCGTGAAAAGTTTTCTAGGCAAGAACGTGTTCGTCGAGCGAGCGCAGCGCGACGAGTCCTAGCGCGCGAAATTTTTTGCAGAAGTAATTTGTAGATATTTCGACCAAGAACCCCAGGTGGGAGAATGAAAAAAGCACTGGATAAATAAAAGTGGACCTTCGTTCGATGCTGACGTGTATGCAGGGAAGAAGTTGTAAGTGCGCGAAATAGTAATTTTGTCAGAAAATACGCAGTTTTTATTGTTATGTTACGACTAGTTGGTGGGAAAAAAAACTTTTATACCACGGCAGCGGACGACGCGGACGCGCTTGTGGCCCAGACGGGTCATGGCGGACGGGCGGCCCATCTCGTACTTCCTCTTCTTCTTGTGCACGTTCACGCGCCCACCGGTCAGGCGGTGCTTGTGGCGGCTGTCACGAGTGATACCCATTTTCGAGAGGTTGTGTTCTGCTAGATTTTTCGCACTGATAAAGTATCAAACACACGATGGTGTTTTTGTTCTTTGTCCCTGTTTTTCAAAAATGTGCAAGCAGTGTTGAAGTCCATGAGTTTCTAGTGAATTCGATTTAAAAAGCTAGATCGATAGACTTCTTTCAGGAACCATTCAGGATGTGATCGCTTCAGGAAAGGATCGGTTGTGCGCACGACGTCTGTCGTCGCAAAGGTTAGGATCGCCGGGCATTTCAAGCGCTGAAAGAAAGGTCAAAGGCAAGAGCCGAGGATTCAACATCGTCTGCAGGATCGATCTTCTGGTGTAACTATTTGCTTTTGGGGAACGGGTTGATGAAGATCCTCATTCTATGAGCAGACCGAGAAGTGATTTAGATCCTGTTTTTTCTGGGGTCAAATCCCAATGCGGATTTACTTTGGAGAAATTTAGATTTTAGCGGGATGTTTGCTGTTCTTTTTCTATCCTCTTACGCCCATTTTCAGTGAAACTTTTGCGTTTCAAGGATCGATCGCTTCGCTGACACACTGTTTTTGATCTAAAGGCAACACGGGGATACCTAAATAGACCGATAAAGGGATCATCATCTTCATGCCAAGATTGATCAGCACCAGGACACTCGGACGGCACGAACGATCTTTATTTTGCAAGTCAGAACGACTTTCCGGTGTGGGTCTTCTCTTTGCGTGAAAGGAAAGATACTGCGTCATTTTCGCAACTGGCTCGATACACCAAGAAATCGTCGTCGTTCATGCTCATGGGGGTTTGCAATACAAAATCGATGGCAGGGACCTGCTCCTGGGAAGCAGCGAGCACGATCAGGGTCTACTTCGTGTTAGTGCTACAATATGATTGATACAAGACAAATATTTCTGTCCTTTTTACTCTGCATTCTTTTTGTTCCCTCATCTTCGACCCGACAAAAAGCCCACGATCCCGCCCCGGAGGCGGAATTTATCAACCACAATTCTTGAAACTAAATACAGGATCTAAGCGTAAGCACCACCAGTGCTACTACGGTCGTGGTACTGGTAGCAGAAAGCAGTATATCCTTAAAGTACGAGGTAACGACTACGTTAGCTGTGGTCCCGAGCTCTGAACCCCGGTGCTGTAATAAAGAAATCACGACTGGTTTCTTGCCTTGGTTCAAGACTTGATTATGGTGAGGTGCATCACTAGGATAATCAGGGGCCTGATGTTCGTGTTTTAGTGTAGTCATTCCGTGAAGAATGTCGCCACTTTTGATATCCTTGCATCGCTCTCATCATGTCATTCTTGAATTGCTAAATTCTTACCGAGTAGTGTTGTTGTTTGACCGATAGGTCCACATTAGCGCAACATAAGGGTCGCACCGAGGGTGCTCGGTCAACAACTCCCCGATTCGGTCGTTTGACCGCCCAGCTCAGTGGTAGGTCACTTCAGCGCTGTTCTTTGCAGCCTCGCGCGGCACTCTCCCAACTTGCTCCTTCGATATCCGACTGCGCAACTCCCCTCCACTGTTTTTATTCTCAAGCGATGTTTTCAGTTGTTGTAGTTCGCTTCTGGTGAATGGTTTGATGATTGGCTTTCGCTTTGCCTCACAAAAGTCTAGCATTACAGGGTGTCGGGAGCCTCTCAAATACAAATACTACCATCCATGCATCGGTTTCTCATGCAGAGGTAGTATGATTGGACAAAGTAACAAATATCTAACAGCTCCTCCGACTTCGCGCAAACGGCTAAGTCGGGAAAATCCAGGAAGTTCATGCGTATCTGTCACATGTGTACTGCAAAGCTTTCAAATTCCGCCCAAAATTGAAAGCATTTGCAGCAGGCATGTGCGTTTTTGGCTTCAATTTGCAGCCTCTACAGTACACATGTGACGAATTTCTTGCGTTTTCCCGACTTAGCCGCTTGCGCGAAGTCGGAGGAGCTGTTAGATATTTGTTACTTTGTCCAATCATGAGAGGTAGATTATGCAGCTACAGTTTTTACCAGCTGCTTGATCTTCTGTAGTTAGTTACTTCATCTGCGCACGCCACACAAACAATGTGATCAGGGGACGTTAGGCACTCCGATATTGGATCCCGCCCGACTAGATGCGCCGGATGAAGACGAAGAGGACGCTAAACGCTGTGCCTTCCCGGTAAAAGCGGTGTAGCCTGGAGAGCGAGAGGGAAGATAAATAATTTCATATCCTGATCTGTCGTCGAATTTGACGCGCGACCATCATCATTAATATCGCATATGGGAGCAAGTAGTTTACAACTATGAAATCGAGCTAGTAAACAATTCACTCTGCATGTGCCAGCGGTCCGAAACTGAGCATGTGGTTACTTCCACGAACAGACACCTTCGAGCCCTCTCCTTGTGAAACTCATGAGTACAACTTACCTTCACGCTTTGCCACCTCATGTGGTCGTCCGGGCCCACCACCAGCGAGGGGCGGACAGGACACACGCAGGTTCAGGGGCGAAACTTCTTCCGCGCTGTGCGGAAACAGCAGGGACGAAGCAGGAGCTCCTCCACCCGAAAGATTCCCAACAACCGCGTCGTGCGATGAACTACCGTAGGCGTGGCTTGATATTACCCCGGTATCGAAACTGTAGAACTGCGATGATGAACTATTGTCGGCGTGGTAGTTCGTGTACATCTTCCAGGCGAGAATACTGCCGCAGAAGAAGGCGGCGGGGCAGAGCAGGTACAGTATCGCAAGAAAAAAACTGTGTAAGTGTAAATTTGTGTTGCAGAAAGTGCAAAACTGTTAGACTTGTCATGCTGGACATGCATCAGAGGCAATTTTCGTGCGTGTCTTCACGTGCTAGCTACGTCTGACAGGTTTTCTGTGTCATGCAAAGCAAACTTGTGATGCTATTCCCTCAAGAAACTTACACTTACACAGTTTTTTTCCTGGATATACAGCGACCCGAAAATATTTTCGGCCAGCGACCGGTCGGGCCCGAAGAAAGTGCGCGCTGCAGGCCTCCTTGCGTGGCTCATCAGAACGGATATCTGCATCACCCTGTTGTAAAAAGGCAAGTGGTGCATCATCACGGTGTTTCCATGCAAAAATTCAATTCCTTTTATTCAATTCCTTTTGCGGTGCACGAGCACGGATTAAGGGTTCATCAGCGCGAAAGGCTGGCTCATCGATAGAAGCTGACTCAATGAACTCTAGCGTGCGAAAAATTCTTGGATGGCCCGAAAAATGGCTGGGTGTATTGGAAGATGTACGGGTGAAGGTGGCTACGAACGAGAAAAGCGGCTACAAGAAAAGCAACTACATGATCATACATCCTCTAGATTGATATTGCAATAGGACTGTAGCACGTCACTATACTTGAGCGTCTCGATGATCCCCAGATAGAATCCGAAGAGGTATCCTGTGTAAAAACGTCCCCACACCATAGTTGTCACGCAACTCTGCATGCTTAAAATGTTTCTCATGCGGAGCCCCATGAAGAGCATTTTCTAATGCGGTTTGGAAATCTGTAATGCGCCAATCAGCATGAGATACTAGATCTGTAATGCTGCTTAGCTAGCTCAGACAGCACTACACTACGTGTCCAAATTTGTCATGCGAAACAGCCAAAGCTTATCGATTTGTCTAGCGGATTTCCCATCTTGACTCTGGTGTGGGGACATTTTTACTCAGGATAAGAGGCCCCAATACATGATGAACTGCAGCTCCAGATGGTTGTAAAGACTTAGCCAGCCCAGCAGCGCTCCCAGTAGACAGAAAAAAGCGCCAAGCACGTCGGAGGATTCCCGGGAGGCAGCAGCTGCGCCGCTCGTCGTACCGCTGCTCGACCCCAGCAGCCCAAAATCGTGAATGCGGGTCAGCGAGGAGAGCGTCTGGGCCCCCAGCAGGAACACCATCAACCCCTTCCGGCGCAACACGTAGTCTGACGGCGGTCCCTCGCTCTCGCCCGCCAGCGCGTGCGACAGCGTCGCAGGCAGCACCATGATGATCCGAACAGTTGTAGTGTTGATCACTACATATTACAAGTATCTATCTCCGGTTACGGTTTCGCAGCTACGCATGAAAGACCTTCTACTTGTTCTTACAGGCCCCCGAGCACCTTCCTTGTATAGTTTTTCTTTTTTCCAAAATTATAAAATGAGCCATTGCTAGGACGAGGGTCGGCTTCTTGAAACGAGTGCGAGCGAGCTTGGCTTTGTTTCTCATCCCGATACGCGACTTGTGATACGGCCCCTGGACACGAACCCCCGCCACGGTCCACTGAAACAATACGACTTGTTGTAGAAAGGTGCGACTTGTCAGTCCTCTAGTAAGATGATTCCCATCACGGAAAAATGAAAATTGCGACGACGACAACAACGATCATGATGAGTCACGACGACCTCTGTACATACGATTCTATGCTTTTCCGAGAAATATTTGGTATTCAGCGATAACAAAGAAACAGTTGCGTCAGAGTCATTGCAGGAGAGCGTAGGCCGGCGTTGTAGCTGCGACAACCAGAATCAATATCTGCGCCGGACGAGGAGGACGTAAGGCAATTTATGCGCTTCAGCTACCAGCTCCTGTTACTTATCCCACAAACCGCAGTCGATTTCAGTTTGCCTTTTCAGCGTCTAATTTCGGAACCGGGGCCAACTTCTAAACTACTACGGAGTTCTTGTTGCCGACAGCTTGATACTTCAAAAGTTCACTACTGGACTTGGAAGGTTCACCAAAATCTTGCTTCCGGGGGAGGTACTTCTACCCCGAACTGCGTCCTTGACCTTGTCCGTATTTCCAGTTCCGCCAGGCCTGCTCCTGGATTCATCCCGCGCACTGTCGCTGATCCCCTTTAGATCCAGGTACCGCTCCAGGTAGGTGGCGTTCTGCCTCCACGCGAGCGTGGCCCGCAGCATGTCCAAGCTCTTCGCCTTCTCGTCTTGCACCATGATGAACGCCTGCTGGCTATTCAGAGGAAAAGTAGCCCCCAAAGAAACTACTCAAAACAAAGGCTGAAGTAGGGGATCATTTGTGATGCTAAAACAACCGCGCCGACATTGCCGTTGTCCACTATCGCTGGGGAGGCAAGCCTCCGCAGGCGCTAGAGCGGCATAGGGTCAGAACCGTGAAAACATCGCGGGGATCATTTGTGATACTGCGAAAAACAACCGTAGTACCGACGGCTCCATTTATTTTCGACTTTTTATGTTCTGTCGCACGAAAAAAATCATGCCAAGTAAACATTCAGCAAATCTCGCTCCGAGAAGTAAGTACTGACTATGGGGGGGAAGAGATTGATACTTCATTTTGGTACTGCCGCGCGTGCGCGACGATCTTCGCGGCTTCCGCCGCGCCGCCCGCCGTGATGTTGGTGATAAGGGCGTCGTTCTCGGCCACCAAAGTGAATAGTTTCTGCTCCACTTCCACCACCTTCTGCTGGTACTCATTCACCACCTTCTGCTGTTCCGCGACTTGAATTTGCGTTATCGTGTCCTCGAACTTTTGGTCGAAGTCCACCCGGAGAATCTGAAACAGGGGCACCGAAACGTAACCAAGCTCCGACAGTGTTTCGTTCACCCCGGCACGAATGCATCCACGTTGAGAAAAACATAAACAGCCGACAAGCTCGGCGGCGGTAAATCATGTCAAGTGCCGACCACGAACTTGCAAAATTCGCTTTATTCGTATTCAAACTTCAGCACTTACATAAAACGATGGAGGACCCTCGACACGGCGCCGCAAAGGCACGACTGCGTCTCACTACTACATCACTATCAACATTTTGATGCGACTGTAGGAAAATTCTCCACACCGACCTCTAGTAGGTCCCCAGAAGGACTAGCAGGGCACATCAAATGATCGCGGCCGCAACAAGCGTGTTTTCATCTCTAGTGTACTATTATACGCTGGGATAGCATCCGTTCCGCGATCAGATGTCGCTTGGTCCAGAAATCCTGCGGCGTGAAGCGCTGCGCGATGTTCGATATTTGGTTGTAGGACAACAGCAGCCACCGGTCACGCGCCGCCTCGTAGCCGCCAAAGGAGGTGTAGATGTCCTTCAGGTTTTCCCGGTTCAGCACAAATTCGAAACTCGCCGAGATGTCGATGGGCTGTCCGCCGCTGTCGGGGTCGCTCGGGTCGGCTCCCGTGCGGGTGCGGACGGGTCTCCGGTCGGCGGCCGTGTGGTTGGAAAATTCCACCAGCTGGTAGGTCGCCGGGAACAGCAGAAATTTTTTGAAGAAGCCCACGTAGTGCAGGCCGCCGCGGTACGCGCGACCGTCTTCCAGCAGTGACCCGGTCAGCGAGTTCTGTAAAATGCCGTACTCATTCGGGTCCAACCCCTCCAGGCAGGAAAGCGTGGAAAGTAGCAGGAGAAACAAGAGTCCCCCCAGCGCCGTCAGCACGGTTTTGAGGCTGCGACACGGGCTGTCGCCGTCCTCGTCGCACAACAGCTGAAAAAACATTATTGATTTCGCGCGATCATATATTCATCGTCCAGAACAACAAATTGTTGTACCTACTACGCACCGCGGTCCGCTTCATGAGAGAATCTGATGCTCTGGATCTCCACCAAATACTTACTGCACGTCCGGACCACGACTCTCGCGGCCGTGCCCACGCTCCTCTCTCTTTCTAAGGTAAGTAGTACAGTTGATAGCAATGTGGATCATAGCCTCAGCTACTGCTCTCTTCATCTTCCAAAGCATGACTCGCAGGGCGGTCAAAGGCCTTTGGCCGCACTCTGTTTCACCGAACACATTGGGAACAAGGGATAAAGGTCTTTATCTACACCTCCTCGTCCTGCATCGGGTACTACCCAGGTACTAGAATGAAGAACATTTTTTGATGAATCAGAAAAACCCAGCGAACGCTTGGATGTCGCGAAACTTCAGATCGTGATTATTATACAGGTCGTATTTACTACTGAGTACTTTGTATACTATGTCTCCTCATCTTCGTGGAGAAAGAGAGAGCAAAATCATCACTCTGTCTGTCGCATGACCCTCCGAGTCATGCGGTGTGTCGCAAAAAACCTGATCCAAATACTAATCCCGGCAGTGTCGCTTCACCGAAGAAGATCTTGAAAGATTCATTAAGATGCCAAGAGTTTCATTGCTTTCACCCGGTTATTTCCATAGCTGCGCAGCTGCCTGAACCCCCCTGTTTGCCACCCTCTTCTTCATTCTTCCCGAGGACCTTAACCTCCGCCATGTCGTCGATGTTGAAGGCCGCCTTCGTGACAACGATCTGGGTCCCTTTGGGCCTCGAGGAGGAGGTTAATATTGAAGACCCACGATCTTCTACCTCGTCCGCCATCATGTCGATATCGTTGCTGTCCGCAAGTCCGTTATTTCCATTGTCTGTTGGCGGTAGGACGTGGTAGCGGAACTTTCCGCACGCGATTTCCTTCAACACAAGCACGGCGGCGCGCGACAAGTCCGCCGCGCCCCCGCGCTTCAGCTGTCCCCGCGACGTGGCGATGCTGATCAGGAAATCCCTCACGTTCAGCAGCGTTGCGGGGTCGAGTTGCGGGGTCGAGTGCTGGCGCTGCATCCCAGAGGATGAGGAGGAGGACGAACCAGCACCACCAGCAGTAGTTTTCGCTTTGTTATTGTTCACCAACAGCACCGTGGACGTCGCAGATTCGTCTTCCCCTCCGTCGTCGAAGAAGTGGCTCACGAGCTTCTGCAACGGGATCTGCTGTGAGAGCTGCTCCACCACCCGCACCGGGTCTTTCAGCGTTTCCACCTTCACGGCGTTCCGCAACACAACCGAGGGGTCCTCGGACTTGCCCGAAAAAACCACCCCCGGACTGTCAATCAACCGAATCTTGGAATCCAGAATTACTTCTTGGTACCTGCGGAGACGTTGATAAGGAGAGATGACGAGTTGTCGTATTTGCTCGCAGCAGAACAATCCACACTAACAAGGATGATGATACTATACATAGCACCCAAAAATTTGATCCGATTTTTCCTTCATGTTCAGAGCGCCCAGGGCATGTTCATACTCTGCTCATCTGACGCATTCCTTCGTTGCTGTCCGATGCTGCAAATGACGTTAGGACGTGGCTACTTCTGTCGACAATGCTCGATGGAGTCGCAGCAACAGCTCAATAATATCCGCCTCTATTACAACCGGTGAAATTGAAACTTCTTTCAACGCAACACGACTGTTTTCTTTCTGACGTGCGCAGAAATATGTGCCCTCTTCCTTACTACCAATGTACGTATCTCCTCGCGGCTGGCAGAACTACGAGTGCGGAACGTCAACGGCTCATGCGGAGTAAACTCTGAATGTGAACCAAGAAATAAATAAAAAACGAATAATACGCTTTGGTAACCCCGGCGGTTCCTCCAGCCTTGACGGCGGTGCAGCGTTTCAGGGAGTTGATGACGCTCGACTTTCCGACGTTTGGGTAGCCAAACACTCCGACCGCGATTGCCTTCTTGGAGCCCGCGGAGCTCCGCGAGTAGTTTTTCAGCAGCTGCAGCAGTGTGTCCGCGCCCAGCACGGCCGTGGTGCTCTGCAGCTGGGCCTCCTTCGCGTGGGCGGCACTGGTGAGGTTCTGCCCCTTGTTGGTCCCGCACTTGAACAACAGCGTCGGGAACTCCCGCTGCAACCGCTGCATCCACAGGGAAGCCGCTTCCTTCGGGATTAAATCCACCTTGTTCAGCAACAGAATCATCTTCTTCCCCTTCGAGCACAACACCTCCCGCTCGATCTGCCGGTTGCGGCAGCTCTCCGGGTCGCGCGCATCCAGGACCTTTGATTTTTATACGTGTAGATATTAGCGCTTGCGTGGAATCAACTCAAATTTTTCATTCAACACCGACAATCAATCTCAGAGGTAAAATGTCGACGAGTTCGATCCCGCGACTAGAGACTTGTTCTGGTGCGTGCAGTCCCGCTAACTAGCCGCAGAATTATCTTCTCACGAATTTCTCTCGACGGAATACGAATAAACAGCAGTATCTCAACATAATTACAGTAGTAGGCACGCATTCAAATCACAAACAGATAGATGACAGAGGTGGTCTACATCATCTCACAGCCGCGGCGTGCGGGAAGGCAACAGCTTTTTTATGTAGTCCAGAAAAAAAAAAAAGCTTATCTGACGACAAATCTTTGTACCTGAATTAACACGTCGCTGGCGTTGACCACCTTCCTCAGCTCCTGGTAGAACTTTCTCCGGGTGTTTTCCGCTTCGCGATTCCGGTTTTCTCCCCCAGTATGAGCCTCCTCCTCGGCGTGCTGCTGCTCCTCCGCGGCTTTTCCGTCGAAGTCATCCTGGCGCTGCCGTGCCTGCTCCAGGGCGTCCACCAGGTCGCGGCTGTGCTGCAGATCCTTTATTTTCCGCTCCAGCCGGTTGCCCAGAAACGATGACTTCTTGGTCGCGGTCTTCCGGGTCGCCAGCTTCGTCTTCTGCTTGTTGTGCACCTTCTTAGTGGAGTTCAGCAGCCGCTTCTCCAGCTTCTTCTTTTTCGTCACGAAGTGCGTCGGCTTATTCCGACCCATCTTGTTGTTCGAGAGAAAACTTAAGACTTTTCAATCAGCGAAGTGTGTAAAGTTATACGAAACGACGAGGTCGACGTTCTTTACGCCGCACCCTCTTCGCTGATATCGTTCCTTTCCTAATAGCTGTAGGTATGTACTTACGCTCCAAGCTTTTTCTCTGTCGTGATTTCATTCCTGTCGTGATCATATTTGCTGCAAAAGTGAAGAGGGAGATTTAGTTTTAGATTTTCATTTGAGCACGTACTTTCATACGAATATTAAACAGGAACGCGATGGATCATTCGAGGAGTTTTATTTCTGATGGGTAAAAGGAGCCTGATGATCCGCAGCATGTTATTCGAGACCAGGGAGGTGGAACCGCCTCGTGTTCATTCCAGATCCAACGCCTCATTTTCCAGCTACAACAAGGGATGATCGCGGCACACAAGTGGGCAGTAGAATTTATTTAGAAGTGACTTTCACCATCACTAGAACCAGAACCAAATCGAACGATCCGAGACAGTGGCTCACTTTTCATTCAACCGGATTATGGGCAGATGATCCGATAGCGGTTCGATCTTCAAGTCGGAAAAAATGGGTTCACTTTGAGAGCCGAGATGCTGCTTTCTTCTCGTCAGAATCGCTCCGCGCAGTAGCCTTTCGTGGCTTTCGCTAGTAGACAAAATTACGTCAACGAAAACATCAGGTTTGTGTCGCAGCGCTGACAAAGTTCATAGTACTGCTAAAAAATCAGTCCACTTCCATGCTGTCCTCCTCCTCCTCCTCTTCTTCCTCGACCTCCCCCAAGGAGCTGTTGCTCTCCTCCTCGCTTGCCCCTTCGGCGTCCATGTCCGCGTCAGCAGCACTGTCGTTATCTTCCTCGTCGTCGCAGGACGACTGCATATCCACGTCTTGTTCCTCAGGTTGTAACATCTCTTCTTTGTCTTCAAGTTGCAACTCAGCATCCGAAGTACCTGCTAGAACTTCTACGTCGACACGATGTCTGTCACGTTTGTTTGTCGTTTTCTTTTGAGCTCCACTTCCTGTTGTGGCTGCTGCAGCTGCCAGTACAACAGCTCCACGATTTTTGCCATTGTTAGTACCCTGCTGCTGGTGACCACCACCGCCTCCCTGGTGGCCAGCAGACGAGGAACTGTAATTCCCCACCACGGAGCTGCACGAAGCGGAGGAACTGCTCTCCTCGGCGCGCTCCTCAAAAATTTCCAAAACGGCCTCGCTGATCTCCTCCAGGATCTGCTTCGCGCCCCCGTGGTTTAGCAGCACCAGGGCCGGAATGTCCTTGTCAGTGTCAGTGGGATTGATGCGAACCCAGGTGGCGAACGACCGCCGGAGACTCGTGTGCTTCTTGTTGAAATCGTTGTATACCTCTTTGCACTCGTCGCGCACCTAACATATTTTAATACCAGTTGGCTTCGTGTTACCATAATCGCTTTTGATTTCAAAAAGCGAAAGGATTAAGGCCGAGAGGTGATCAACAATACCTCTTCCATTTTGAAGTTGGATATTTCACGATTCATACGTACATCGACTACGTGCCAACATGCTGCAGTTGCAAGAAATTGAATCACGTGATACAAAATGGGGCAGCAAAAAAAATCGCGTAATATTAAAAAATCGGTATACCGTGGGCACCCGGGTACCGCAGCCGATTTCCAAAATGACTAGATTCGTTCTCTTCTCGCTTTCCATCCTGTCCTCCCACTGCTGGTAGGGGGCCCACTGCGACTCGTGTAGTCTATCCATCAAGTCCTCGTCGTCATCCGAGAACATCAGGACCTGCGGTCGAACCCGGGGTTTCTTATCGAATCCCACGGGAAGGGCAGCAGAGTCTTCAGGTTGGGACGACGACTGTCCTCCAGAATTGATGTCGCTAGTTGTATCATTTCTTCCAACATTTGACGCACTGGTCGTGTCAAGGTGATCTGGCTCCTGGGACCCAGGCGGCGCTGCGGTAGAGGTAGACGAAAGGTTATAATTTTCTCCGGCGCGTTGTAGTACGCCGGTGGACTTCTTCTCGATGCGATAATTTTCATCCTGTTCAGCAGTATCGGCGGGACAACTTTTCTGAACGGAAGTGGAGGGAGATGTAGTTGCAGGAGTAGACGTCGTCTTCCCCACTGCTGCGAGGGCACCAGAAGTAGCGGACGCCCCCGCCGCCTTTTTGCTGTTCATCTTCCGTGAAACAGTAGAACTAACGGATGTAGTTGCCTTTGTGGTTGTGGTACTGGCAGCTAGAACTACAGCATTTTTCTCCTGCTTGGCAGAACTCGCTGTCGCCCCAGCCGCCGCCTTTTTAGCCCGAGCAGACGCAGTTGTGGTGGCTCCAGCTTTGGTGCTGACCGTGGTACTACCGATGTTGCAGCTCATCTCCTCCCCGGCCCGAGAAGAGGAAGCACCTCCGCTCTTCGAATAAATCGTCGTGGAGGTCGAGCTTTTGGAAGAAGTTGTACTGGAGGACGTGCCCTGGCAGCTTTTTTTCTTCGTCGCTGGCGCTTGCTGAACAGAATTCATCATGTTCGTGTTCGTCTGCGCGATGCTTGTTACGTTTTCCTTGAAAGAACTACCTGGAGGTCCACCTGCTCCCAAGGCCGAATTTTTGCTCGCGGTGGACGCCGAATTATGCGTAGTTTTATTCGAGGAGCTGCTTTTCGCTGTCGCGACGGCTTTTTTGATCACAGCAGTGGCTTTTTCAGCAGCGGAGTTGCAGCTCTTGTGGTCCTTCTTTGTGCTTATCGACGCACCCCCACGAGCTGCGGGAGGGTTTCGAGCAGTAGAACCGCCACTGGGTGACAGCGGAACTTGATGCTCAATGGCGGCCACCATCGCCGCAGCCCCCGCCTGCCTGTTTGACTTCTCCCTGTTTTCCAGCACCGCCTGCATGTCCCACTTTTCTTGGCGCTTCCACTCCCAGTCACAAGCGCCGTGAATCTCCGCGACGCGCCGGCCGAGCTTCGGCAGCCGCCGAAAGTGCCCGTCCACGTTGGACGTAAACACGTACCAATTGGGGATCTGCAGGGGCGAAACAAATCGCGCTGCCTTTTCTTGCAGACGCAACTCGTCTGCTTCGGACAAGGCCGGACGCACATTAATGTTCGTGGCCGACGACCCCGACGCCGGGTTCTTCAATACCTCCTGTTCTGAGCGTTCTTGGAGACCACTACAAGAACTACTACTAGAACCCGACGTGTGCTGGTCGGGGTTCAAACTCGTCGTGGTAGAAGTTGACGCACCAGGACAAGAATTGTGGTTCGTCTGGCTGTTGTTCCCCAAAAATTTACTATTGCAGGACGAGCCAGTCTGCTCGTTGTCACCATTCTGGTCGCGGTCGTGTAGCCAGGACTCGAGAATCCAGTAGCCGTCGTGCGGCTCTGCCTTTGCGTAGGTCGCCTTGCACAGGTGCCAGAACTGCGCGAAGGCGCTGTAGTCGTTGTCGCGGGCGTCCGGGTGGCACAGCTGCGCGTAGGAACTGTCCTCCTTGTGAGGCAACAAGGGCTTGTCCCCGTACTCGGCGTAGGTGGGTAACCCGCTGTCCTTGCCCATGCCAGCGCCGGCGGCGACCAGCAGGGTGTTGCAGTTCAGCAGAGCCTCCGCCACGCGGCGGACCTCCGCGGGCCCGCTCTTCACGTTGGTACTCCCGGACCGAAGATTGTACTTCTGCTGTTTGGGCGGTGCGGGTTTCGTACTTGTTTTTACCACCTCCGAGGTGGAAGCGGTTTGCGCGGGGACGACCACAGGGGGAGCCGGAGGCGCAGGAGGGTGCTGGTGTTGATGACCACCTGCGGGAGCCGCTGGTGCCGCACCTCCTTGATGTTGTTGTCCTTGTTGGGGGCCACCAGCAGCCGGGATGGTCGCGTTGGAGGACATAGCGCTTTTACTCGTCGTGCCGCTCATCATGAAACTATTTCTTGGAAATGATTTTTATGCTGCTTGTACAGGTACTTCTTCTTTTCGTTGTTCTATTAACTTCTAGTCGTGGGTCCAAAAAAGCCTTCTGTTGACTAAAAATATCAGGGCGTCGCTTGGAGCATTTTTCTTGCGCTAATACTAATTTTTCTTATGCGCGTACTAAGTAAAGCAATAGCGTAGCGTCGTCTGAAACGATGTTTTCGCGGCCTAGAACTTGTTGTGCAGGATGAATCGGTGGTCGTCTCGATCTCGTTCTGATTCCCACTACGATCTCGTCCGACTAGCACTTCGTATTCTTGCGCGGAGGAAAAAAGAAAACATCAAGGCCGCATCTTTATTAATTTACATTTTTGTTTTTCTGTAGTTGTGCATAACTACACTTCCATTTTGGGTCTGTTATGATTGTTCCGGGTGGTGGTACTTTCTACACGTCGTAACTAAGATCAGATTATTTCTTGATTGGTTTTGGAACTTCTACGTGCTTAAAAATAGTCGCCTGGAAAAATTGATGGAGTCAACAAAATCAAAATCTGTTGCGCACGCAACCAAACAATGCAAGAAACTTGTAAAAAAATGCGTAGATCACGTTTCGTCTTTTCTGTGAGCTGAAGGGGAGCTGGTCAGCGATCAGAGGCTGTTCGTCTTAGACACACAGTCCACCAGTAGTACCCGCGGGAATCAATCCATTTTTTTCCGTGAGCCTTCTCTGGCTGCCATGACTGTAAGATCTTCATCCTCTGCAACATTTTCATTGAAGATCTTCAATATCTTGTCCGGTTGCAAAATTTTAATTTTTTCTGAGCGCCAGCAACAATCGGAAATTTAGCTGATCATGAGGGAAAAGATCCTGTTTTACATCTTATTCTGTCTAGGAAAAACTTTTTTCTTGCTGGCTGTTGCTCTTCCCGCGCGGACGGTCGAAAATAAACTACGATCCCATGCTCCATTGAAAGAGATTCATCGGGGCATCAACAGAGATCCATCTTGTGATTCGCGTACAGGAACCAGTGAAGTAACTACTTAAACTGTTTTCTTTTGATGCTTGTAGTGAAGAGAGAAAAACGGCGTACACAACACAAACAGAAACACGTGCTGGTGACAGATGCAATTTGTTGCATATGCAAAGGAACCAAGACCGACCACCAGTTTTCATCGGTTTGACCCGTCTGAACAGTAGCGAGTGCAAGAGTTTGCTTTCAACTTTCGTCACTGTAGAGGCCGTGCCAGGAATTGCACCAGGACGACCGGCGGCAGCATTGCAAATCTACCCAGTTCTTGTGCCCTTCCTTCGTTCATGCGACCAAAAAATCTGTACAAAAGAAATCGCTTATCATCATACGTATCGGGGTTACTTAGTTGTAGCTGTTCCTGATTTCATCTTTTTCATTCTGCACGACGAGAAGCTTGTTCTCATCTTCCTTCATCTTGATGTCAGTGCTTTTCTGCTTCTGATGTCGCGCTCGCCCTGTTGGACTAAGTCTAGGAAAAACATGACCCCGATACTAGCAAAATAGTCAATCAAAGAACTGCTCTCCTCGAGTAAATAGTCTATCAAATTGTTTCCGGATCCATTGTCTATCTATCAAAGTACTAAATGACAACTTTGGGTCATGTCTCGTGCAAAATCAGTTGACCTGCGTTGATGTATTGAGTTTAAAAGTGAAAGCAACAGCTTGACTCTCTGTCGGTGGTGCCGGAGAATGAAATGCCACAACGGTTCGTGGCTGATGTTGTAGGTGGTAGCTTTACTAGTACCTGCCCCTACAGGTGGAAGCTGGCCTGCTGACGGCATCGATCTACTTCCAGATCTTTCATTGCTAAAAACTTGTTTTTGCTTAGCAATTCTCATGTATGTGAAAGGAGCATCGAACCCGGCGCATAAAAAGTAAGTTGTCAGTCGAAAAAGGGTCTGTCGTGGGGCGTCTGGGTGCCCAGCACGAACCAGACCGACAAGATCCCTCCCAGCAGCGGCACCACACGACATTGCACCGTGTAATAGATCTGGTCGTCCGGCCAGTCTATATGGATGTGTCAGAATCGAAATCGACAAAATCGAAAAACTTGTGATGCGTAAAATGTAGGGCACTGAAGGCCTGTATTGGGGAGCAGGCAAATGAGACCGATTGCAAGCCTGTTTAATAGGGGTATGCAATGCGCTGCCAGAATAACATGACAGAAGCAGTCTTCTTTGTCCAAACAGCATGACAGACTGGATTTTGGTGCTCCCGAAATTTGTCATGCGCCACTGGGAAACTGCGGCTCCAACTGGTATCGATTTTATGCATCACAAATTTTTCGACTTTGCCAATTTCGATTCTGACGCTTCCATAGTCTACCATGGCTCGGTACTCTGCGCTGTCCGACAGGTAATTGCGTATTTGTTCGATATATCAAAAGTAAAAATGTCTGGGTCTGGGAACCTGTGATGCTGGGTGGCGTCTCATGATGAGGCTACAAATGCTGGCTCAGCATGGCAAGTTTCTTAGCTCCTAGGTGTTGCCTATTCTGCATGACAAACTGCGCTTCTGCATCACAGAAAAACGGAGCTCTTGGGTAACGCGCATGACACATTTAAGAGTCATGCCAGACAAGCATGACAAACATGAATTCTTCCAGACCCAGACATTTTTACAGTTGATACGATATCTGCCGTGCTGAAGTGGATGCTGTAGGCTCGGAATTTCTTCCCCTTTTTCACGGGAAAATCCTCCATGGACTGCAAGAAGTTGCTGTACCGGTTGTACCAATCTTCCCAATCTTTCACCTCCTTCTTCTTGTCGCAACTCGGATCCTCCAAGGGCGTGAAGGTCCAGTCGTGCTTATCAAATTGAAAAGCGGAAGTGCCCCCACGACCCCCAGAGAAAACATTTCCTACCACTTTGCATGTGCCAGTATCGCTTTCGCAGCTGGTGTTCAAGCCAGGCTAGCAAAATAAGTAACTCTGTGTTGCAAAAAGGCTGAGCTGTACACGGGAGATTTGCGACGTAGGAGATGCTTTGATGCGCATTTTTTGGAATGATCTGAAGCAAATCTATCAGCCTTCGTCCAAGTGGTCCAGCCATGCAAGAGAAAAAATTTTCATGATTTGCGATTTGGGATCATAAACTTCGCAACACAAACTCTTGAAACGTCTGGGGTCAGGGGCACTTAAGTAATATTTTCCTTTCGATAGTACCGAATTTGACACTGCTCGCGTAGCTTTTCCGGGCAAAAGAACACGTCCAGCGTCATATTACAATGAAAGATGCCCCCACCCCCAGCTACTTGGCAGCATTTGTATTGCAAACCTTTCCAACAGAAACATTCTCCGTCTTGCATATCTCAGCATCACAAATTTTCCATGCTGAATAGGTAAAATTTGTGTTGCGAAGTAGCCCAACAGCAGCCGGATCTCTTATCCACAAGGCACCTTGCGCACCCAGATTCTGCATCAGAAACGCTCGCAGTCCTTTTTTGCAAGACAAAAAGCTTTTATTTGGAAACTTTGCATGACAAACTTCTGCAAATTTCGGGGTGGGGGCATTTTTCACAGTAATACGTCATCCGTTCCTCCAGCAAGTCCGCGAAAAAGCTTAGCGCGTCCAGGACCTGCGGCCGGTCGTCGAAGTAGCAGTCCAGCCCCTTTTTCGCGCGGAACAGCCGCATGTTTTCCTTCATCTCCGACAAGATGTCTACGGTCATCGAATCGGCGATCGGCATCTTAATGGGCGGGGGAACCACCACGTCGATGTCGACAAACGGAATCGCGTACTTCTCCACGTTCTTCGCCGTCGAAAAGAGCCCTGGCGTCAGGAAGGGCTCCCACTGCAGGGGCTCGTCCATGTTGTAGGAAATGCAGGCCGGGTGCTGGTTTTGCCGGTTCGCGTACACGTTGGTCGTGTTAAACATCACCTCCAGCGTCACATACGGAAGTTCCGTCACCAGCGTTTCGTTCTCCACCAGCAGTTCCAGGTCCGGGAAGAAAACCATGCTGCTGGCCTTCGCCATCATGATCTTCTTCAGCTCGTCGCGTCCCAGACCCTTCTGCTTGCCCCCGCCGGCGCCTCCTTCCGCCTTGGCCTTCATCTTGGCCCGCGGCGCGCGCCCCACGGTCTGGATCTCCAGCGTCTCGGCGGTTATCCCAAGGAAAAATCCCCCCTTCCCATACCGAAATTTGTGATGCTGTACCTGAGTACACGAGTCGACTTGTATTGCTAGAAGGCCAAGAGCCACAGTTGTGGCCTCGTTTGCGGGCCATTCGTGATGCTGTTTCCCACTTCCAGCTGCTTCCTGTCATGCTGAAGATGCAAGGCTCTCCCACGCAGCCCAGCACTACAGTCCGCATCTTTTCCCTTCTAGCATGACAAAGCTGATTTGTCACCACAAACCTGCATCACAGATTTCCGTTTTGATATGACTAAGACTATGGAGGGGAGGAGGGATTTTCTTTCTTGATAGCGGTCAGCCGCATGTCATCCACCTCGCTGTCCCACATCGGGTTGAAGTTCTTGCGCTCCTTGTCGTCCTATCAAGTGTAAAAATGTCTGGGTCTGGAAGATTGCCAGGTTTGTCATGCATATTTTGCATGACCAATGACGCCTGTAATGCATGCCCTAGCATCCCAGATTTTTAGAAGGCTTCCTGATGCTTATTCCGCATGAGAAATTCCCTCCCCGTATAACAAAATCCAGACTCCTTTTGCTAGTCATGCAATACATGGAATTGAAAGACAGCATCACAAGTTACCACCTTCCAGACCCAGACACTCTTACATTTGATACGTCCTCGTCCTCCTCGGCGTCGATGAGTTCGAGATCCATGTTCAGCCGCGACGCGAAAATCCACACCGGCAGCGTGCCCTCGGGGGAACCCGGCACGATCTCCTTCACGATCCCCACGTCTATGACCTGCTCAGGTGTTAGAATCTCAAGCGTTACAATAGAATCTGGAATTTGTCTTGCATGATCAACTTGACAGACTCGGACAGCATTCCACTTTCTGCAATACAAATTTCGGCAGATTGTAGTGCGGATTGGGACTCCAGAACTTGTCATGCGCAATCCTGTGGGAATAGGGTAGATCATGCACCTCTTGCAACACAGATTCCAGATTCTATTGTAACGCTTGAGATTGTAACGTTTGAGCAGGTCATAACGTCGGTCATGATCTCCTGGATCAGGTCCGGTTGCGCGTTTTTTGGAAACAGTTCCAGCGTGTGCATTGCAAAAGTATCGTACTAGTATAAATTGCAATACTCCTTAGCATGAGAAATGCAAATGGAATCTGTCATGCGGATTTGCTTAATAAAAAGATTTGTAACGCAAGACTTGCATTCATACGAGTACGATGCTTTTGCAGAAGATACAGCGGCAGCTCCAGCCACTGAACCACCAGTTCGATAAAAACCGTGGGGCTCCCGCGGGCCCGCTCGATCTTTTCCAACAAAGAGTCACAGGCGCGTCGGCGCTCCTTCTTGTTCTTTTTGATGTACGCCAGGCGCTTCTGCACCAGCTTGCTGTGCTGGTTCAGCCAATCCGAGTCCTCCATTTCTTCGAAGATCATCTTGCCCAGCCCCAAGCGCTTCCCCTTCCCCCCGTCCCACCTCCGGGGCATCGCGTACCGCCTGGCCTGGCTGGGCTCCCAAAAAATCACGGACTTATCCTTCTCGAGGGTGGCAACCCAGCTGTGCTCCACGATTTTGCCCTCCTCTGTCATGAGCTGTCCCTTGCAAACCCAGGCTGATAGGGAAATGTATTAACGTTTTTTTTTTTTGGGTGGATTCTCCTGTCTTCTTGACGCTACTCATTTCTTCAAAATTCAGTAACTTGTTCCATCGATGTTCATCATAGCAGCTGAAGCACCTACTTTTTCTTGTCCGTCGTGATGCAAGAGAGAACTACTTAGTCACAACGTAGGCAGGACTTGCAGGTCAACCTCAGCCACTCGGGCACCGGAAACCAAAAGGGACGAGAGACTCTTACTCATCTTTTATGTTATCATAGATTGATACCGTTTTTCTTGCAGCCGAGAAGGATACAACACAGCAGCACCGCGTGGTCTTGGGCGGGGCCCTTGCGCTGCGCGAGTATGAAGGACGCGTTCTTCATACTGTCGTCGGGCATCAAGCCGGTCCGCTCCTGCTTCGATGCGTAGTAGTAGGGTAGGCAATTTATCCAGTGCAGCAGGGTAGCGGGGCGGCAGAGCTCCTGGGGGATAATGATCGGGCAGAGGAACGCGGGGATCGGTATGGTGCCCCGGGTTTGAGGATGTATCGCCGTGCAGGGAAAGCGCCGGCACCCACCCTCCGGGTTATGGGGGTTGTACCTTTAGTTGTGCGTGTAGATCATATGCAGTTGCAACAAAAATCATAGATACTCTAGTAAGTACATGGGCGACCTGGCCCAGTTGCGGGTAAAGGTATAAAGTGCAAATTTGTTATCATGCAGCTCTCTTCGCCTCGGCTGGGCTCATCTTGCACAAACATCTGTCTGGCTCTTGAACAGCAAAGAAAGCTGTAGTGCAGCTGCGGCACTGACACTGTCGAGCGGGGTGGATTCATTAGCTTTAGTTGTTCTAGTTCCATAAAAAGAAATCACATCTACAAACCTGTAGGTGAGATCAGAATGCAAATCTGTATCGATCCACATTCGCACCCTGATTCCAGATGAAATGACGCCACAAAATCCACGATCTGAAATGACATGATCATCTGTAGTACCACGCTGGTTTGCTGCACATTCAGCAAATGAGCATGATGATGATGATGTTTACCCATGCTGTTTTCAGGCTGTCAAGTACTTCTGTACTAGCTGGATAAAGTCCACCACTGTGGTGATACATACTAGATTTCTGGTCTTGACTTTTAGTCACTGTGTTCCTCGTCGTGGATTGTTGCGGTACTGCTAACAATCTTGACATCCTTTAAGCCAAAAAGCTCAAAGGGAAAAACACTGAACAACGGGGCAACTGGACAGCATTCCGCTGGGTTGTGTTGTGTGTTTTGGAACTTTTACAGTTTTCAACTTTTAGGCTTACTGTTTTCACAGTGTGCACCTTGTAGGTTGACTGATTTACAGTAGTTGTAGTGGCAATTTTTTTGCGGGTTTTTACAATTTTAGAGAAAGTTTTTAGGTGTTTAACCCCTAAAATTTACCCCTTAAAACTGATGGACGGTTGGTCCTTCACTGAGGTCGTTTACGATCTTGGCAAGCGTATCCTGTACCGTGCGGGCAGTCATAAGACTGTGCGGGTAACCGACGAGTTTTACTCTTCGAAAAGTTGCCGGGTGGTTTACAACCTGTATCAGAAGTTGGCACATCTTTGTGTCAACTTTGCGACTTTAGGTCCTGCCAAGGTTCAGCTCTATCTTAATCTCGCTCGTACCACAATGGCGCAGTTTAAGATGGAGCTTCCTACCTTCAACGGTAAGGATGCGGGTCAGTTTTCTTCGTGGCTGTACAAGATGAGTCCCATCTTGAACTGCTACGGAGAGGATGTCGTAGAGTACGTGAACAACACCGCTCTTGGCACTCCGGCCAGTGTTCAACTGACCGCGGAACAGGTTGAAAAGTTGAACCAGCTGGCTGCTCACGTTGTGACTAAACTCGACGGGGAACCGTTGCAGTTGGTCACGACCGAGCATGCCACTGACCTTCCGAACATCTTGCGCGTGTTAGTGGGCAAGTATCGGAGCCAGGTCGCGTCTTCTCGCTTTTCCGCCCTGACTCAGTTGCTTACCAGCAGCAAGAAGACGGGCGAAAGTGTGGAGGCGTACTACGCTCGTAAGTCCAACTACTTGCGTAACGACCTGGGCGGTACCATCACGACAAACGAATTGTTGTTGTTTGGTATCGTGGGCGGCTTGGATGACAAATCCAAGAAGTTGGTCACTCCGCTCCTGGCGATGAATGCTTCCACTTTGCAAATTGTGGGCACTCTTCGCGAACAGGAGGCGCAGGACAAGGCTGCTCCGAAGCAGGTTACCGAGCACGTCTTGGTGACTAGCAAGAAGGAAGAGCAGGCGCAGGCACAGCGGATTGTCGACAAGGCAGTTGCTATGATTGCGAAGAAGTTTCCGAACGTCCGGAAGCAGGACGAAAAGGGTAGCCAACTTAAATGTTGGACCTGTGGTGGCAATCACAAAAAGTCCGACTGTCCCAAGCGCAAAAACGGAGGCAACAACAACAACAAGGGGAAAGGCAAGGACAACAAGGACAAGAAAGATTACGAGAAAAATAGGTTGCATCTTTTGCATCAAAGTAGTTCTAGTAGCTCTGTAGCAGCGCCCAGCGCTGTGGTTTGCATGGCAATGGCTGGCACGGCTTCGGCCTGTGTTAGTGTTCTCACGGTGAAAAGTGAGGGGGTTAGGGATTCTGGGGGGGTTTTGTCCCTCTCTGGGGTTCTGGATTCGGGGGCTTCGGATCACACGTGCGGGGAGCGCGGTGCATTCGAAGAAATCTCGAATGAAGAAGTTACCACGAAGGTTGCCGATCGTGTTTTGGACGTCAAAGCACGGCGCGGCATCTTCAAGGGAAACACAGTGGGACTCCGGTTGGGGTTGTATCATCCTGACATCGCCGGGCTGCTAATTTCGGTTGGCAGGCTGGAGGACGATGGCAGGAAGATAGTTTTTGATGGCCCGAAGAGCGGCGTGCTCGACAAGGCCTCGGGGGATTGGGTCGGCTTCGGTCGGGTCAATCGGCTCCCGGTGCTCCCTGTCGAGTTCGTCGAGAATTCTTCAGTGGTCAAAGTTTGTGTCGACCAGGACACGGAAAAGGGTCTTCATTGCGAGCCCGCTGCGGTTTGTGATAAACTTTCCGCAGAGGACACTAAGCTCTGGCATGAGCGGTTTGCACATCTCTCAGCGCATGGCGTCAAGTGCAAGCACTGCGATGCGTGGGTGCGCAATGATGAAAGGCAGAGTGCCTGGGCACCAGGCTGCTCGGCCTGAGCATCTGAAGGCTAAGGAATTCGCTGACGAAGTCTCTTGGGATTTTGTTGGGCCTTTTCCTGTTTCCTTTTCGGGAAACAAGTGGTCTTTGAATGCGGTGGACGAATTGACGTCCTGGCCCTTTTGCTACCCATGCAAGGAAAAGGGAGAAGCTGGGTCCAAGCTTGAGTTGTTTTGCCAAACGGTGAAACCGCCCAAGCGGGTACGGGCTGACAACGCTCCCGAGTTCAAGGGGCAGAACACGAAGTGGAGACAGGTTGCGGCTGAGCAACGGCCTCCCACTATCGTGGATTATTCTGCGCCCTACACTCCACAGCAGAGTGGTAAGGTGGAACGCTGGAACCAAACTTCGTGTAACGCGGTGCGTTGCATTCTGCATGGTGTAGACCTACGCTGTTGGGACTATGCCTACAGGTTTTTGGCGTACGTGTTTGCTCGCGTGTCACGGAAGGGTCCAGAAAGTTCGCCCTACTTCAAGAGGCACGGCCGCGAAGCGTCGACCAAGCATTTCCGTCGTTTCGGATGCCTGGCCTACGCTAAGCAGCATGTCCCTGGTGGAAAGCTGGACGCTAAATACGTCCGCGGTGTGTTTCTTGGTTATGGAACTGAGAACAGCACTTACCTCGTTGGCACTTGGGTGCAAGACAACAGGTGTGCGGACGGAGTTCGTTTTTCCGTGATCGAATGCCGGGCGTGCGCATTTGGTGAGTCAATTACAATCGGGGAGATTGAGGACTTGCAAAAGTTCAGTAACGGCACTTTTGTCCCGTATACACTGCCCGACGCGCTCGGTGACTCCATTTTCGAGGAAAGGAGTCAGGTGGCCCCAGGTGAGTCTGATCCCTCGCCTGCTGGTGCTTCTGATGTTCCCGAGGGAGGTGGTTCCGTGACGGAGGGTAAGAATACAGTCGAAACTTCTGACATGCTGGATGACACTCCTCCAGAGGAGCAGCAGGAGGAAAATTTGATCGGTGACGAGGTCGCGCCGGAGGCTATTGATCTTGAGGCGGAGAATCAGGCTGGTCCTGAGGCTCCTGCTGAGGGCGATCAACCACCTGCCGACCCGGCCCCTGTCGGTCAAGATTTACCTGCAGCGCCTCAGGCGGATTCTGGTAATGTTGTGGAGAAGAAACGGGGACGAAAGCCCGGGACCAAGGCTCAGCCACACTGGCGCAAGCCAGGCCGTAAACCTAAACAGGTCGCGGCAAAGGCAAAAGCAGCTCCAAAGCGCCAGCCTGCTGGTGCGGATTTGGTGCAGATGCTTTTGGCTGAGGTGAAGCTCAAGAATTCTTCGCCTGAAGCTCTTAAGCTAAAGCGCAAGGCTTCAGGGGGGGCAGAGGAATTTTCTGCAAAGAGACGGAAAGAGTCACCCTCGGAGGATGAATCCGGATTGGCGTCGTGCGTGCAGGGTGCAGTGCTTACAGTATCTGCGGAGGATCCTGATTTACAGGAGGCAGCAGCTTCGTACTGCTCCGCCTTAGATGAGGAGTCTGCTGAGTTTCAAGTAATGGCCACTAAGAAGTCAGCTTTCAGCGGTCCGGATGCGACCAAGTGGATCGAAGCCGATACACTTGAGCGCACCCGACTCGAGGCCCTGAAATGCTGGAGGCCTTTACGTGAGGGAGAATTCGATCCGGCCACGGACGAGGTTATTCCTGCGGTTTGCATCTACTCCCGCAAGCGGTGTGGTAGGTACAAGTGTAGGCTTGTGGCGCTGGGCAACCGGCAGAAACAAGTTTTCTCGCATGAGGTATACTCTCCCACTATTTCAGGGGGGGCCAGCAGGTTTCTACTCGTAGAAGCGGCGGCCCAGGGCCATCACCTGCGTCAGTTCGACGCCACTAGTGCCTTCATCCAGGCGGCGTTGACTGATGAGAGGGCGATCGTTCGGCTTCCAGCACACTGGAGCAAGTCGCCGAGAGGAGACTTGGCGATGCTGCTTAAGTCGCTCTATGGCTTGAGGATAGCCCCACGGAAATGGTATGACCGTTTTTCCAAGGGTCTGAAGTCGCTCGGTTGGGTGATGTGTCCCAGGGAGCCCGGGTTGTTCCGAAAGGAATTGCCTAGCGGCACCATCACGATGGCCATCTTCGTGGATGATTCTTTGATGTCTGGTCCGTGTCCCAAGACTCTGGGCGAGGAGATGTCGAAGGTCCTGAAATTGTTTCCCGGTACGATCATCGCTCCAGAAATGGACGGCGACGTGGAGACTCGAGATGTTCTCGGTATGGTCGTCAAGTATGACAGGCCGAAGCGCTGGCTGAAGATGTCCATGGAACAAGCTGTGAGCAAGTTGCTCAAGAAGTTCAACATGGAAGACTGCAAGCCTGCACCTTCGCCCTGTGTGGCTGGCGATCTGCGTGAAGGGGGTCCGGCTGAGTCCTTCCCACTTCGGTCGTTGGTTGGGGGTACGCAATACATCGCGCACCAGACGCGGCCTGCCATTGTCTTCGCTACCCAACGCGTGGCAAGGGGTCAGGAAGCGCCGACTACTTCTGCGGTAAAGGCAGGCAGACGGATTTTAGCATATCTGAAGGGCGCGAAAGACCAAGGTCTTGAGTACTCTCCAGAGATCGAACGCCAGTGGCGTGAGACCTATGCTGAAATCGCGAAGAACGGCGGCCATGAGTTGCCGGACACTGTTGCTTTCGGTGATAGTGACTTCGCGGGGTGCACTGCAACACTGCGCAGCGCCAGGCAGTGGGTCGATTCTCTATCACAGAGGCGCCCCGATTGCATGGAGTTGCAAGCGTCAAACGGTTAAGGCGCTCAGCACCTGCGAGGCTGAGTACGTCGCAACCTTTGACACGATCAAGCTATCCTTGGGGCAAGGGTATCTGGATTGGTTCCTGGCTGATAGGAGTTTACCTCTTACGTTTGTGGACAATTGTAGCGCCCTGGATTTGGCCAAGTCGTCCCTGGTGACGAAACGGTCGAAGCACATAGAACTTCGGTTCCATGTGGTTCGGGATCACTCTCGTGACCTGTGTTGGGTTCCCACTGCGGCCAATAAGGCTGACCCATTGACGAAGGCGCTTCCTTCGGCTGCCTATCTTAGGTTCTTTCATCCTTCCCAACAGGATGATGGGGGGTCTGATTCCGGGTCGGAATCAGAATCGTTTGCATGATGCTAGGGAGCATTGATACTAGAACTACTTCCAAGAAAAATTTCTCGTAATTTCTCCTGCGTATTGGCTAGACGCACCGTAGCCATGTTCCGAAGGGTACCAGTTCGCCGCAGCACTGGCCGAAACCGAAGAAGAAGAGGAGAAGAAGAAAAGACGCATGTAGTTCAAGGCAACTATGTGGTCTAAACCGATTTTACTATCACTACTACTGTAGTCAGGTGCTGTCCTGATGAAATTCAGATGCTATTCTGAATGGTTCCAATCACACCCACGGTCTTGGTGTGATGTTTGACAAGAAAAATTTCGTGGTGAAATTTTGTCGGTTGTCTTCAGTAGTTTCGACTGAGGGGGGGAATGTAGGTGAGATCAGAATGCAAATCTGTATCGATCCACATTCGCACCCTGATTCCAGATGAAATGACGCCACAAAATCCACGATCTGAAATGACATGATCATCTGTAGTACCACGCTGGTTTGCTGCACATTCAGCAAATGAGCATGATGATGATGATGTTTACCCATGCTGTTTTCAGGCTGTCAAGTACTTCTGTACTAGCTGGATAAAGTCCACCACTGTGGTGATACATACTAGATTTCTGGTCTTGACTTTTAGTCACTGTGTTCCTCGTCGTGGATTGTTGCGGTACTGCTAACAAAACCTTAAGTCATGATCAAATAAAGTGCATTCTTCGAGTTTGTACTTCCCCGGCCTTGCTCCCAGACTGTCCGCGAAGGGGCCGGCGTAGGTTTGGCGAAAAAATTCGTTTTTGTCATCCCATTCGCGCTGCAGCTGCTTCCACACCTCGTCATTTAAATCGCTATCCATGATCTCGTCGATTTTCACGTCGTGCTCCCAGTCCGGCCAGAAGTAGGCCTCAAAGTGCACCAGCGGCGGCCCCCCGCCGGCGTTGGGTAAGCTGCTGCCCTTCAACTCCGTCTTGGCCCCGTCGAAGGTGCGCACCGTCTCCTTATCGAATGCAAATATGTCTGGGTCTGGAAGATTGCGATACCAGTCATGCACGTTTTGCATGAGCCATGACGTTTGTGATGCATGCCCTAGCATCACAGATTCTTTGAGGGCTTCTGGATGCCTATTCCGCATGACAAATGCCTTCTCCGCGTGGCAAGAGTTGCATTCCCTTTGCCGCTCATGCAATACAGATTTTTTTGGAATCCAAATGCAGCATCACAAGTTGCATTCTTCCAGACCCAGACAGTTTTGCAGTTGATACTCCTCTTTCTCGAACCACTGGTAGCTTTTCGGCTTCGCAAAGTCGTCATCCGGATCCACCTCGACCGGCTTGACCGGCCCCGTGAACCCTATGGATTGCAAAACCAAATATCGATCTGGGTTGTAAGTACAACAACTATGGACAGTTCGTTGTATATGCTAATTATACCTGCACGATGACAAAGCAACTACTTAGAGGACGCAGCGAAGCAAGACAGACTGTTAACGTTAAGCGGTCCTGTCGTACAGCGCGTAAAGCGCATGAGGAAATGCGATATTGCATGACAGAGAGAAAGAGCCAGTTCTACTTCTTCCGCAACATGCCTTAGACGATCGATCCGGGAGTATGTTGAGACTTCGGCATCAGATAGAATAGAAATCTGGCACTCTTCCTCCAGACCCAGCAGACAACATGTTTGCATTTGATAAGGGCCCGGAGCTGCCGATTCTTGGTCAACAAAATGTCGGCAATGTCGAGGGAATAACCGCCGAGGTAGTCCGACGAAGTTTCGTCGTCGTCCCACACCTGGATATTCACGGGCCCCTTCGACTCCAGCTCGAGCTTCAGCGCGGTCTGCTTGTACTTTTTCACTGCCCGCATGGCCGGGAAGACCAGCCGCACCGGGAAGAAGAGTGTGAAGTTGAACACCGGGCGGCAGGTGCGTTTCAGGATGGGGGAAAATTGCACCATTCCGTCCCACGCGACCCGCAAATAGGGGTCGGACGTGCCGGCGTCGAAGTCCGCCACGGGCAGGTTCTCGCACTTGGAGATCCGCACCACGAGGTACTGTTCCTTCGACGACAAGTGGGACACCATTCCGCTGCCCTTGGGCTGCTCCGGCCGCTCCTTCACGTCTGTCTCGGGTTGCTTCATGCCCTGCGACAGCTCCTGAACCTTGATGTTCCCCACCAGCTCCCCCACGCGGAACCGCGTGCGGTCCGTCGTCAGCGCCTTCACCCGCGCCTTGAAGACCGAGATCTCCAGCACGGACGTCAACCCAAACAGCGCCCGGCCCACCACGGTCCCCGGGAACGATCCGCTGTCGATCCACTCGGGGGGGTTCCCGGTAGAGGAGCTGACGACGAAGTACTGGTTCTGCAGGTGGGTGCGGGTTCCGGTGAAGGTAAACACGCCGGGCTTCGCCCAAAAAAATTTCCCCTTCTCCTCGTTCCACATCGTGGTCTTGATCGTGCAAATCTTCTGTCGCTCCGCCTGCCCGTGCCGGGACTTCGGCACGGCGAAGGTCAGCTTGTTCCGCGACTCCTCGGAGTACTTTTTGTACTCCGGCAGCGTCTCGTCGCACTTGAAGGTCCAGTTGTCGAAGGACATCTGGTATGAACTGCAAAAGTATGGTACTCGTATTCATGCATAAGGTAAATCCGCATTACAAATTTTATAGTATTTATTTCTGACGCTGAGTAAATTTGTAATGCATTTATACGAGTACGATGCTTTTGCACTGCATGTCTGGAAGTCAAACACCTCCTCAATGTTGATGGAGCAGGAGAAGCGGGCAACGTCGTAGGGCTTTTTCTTCTCCAGAATCTCCTGCTTGGACATCTTCTTTTTCAGCATGAAGTCCTGGTTCATCGACCGCGTCGCGCACTCGTACAGCGTGCGGCTGATGGTGCCGAAGTATTCGTTGAACTGCCAGTTGTTCACCTTCCACAGGTCGATCTGCAACTGGTGCTTGTGCAGCTCGGCGTACGCGAGTTTGAACCGCTTGTTTTCGATCACGATCAGCGGCTCCTCCAGGTCGGCGGCTTGTCCCTTGTCGAGCGAGAACATCGCCGTGAACACGGGGCGGAGGCTCACCCGCGGAAGCCGCTTCGCGGTGGTGCTGCGAACGCTGATGGCGAAAAAAAACATCATCGCCTTGTTGGTAACATTCTCGAAGTCCCGGATCTGGAAATTCATTTCCCAGGTGCGCGACCGCTCGTCCGGCGGAATGTACACGCTCGCGTCCCCGCTGCCCCCACCGATCGTGCGGCGCATGATGGCCAGCCCCGGCGGCCGGGGAATGCGTGGCCGCGGCAGCTTCGGCACCAGCTTCCCCAACTTCGAAGATCCCTTTTTCTTGTTGTTCGGGTTCGTCCCGCCCGGATCATCCGTTGTTCCCTCCCCGCCGCCGCCCGCCGTGGGACTGTCATTTTCGTGACCACCGTCCTCCCCAGGAACCTCGACGGCCACGTCGTCGGGCTTCGGCTCCTATGAAATGCCAATATGTCTGGGTCTGGAAACTTGTGATGCTAAAATGTGCATGATGAAAACACTTCCGAATGCAGTCCGGCATGACAACTTCCCAAAACGCTTTCTCATAGGCAATCCGCATGAGAAACTGCGTTTTTGCATGACAAAAGAGGCTGCGACTTTTGTTGGTTATGCAATACAGATTTTCTAGGTATGGAAAGCTAGCATCACAAGTTCCAACCTTCCAGACCCAGACATTTTTACAATCGATAGCTCCTGCAGGTCCTCCAACTCCTGCACCTGCTCAGCGCTATGGATGTGTCAGGTTTGAAATCGTCAAAGTTGAAATAGTTTGTCATGCATAAAACGCATACCAGTTAGACCTACAGTTTGTAGTCGGTGCATGACAAACTTTCCCGGTCCTGGAAGCGAGTCTGTCATGCGGTTTAGGGCAAAAGAGCTGCTTTCTGTCATGCTAGTTAGCAGTCCAACTTTTGACGCTTACCAGGACTATAATCTGCCTCCCGTGGGTCCTCTGCAATAGAGTCACTTTTTGTGTCGCATTTTATGCATTACAAATTATTTCAACTCTGACGATTTCAAACCTGACGCTTCCATAAGCGCCCCCGCCCGCGTCTTTTGGCGGGGCCATGATGACCTTTTATTCCGTGCGGGGGGGCACTTAAAACATATTGGCGACGACGAGCAGGAACAATTCGGAGGTTTTCCAGTGATTGATGTCGAGCCCTCTAGCGCGACCTACACATCCTCAGCTCCGTCTTGCCCTCGTGAGGACCACCGTCACAACCACATACTTAATCGTGTCGTCAGTGACCGGAGAAAAGACCTAAAAGTGGCAGTCAGCTCTGTAGCGCGGAAGCGGGCGCAGCGATAGACGAAGTTGTCGGGCGCCCGGCGCTCGGCCGGTGTCGCCCCGCCGAACAAGGTACGAGGCCGAAGATCCACAACATGGTACCCGACGACCACGACGGCTGTCGTATCTCATTCATAACGGCTGCGGCTTGCGTCAATTTCTGCTTGGCTTAGATATGATAGAGGCCTCCACTCATTCGTCTTGCTACCCCGCTGCAGACGTCCTGCTCGACCCGAGACAGAAGATTTCCGCGAAAACAAAACTACCATTGTAAGGAGTAGTACATACCCCAAAATCAATGGGCAAGCAGGTGCCTACCATGTTGTTTATTTACCGGAAGCCACGAGCGCAACATCGACTGCCATGATAGGAAACGTCCATACCAGCTACGAAAATTGTTGAAGCTGCTTATACTGCATCTGTTTCTCGTAAAATTCTTTGGCAGAAGTAAGCTGCATCGGGCGGGTGCTGACGATACAAGTGCTGACCAGCATGACCCCGGTAACGGGATTTCTAATATATTTACTACAGATTTTCTTCGTCATGATCTTGCTTTCCCTTTGCCATCTGCCTCGTGTATAGAGAGAAAATAGCTGTACGGAATTTGTGCCACTCCACACCTTGTTCGTTGCTTTTGGAAAAGCGACGAAGTTCCATTTTCACTCGAAGTCTTCTCCGTGGCCACGCCCTCTGAAAAATGCACAATTGTTCTACCCTCAAGTATTACGCGAAACAGAAGCTAACCGGTAATGGTACCTCCTCTTTCCCCTCCTCAAAAAAGCGAACAACAAAGATTTTCATGTGAGGAACCATTATAAAAATGAACACGGACTGCTGGAAGATGACACAAAGTTTTTTGCTAAAACGCAAAAGAAAGAGGAACGCAGAAATCCAGCGCAAGGTTGAGTTGATCACTTAGATCATATCATGGGGCGTGGCTTGGGAATAGTACAATTGCGCGCATACTTTCTTATGAACTAACATCTCTATCGACTCAGGCGGTAGTTGCAGAGAAATCCAAATATGTTGACGAACGCGAGCCCCCTGTAGTCAGATGAACAATGTTGTACTTCTCTGCCGCTTCAAATTCTCTGACGCCAACAGCCCGCGCCCCGACTGGGCTCGCATGGTGTCGAAGTTGTTGTTCTTTTGTTCTCAATCGCAATACTTTCACGCTGGAGAAGTAACTCGCGAGCAGTAGTCGACTACAACTCAGCACTTCACTGGCTCTGGTGGCGGGCCTAGAACTACAATCTATATCATTGTATCTTGTATCTAATTTAGTCTCCTCGCCCAGTTCTTGCGTCGGCAGCGGGCTCGAAAATGGTTCATCGTCTAAGTTGTACACTATCGCATTCGTAGCACACCATCATGGGTGGACCGACAGCAGCTTCTGTAGTCTTCAGATCTGCACACAACAAGTGCCAATTCCGGCGTGGATAAGTGGCCACGTTGTAGACTTACATTGATTCATAGTAGTATGGGCGATGCATCCATTAATTTCCGACTTGCAATTTTGTTTTCTGTCAGGAAAAAAGCGAAGGCAGCTGCAGAGGTAGAAGGAAAAAATCATTCTTTTTCCACCGCACGGGAACTAAACCTTCAAACTCAAAGCCCTTTCTATACGATAGCAGGGGGAGCTGGTGCTGCAGCAGCTTCATTTATTACAACATGATCAAGGCTAAAAACTGCAACACCCAACAAGTACACAACAAAGCCAAGGGAAATTTTATGATAAAAAGGGAAACACGACAAACACAAACAACATTATGCTTGCCAGATAGTGAAAACAAACGAACCTGGTCGCTGCAGCAGCGGCGCAAAAAAAATCTTGTACACGGGTGCGTTCAGGTCGTGAAGTCAAACGATGCAGACTCGTCGTCCTCGGTGGAATAAGTAACGGCGAACAGGAGCGCTTCTTCAAGATCGTCTACTGAAACAGACCGTAAGCACATTTCAGCAAAATAAGTCTGACTTTTTGATTGGTTGATCATGCTGGTCGTCGTGGTGACGAACTTTATTTCGGAAAATTGTAATCGATTCTGGCCTTGTTCTGTACCAACACAACACTACAACTTCTCAAGGTGAGCAAGCATTAATGTCTATGTCATTCGCTATTTCCCATGTACACAAAGTACCCGATGACGAGCGCGATAATGAGTATGACAATGGGCCCGATGCCGATTCCGCCGCCGCCACCGCCGCCCTCGAGTTCTGATGTGCGCGGTATCAGTGCTTCTTTCTTCTCCTCCTCGAGGTAACCTGAGGATTATGATATATACGCATAGTTATGTCGATCCCCAACTAAAGAAGCGCGGACATGGTCTGAGCACAGCAGTAAGCACGGCCCTGGAAGAACTTCCGTTGCAGAAAGCAAAAAAAAAACACGTGAACAGAAACTCTACCGATGACTAATCTGTCGGTCCATTCTCTTGCTGTGTCGGAATGCCCAATATCCTCAAAATCGTCCGTGACATTCTTCCCGGCCAGCGCGAGGATCACCTGATTTTTCGTAATCAAGCACGTTTGAAAATTTTATCGCGACAAAACCCTGCATCGGCGGATCAGGCAAATTAGATATGCGTCATATACATCAAATAATAAACTGCGCAACTATGACTGTTACCTCCGGTCCGCCAGGATGTTCATTTCTCAATTCCTTATTTACGTCGATCACCAGCCCGTGTATTGCGACCTGATAGTCAGTTGTTTTATTTCGTTTGCATTCTATTGTTGCGCAAGAGTACTTAACTTTCGATCCATCGTGCGGAGCGTCGTGAGTGATGTAGTTGTCACAGGTTTACTTTTATTGTATCAGCATGCACATGCAGATGAAGATGCGATTTCAGAAAAATAGAGTAAAAATTGCTTTTCAGTCTTACCCAGCAGTCCTCCTCCGTGTTGTGTTTTGCGAGTTCCTCTGCCGTGATTAGCCGCCTCTTTGCTATTCTGTCCTCCGGTTTCTGTTGCGTCATCGTGATTGCTGTTCTTCTTTTCCGCAACTATCTACTGCTTGCGCTTCTTGATGCTGAAAGAAAGTAGAATAGGAAGCTGTAGCTGTGCCTATCTACGGAACGAGAAAAACGGGGTGTGTGCTGGCCGCAGTGGTGGCGTGCTTCCAAGACAAACCAGCCACGACACGATTGGGATTTTTGCGCAGGGACCACGAAAAGGATAAGAAAACTTCTTCTCAATTTCTTCGCTTTGTGATTACGTTGTCACGGTCAAAAATTATAACTAGTTAGTCGGCTTGCTATTTTTTGTAAAATTTTTGATAGCATAGAAACGAGGACAAGGACAACGTGTTGCTCGTACTATTTTATTCTGGTGTAAATCTGCTTCTGAGTGGAACGAAAGTGTGCTGCTTTTAACGCCAGGAACTACTACGCTCGTTGTGCTTGTTTGTGTTTGTTCCTCGTCCGCTCCTGCAATCTCAACAGTAGCTGTGTCTTAAAACTCTTGGTCGTGCTCCTCACTTCGAGGCCGTTGGTTAAAATAACTTATGTACTTCTACTTCTTCGTGCGCCGCCCGCAAGCGCAAATGAAGGTTTATACACAGAGAGGTTCGAATGAAAAAACTTCTTCTACAAAATGAAAAGCTAAATACAATGCTTGGGTAGTGCTTGTACTGTTGCGGCCAAAAAACTGTAACTTCCGTGAGAAAAGTTAAAGTTCTGTATCAGGTGTGATAACTGATAAATTTTTGTAAACAAAGCTGCGAGCTTGCCAATATTTGTATTTCTCGTCGCCTTGCGTGCTCAGAAGATTTTCTGCACAGAAAAAACCTGTTAAAGCGTGCAAGATTCCTGTCCGGCAAGACGTGGATTCCTGTCCTGCAAATTAACCAAAACGAAAATTCAACGGATTAAATTTTTGACATGGATAATACTTGTCCGAGGCGTCAACCTCATTCATGCTCTGCAATGAATACTCCCACGGCAGCCAGAGAGAAAGAGAAAACTATTAGAGCTGCGCGGGCATACAAAGAAATTTCGATGGGTTCTAGTGATGAAGAGCCTGGACCATCACAATTTCAACATTTTCTTTGTGATTTTACGACCGTGAGGAAAATTTATTCCGCTTGCAAATTTGAAATTTCGTGATCAATCTCAATATTTCCTCTAGACCGACACCAGTGCACCATCAGCTCGCTCAGTGTTTGGACGAGACCATTTTACCGTCGAAGAACACGCGATGAGTGATTAGTCTCAGGAGGTCAGGTGTTGGTGTAGGTGACCACCTTTAAAATTCCGATCAGGATCATTTCTTTATTTTAGTACCTTCACACGTTTATTATCTGTCTTGCGCCATCTGCAAACTGAACTCAGTGTACGCATACGCATTTACTTGATTCCATAGTTAGTGGATTGTGCAATCGTTGTGCAAAAACACCATGCTAGATGGGTAGAGCCGTGACTTTCTATGTCCGCCTCGTGAAGACGATGTGCCGCGCTGTAAAAAAGAAATTCTTAAACGTAAGATGATTCATCTTGCATGTGATGATAGACATACAGACATGAGTTGTTTTTCTTTGGTTACAGAAAAGCGCGAAAGCCACATTTGAGAAGGAGCGACAGCAGGTATGATAGGTACGTGATGTAGTAGTTCCGCCCTAGTGACGACATGCATCTCCTGCTGCCTCCTGTACAAGCGACCAGTAGTCTACGTACCTACTAGCAGATCAGGACACAACTCTAAGCTTTCACCCCGCCATCATCAGCGGCTTCGTGAGTTCCCCGACTACGACTTTTTTCTTTCCTCTGCCCGCGACCTTGCCCAAAGTCGCCGGCGAGGGCGACAGGTTCCGCCACCGGTCTGCGGGCGACGCAGTGAAGGCGTGCGGGGAGCAGTACAGTTCGGGCGCATCCGTTCGGTAGAGAGGATCATGGGTCAGAGGACTCGTAAAATAAAGGGCGCTACTATCATCTTCCACGCGACCTCCCGGGTTGTTGTACTCCACACAGGGGAACCGGACGACGCCCTCGTACGCCAGCTGGCCAAGAATCAGGATCGCAAACCCGAGCGCCTTATGAACTGCAAAAGTATCGTACTCGTAGTATTGCAACACAAATTAGCTCAGCGTGACAAATGGAATTTCTCATGCTGATCTAGCTTGAAAAAGAAATTTGTCTTGCATGACTGCGATTAGTACGTGTACGGTACTTTTGCACAGGATACGCCTGCACGGGGCTGTAAACGGTGAGAGGTTCGCCATACTGCTCCCCCACCGTGTAGTAGAGCACGACCGACGCCACCCAGATGACCAACGTGCGGCTCGCGTCGAGGAAGGTGTGGTGGATAGCCGAGGACTCGGCGGTGACCATCAGGCCCAGGATGTTGTACAGAAGCACGGACACGAAGAACGTTCCAATGGCGGCCTGCAGAAATGGCGAGTGCGCGACGGCAAAGAGCGAGTCCTGCGTGTTCTCGTATTCGCCTCCCGCGTCCACGCCGGGGAGCCTGCTGCAGATCGGCAGCACCAAGAAAATCATCAGACTGGACTATCGTCAGGAAAAATTATCGAGTCCCCCCTTTCGTATCATAGTGCGCAGGTGTACTACTGCTGAACTACGTTTGCAAGGTTGATTTGATGTGGCCACAAATCGTATCCGCCTTGCAAGAAGCAGGCACCTCCACAGGAACAAGCTACTCCGCATTTATCACAACAGCATGCTGTTGGGCCCAAAGCGCGGCCACTTTGTTGTTATCGACTATTAAGCGCCCACACTCATCAAAGCCTCCACACAGCTAAGGCCTAGGACATGCCTGCAATCTCGCTCCTACTGCAAAACAAATTTTTACACGCATTTCATCCAGCATAAGCAGCAACTCTGCTTTGAACATGAGGAGGGGGGATATTTCATTCTGATATGGACCCCCAGAACCCCTCGAGCCCGACAATCGCCATCGGGGTGACGTTGTGCGGCGGCCGCAGCAGGTACTCTTCGATTACATACTGGGCTGAGCAAACGACTTGCCCAAGGAGAATCAGGGCGATACCTGAACAGATGAAGTAAGCCTTCGGCCTCGGCGGAACAACATCGCAAGTAATAAATTCATCTAGCTGCAAAAGAGTGTATCTACACTACAGACTCATGGCGCAGGTTCGAAACTATTGATGTCCTAGTACTGATTTTCACACCTATCAGCTGCGTCGTAGTTCCCTGTTTTGGCACGGCCTGTTGTTGTTCCGTGGCCTCCATCACTCCGCCTGCTCCTTGTCCCTCTTGCGCTGCCGCGGCCAAGACGGAGGACACACCCACCAGGGACAGAGCGAGGAGGCAGAGCAGAATCCCGATCCAGTTATAGGTGGTCAGCCGCTTCTCGAGGAACCAAACGCTCAGAAACGCGGAGAACAGGAGGATGCTGCCCTTCAGCATCTGGAACACGGACACGGTGGTGACACAGAGGCCCATTTGCTGCAAGCTGGTCCCCAACAAATCACAGATAGACGGAACGATCAGGGCAAAGAAAAGCTTGGCCGTGACGGGGTCGTATTGGTGGAGATCCACATGACTATGATCTTCCTCGGTAGTGGTAGTTCTTGCGCCGTCGGCACTTTCGTCGAGGAGAGGGACAAAGTGTTGAGCAACATAATTACCAAATATAGCCGCCGGGGCGGAGGTAGTGAGGTCGTGGGCGTTTTCTTGCCGGCCATCGCCTTGGCCGCGGCTTTGCTTTTTCTGGGCTCGCCATACCGCCGTGAGTAACGTTAGGCCGCACGGTATGGCGGCCGCTTGATAAACGTCGCAAATTTTGACAAATTCCGAAATTCCTTTCCGAAGGCCAGCCCCCATGCTATGGGGCCGATCCGGGTGCCACGGGGGGCGCCCAAAAAGCGAAGAAAAATCGGGCCCATAGCATGCGGATTGGCATTGCGCGTCTTCGGCGCTTTTTCTTTTTCGCGTTTTTATTTTTCACGCCGGCGCTTTTTGCAAAGCTTCCCAGGCTCTGAAACCGGCGAAAAGGCGGCCGCTTTCGCGGCCGCCCAAAATGCTCCGAAATCGCGGCCGCGCCATGCTGTTTCGCTGTTCTGATTTTGGGCGCGTTTTTTGCGCGCCCCTTTTTGGGCGCCCCAAATCGCCAGAAACTAAGGCGGCGGGCGCCTCAAAAGGGCGCCCCTTTTGCCGGCTCCCCAGCGTCGTTTTATCCAGTGCGAATCGATAGAATTGGCTCGGGCTTGTTTGACAACAAAGCCCCGGCCGCTTGATAATTGAAAATTTTTTATGTCCAAAAACGCTTCCGCCCGCCTGAAAACTGGCGGCCGTTTTGCTGTCTGGCTGTCAAAAAAACTCCCTGGTTAGAACCGTTCGGTGACCTCACTACATATGAGTCTCCTCGTCTGGGTTGGATGCGAGATTCAGTTTTGAGGTCGCGAGTGCCAAATTTCCATTATGTTCATCTCCGCTCGTCGCGGCCCAGATTTTTGTAGCTGTCCCGGATGAATGAAGACTTTGATTTTCTCTTCTCCGCAGAGCCTCCTGCTTGAAGCGTTGGTAGAAATGGAGCCCGTAATAGACGGGCAGGGCGACCAAACAGGCCAGAAACATCACAGTTGAGAAAAACCATGGCTTCTGAAACTGCTCTTCCGAACCGTCCTGGGCTAAGACGCTGGTCTGGTAGCACAGTTTCAGCGCAATGCTGTTGATCGACCCGCAAATCAGGCCCGCGGCAAAGAGGAGACGGAACGAATTTGTGAACATCCTATAGTTGCAGAAACGACCACCTCGCGGATATAATTGCGACGTTGAAATTGTACTTTATGCACATGTAGGTCATGGGGGCTGTGCGTGTGGTGGCCAAGCTTCAAGCCTACGTGTTGTGACTCACAATTTGAAGATGACGAACCTTTACTTCATTCGCTACCATGATCGCTCGTCGTGTCCAATCAGCGAGCCACTAAGCCGCGCTTGTGATATAATGTCACGTCCTTCTAGACATGACACGCGTAGTGCGTTGGGTCGTCGTCGTCGTCGTACGTTACTTTCGTTGCATACTGTGCAGTGAGCACGAACTGTGACCCACGACTTTCTACTTTCAACGATGCCACATGGACCTCGTTGTCAAATAGTAGCTGCAAAAACCTTCACGATTCAGTCAAATACAGAGTGGTGGTTTTGCAAGGGCAAGAGGCAGCGCTCAAGTATGCGGAGTATGGACAGCAGCTCCTTTCCGTCAAACCTCAGAAGAACAAGGGGAGGAGGACAATGCTTGTTGGGCCATCAAAAAACGAAAAGACAGACACTCATATAAATTGCGTGCTTGTTCTTTCTTGGTTCGTCGTTGTTGTAAATCTAGTTCTATTTTTGTCGGAATCGACAAGGCGACGTCGCCTTCGCAATAATTTTGTACGTAGATCTTGTCATCTAGTTGTGTCTTCGTCGCGACAAAGGGAAGTACTTAGATAGTTCGTCTGCTAGTTGTTGTACAACCCGATCGTGTTCAAGTACCTCGGACACGTTGGTTGCCGCAATAGCTGTATTCCCGTCTGAATAAAAGTGTCGTCTTGCTTCTTCAACCAGCATCGCTCTTCTATCTGGTGTTCCTGTTCGTGTCCACGGGCACGGGAAATACACTGGTATCGTCTTCGCACTTACTTCCCGGAGCATCATGTCGATCATCATCACTTCACGGCTGCTCACAACTCGTCTTTGGTGCCAGCCGCCGCTCCACTACCCACGCCTCCGCCGGCCGCCGCACCGCCGCCACTGTCGAGCGAAGAATCCACCCCGCGGCCCATGTGCGTCTCCACGAACTGGATCAACGTGTCGAGGTTTCGATCCCCCACGTAGTGCACGGAGTGGTCGGTCGACTTCCGATACAGCTTCAAAGTCGGGTAGCCCTGGATCACCTCCTCCACCTCCAGGGGCAAGTCGTTTATGGTGGCGTCAAACTTGGCGATCAAAACACCGGACCCCGGGACGTTGTACTTTGCAGCCAGGTCCTTGTAGATGGGCTCCAACTTTTTGCAGTGCCCGCACCAAGGGGCGTAATACTTTACCAGTACGTACTGATTATGGTTCAGGATCGTATCCAGAAAGTGCTCGCCGGTGAGTGTGAAAATCGCTCCCTGGTCCTTCGGATTGTTCTTGGGCGCGTGCTGCGACTTCAGATGCGGTTTAGCCGCGCCATTCAGAAAGTCCTCCGCGAACTGCTCAATTTTCTCCGGCGTGATCGCCTTTGCGTTGCGCAGGTAGTTCAGATCATTGGACATGTCCTCGCTTTGATCGCAAGAAAAAACTGTTTCACTGTCGTGAACGTGAATGTGTAATGGATAGAATGGAGCACAAAGTGATTTGACCTGCTACTGCACCTGCAAAAAGCACTGGATTTTTAAGCGCGTTTTCCATTGCTGGAATGAAGCGCCGCGCATGGCAAATTTATTTCCGTGTCATGTGTAGCAAACATACATGTGAAGATGCAGATCTTGCAATAAAATCATCACAGTGAGTAAACAGTTTTTTCTCACGATCATAGCTTTCGGCAGCCAACTCCTCTTCCGTGGCCTCCGGGGGCATAGGCAGCTTGTACTTCACCATGCCGTCGGTGGGATCCTTGATGATGCGGATGCAGGGTAAATCCTCGTAGTCCACCGAAATGTAGTCCATCAAACGCATGTCCATGGGCTGCTCCGCGCCGGCGAAGGTGACGACAAAGTCCTGTTTGTACTTCGTCGCGAGGCTGTGAAGCGAGTCCTCGATGAGTTGATTTTTCTCCCGGATCTCCGCATGCAGATTCTGTTCCGTCGTCGCGATATCCGGCCGCTTCTCGTCGCGTAAGTACAGCAGCAGGGGCCGCGGGTCGTTGAAAAGCAGCGCCGCGTTTTCCCCCGTAAAGACGTTAACTTTTGGCATCGAGTAAATCGCCACAAAAAATCGCACGTCATCAGCGACCCTGAGCGTTGTTCGAAAATAAAAGCGTGATGTGAAAATGTTGAAACTCAGAATTATTGAGATGAGTGACCTTGTTTCGCGGGTCTTAGCTACAACACAAGTGACGACATGCAAAAAAGCAAGGCAAACGCACTTACCGGAGGACAGAGCATCACCAACAGCGCCAGTACAACTCATAGTACGAGCTGCTGGTTATTAATTTCTCGCAACTCGAAACATTTCAGTCTATGATATCATGTTTAATTATCAGGCCAAAAAACCAAATAGAATCTATACGTAATCAATGTCAAGCAGCATCAGAATCTACATCATCTTCAGGAAACATACCGTTCCCAATATTCCGGATGCTCCTTCCCCATGCCCACTGCATCCGGTGTCACGATTGGGGCAACCGACTCCCCCTCATCGAAGGGGAACCGCATGTAAACCACGTCCCCGGCGGAAACGTCAACCTTGAGTGTGTGCGAGTGGTTCGTTATCGTTCTTCTTGTCGTGCATGACAAGTTAGAATTCGTTTTCAACCTCAAGTGCCACTATATCATAATCATGCGCATTTCTGCATTAAACAACCTGAACGTGGACTGTTGGTCGACGTGGCATTTCGATTTTTTTTTCTTCTCCATTCCATAGATATGAGAGAGAGGAAGAAAAAGAAAAACAAAAACATGTACTTAGCTCTTCTTCAAGAACATCAATAATAAATATGAACACCTTTGGCACTTCTTTGACTTCTGATTCCTGATCGGCAACGGCCTGCGCACGAAGTATCGTCTCCGGTTTAACCACCTCTTTGTACAGAGAGTTTGGGGCGATTCCAAAAAAAATATATGCATTGCAAATACGGAGTCGGGATTCATTTGATGTCATTTTTACGCAGATTTCTGTAAATGAAGTTAGTATCTATGTGGCTGCGCATTTAGATGTATCTTGTGCTAGTACCGAAGTAAATCTCATTCCTAGTCTTGACCTTCATGGCACAGCGATGCACACGTCGATCCTGTGTAATGCAAGATAAAAAGTGGGGTCATGCTCCAAGTACTACCGTTCTCGATCTAGCATGCAAGAATCTGGAAATCAAGTTCCGGTCTTTCATGATCCAGCAGACCCAGACATATTTGCATTTGATAAAATGTCGTCGAAAGCCACGCCCACTTCCTGCAACACTTTTTCTTTCTCCGGGTCATATGCACAGAAAAATTTTGCTCGCGTTTATTGTATGCTTCTACTTTTTAATTTTATTTGCTGCATTTTTACTTGATGCCGGTGCGCAGCTAGAGCGGTCCGAAATAGAGGCCCGTCATCTTGATGCGTAGCTAGCACGTGAAAACACGTTCCTTGAAAACACGTTTTCCCTGTGGTGCATACTTACGATCCGGCATGAAAAGCGTAATAGTTTTGCATAGTCTACAACACGACTGCATAGTTACACTTACGCAAAAAACTTTCTTTTTGATAGATCATCGCAGAATGCCACTATCACGCCGCCTCCAATCACGGCGGAAGTTCCTGCAAGTTTAATCTTTTTTCATCGAATGATAGTATAAACAACAGAGGCAATCAGGACCGGCTCCGTCAACGTCATCAGTAAAAGTGAAGTCTGGACGACACGCTGTTTTGTCATGGAGCACCGTTATGTGACAGTGTATAAAATTGGCAGAAAACACAAGGGGACTGAATCAATTCTACCCGTCGGCGTGGCTTCGTGGGCTTTTGCTTGGAAGAAAACCTCCACTTCCTCTTTAGTCTGTAGGTGAACAAGAATCGGCCCTGCTTTCTTTTCCACCCAAGCCACGATGTTGTCCCACATGCGCCCGCCGGCGTATTCCATGTCTCTTCCCTCTACGAAAAACTTCAGGGTCGGGTAGCCCCGTACGCCATAGAGCTCAGCCAGCTTGGCTTCACTCGTGGCATCCACCACCGCGAGCGGGATCGGCGGGTCGCGTTCCTGCAGCTTCTGGGCCGCCTTCAGAAACTCATGCCGAAACTGCTTGCAGTGGCCGCACCAGGGCGCGTAGAACTGGACGAGTACGTGCTTGTTGTTCGTAACGTAGTCCTCGAAGGTATCCGAGGTGAGCACCGTGACCCCCTGAAAGTCCTCTGCTTTCAAGTCAGCGAGTGCGGAAACCCCATAGCTGGACGAGGACGGCCCCCACGAGGACCCCTTGCTCGCGAAGAAGGTCGCGTCATGCCGTATTGACAGGAAGCTGACAGCAGCGAGAAGACACCGCTGGAAAGGACCTCGCAATGATGATGTTGACCGGCAGCACGGTACTCCGTTCGGCGCAGAAGTAGAACAAGAGAAAGAGCTAGGTGGTCGCGAAGCAGAGCTTCTTGTAGTTGGTGCGGCAGCATAGGTTCTCTTCTTCATGGGGGTGCAGACGCCTCCTTGTTCTCGGGGGAGAACACTTTCAGGTCGTGCCATTTTTGTGTCACGACAAATCGGTAAGTACTTGTCACACGACTTGGCCTATCAGACTAAAGGACGGGCCATTTTGGGGAAAGAGGGCGAGCTGCAAATTGGGAGCACTAGTCTACATATTCCTTTGAGCGCATACATTGACGGGAGGACCCCAACGGCGCGAAGATCCTTGGTGGAGGCAGACAGGAAAAGTAATACGCACATGAGCGTGAAGTCGTTAAAAAACAAAAACTTTGCCGTTTTCGCCCGACAAATCAGCGACCTGAAGGAGTTCTTCCGTACCACCGTGATAAATGTGCAAGTGACTGTTAATACATGCGAAACAAGAGATTGATATAGTTAGGTACTACACATTAGAATGTATGCCGGGCGCGCGCAGAGAACCAAAGCAGCCGTCTTTTTGTAAAAGGATCTATGGCCCATCAAAAGCAGAACGTCAGAACCTGTGGTGAGCAAAAGGAACCGCACCTGCGCAGGATTGAAAATATCATCATGATGAAAGAACGCAAGTAAGTAGCCTTTAGAAACTTGTTCCTTCACTTCGGACGACCAAGATCATGACTCCGATCAAGTTTATGTTTATCAACGAACAAGATCCTGCAAGCACAAGCAGGTGTTAAACTACTGTACTTGAAAACCGAAACAGAACTACATGCTCTAGAGAACCAGACGACGAGACAAGTGTTGTTGTACCCAACACAACAACACAAGTCTGTAAAAATGCTGCCGGTCGGCTCCGAATCAGGATGCCGTTGAGGCACCCGCTGTAGGAGAAGTACGTATTTCCGGCGCCGAGAAGACTACATCATAACGCGCTCAAGTCTTGAATAATTGTTCTTGCGACAAGTTCTGGTCCGTCGTATCTACTTCTATCTATCATTTCGATGTTGATGTGCGTTGGCGTTCTTCAGTTCTTGGATGGATGGACCATATATCACATCGTGCTGTCATTGGATGGATGGACCATGAAATCAATCGTGCTGTCATTCGGAATCACATCGGATGATTAACACCGCACAGATCCCCGCTTACAACTTCACTGCTGCGCACCACAGGCAACTTGTTACGAAAATTACCTCAGTGCGGGCTTCTTGTTCCCAGTGGCAGGCTGTTGGCTCCGGTTCCGACCGACGAACGCTGCACTGGAGCGTCGTTCCACCTGGAGTGATGTGGGAGCCTCGGTATTTGGTTCTACCTCGTACCGATTTCGGTTACCGCACACAGGCAGATCTCTTTCTTCCTTTCATCATTTGTATTCCAGCGCAGCGGAAACTTCTCCTGCAATAATAGAACAGCGACCAGTCGCAATAGAAGTTGAAGTGATATAGTGACACGAATACTTACGCCACTAAAAATCCGTACCTGTTTCTATAGCGCGGTCGTCGCTCATTTCGATCATGACTTCCATGACCACCAGCATGATGACGCGAAGAGGAAGACGGCATGCGCGCGTTCCTCGAAGGGCGACGAGCAGGCGTGCGATGCCGATTCGCCGCCAACCCAGTTCGTTCGTCCGAGGAATCCATCATATCCTGGTCCAGTTCTTCCTCGGTGCGAGAATCGGGATCATTGTGCTGGAAGTCGTCAACATCAAAAGCGTCCGCTTCGTTATCTTCCTGCTCCGCCTGCGCCTTGAGCACTTCATCCAGGTTGAGCTTGCTGTATGACAGAAGAGTTTATAGAATCCCGGGTCCCAGGGTAGGGAGGACCAGGGAGGGGATTTTGCTATATAAAACCGAAAACCGAAAACCGAAAAATCATAAAAACCCCAATCGCGGCGGTATGGTGCTCTTTAACAATTTGCGCGAGTTTTCCATGCGGAATATACTCAATCTCCATGGTAGTGCGATGTCGGGAATGCGGCGACAAAAGACAAAGCTATAAGGCGACGCGATGGCAGAGGCAAAGCTACCCTACAAACGGACCGCGCAAAGCTTTTCAAAAATATTTCAACAATAAATTTCCAGCACATACACAAAGTTTGCCCCTGATCCACATCCAACCGCCCCGGGCTTTGGACTGTTTTCTCCCCCGCGGGTTAGGCACCCTGCCCGCATTAGTTCCAAGGTCTTTACTCCCGTGCCGCGCCGTCATGACTAAATAATGGCTATGCCTATTGAGTAACGTTCTGCAGGACACGGCGGCGCGGCGACCGATAAACGAAAAGCAAGACCAAGACCCACGGCCCCTCTGGACCCGAACTACGCGAGAGGGCCCAGAGAAAGCCGCGCGCGGCAGGCAGGACACGGCCCGCCCGGCTGTCACAACGGTGCCCATAGCATGGGCGCGCACATGGGGTGGATGCCCGGGCCGAGGCCCACTGCCTCCCTAAACTTTTGGCGGGCCCCACCCCTGCTCTTTTTGCCAGTCTTCTCATTAGGGCGGTGGCATGCAGCTTCTCTGCTCTATCCTTCCTCGGGCCCTCGCCGGCAGTTCGGCCGCCGAGCTGATTTGCCTGCGTGGGTGCGTGCCCACCGCCATTGCGACCGACCGGGCGAAGTCAGTCAGTCCAGTGGGCAAAATAAGTGGCGCAACCCTTCCTGCGGGCCCCTTCGCCCACGCACGCCAGTCCTGGGGCCGGCCCCGTTTTCGTGCCCGCCCGCGCGGGCGGGGCGCGCCACGCAGGCAGTTTCTGGGTAGGGCGCGGGCGGTACACCCACACGCCGAGTGCGTGGGACACGCGCACGGGCCGGGCAATACAAGGAACGAAGGCCCGGGGCCCCCGGCGAAATGGGCGGGCGCGCGCCGGGGCGGACGGAGGCGCGCCAACAGGCCGCCTGGCTGCCCCGAAGCACAAGGCCGGCCAAAAGACTGCCCTGGGGCGGAGGGCAGGGCAGAAGCGAAAGCCGCCGGGGCGCGCGGGCTCGGACGGTCGGCAAAGGGCAGACTGGCCCGCTTCCCTGGCCGCGCTCTGCGGCGCGCCCTTTCCCCGGGGCGGGCCAACGCCTCCAATATGCGGGCGCCGGCGCGCAAAAGCCAGCGGGCGCCGGGCCCCCGGCGCGCGGCTGTTTTTTCACTCTGCAACAAAAAACCGGCGGGGGGGCCTGGCCCGGGCAACTTCTAATGGCCCACCCGGGGTGCGTGGCGCAGGGGCCAAAACCCGGGCCCAATCAAAAGCTAGCGCAGCCTGCGCCTTGAGCACTTCATCCAGGTTCAGCATGCTGTATGATGCGGCAGTTGGTTTCTTTAGCTGTACAACCAATGTTGATGGAACGGGAACAGTCGAAGATCAAACCAACACAAATACATTTTCCAAGGTGACGAGAACGACGTGCACAACGCGCCACTCGAGCCTGCAGGTCCAGATGAAAAGTACTTAAGCACGAAAGGAAACCGGCAGCCACTGCTTACCTGATCTGCGCCTCCCACCACGCCATTTCATCCGGACCCGGCTTGTCGAAGTTCATGTTTGCCAACTCGCCGCGTTTAGCCCTCTATGCATGGCAAAGGTGACAGACAGTCTCAGGGACGATAAAAATGCAAATCGCAGTGCCGCGCCGGCACTGCAGAAGTGGCTGGTCAACGCCTCATCTGATGAGCGCCTCATCTAATGAACTGCAGAAGTACAACGCCTCATCTAATGAACGAACTCTCAGAAAAAATGAAACGTGTTTCATCGTGTCGCCACAACATTTTACACCCTTTGTCGCCTTGTTTGAGAGCAACAACGAAAAAGCAATCTGTGATCCTTCGTCCCTGGGTTTGCATGCATCCCTGAACAAGACAACAACACACATGCGCCACCGATAGCCTCACATAGTACTGCACCTCGTCCGTACCCGGAGCCACGGTCTCAACATAATACTCAAAACGACGCTCGCCTTCGCCGTCTCCCTCTCCACCTGTTTATGCCATTATTATATATTTTCGCTGACAAACGAAGCTTGCTTCGTTGACACACGCAGCCGAGTGCGCACACACAGACACACTCACAATCATACGCAACAAGGAGCAGACGCGATACCGTTCTTCCTCTTTTTGCCGGCGATGCTGAACTCGCACAGGTTCGGTATCGAGATGGGTTTCTTGCAGTCCGCCAGCTCGTGCCGCTGCAGATACTCGAACCTCGGCTGCAGAAAATGCTTCCACGGGACAAAGCCCGAATACGCATTATCCTTAACATCGTCCAGGGGCACACCTGCGATATGCTTCCCGCCGTTATGGCACCGCAAAGGAAAGCCGCACCCATCCGCGAAGGTGATTTGACAACCACAAAACCATACACTCACTTTGTCTTTGACAGATACACCGCACCACAAATTGTCGGCCCAGTCAGTTCACGAGCAATGAGGATGAGCATGAAAGAACTATATAGCGCTTCAACAACGTATGCGCTGCCTGCAAAAATGCCGATGAGGTGGGCGCGACAGTTCCTGTTTTCATACTCGTCTCCGTCTTCTCCATGGCGCAAGGCCAGGCTGAAATACCCGGAACAGTAATTCTCGGGAACATTCAAATCGTCGTTCGGGCACAAATTGCCCTTGAAACGCGGCTTCCCATTGGCCCCACGCCGTCGCGGGGGTTTTCCGTTGGCCTTGGAAACATGACGCCGGTCGCCTTTACGGCCGATGTATGTGCTGGAGAGATTTCCAGACATTTTGATGAACATCTATGGTTTGCTAGATGAAAGAATTAGACTGTACAACACAATTGCGTTTTACGAAAAATGCTTTTGTTTCTTGCTTGCTTTTAGAAGTAGCTGCCGTATTTACGTTCACAATCTCGCTTTGAGCAGTCGTTCTCGCTGTGCTTCTGCTTGTCTTTAGCTTTACACTGAAATCTTTTACATGCGTTGCATTTATATTCGTATTTGTAAGCACTTCGAACGAGAGAGAAACTTTTCTGAAAGAAAAATAGGACAGTAGGAAAGATTTTTGTGTCTACATTGAAGATGTTGACTCGAACTTTACGATGCGCCAATGCTTTTTACAAATACAGATAGAGAAGTCGCTTTCTACGACAAGAACGATGCCGCGGATTTACAGTCTACGCACGATAACTTTCGCTGTAGTCTTGAATGTTCACGATGGACTGACTCATGGTCATGAGAGAGACAGACACGTCCACCAGATAAGCCACAGCGAAACTGACCACCAAAATGCGCTTTTTTGATTGAACTTGAAGTTGAACCGAACGTTGACCGTGTCGTTTTGGATTTTCGTTTTGACGAGTAAATTAGATCCGCGTCACGAAAATTATGCCAGCACTTCTAGAGAGTACATCGATCTGCTTTGTTCTCGCAACACACGTCGTCGACTTCGATACACGATAAGACATGAAGAGGATCGCGACGAGGATGGAGCTTTTCTTGCGAACTGCCATTCACAGTATGCCACTGTACTAGATCTCTTTCCTATATGTGGTTCGTCTCTTATCTTTTGTTGCAACCTGCTATAGGAGAAGTTCGTATTTGCGGCGCCGAGAAGACTTTTTGATGTACAAAAAGATTTTTTTTATGGCAACTACACTTATTCGTCCTTCCAATAGGTTACTGAGGTGCGAAATCGAAAATCAGTTAAGTGCAGTTCACAATTGAAGATCTACCAGATAGAGGCGCAGCTTTTCAATGCATTTCATGTGACTAAAAAACACTCACACGCGCGGCTTGTTGCCCTCTGCGCTTTAAGCTTCGCACCACCACCAGCAACTTCCAATTCACAGCTAGACCCGTTTCCGAAAGCTCCAGAATTATCTGCAAAAAGACCTATTTAGCACAAGCGCAACCGAACAGACAGGCGAAACGAACAACATCCGGCAGTCGGATTACATCCAGAGAAGGACGACGCGGCAACAGTTTCTTTTTTGTAGAAAGTCATGTACAAATCAAGGAATTCTCCGCGGAGGTACTTGAGCAAGTACATCTAGTTTGTTTCCTCGGGAGCTGCGCAAAACATTTGCAACGCTGCTAAATCGGCTAGAGAACGATGACCTCGTCGAAGTAGCACAAACACTATGAAGTTGAAGAAAGTACTTAGATGAACTGACTTTATTTCGTTAACAGTACGACATACTTATTTTCAATATCGGTCGTGCTCGGATGTTGAAGATCATGTCTCATCTTCCACGCCCTCGAATAAAGTTGCGTCGCCACTGCTGGGTTCAGGTTTCAACTTGGCTACTACACCGGCCAGCCTAGCGCGTCGCTGCTCGAGCGCCGCGGCCCCGGGCGGTTGTGGTGCAGCCATTGGAGTGGCCGCGAGGGGAACCTTGTTCGCCGGCTTCGTTTCCACCTCGTCTCCAACTTTATTAGGCAAGGCGCCGGCCCGCGCCAAGGCTAACGTCCCGGGCATCGGAGGTGCCGGCGTGAAACCCGCGAAGAACATGTCTGGCTGCATGCTCGGGTAGCTCGACCCAACCATCGTGTTCAGAGTTGAATGCTCCGCATTTTGCGAATGTGGAAGGAAAAAGGATTTCATCCCAACTTAACATTATTCCGACTGCACGATCTGATAAGTATCATTTCTTTTGAAACACGGGAAAAAGTCTTAGAACTAGAAGCAGAGGGACGCCGACCTGCCTCCCAGTACCGCCTGACGAGTCAAAATGATTTCTTCCAGTGGTCGACTTTTTCATGCCCAAAGTGCAAATTGTGCGACGTGTAGCTCCATGCATACCGACCGCCCATGTGCGCGCGCAATGCCAATGGCTAGTGATAGTGAATACAAATATATTAGAAATAAAACGAAAACAAACAAGGCACCAGTTTTTATGCTAGAGGAAGAACTTTCTGGCCTCGCATGCACAAGATTGAATGCTGACGTCTGACAGACGTCGTCTCGAATACAGTTTTACGAAATTGTGCAGCGGAATTGGAGAGACGAAAATCCTTTTTCCCCGCATATGTTCATCAGGTCTTCCGCACCCAAGCCGTCTTGCTCTAGAGGGCCAGTTCCCCCCTTGCTCTTCGATTTTTCCAGTTTTTTCTTTGCGCGGTTGCCGTATCTCTTTCCGGCTTTATTCGGTCCCTCTTGTTCTCCTTCTCCCTCAACATCTTCAGACCCGAGGCAGCAAAAAGCCCAGACGCACAACAAAATCGTCACCAAGGCCAGCACGGACGAACCGATCACGATCCCCATCGCTTTCCAGGTGAGCGCACCAAGGCAGCTCTCACTGTCATCAGCGTCGTCCTCGTTCGTGTCTTCAGTGGTCCCATTGGTTGTAGCGGAGCTCCTTCCCAGTTCTTGTTCAGAAGTCCTCTCGTTAATACGCCCGCTCCCTGCTTGCCCCGTCGAATTCTTGTCCGACGCAGGGAATTGATCGAAAAACAAATCGACGTTTGTGTAGTCGGGCAAGGGGTGGGTCCCTCCGCCCTGGCCAGGACCACCTCCCGGCGCATTAATCTCCTCCGCTACCCCAGGAGGTGTTGATCCACCTGAGAAAGTAGTTGTAGTTCTACTTTTGGTCTTCACAATATAGGGGTGCGCGGTCGTAACCGCAGTCCGTCCCGACCACTCGCAGCCGACTAAAGGAATCTCTGTTATTTTGGAGGTAGAGTTGATGTGCCCCGGCCCCTCAGTGGCCGCGAAATAGTTCTGCCACCGCATGGTGCAGGGCCGCTGCTCTTTCACCACATCTTCCAGCGCGATGTCCAATCGGACCCACTCTCCGAGGGCAATGCGGCCCGTACGCGCAAGGCGAATTTGGTTGCCCCACGTGTTGAAGGGTAGGAGTATGAAAATGAAAAATGATCCCACCCTCCCCATAGATAGTACTCAACTGGAACATTGGCGTCCTGTGATAATTCGGGTACTACTCAAATCAGCTCTGTCTTGCACCAAAGAAGCACATGTCTTCGTTCGGTCTGCGACCTTTTTGCGTGTGTACTGTCGTCTAGTAGTGGCTGAGACCCACGGCCGAAGTCGTGTCTGCTCTAGGCTAGTAGAACGCATTAACACAGATTGCCGAAAATGCAAGATGTGCATTGAAGCTTGTGCTTCTTGTGCATGCAATGCAGAGCTTTTTTAATGGCCAAATCCAGCATCAGACACCCCCGTTTCTTGGTGAAAGAACATCCGGAGGGGGGACTTATTTTCCTCGCGATACGGAGAGCCGCTTCGTCTTCGACGATTTGCTTTTGGAGATCGTCTTGCCGGTCCTGATTAATATCGCTTTCTGTTCCACCTCCGAGGTTCGTGTCCTGCAGCTCTCCTCCATTTATTCCCGCTCGGGCTGCACCACCAGCTGCGTCCTTATCCATTTTTTCGCTCTCTTCGTCCTCGTGTGCGGTCACTACTAAGACAACGCAGGACCCTTCCAAGGCGTCCCACAACTGAAAGAGTCCAGACTTGGAGTTCGCACTGCCATCCGCCCTCCAGTCCCAGGTCGGTATGCCCCGAAAAAGGATGATGACCGCAAGAGTTCGTACAGTGTATGATAATTTCAGTAGCTAAGCCAACATGAACAACATGACGAGTGAAGTCGGATGAAAAATATTTGGAAGGTATTTTTCAAAATTTGCAAGAATGCAATTCACGACGCCTGATCGTATCTATAATGCGATCTATCATCCTTGTGCCGGGCGTAGACCTGTACCGGAGCAAATTATGGAGAAAAACCACCGCATACCTTGGCTTGCTTTCGTGCCCACCTTCTTCTCCAGTACTACAGGTTTCCGCAAGTTGCTGCTTCAGCCACGTTGCGCTGGAGGCCAGCTGGTTTAGGCTGTGACAGTCCTTCCAAGATAAACTACTTCCAGTGCCGGTACTTGTTTCCTCATCTTGCGCGGCGATTTTGTCCAGGCTATCGGTGCTGCTTTCGCCACACTGCTGATATCCTCCCGCCATGTAGTCGTCGCGGCACGTGTCCTTATACTTGGACATCAAGGAACTGCTCGCGTCCTCTACTTTGCCGCAGGCTTGCTCGATTTCGGATCGATTTTCCGTGTACTCGCTTCCGAGACGCAGGCAATCTTTCTTCGCCCGGAAAAGCTCCTCGCACACGCCTATCAAATGCAAAAATGTCTGGGTCTGGAAGATTTCTAGATTTGTCATGCATATTTTCCACGACCCATGATGTCTGTGATGCATGCCGTAGCATCATAGATCTTTAGAGGGCCTTGTGATACCTCTACCGCATGAGAAATGCCCTCTCCACGCAGGACAAACCCGACCCCTCTTGCTGCTCATGCAATACAGATTTTTTCAGAATCCAGAGATAGCATCACAACTTACATCCTTCCAGACCCAGATGACATTTTTGCAGTTGATAACGCCGTCAAACGCCGGGTGCTCGTGTATCAAAGTGAAAAATCCCCCCTCCCCATATTGAAACGGAAACTTCTGTTGCTGGGCGTGTGTACACAAATCAGCCCTGTATTGCAGTGAGGCACTACAGGGCATAGCCTCAGCCTGCTTAGGGGCGTTTTGTTGTAGGCGCTCAGCATAGCAGAGGCCTGCGATGTTGGTGAAACAGCATTACAAATCGCCTCCAGAAGGCGGCGGGTTCTTTGGATTTGCCTTCTTGCAAGAGAGACAGGATTTGTGGTCACAAATCAGCATCACAAATTTTTAGGAGCATACCTTTTCAATGTGGGGAGGGGGGATTTTTCCTCACAGTATCGTGCAGCGCGAAGAACCGCACCCGGTGGTTTCGCATCACTGAGAAGGCGTACGCAGCGGAAAACTTGTCGAAAGCATCGACGGTTCCGCCCTGCGAGACCGCCCGCGGGAACCGGTCACTCACCAGATCCTCCGGCTTCGCCGCGCTCTGGGCCTGGAACACCAGCGCACGCATCCACTGCAGCCAAGCCATCACATTCCCACTGTAGCCGAACTTGTACGCTTCTCCGTGGTCCCACAGCGGCTGGTGCTCCGCGTGCCCGATCTCATTGCCACCGAGCACCGGATACAGATTCACCTTGTAGGGGGCCACGGCACCACCAGCAGCTGCATTTCTTCTGGTTCCTGTCCCTGCAGCTACACTACCATCCGCTGGATGCAAATAGTTTGGGAAATTTCCCACAATATTCTCGAAGTACGATTCGATCGGTATCGCCGTTTTTGCCCCTTTTTCCACCAGATCTCCCAGAACCACCACGTCGCGCAGCACGTCCTGGCCGTTTGTTAGGGAGGTCAGGATACCGCTTTGCTCCAGCTTTGCCTTCGCCGACAAAGAATACAAGGTTCTTTCATGAGGACTAGAAGTTTCAGCGGCATTTCTAATTCCCGCCGGACTCGCGAACGCGGCTAGGGAGAAGAAGTCGAGCTCTGCGGATAAGGGGGGCGACGTTTCTGATGCCTCGGCGAAATTTTGGTGTTCCCACAGCCTGTACTCATCGAAGCTCTCGATTTCAGGAATTTGCAGCTCTTCACTGCTGCATCTCGTCACTACTTCCCCGTTTGTCTTCACGAACTTCTTGTAGAACCCATCCGTCGTACAGACGTTGACGTTTTGAAAAGGATTCACCGGTTTCGTCTGTTGCTGCCACAATTGGAAGAACGGCCTGCTATAATTTTCATTTGGGATGCTTGGTGGAGGCTCTGCTGCATCTCGTGGGTTGGTTGGAGGCAAATAGTGGGGCGCAGGATGTGCTGGTGGCGCCAAAACGGCTCTGACTTTTGGACTGCGGGCAGGAACAGTTCCCGCCGAAAACGAGCGCTCCCCTCCGAACGGCCTTAATGTGGGAGGTTTATTTTCGAAGGTCTTGTAGACCTGAGGGACATCAGGGACAGGATCAGGACCGCCACTATCTTCTCCTCTACCCCCTGAAGATGAAGATGCCATGGTCTGGCTCTCGTCACTGGCGGGCAGACTGCCTGAGACCAACTCACCATCGTGTTCATGCGCCTGCTGTGCCCCAGACGAGACGGACGGAAAAAAGTCGTGGGCTTTAGTATCAACATCATGCAACGACCACGCGGATCTGGCTGTAGTTTCATGTGAATCGTATGATCCAATATTGGAAACGTCGGCGTGGAGGTCTTTGATGTTGTCTAAGCGGACGAACTCGCGATCGTCTACTTCTCGCAGCGCTTGCTCCGCGAAGATCTTCCGCGGTTTCACTGGATCAGTTTCTAGGCCTCCTGCTGTAGCTCCACCAGCTGCACTGTAGTCGAGCAGAACTACATCATGCGCTTGGTGAGCGCGATCCAGTAGTACTTGGAGCTCCTCATTCTGCGCAGCTGGACGACCTGGAGCAGTACTTCTAGCCGTTTTGGTTTTATAATTTTTTCCATGAGCTTCTGCTGCAGCTCCTGTGTCTAAAAATAATGTCGCGGCGGGGGTTCTACTACTCCGAGGACTTCTCTCCTTCGTCTCGTCTGACTCCGATGCGATGATGATGTGGTCCTCTGCACTTTTTATTTTGTTTCGATCAGAAACGACCTCCGTGCTCTGCTTGGGAGAAGCACCGGATATTAACGCGGAGGACGTCGACGTCGAGAGAACTTTCACCTTCCTTGCCCTTCTGCTTATCCCACCTTGTTGACCCTGCCTTTTCTGAAGGAACAAGAACCGCGATGAAGCCGCATGTCGCTCTAGTTCTTGTACTTCTTCGTCGGCTACTGTTGCAGTTCTCGACGGGGCGCTTGCACTAGTTTTTCCTTTGGCCGCAGCTCCTGCGATTGCTCCACGCAGCTGCGAATGTTGCTGCCTTTGGCTTTGCTTCTCCGACAACAATAGATCGCTTGCAGGAGGTCCTGCAAAAGCGAAAATAAAGCTTCCTCCAGGCCGACTGAGGGTGTTGAGCAGAAACAAGGTCTGCTGCAAGGTGTGGTGTCTCGACCACGCCGGCATCAAGCAAGAGGTGTCAACACGCGAGCAGGACGATTATTTGCAAACGTGGGTGAAAATGCTGACAGCAAGCTTTCACTTTCAAGTTTTCCGCTGGTGCATGAAAGTCACACATTGGTTGGTTCGTTGTGGGGAAAAAATGTAAGTACTTAAGTTTATCTTTGCAGGGGCGAGTAGATGATCAAGACTACATTTACTGGCATTTGCTAATCAGGAGGCTGGCAACGCATGCACCTTAGGTGCATGCGTTGTAGGTTGTACAGGGATATTTTATCAGTCTCAGCGGGATGCCATGCATCACCGTGACTTATATCGTCGCCATGGCAAACACGTCGTTCTGGGGGGTGTACATCTACATTCTGAAGAACTTCATAATGAATGTTGGGAGATACAAACTTACACCTATAGTCTTGGTTTGAGAAATCACAATCAGCCGGCGCTTTTGATAATTAAAGGCGCAACTACTACTGCACGGGTAAGTCAGTGCCTGATCCTGTTGGAATTCTTATAATTTCAATTTGCATATTCATACATAATTCCCCCGGGTAGAAGGGTCCACACTCTTCTATCTGTTAGAAGTTAGGCCCAGGAACGGTCCAAACAAACCAGGAAATCGTGACCAGATACAACGGAAGAGCACAGCGGAATGAAACATCTGGCTGCGATAGAACGAAGATTTTTCTGTACGACTACGAGAACGAAGCATGGAACGACTTGTACGACAAGAACGACAGTATCAGTATCTTCATGTTATACAGCGTCAATAAACCATCAATGCGGCTTCAACCAACGATATCAAGCTGTTTATTCTTATCGGCACGAACAAGAAGTGAATCTTGACGAGTTACAAGTTCATTGCATCGTTCCAGATGTCGTATCCTCATCTGTGAGCAAAGCGATGTACGTGGACGCGCATTAGATGAGCAGTGGTCAACATGATAGTTGCTGTGCTGGAGCAGAGTAACGCAGGGAGGGTCTTGCGAACAAAAAAAAGGCAAACAGAGCCCAACTCACCACCTCCAGGGTTTGCAATTTGTTGCCTGCTCCGGTTGACCGAAAACAAACAGTAACACGAAAAATGCTACGCAAATCGCTGCGGTTGACATACGAAAATTGATTGGCTTTTTCATTGCATCTATCAAGGAAATCATGAGAACCTAAATTTTTCTCGAAGAACAACAACAACAATGAGCGCGATACACAATCTTGCATTGGAATACAGCGAGCTACTCCATTAAAAAAAAAACGCAGAAACAGAAAGTGAATGCAAAAATCGGCAGGAAGACAATATTGCTATTTGTACCGTCTATCAGATACCTACCAAAAAAACAAAGAGCCACTCGCTTCCGATCGGTCGCCTCTTGTTGATGCGTTTGCTTCGAGAATTTTTGCGCAAAGACTTGCTTCTGGATTCGAAATTTTGTTACGGTAAGTAGTGCCAGTTCTTGAGTGCATAAATTTACCTAAAGGAAGCATAATTGTATCGGTGTGTATTCCATTGCAATTCAGTTTCTTTTATTTTATTGACTTGTCAGAATTCGTCTATCTAATTAAGTGCCAACTTCTTCTCGCTGATAGCCATGAGTATTGACAGAAGAAGAGCACGAACAGGCTCGCAAAAAAGGCATCAGACTCCTTTCCTCTTGTAAAATTATTTGCAATAAACAGGTAAAAAGGCACCACACGACTGCACACGAGGCAGATAGAGGCAATGTCACACATAAAAGGAAACAGAAAGTGATTGCAACTACACTGAGGGCAGCACCACGCGTCTACAGTCATCAAGCGCTATGCTTCGTCTCCACTCTTCCGTTTTTCTCATTCCTTCAAATATCTTCCGAATCCGATTTCGAACCGTGTAAGAGGCTTTGTAGTATGTGAAGTGTTCTTGTACTGTACTGTAGCAAAAGGAGCGTGAAAAAAAAGCAGGGAGCGGCAAAGCCATACCTGTAGGCCTTGTTGCAGCTTTTGCGACGCACTCTGACTGAAGTTGTAACTGAGACAACAATCTGCGAGAAAACTCAAAGCTGACAAAATCTACGGTATAGTGCTGCTTTGCTTGGTACACACGAGAAAAATGGACAGGTGATGGATTTAAAGACTACAACTAGTTGAAATTTCGGGTCGGATAGAAATCATTCAGGAATGTTGCAAGAACTTTGTTTAGTGGTTCGGTGGATCGATGAAACAAGCATGCTCTTACTTCTGCCTCCGACGCGAGGTGGGGTAGTTTTCTACTCCTCTCTGCCATTCTTGCCTTTGAAAATCTATGCGTTCTCTCGAGGACGAAAAAGGTCCTCCCACGCTTGAAAAAAAAACTTCGCGAACTGAAAGTACTGGTAAAGTGAAAATCGAGGTAAAAGAAAAAGCAACTTCAAACAAATTGTACACAGTAAAATGGATGCGATGAAACTCGTGTCCCTTTGATAAAGTAGTTTCGTTTTGGTTTATTTATTGACATGAAAGTTTTACCCCGAACTCAAGCGCGCCGTACTTTTTTATCGGAGAGAAGACTTTTCGACTGGTCCGTTCTCGTCGTTCTGGTCGAAAGTAGTCGCCTTCTAAATTGACATCGTCGACAGTTTACAGGCACGCCTGAGCCACGCAACGAAATGAGGCAGCGTGGAATTGAGAAGGACCAATTTATGACTTGATGTTGCAGTGGAACTGGTTGGACTATCACGTCGACCTTCGTCAACAAAAATACAGCCTTCATCTGTACTCCCGACAACTGCCTGCCCAACTGAGGCTGTCGTCGCTGATGAAAACAAGTGAAAGTCGCCTGCACGACTAGTACTGCTCCCGTCGCTGTGCTGTGGAAACTCGAAGTCGAAGCCCGGCGAAAACTCAACGAGCACCTTCCCACTCTGTGTGATCTTGATCAAAACGTAGGCTAGCGGGCCCAGGCAGTGCAGGTGCGACTCGACGAATTTTCGTGTTTTCACGTCGGCGATCCCGCCCAGCAGGTTCGGCTCCTCGAGGTGGAGGAATAGATGCAGCCAGGAAAGGAGCACCGACTTCCTGGTGAAGTAGAGTGACGTTTGCCGGTTGTTCACCAGGGACAACGGCGCACCAGCAGGGTCGTGCATGTTACTGGAAGCCGTTGCACTACTGAAAGAGCCAGACATTCCAGTCATCTGCTGGTTGTAGGAAGATAACAACTTACTGTTGCTGTATTGCTCGAGCCGATCGCTCTGCATTTTCAAAGCGTCCACCTCATACAGTGCCGGCGGACCGTGCTTCAGCAAATTCAGCCGCTTCTGCATCCGCGGCTCTGGAGGTTGCTTTTTGACTGCTGGTGGCGCACCTGTGGCCGGGTCGTGACTTTGCATGATGCCTGCTTCTACTGTTGCAGGAGCAGTAGAGGCACTAGCTAGATTCTCTACGGACCGGTCCGTTGACGGTACTTCAACTTCTACGACTGGCGGAAAATTGTAGTAAGTCGCATTTTTGCTTTCCTCCGCATTTTCACTTGACGTTCTTGCTGCGGCAAACTTGAGCGGTGTTTGTCGTGTACTGCTGCTTCGAAGGGGCCATGCTTTGCTCATTGCTTCGTTTGAAGATGCAGCTTCTACTAGTTGTACTTCCGGAGATACATTGGAATCTTTGCCGTCACCATTTGATTGCGTGTTTGAAATCTTGTCGTGTGCTGATGTCGGAGAGGACTCCTCCCGGATATTTGCGCTCGTGAGACCACTTCCGCAAGTCACTACTTCTGCGGGTATTAAATCGACGTCTGCACCATCGTCCTCCACCTCCGTCGCACTGTTTGACGGATCCTCGTCCGAAAACTGGGCAGCAGCTGCACCTGCAGCTACAACTACTTCGGCCCGCGTCTCTTCTTTTAAAGTCTCATCTTCTTCTTCGGTGGATAAAGCAGCTGCTACCTCCACCAACCGCCGGTGCTCAGGGAGCGGCGACAGACTCATCTTAGAAGAAAGCAGGCTGCTCGTCCGCTCCTTGTTGTAGATCTTGTTCCCAGCTTTGTCAAGATGAAACCCAGGAGGACCATCAGAACGAGGAATATCAGTAGAATCATGATCGATATAATCAGACCCTGTAGTTCGTGTTCGTCTTGTTGTAGAAGTTCCCGCTGTAGCAGAAGTCCACTGCAGCGGGGCTTGTTCCGCAACGACAGCTCCGAGGTGGGCCGCCGTGGAGCTCGTGGTCGTGCTCACGCTCGTGCTTGCCGTGCTCAGCGTGGACCCGGTCCGATTTCTGCGGGAGACGAAGAACGAGTCGAGCTTTTTCAGAAACTCTTCTAAGTACGGCTTCAGCAGCTGCGCGGCAATGACCACCTTCTCGCTCCGCGTCAACCCAAACTCCTGCGGAATCAAGATTTTCGCGAGTTTCGAACGCACGAGGCGCTGCAGCTCGGTCGCTTGGTTTTTCCCGCGCAACAGTTTCTCCAAAAGTCCTGGATTCTTCCCGTAGTCATACTCGAGCATCCAATGCAACGTCGGGAACAGCGCAACCGTCTCGTTCAGCACCGTGGAGGACCGGCTATAACTTGTTGGGTTCGACGGGGGACCGCTGGAAGTTGCTGTTGTTCCACCAGTTCCAGTTGCACTCGCTTCTATAACAGGCTGTTTTCCTGCCTCGCGAGGTCCTCGAGGTGGACTTCTACCTGGAGGATCGTCCACCAGCGGTGCGCTTCCTCCCGCAGCCGTGCTGTCCCGATGCGGGCCACATTCTTGCATGTTCACCTTCTCCTTTGCGTGCGAAACGGTGTTGAAGCTGTCATTTTTCTGCATATTACTCGTGGTCTTCAGCCGTTGCAACTTTTCGGCCATAGTGACCCAGCGCTTGATCAGATTTTGCTCTTCCATAGTCCGCGGACTGGCCGCAGCCGTCGACGCAACTGAGGTCGCAGCGTCCAGCAAGAGCCCGTCTTCCTTTGCCGTCACTAGCACCTGCTGCAAAAGCTCGGCGACTCGGAGAAGGGCCCCGCGCCTGTAGGAAATAGATATAGAATTTTGGTTCGTTGTTCATCAACATGCGTCGTCGTTTTGTTATTGTTTCTTCTTAAATATTAAAGGTAATAGAAGTACTCACAGTATGCGAGGCATGCTAAACCCCGTCGAATCTTCACCCAAAATCCTAAAACCGGCGCAAGACACTCCCGTAGGATGCGGATCACTTCTGTGGGAAGTACTTAATAAAGTCCTGAAACACGATAAAAAGAGCGAAAAAGTACAGGAAAAAACAAAAAAGATTTTCATTTTTTCAATTCCACCACATATTATAGCTCGAAAGAGCTGCCTGCTTTTAAGTAATTCTTTACATGCTTCCAAACTCCTTCATCAGGTCCCGAATCGTTTCCTTAAGTTCCTCGTTCACAGGAGCAACCAGCACGGTAGATGATGAACTAGGCGAAGAGGTGGAGCCTTCCGGAAGAGGTCGATCTGGTAGTGCACCGGTGACAACATCACCACTAGGCACTTTAGAAGTATTCGTGCCGTTGACCACATTCAGTGCGAAAACCTGCGCGACCCTCTCGACGTCCGTTTCCGTGCTGTTCATGACTTCGTAAAGCCTCGCCCGACAGGACTTCAAGATCGACGCACCCGTAATGGAGGAAGCAGCTGCTCCACCTCCGCCCACATAGGAACTGATATCGCCCCCCGTGCTTGCTGTTTTCCTGGTTCGCATAGCAGCACTATCTTCAACAGCAGCTGTTGTTGTGGAAGATCCACCTCGCAGTAGATCTCCCAGGATCTCCGACCCCGCAGAGCTCGTTCGCCGCTCGGTTACATTTTTGCTGGCCACAGCGACAGCGGATGTGGCTGCGGAGGAGGACGAGGAGGACATCGGCGCGCCTAGTATTCTGCCCCCCTGACGATCCGCGGGTGCAGAGGATGAAGGCCCCATTCCGATGCTCCGCACGTAGGCAACGGCGGTTTGCGCAATGCTGCCACACACGTTGAGCAGAGACTTGGTAAACACCGCTGCGGTGGAAAGCTGACAGCCGTCGTGGGTTATCCTGAGTAAACAAGTCTCCACCCGACCATAGTTGCCATGCAGATTTGCATCTACGTAGATCTGTGTCTGTAATGCGCATGATCCGCATGAGAAGAGTTTGTAGTCGTGTTCTGGGAGTTAGGACAAGCAGGCGTCTTTGTGTTCATGCCGCTCTCCTTTCATGTAACCAGCACCCAACTGGGCCCGATGCAAACTTGTCATGCACCACTCCCAAAATTTCGAGATTTGCGCTGCATATTTTTTACCAACTCGACAATCGCGTGGGGATGTTCTTACGCAGGGTATCGGTGATCTTCAAGTCAAACTGGTGTCTGTACTGCGTTTGCAGCACGTGAATGTCCTCGCCCTTGTAGGATTCCGTCCGCATCTTCTTCCCGAGCAGCGTCGCCTGCTGCTCGCCGTGCTCGGTCAGCTGCCCGCCCGACTTCAGGACGATCAGAATTTTCTTCTCCTCCAGGTCGTGCAGCTTCAGTTTGATCTTCAGGTTCAGATTCTCGGCGGAGAAGCGGCGCGTCGGAAAATAATTCTCCTGCAGCAGCTTCACGATCTGCTCCAGGTGCTTCCGATCTTTCGAGAGCAACTTGTAGCTTTTTCTCACAACAGAAGAAAAAGTAGAAGAAGCCCCTTCTCCTCGCCCAGCCGTCGCTGATTCGTCTTCTTGCTGCTGCTCCTGCCCAGCTGCTTTAATATCGCCCCCCATTGGAGAGTGTTGCTGGTTTGATGGCTCCACCTCTGTTTCCGATTCCGTCTGCATGTTCAAAACCCCGCCCGATTCGCCATTTTTAAGTAAGTTCCCCGCCAGGTAGTTCGATTCGAGTCTGGCTGAAGTCTGAGAGGATCCAGCGGACCGCAGAGCCCGGTCTTGCTCCAGTATTTCCTGCAAAATCTTCAGAACCTGCTCGAATTCGGCTCGGTTCTGCAACGTGACATCCTCCGGTCGTTCGGTCGGTTTCCTACTTTGCTCTGCTGCTGCTGGTGGGTGATGTTTATTGTTCTTCTGCTCTCCGGACCCGTTTGGTGGCTGTCCTTCCTGTAGATCACTCTGCGCAGCAGAGGATGGAGACTGAGGCCCCATTGTCTTTACACCTCCAGGTTCTCTTGTGTCGACGGACGTGGCAGCTGGTGAAGACGGACCCTGGCAGCTGACCTGCTCTCTCGCCGTGTTTTCCTCTGATGCGCCGGACCCTGGCAGTTGCCGGTGTTGACTACTACTACTCGCCGCGTGGTCCACCACACCAGAAACATTCGCGAAAAACTGTTCTAGGAGTCTTTGACTGTAGACGAAAGCCTTCAACTTCTCCCGCGGCGTCGACTCCGCGGCCCGAAGACACCCGAGAATCGCGACAATCTGGTCCTCTACCTCTGGGGGGTCCTCGGGCTGAGTGTTCCAAATTGACTTCTTCACGTCTACGCGACTTTTCGCCGTCATAAATGTGCTGGAGGTGGTGTCCTCGATTTGGTCCTCTGCACCTCGTCGTCCACGTTCTTCGCCCATGTTATTGTGCTGGGCAACTGCACTCTTCTTCTCCGTTGTTGTTTCCTCCGAAGATGACAACTCTCCGGTCGACGGAACCTCAACAGTGGGACTGTAGTTCTTCATCGCATTTTTCGTCCGCTGCACAAACTCGTCGGCCTGCAGGTTCAGAAAGGAGCTCGCTTCGTGAAAGTGCAGCGTTTTCGGAATCTGGATCTCATGCTGCATTTGAACCGACTCCTTGGAAAAGAAATCGAAGTCGGTGTTCACCTCGGGATAACTTTTACTACTTGATGATTTTCTAGCACTAAACGGAGATGGCCGCGCTCCTGCGGTAGTTTCTTGTTCATCTGCAAGATAAACATCAGGATTGTCATGGCCGTCCCTCCTTGTAGTTCTTCTGTCGAGCTGTTGCAAGCTGAAGAAGTACTCCTCTCGGTACTTCTTCTGGGTCGCGATCCGGCGCAGCATCTGCGAGAGCACAAAGGCGCAATCACGAAAGTAGCCGGGCCTCTTCTTGACGAAGCTCAAGCCGTTGACGTCCACCACGACGGTGCCCTTGGTGGGCGTCCGGAGCAGGTCGATCCCGCAAATCGTTTGTTTGAACGCCAGCACGGTGTTCTTCACGATGTTCTTTTCTTCTTGCGTCAAAATGATCGGGTACCGCAGCTCCTTTGTGGTCTTTTTGGATGTTGTCGTGGGTGTGGTACTAGCTGCTGCAGCAGTTGCTGTCGCAGGAACAACCCCCGCTGCTCGTGGCCCACCACCTGCCACTGGTGCTGGTATCTTTAAGCCGGCTTGGCTGCTGGAGGTCGTCTCGACCTCGCTTGTTGTAGTTTCCTGTTTAATATTTTTTCCTGGTGTGGTCATGGAGGAAGATGAAGTAGTTCTTGCAGACGAGGTGGTCTTAGTTGGCACGACAACCTTCACGTCCTCCACCAGGTCGACAAATCCGTCCACGACCGGCGCCTTCCGCGCCTCGGCGTACGCATAATTCGTTCCCACGGCGTACACTTTCAGATCCACGCCCGAGGTGTGGTAGAAAGGCTCGTACAGGTAGCATCCGTCCTTCCGGATCGAGTACGTCGCGGACGATGCGCCCGCCGTACCACTATCGTGATTGCGAGCAATGCTCGCATGTAGCTGCTCTTGTAGTTGACTTGTACTCGCCTCCGAGTTGCTGGAGTCCTTGCGAGGCTGAGCATCAAGATGGCCGCTTTCCCCCGGCCCCGCCCCCGCGCTTTTTCTGCTACCGCCCTCCGTTAGTGTTATCCTAGATAGGTGTTTGGAGCTGCGCATGACGCCATCAATCTTCTGCTTCCGGAAGATCTTCGTGATGCCGCCCCCGTAGGAGGTTTGGGGGTAGTACACGTTGATATCGTGGTTCTCCGCCGAAAGAGGCTTCTCAACGAAGGGCTTCTTCAGCCGTCGCCCCTCAAACTCGATCCAGTCCTCCTCCTCGACGAGACTAGTACTGTAGTGGCCTTCTTGTTCTTTCCCTGCTTTCCGTAGCTGTTCGTGGTCGATACACAAGAAGTCGGGGCACGGGATGTTGTTTCGCTGCAACGTTTCGTAGACAAATTTGCGCGAGAGCAGCGGTTCCTGAAAACTGACGTCGTTCAAACACACCGGTCGCCGGAGTCGGATGTAGTGCAAACACTTCTGATATCCTGTGTAAAATAAACGTCCTCGTCCTCCCACATTCGTCATGCAAAGTGTTTCTGTCATGCGCAGCGGCCACCGAATTATGAGAGTGCAGCTTTTCAATGCTATAATCCGAGAGCTGGTCAACATGCTAGCATCAGAAAAAGCTGATCGATTTGCTCTCATGCGGCTGTACTCGCTAATAAAGCACACGATTGCATGGAACGAGGCAAAACTTGTGGTGCGCAACAGCCGAAATTGTTTGATTTGTGTAGCACGGATCGTCCCATCTTCGCTCTAGTAGGTTGTAGGGTGGAGACTTTTTTACGTGGGATATCTGAATCGGAAAACCGTGGGTGTGAAAAGCGATCAGAAAATCAACCACCGGCCACTCTTCCACCGGTTTGTTTAAAATGCAGCCGCTGTCACGCAGAAAAAAAACTACCACATCTTCACGCTTGTAAACAAAAACCGGATCCAATAGCATTATGCTCTTTTCGGTAGATCATTTCATTGTGTATTGCTACGTAACAGCATCCATTTTTTTTGCGCATCCGTGCAAAAGTGATGTGCTTATTTTTTTCTGCGCGATAGTCGTCCCCGAATATGACCGTCTCAATTGTCCAACACTCTTCGTCGAAGGGTGCTGCTGCACCCTTCGCTTTCCCATGATCTTCTGCTCCGTCCTTGGCGGCAGCGGCCAACGTGGTTCCGGGTCGGATCAACATTTCTGGGCGGGGGGGATTGAACCTCTGCAATTCCAGCAGAATGGCCTGCATGCTGTCCCCGTACACCTTCCGATCCCGGCTGCAAATCCCCAGCGTGATGATCCTTTGTTTGTCGGACCTTCCATCTTGCAGCGTCGGTGCTGGATTTGCTGCTTTTTTCTCGGGCGTTTTAATATTTCCTTCGCCGTGCGCATGATCCTCACCTTGCTTATCACCTTGTTCCCTTCCAGCTGCAACGGATGCAGGATTTTTACGGCCTGACGCCTCGTCCCCCAGCTGCGGCCCTCCTTGTCGAAGAGGTTCTTGAGCGAAATTTTTTTCGTTTGTCGTGCCCGCCGCGCGAACATGTTTCGGCGTCGTCGTTTCAATAGCCGTGTCAAATAAGTTCCTTTCCTCGTAGTACTTTTCCACCACGCCGGCGGAAGTAGAAGAGGAAATGGACAATGAATTTCGCTGCGTCGTGGTTCCCGCAGGTGCAGCAGGAGCCACGACTTTATTTCTTGTCGCAGAAGCTGCATTTTTGACTTGATTGCCAACTGGTAGGGAAAACCGTTCTGCCGCTCGTGTGCCGTGCGAATCAGAAGAAAGCTCTTGCGTGGAGGTGCTAGTGCCCGCGCCGCGGCCCGGGGTGGAAGCTACACGACTGGCGGAAGTAGTTTCTTGGTGGTGCTGCTCCTCCCCAAGCGGAAATGAATCATCTGGAGCTAACGGCGGAGATATTGCGTTCCGGTTGTGCTGACCATCGTTTTTATTTCTCGCGAACGACGACGCTTCGGATCCAGAATCATACTCCTCCTCAGGATCAGATTCAGGGGTCCTCGAAAATGAAGACCCTTTGCTCTCGCCCTGACCCATGATATTGGCGACGACTCCACCGCCCGTCCTGGCAGTGCCAATGGCTCCTTGTTCCAAACGCGGGGAAAGATAGCAGGGACGGGAGATTCCGCCTCGTCTCGTCCACCCAGCAGGTTCTTTTTAGCGCTGCCCCATGTGCTGGAAAAATTCGGAAAATCAACCGAGGTTCCGCAAAAATACTTGAGCCATGTCGTGTCCGTGTGAAAGAATAGCTCCTTTCATTTCTTTTTTACCGTGTATCCTTACGGCCCTTGCCGGAGCCGGGGGCACTTCATCTCGTCACCTGTGACCTTGCACAAGAAACGCTTTCTTGTGTATGACAGGCACACTAAAAGGGAGTGCCACGTGCGCTAGCTGGTGAGTGTCTCGCTCCTGCCACCTCGCGGGAAAAAAGGCAATCCAAAAACCCCCCCGTCGGGTTTTGAAGATAATGATAACATCCGGAGGACGGGAGGCCATAGTGGAAACGCACATCATAGCAACAGCCACACACTTTTATTGTTTACAGGCACCCCCAGTCCCCATGCACGGTAAAAATTTAGCGCGACTTTACTTGTTCCTCTACTAAACTTGTACTTCTAGTACCTAACGATGCTCACGTGGAACATTATTGATCTTGTACCAAAACCTACGAGGGAACATCGATGATGACTGTCTAAATTGCGTGCATCGCTGCAAAGGGAAACCGCGGTTCCACACGGGAAACCTCCTGAAAATGAAACATGAGAAAATGATCATGGATGGTGCTAGCGCAAGTGTGAGTGCTTCTATATGCATGTAATATCGATCGCCGAGCGTGCATGTAAGCACCGACTGCGGGGGGGGGGCAAGCATGGATGTATCCAAGAGAAAAACTGCTGCTAATAAGAAGAAAGAACTGCGTACCAGATGAGCGCTACGGATAGGATCAGTTCTAGCATCTTTGCGTGCAGCCAGCCGAGCAAGGCAGTACAAAACGGATGATCTTCCTTCCACCTCTGTCTTCGTGTCACGTCTTGGTCTTCTACGCACTTCAAATAAAGAACGAACAACGATCGAGGCCTCATCTTGGTTCTCTGCAATAAGTACAAATTCAAATGACGGCTTGCCACGACAGCCGCGACGCCAAAGGCAAGAGGTGTATTCTTATTTCTTCCTTTTCTTCCTAATAGTCAAAGAAACTCGTCGTTTTTCGTCGCACGGCATTTCGTCGCTATGCCGTACACCAACTTTTTGTCAATAACTTTTTTCCTCTTGTGGTGTGGTGAGAGAGAATCTCATGCCTTTTACAGAATTGATGCAGGAGCAAAGAAGAGCTTCTTGCTCATTCTTTATGAGAGTTCTTCATCAGTAAAACCTCTGCCTGCTAGATGTTAACACGATGGTGTTGCAGATAATTTTTTGTGAAAACTCCAAACCCTACTTGTACTTACCACAACACCTCCCGACGCCTATAATCACCACACTCCGAAAATGCCCTGATCGACCCATTGCTACTTCTTGGCACGACAACTACGTTGATCTTTATACTAGACGTGGGGTCGTCGCTTAAGGAAGCGAGCCGGAGTCTACCGTTGATTCCCAAACAGTAACTGAAAGATACCATGCCGCCCGCAGCCAACGAAAGCGGAGCTTAAAAAATCCGATTCAGCTCTTTCAATCGCATGTGGAAGTGAGGTTAATTTTGCTCGTGCGCTCCTTCCAGATGAAGAAAAACGCAAAAAAGAGCGACCTACGGAGCATGCGAGGAGAATGAAGAAAATCTCGTCGGCACTTCCACATCGGCGGTGGCGGTCCACAACTGGACCAGCCTAGTACTTCATTTCTGCAGAGAATTGAAGATGCTACAAAAAGTATTCGCAGTGACAATGAAGCCATGGCCCACTTCAGTTTCCAACTGGAGGAGACCACCAGTCCATTCTTCTTCCGACAAGAATAATGATGACGCTGGCAGGAGTGTGCCCTTTGGCGGACTGCTGTGATGTGCTACTCCCTCCTCCAGCCCGAGGACGAAACCAATCGCAAATAATATCGCTACTGCTTTTCTCATCTTCTGCGAGAAAACGTTGCCCAAAAATCGAAATCCGCCACGAGACCGTGCTTGCCACTGCGTAGCCACGGCCCGCTACAGATTCTGTACTGATATATAAGAGTATTTTATCTTTTCCTTTCGACCACGTTTTTCCCTTTGAATCTATTCCATAAAAAGCTGTGCCTGTTCTGCCTGATAAGGAAAAAATTACCGTCGTCAGAGCTGGAGCAAATACCCACCAGGGCCGCGGAGTTCTTGTGTAGCAGTGACAACAGGGCTGGACTTATCATCTACATATTTTAGGCGATTGCGATTTTCTTCTTGTGTTTGGGCATAAACTTGCGGCACCTGCTCTCCTGGCTAGCTTGAGAGAGCAAGAAGTTAACAGTATTTCACATGTCATTGCGCACTAGTGCAGTGGTCACTAGATTTTATTGTTACAACAAGCAGCCATGTCGAGTGACCACGGCGTAGTTCATTTCCATTTGTTCAAGAATAGCGCACAGACGCACATTGTAGTCATGAGGCACGCCAACCTATGTATAAAATTTTGCTGCTGAGTAGTGTAGTCGTGCCACACCCGCATGTCGCTAAACACTAACACACTGCTGGTTAATACAAATCTTTTATTTTGCGATTAAAGGGTAGAGATTCTATGCTGTCTTCGACTAGAAAAAGGGCCACCGCGACCGCCTCATCCGGTGGCCGCATATGTCACTAAGAAGCGTGCCATGCGTGCATTTACGATATATTGCTTTGGTCGTGCATTTACGATGTAATAACTTGATCCTTGTCGTCATCACGTGACAAGATGAAAGATAGATTCGCTTATGGTTATGCGGTTGCGGGAACGAATTATAGCTAATGCGAAATAATCTTGAGTCTTAGTGTCAGTACGCATTTCACCTCCGAATTTCGTTCAACAATCCGGCCGGCTTAGCACTCCTGTTGAAGTACTAATCCGACCAGACATTTACTATCAGTGGCAAAGTGTGTCATACACGACCCCGAACCAGTCTGTCGTGAACGTGGAAGATGAATACGAGCGTAAGTAGCAGCTTTACGACCTCTCGTTACCTAGTGACTTAGACTTTTTCACAAAGCCCTACTAACATCACTAGTATCCAAATAGAAAACAAAGAAACCTTACAGTGCTGCGAAGCAACTTTCCCCTAGTGGAGAAAGAAAATTGCAGTGTCGCTCTTCAGACTAGACTTGTCGTGCATTTTTTTTGTGATGGAAATTGTTAGTGAGTCACCCTTGGTGCGTATCATTTTCATTATGGAGAAAGGAATAGATACACCGCTGCAGTGTTGCAGACGCAGCGATTTCACTTTTTTCGAGCTATAGTTGTCTCGGCCTTTCTTTATATCGTTAGTATATCAGCTCTGTATTTCGGTTCTTCCTTATCATTATCTGTTGTATGAATCCAATTGCATTTTTTGTCTTGCCCAATCTCGGGGAGAAAAGCGCCATATCAAAATGTAAATTACATGAAAAATCATCTTCTAGTCAGCTCTTTTAAATGCCGTTGTTTCCTTTCGTTGCAAGAATTATTTTTTTGCGCATTGTTCTTTGCCGGCTATCTCTAGATACAATATCCTCTCTTTTATCAGGATAGTTACTGCCACCGTCAACGACGCAGACGTTGCGTCTTCTGAGTAAGTAAATAGCCTGGAAAATCCAGTCTGCAGCTGACAGAGACAGAAGAAAGTTTTTCTATCTGAGCTATAGCTTGCGCTTGGCCGTTGTTTCAGTCATAAAATCATTAATTCTTTTCGTTTTGCATCCACTTTGCATTTTTGCTAGCAAGCGGAATCGTCCTGCATCTCGTCATTTTTATTTGCCGTTCTTTGGTATACTTTCAGCTAGTAGATAATTTTCATTTTGCATTGTCGAACTACTAGTACATCGCCATATGTCTCACAGCTATTGCAATGATCGGCCGATCGTCGCCTTAGAAAACGGAAAGATTACACAACATGCAATATTAAACCCCTCTGTGAAATTCTCATCGTCTTTCGATCCGAAGTAAATGGTGAAAACCGGCCGCGATGGGTGTCCATCTTTATTCATTCACCTCCCATAGTATGATACTGCCTCACATCGTCCCGCAGGGCGGCAGCTCAGTCGGGTGCGGTCTGTAGTAGCCCGGACCGAATTCTCCACGGTACGGCCGGCCATGCGCGTCCACATCTTCTGCCTTGGGAACGCTATAATCGTCGGCCTCGCGGCTTTCGGTTTCACTGACGGCAGGAGGTGAAAATGAATTTCCTTTGCCGCGGGGGCACAGATCTTTTGACAACGACTTCACCGATGCCCCGCTGTTGCTGCTTCCGCCAAAACTGCTCTCTAGGCTTCTGCTACTGATCGTGCTGTCAGCTTCTGAATACAGGTCATCCTCATCGACGTCGTCGTCGTCGCCCGGCGCACTGGCACTGCCGCGGTCCTCCTCGGGTGGTCCGGGGCTCGTGTTGCGACTGAAAATGCCGCAAAAATGGGGCGGGTGCGATGACCCGTCAAGATCTTGCGGCTCACCAGCACCATCTGCAGGCGGACGTAGTGATTTCTGTTCCGCCTCGTCCTCTGCAGAGTAGGCGTGCGGCACCGTGTGCCGCGGCGGGTTCATCTTGCAACCTCCCACCCTTTCCTGGGCGGAGTCGTTGCTTTTATGGAAAAGCATGTGCGCTCTTCCGTCATCACACGTGAAAAAATCCTCGAAAGATTTCTCTTCTCCGAAGCCATCGCCTGTCATTTTCGGGTTGTCGGCACCCCCGCAGCCACATCCACACAGGGTTTTATTTAATAGCGGTGTACTTGTTCCACTTCGTGGAGACGCAGAGCTGTCATCGTGTTCCCTTCCTCCTTATCCCAGAGAAAAAAGCTGGCAGGGCATATTTGTAAGAGCGGGGTAACAAACCTCCCATAAGAAGTTACCGGCTAACTTCTCATCCACCCGGCCGGGTGGATGAGAAGTTAGCCTCAGCGAGCCCGTCCGCGGTTGCTACCCCTTTCCCCGTCCGGCTCGCGCCCGTCCGTCGTTCCCATTCCCAGATCTGAAGCCATTTGGAAAAAAGTGCTATCAAAAAGCCTTGCGCTCTGATCCTTTTCGGGCGTGCACTCCCTTCAGGTTCTATAGCTTCGGCAGTGCTGAGAGCGCTCCGGCCCTAAACCTCAAGACGGATGTCAAGAGGTCTACGCACGTATGCGCGCGAGTAGTTGGCTGCGAGTTAAACCTATGCACTTTCCCCCCTGGTTACTTCGTGTTGGTTGGTTTGGTTGCGAGTTAAACCAGACTCGCAAGGGGGGAAAATGCATATCAACCAAACCAACCAACACGAAGGAACCAGGGGGGGAAAATGCATATCAAGCAAATGCTACTTACTTTTACATGCATGCTAGAGACTCTAGGAGTAGAAATGCGTAGCAAATGCTACTTCCTTGGAGAGATATCGCGAATTACAACTTTTGCGCGCATATATTAAAGTGCTCAATTCCTTTTACATGTGCTCACCCCCCCCCCCCTCCAGCCGAGATCTGGGAATGGGAACGACGGACGGGCGCGGCGAGCCCGACGGGGAAGCCGGTAGCAACCGCGGACGGGCTCGCTGAGGCTAACTTCTCATCCACCCGGCCGGGTGGATGAGAAGTTAGCCGGTAACTTCTTATGGCAGGTTTGTTACCCCGCTCTAATGCAAAAATAAATACACAGAAAAATTTGTCATGGGTGGCCCCATAGCATGCTGTTTTGGATATGCAATACAGATTTTTTTGTGTATTTATTTTCGCATTACAAATATGCCCTGCCAGCTTTTTTCTGTGTGATACTCCTCCAGCACCACTTTCATTTTCAGCTTCAACTTTTTCGTCCTCGCGGATCATTTTTTCTATGCCGGGATGCATTCCCTCGCCCCGCCTGGCCGCCCGGGCCGTGTGCCACTCCTCATCCGTCAAGAAGCGCGCCAGTTCGGCCTCGCTCAGCGGCGCGAGATGCGCGAGCGGGGGAGGAAGAGGGGACAGCTGCCGTACCAGAGCCGGACTGTTGCAGCACGTGCAGGAATCTTGTTGTACCTGTGACGCTTCACCATCTTCACATGGTCCGCCTACAACTTCTAGGCCACTTCCACTATTGTTCCCTAGTTGTACTACCCTTTGTTGAAATTTCTTGCCACAGACCGGGCAAAAATGCTCCAGAGTCTCCTCGTCCTCGACCACGGTCTCAGGCAGGCTGTCCGCAGAATCAGACCGCTTGTCACGCAGGCCGCTAGTAGAGATCATGCCAGAGCTCTTCGTCTGTCCGTGGTCTTCTGCCTGCGAGGTCACCGAGGAGGAAGAACTGCTAGGACCGGAGGTGGACGATGACCCGCCGCTGGACTTCCGTTCCACCTCCATTTCGACGTCGCGCCCTATCGTCCCGCCACCGGACAACTTCTCGTGTGCTTCTGCGTCCTCCTCGTCCGAAGCGTGTTCCTTTTGTCCCTCGAGTACTATTGGCAGTCTCTCGTCACACAAAGACTGCTTCAATTGCCGATTGTAGTGGTTCAGCAACACCGCCTGCGTCTCCTTCGTGATGTTTTTAAACCCGTGCTTCCCGCTATCGTGTGTAAAACCATATTTTAATCCATTTTCCCAAAGTCAAGAACAAAAAGTTGGAATTTCTGCATTAGCCAAGTTCAGAAGTTTCGGCACTCCTCATGAATGACAAGTGATCCTCGTCTGGGCACATATTGTAGTACTGGTTAGGTAGTGCAGTAGCATCGCAAAAATAAAGCTGGCGCCTTATCCTGTTTTACGCAGCAATTCGATTGGTTCCAAATGCCATCAAAAGACCATATACAACATGATAAACTCGCCGCTAGGCGTCGTCGGCATGTGTTTCTGTATGACCAAAAAAGTGGGATCAGCATGAATACGTCTACGTTTTTACACCGGACGATACCTACCCAGCAGCGCCTTCGCTCGCGCCCGGGTTGTGCTCGGACACGACGCACGCGGAAGTACCATATTGGCATCATCATGCTCGACCGCGTTCTTGAGGGCTTTCTGGCGTTCTCTTTGCGTGGTGAACTGGTTCCACCGCTTCGCCGCTATGGTGCACGAGTTGAACAACTGCCGCAGCCGCGGGTGCACACCACCAGCTGGCGGCTGCGGAGTTGTAGCACGTCTATTTCGCGCTGTCGGTGAGGAAGAGGTGGACGGCGACGCGCCCCCCGGGGACGAGAAATCTACTTTCTGTTCGGGACTACTACTAGCCGCTTCGTCTACTACAACTTCTGCATCCGCAAAGTAGTTCAGCTTTTGATTCTGCTCCTCGACCGCTTGCACCGAGGGAACTTTATACATTACATGGTTCAGATTTTGCCGCAGATTTCCCGACGTCGGCAGGACCCCTGCTCCCCCGCGGCCACCTGTGCTCGTACCTCCCGCGGGAGGCGGCGCACCGGTGCCTGTGGAAGAAGCGGCCCAACAACCCTGCTGACGGCATGCATTCTTACCTCTGGTGTCTTCTTGGTCATGGTGATGTATCCAACCGCTTATTCCGCTGCTGCCACCGCAGCTGCGAACTACTTGTTCCATACCTTGTCCCGCATGAGATGGACTCGTCTCGCTGGGGATTTCGGATAGGCGATTCAGCTCCTGGGCGAACCGCCTTGCGCGCGGGTAGGGGCACACGACCATCCGCTGAGGTTCTAGTTCCAAAACTCCGAATCGTTGACTTAGTGCCCGTTCATTCATACATTCAACCTGGTCTCGGTCATCTTCAGTGCGGTCAAACAGGTCAAACCGACTATGATCCTGAACTTGATCTCCTACTTCTTCGCCCCCCTCACCAGCATGTTCGCCGGCGAAAGCCGATGATGCATCGCCATTTTCGCCACCAGCCGCACGGCAAAATGATTCGCGCTCACTGTTGTGCCCGGCGACGTTGTGGTGAACGTGATCGTGAACCCCGACCGGATGATTATAGACAGCTCCTTCTCGCGGCCTACTGCAAGAACTGCCAGAAGATCTACTTGCGCCGCCGGCCACACAACGACCCGGTGTAAGAACGTCGAGAGATGCGCTGGGTACTACGCCGAGCGAGAGGTTGCCAAAAAACCACCGCAGGTTTTCCTGTTCATCCGGCTGCTCGATCAGCATCTCGTCGTTCTCGACCTTGTTCGGGTCCACCCGTACGCCGTTTGATGCCGCGGGACCCCCGCAGTGGCCGCCCATCAAAAAAGGCAGCTGGTCTCCGCAGTCGGAACTTGCAAACACAATCCCAGAATAGCAGCCGCCCACCGGGTCGTCCACGGGCGGCGAAATGGCGCGTCGGAGCGGAATGTCGGGCAGATTCACGAACGCAGCGATAGCGTCGTCGCTTATCGCCGTCGACGTAAGCCGTGCACCCGCGGTGTTGAATTTTTGGCCACGCTCAGATGAATTCATCCAACCTACTGCTGTCTGACAAGAACCCCTTGCAGCAGCTGAGCTCGCGCCCACGCCTTCCTCGGAACTAAACTCATCGAAGTCCGCATGCTGCAAACCGCCATCGTTTGGAAATTGCCTCTGTCTACAGTTAAATCCTTGATGTTGCGGCTGCATGTCTTGTTGTACTTCTTGCCCGGACATCGCAAGCGGCGAAGTTTGCGTAGTTGTCCCGTGCCGTTGCTGAAATAAGTAAGAGCTCGACAAGAACCCTTCCTCCACAACTTCAGGGATCGCTGTTGATCTCTGCTTGCGTTCCCTTGTCTTGAATTCATCACGACCCTTTGCTCGTGACCTTCCTGCGTCCGCACTTTTTGACCTCGGAGCGGGCGACGCGCTGGATCCTTTTGCTTTCGATTTTTTTGTCTTCTTGTTCCCGATCATGCTGGAACTGCCTGCACCGGCATCCTTTGTGTTCCTGCTCTCTTGATCATGTCGAGAACCGGTAGATGCCCCCGCCCCGCGCAGCAACGCGTGCTGAATTTCCCGCTGGATTTCAAACTGCAGGCTCGCAGTACTCGCCATTGCCCAACAGGCGGTCCCGCACTGCTGAAACGGCGCCAGTATTGGTTGCGGACCTGACCTCGAGCCGGAAGAGCCTCCACCTCCGCCGCAAGTTGAATGATGACCACCCCCCGCCGCCACGCCGTGTTGAAAGGCGTGGTGCCCGAAACTCTCGTGCAGCTGAATCAGTTCGTGTCGCTGCTCCTCTTCTTCCACTTCCTCCAGCCGCAGTCCCACATGAATTTGCGCATCCTCCCCGTTCCGCCTAGAAAAATCGCCGAGCCGCTTCAGCTCGATGGCCTTCAGATGGCGTTCTTGAGGCACGACCAGTGGCGGGAGAGGCTGTAGTTGTACTACCTCTTGTGCTCCTCCTGCAGCTGCTGCTCCCGCAGGTAAGACACACGCGGGTTGTTCCTCCGCCGCAACGTCTCTACCAGTCTGCATTGGACCGGTGACTGCAGCATTTTCATCGGAATTAGCAGGAGATTCTGTTATGGTGTGTCAAATGGTTTCCATTCAATCCATCTCCTGTTTCAAGAAGATGCACCTACGCATCTCGATCTTTTTGTATAGGCCGGCGCCTAAAAGCCATTTATTGGTTGGTTGAGAAAGACACATCCTCAGCAACAAGAAAAACACCAAAAGCTGATCACGAAAATTCACCTGCGGTAACAAATTTATCATTAGTACCCAAAGCAGGGACGCAGCGGGCATCGCTGGTGCGTTCTGCTGTGGCGGCTGTTGCGTCAGCATCTTCCTGCTCTCGTCCACCACCCGCAGCAGATGATCTCCCATCATGGCCGTCCGCCTGCACGCCCGGAAAAATGATATCTTCGTCCAACAAGTTAAAATGCTCCCAACCCCGACTGCTTTTCCGCTGCAGGAGTGGTTGGCCAAGCAGCGGCTCGTGAGCTTCCACTGGTGACGATGTTCTTCTTGTAGCGGGAACGAACGACATGTCCGGCGGGGGGGCGACCGCCGGTTCTGGTGTTTCTGCTCCACCTGCCGGGAACAAGTTGCTCCGCTCGACAGGTCTCGTTACCTCGTCCATAGAAGTTGACGTCCTATCAACTTTCTCTACCACCGTTTCGTACCAGGTAATTGCCGGGCTGCACATGAACAAAACCGGGGGATTTTCCCCGTACTCGAACTCCTGATCCTCTACTTCTGCGGTCGCAAAAGAACCCGCAAAAGCCGCCCCGGTAGGATGTGCCACTTGATCGTGGAAAGCGTGCCCGTCCTCTTGCTGCGCTCCTCCAGGCTGGTGATCATGGCCTAGCTGCTCTCCTGAAAAGAACGTCTCCTTTTGTTCATCTCTTGCCATATCTTTAACTTTCGGGTTCCGTTTCCGCAACTCATTCGCGAACCACTCCAAGTGCTCCCGCCGCTCCAGTCGCTGCACAATCTGCATCTGCGCCAGGCTGTCCAGCGGCATCCGCCCCTTGCGCACCCGCTCGAACAGGTCCGGGATCACGGGGGGCAGGAAAACGTCCGCATGCGCGTCCCAGTGCGCGGCCAGAACCATGAGTGCCTTCATCAGTTTGAATTGGTCGTTCACAGACTCGAGCTGGTGAATGGTGAACGGCTGGGACTTGGTGGAACCGGCTCGTGTAGTTCTTCTCGACCCTGGCTCATTACACGCTCTGGAAGCGGGCGCCGCAAGCGCAACAGCTAGTACACGACCCGGGGCAACTTCTGCTTCGTCCTTCAGGTGCACCGTCGGGAGGGAAAGCATTGCTTTCCAGTTGTCCTGCACGGCCTGGTGCAGAAAACGGAAGGTCTTCTTCTCGAGGAGGAGCCGCACGTAGAGAAATGCAAAGGGCGAGTCGTGGAGCAGGTGGACAAGCTCGCTGACAGGAACAGGAATTGGTGGCGCTCGAAGGAATTTCTTATTCATCTTGTTCATGATGAATTCATTCTGCTGATGATTTGATGAAGGATTTTGTTCCGACCATCGTTGCTTTTCGCGTTCAACATCTTGCACCTGCTGCTCTTGGCCCCCGTGGTCCTCGCGGCGCCGGCTTTGCCGCTCGAGCTGAACGTGCTGCTTCGCCAAGTCGGCCAGGCTATCCGTGCTGCTCGAGGAGCTGGAACTTCGCGACATGCCGCCTGGTGCCCCCAGCACGCGCTTGGATTTCTTCAATAAACTAGAGGAAGTGGCGGCACGAGGAGGACTGCCTCCTGCGACGAGAGCCGCCTCACCAGCAGAAGGAGCAGTTTGTACAAGTCCTTGCGAGGAGGGGGCCGTGGAGGACATATTGAACTCTCCTTCCTCTTGCGGCGACCCCGTTGATGGAGCCGTTCCCTTTTTGACAGGAACTCCTGTGCCTGTTGCACTCCTGTGAACAAGATCATGGTCGCCAACAACGACAGAGATCGTGTCGGGAAACATGAACGGCCTGATCAGGAACCGAAACAAATTCCTCGTGCCACTCTGGTGCTTTTTACTTCGGTTGCTCAGTGTTCCCGCTCGCATGTGACGGATGGAATGATCGTCCTCCGCGTAACCCGTGGTCTTCCAATTTCGCACTAATTCTGCTGCCAATATTTGGTCATAATACGCCGCGGGATGCTGGTCGGTCTTCCTCACGTGCGCCCGGGTGTACGTCGTGGGCGCCGCTCCCCCCTCGAAGGCCAGTGGGTCGTCGTGGTGCAGCTGCTGGTGCTCTACTTCAAAGGCGTTTTTAGGCAGACCATGACGAGATCCCTCACCATGATGTTCTTGTGTAGTCAGTGAAAGAACATCCGCTCCTGCACCATCATGCTCCTCGTCCCTACTTACAGAAGTACTTTCCAGCGAACTAAACTTCTTTTGCGAATAGTCGTGCAGGATATCCTGAAAGCAGTCCTCGCCGCAGAGGTCGACCAGCAGCAAAACGACTCGCAGCGCCGGTGACATCGGCAGGCCCTTCGCCACCCCTGATCTTCGCTGATGTTGTTCATCTTTGCCAAGACGTTGCAGTAATGCGCGGTCCTCGTGATCCTTCTCTAGAAGATGTACTTCGTCCCTTTCTGTACAACTGGAAGTACTGTCCTTGACCTGCTTAAACATTTCTTGGCTCTCACTCATCGCGATCACGAGCTCCATTTGTGGGCTCTGAAGTAGATGATCCCTTGCGGCCTCGAGCTCCTCCCGAGCAGTAGGGGAGGTGCTACTGCTGCTAGAAGTTGTCCTTGCTGCAAGCAGAATTGCCTCGCTGAGAGGTACAGGACCAAGAAGACCGCTAGAAGAAGATGAATTCGAAGTGGCCGGCAGGGGCGTAGTGTGGTCTACTTCTTGTGTAGTTTCGCCACGACAGGAGCCATCTGCTGCGGGTGCGCCCCCCGCCTCTTGTCCCGTTCTACAACTTCCGGAAGTAGAACTGCATGCAGTAGAAGATGAAGAGGCGGCGGAAGCTGCATTAAAACTATTTCTACCGTTGCTGCCGTACCACAGAGCCCTCTCGACGTCGACCTGTGCGATTTGCTCGTCCCCGAAAAACGCCAGTAAGACTTCGGTGCACCACAGCTGCCGACTCATCTGCTTCGCCCGCTGCAGCTCGTGGCTTGTCATCCGGCCCAACCGACGAAACTCTTGCTCCTGTTCGGTGGATAAAAAAGCGTTTTTGTTCCTTCCCCCGAGGATCTTCTCAAATTCGTCCCCGTCGTTTTCCGGGGCCAGAGTTTTCAGGATGTAGCTGACCCACCGCTCCGCCCCGGCCTCGGTCTGGATAAACCGGAAATCTATCGGCGGTGGCTCTGGCGTCTCCTCGGGATGATTCTGCTGGTGCTTGCGGTCCAGCTGGTTCTGCACCTCTTGGGAAGCGGAAAGGGGGGCCGCGATGGGTATGGCGTGGTCCCGCCTCGACGCATCAGAGTCGTCTACTACTTGTTCTTCGACCGATGCATCTACTACTTGTATTTGTTCCCGCCCCGGGTTACCATTATTTTCCTCGCGCGAGTCGCTTGCGGATAATCCAAACATACTCTTCGACTTACCGTGTTCGTCCGGGTCCAGACCTGAACTCGAGGTTGTAGATTTTTCTTCGTCTTCCTTGGGTTTAGCTGTAGAACGACCACCGTGTTCCACTTCTACCTCCATGCCAGTAGGAGGTCCAGTTGTTTGCCCCGGCAGCTCCGCCCCACCAGCCTGGAATTTCGCAGCAGCCACGGAATCGAAGAGGAAGGGCAAAAGCAGCACCCGCAGGGCTTTCCATCTCTTTCCGCCAACAAAGGGGCGGTGGTCCGACCACATGGTCGTGCTACCACTACTTCTAGTTCTGTGATGGATAAAGTAGCTTGACGTTCTTTTCTGTGTCAAGTCGCGGCAGCTCTGCGTGCTTTTCACGCCGAACCTAGCGGCACCGTTCTTGTGGTAATCCCGGAGCCGCAGTGGTGGAACTACAAGAGCGGTCGTGTTTGTTGCAAAAGTTTCTGACCTGGAGCTGCTCTCCCCGTAGGAGCTTTCCTCTTCGGGGAACAGTGCTTGATGTTCTCTTGCGAACTTCGAGTTGTAGGTTGCCATTTTCTGCTCCTCCTGCTTCCGCTACTTACTGTGCCGACGTCGCAACGGGACTCCGGGGTCGACGAGAATTCTAGCGAAACACGGCCAGGAGTAGTGCGTCGAGGACCACACCAACGGTAGATACAACACAGCAGGAGCGGCCACCGATGAAGATTGATTATAATTGTTAGGTTGTAGTAGATTTATTCGGGTAGAAGTTCTTTCGCCAAAGGCCATGAAGTGAACCGCGGTGAGCCTCGACTAGGCTTGATAGCAGGTCGCGAACCGCTGGACCACAACAACGTGTAAGTAACTCGAGCTCCTTGCTTTTACCGGAAAAATTTGTGCACTCCTCGGCCAGATTCGACACAATGATATTGAGGTGTGCGCAATGAATCGGCAATTAATTTTGACTTTGCCCGTTTTCTTTTCCTCCGTTGCAACCCGTTTGATTCTTTTTCTTGAAGGAAGCTGGCTGCAGCGGCCTCGATGCACACGGCGAACGAGTGGCTTTTGATATACTCAAAAGCTAAAAATGCGAGTGAAATTCAACATAATCATCATGTATTAATCTACATTTACCTAAATAAGTCACGATAAGTGATATCTGTAGTGTGATGCAGACCTTTGTGAAAATTCCGTTCTTGTTTTTCTTGGGTGATATTCTTTGATATCAATCAAGTACAACAAATAGACGGGGGCTAGTACAACTTTTATCGGTACATCAACTCCACTGCTGATGTAAGATCAACGCTTGCGCCTGCCAGGTATTTGATATTGTAGGGTTCTTCGGTGATAGAAGCATCTCCTGCATCTTTTTCACTTTACAAACGATGCTGTTCGAAATCGTAGTAGCGTTACAAAATCCGTCGCCGCCTTGGAGAAAGGAGATCACGGTTTTTTTTCATCGCTGAAAGATACATAGTACGAACGCAGTTGTAGTGCCGTCGCCTAAAAGGCTCCGCCTGAGGTCCAATTACATCAGCTATCGCAAAAACAATACGCTGCCGAGTAGTCTGCGTGTCTGAATAGAACCTAATCTTTTCATCTTGTGTCATCACGAATAGATGCTTAAATGCAATATGCGAAAAAAACCTTATTCGTTTTCGTACGTTGTGAAGAGGGTTTCATGTGCCGAGTGAATGCCTTGTGTAAGCTTGAAGCGCTGGACTGTTGCGGGGAGTGGGAACACGAAAAGCGAAAACATGCAAGTCGTGCTTCTACATGTTACTTCAGAAAATGGGACGACAGCGGATCGACAAACATCAAAGCTACGCGTTCAAGGATCGGCATTGTCATCTTTTTCCTTGCGCGCGTGCGGCTGCGAAAGGGGTAATTATATATAATTGCAGCGTCGGCGGCTTCCAAAATAAGCGAGATCTTTCAAAATTGTGCGCCAACCTCGAGGGATCATATGGCAGGTCTCTTGCGCTCCAGAAGTAAGCTAGATCCTCAGCGGGAAATTCAGCTTCATCGGGAACAAAAAGCAGAACTCACCATGTTCGTTTCCTGTTTCTGGTTGTACGGCATCACGAAGACAAATTAGGTGTACTAGTGGAAGATCTTCTTCATCTCGGAAATAAAAGAGCGAGGCTCAGCTCTTTATTGCTGCGTGAACATCAATACAATAATAATATTCGCAATTAGCTGAAAATCATATTAGGCGGTTCTGTGTTATTCCCCTCTTTGGAATTCTTTCCGCCCACATGCTGCTCTTGCAATGTATTTTTTTACGTTTTCTATTTCTATTTCTTCAGGCAACACATTCATGAGAAGATTACGAGTCATTTTTCAAGCACTGGCACTACCACCAACGGGACGGCACATTTCCCAAGGAACGAAATCATCCAGAGCTTGCAAAATCCTATTCTGCAACCTGCCGACCACCTCTAGCACAATATTCTGGCCCCCGAGAAAGATGTCGTGGAAGGAAAGCAGCCGAACCCCCGCCAGCCTGGGTTGAACATGTGCTACAGTCTGCAGCAGCTTTCTGAAATTCGACGTCTCTTTCAGGTGTTTCACGTTCATCCAGAGCTTTTGTTTTTGAATGTCGAAATTATAAAGTCGTGAGGTACAACAACTATTCTTTTTACTGGAGCTAAAGGTTGCCGCACCTGCAGTCTTTCTTGGTACCATTATCGTGCTGTCATGTGAAAATTTCTTGTTCTGCCGCAGGAACCCCATCTTGAGGCACAGCCGCTTCGCGGGTGGGCTCAGGACGGTGCAGGTAAACAGTTCGACCTGTTCCTTCACCGCCTCCCGGTCCATGCAGCGCACCAGCCCGTGACCGACCTCTCTACCCCGGAGCTTGGGTAGAACCACGCAGTCCCACAGGGACCACGAGGCTCTCGGGGTGTTCCAACGAACTCCTTCTCTTACACCTTCACCTTCCCGAGAAGCAGAACGGACGCAAGCGCGGCCATCTTCTGTCGCCGTTGTTCCCCTCCTTCCTTTGTCCACCCCGAGACGCGATTTATTTTGTGAAGAACTCTTTATCGCCCGCAAAACGCCGACCAGCTCGGTGGGTGGATTTCCTTTCTCCTTGTTCGGGTGCTCGTTTGAAGATTCAGCTCTATTTTGTCCCCCAAGAACATGCACAGCATTGGCTTTTCGCAGCGGCTCAACGACCGAATCCCGTTGCGTGTCTTCATGGTGCCTTTCCGAATGAACATCCTGGACCCGATTTCCCAATGCTGCAGAAGTAGCTGTACTAGATGATGAACCAGCACAAGGGTCTTCTTCCCCGAGAAAAATCCGTTCGCACAGCACTACCACGCCGTCTCGCACGCTCGTTTGCAACTTCGGCCGCACGGCTACGTGGTAGATGCAGTAGACGCACGCGTAGTGAAAACAATGCAAGCCGAGTAGGAACAGGAAAAAGTCGCACGCAACCGGCACAAAACAGGAAGTCAGGATAAGTTTTGTGTTTTGGGGGAAGAAGAACACTAAAGCCGCCGCGCCACGGTCCTGTTGTAGAGGAGCCTGTTCATCAGGAGAGACTATTTTGTCGTTTTCTACGACCACCAGCAACGACTGGAATTCTGCATTTTGTAAAAATTCTGTCCAAATTTTCTTCGCGACCGCGATCGCGTAAAAGAGAGGCAGAATGTAGGAGCGCAGGACCATTTTGGTCGTCACGGACACCATGAACCACAGGTGATGATGCGGGTCCCAGAGTTTTTCGAAAATAAGCGGAATATCCTCTTCCCGAGCGCGCCGGTAAACGAGCGAGTTCTTCAGAACTGCGAAACTTGCGGCAGGTGGCCGCGCTGACGTACCACTAGAAGTGCTGGCGCCGTAACAGGTCGGTGTAGATCCGCCTTTTGTTGCGCTGGCAACATCAGTGTCGGCCGACGACATTTCGTTACAAATGCCAGGTGTGCTCTTTGTAGTCGAGTTACTACTAGGAGTAAAATCTTGCATCCTGCCGTTAACAACAAAAGCGAACCGACGGAAGATGCTTCTGATTCTGCTTCTGAGCGACATGATGCATTGCAGAGGTGTCCCATCAGCGACCAACCGAGCGAGATCTTTAACAAGAATACGAATACAACCGATACCGAAAGTGCGTAAACTTAAGTTGTTCAAAGTTGTCATGATTTTCATGCTAGTACCGATGGGACGAAAGAGTAATACTAGACCAGGATTTCAGAAGATGATCATTGAAGACACAAGTCCAGCGAGTATTGAATCATGCTGAAGATGAACCCACAGACTTCAAACACGCACCCTTCCCGCGGTAGCGCGAAGATCATGCTCTTGTAGTTCATCGGCTGCAGGCACTTCTTATGATGGTGCCATTCGTGGCCGTCTCTGCCCTATGTGTCTCTCAGGAGCAGGAAATGGACCACAGAGTATCAGGGCAACCTCTTACGTTTCATCATTCCCGTCCGGGATCACTGCGAGCGGGGCAGCGGAGCCCGCTTCACTAAGGCCGTGCGCCGCCTTCGATCCGCATGGAAATGCAAAAACCCGCAATCGAGGAAATAGAAATACGAGCTTGTCGTGTGCGTAAAAAATGCAGCACTACTTAAAGAAGTACAAAGCTTCTAAATGAAGACCCTAATAAAACTACCGAGGGACACCTGCAGCTGCTTCTGGTTCAACTTCATTCATAATCATAACAAGAAGATCTTCAGCTGCATGACCCGATGCAACGACAGCTCGGGCTCGTCCCTGGTACGCAGCACGACAAGTTGCACCAAAAATAAAATATGCGAGTTCAATTAGTATCTATCTGCAGCACTGAGCTGCAGCACGTGTTTCTCGTCCTCTACACCTACGACTTTTCAGCACGTGATACTTGATCCATCTGTTCGTTGTTTGCGGAAGGCTCCAGTATGCATGGCGCAAGTCGTATCGTCGGAATTGCAATTTATTATCACTCTCGAGGTCGAGGCTTTCCTCTCAAATTATTACGTCCATGAATGAAAGCAAGGCAGATGCTGCATCACAGGTGGTTCTTCCTATGATCATCGATGGTCTCCAGTGCTGTCACAGCCGGAGCAAGATGAGCTCGGAGGTCATGATCTTCCCAACGAGCAGCGAAGATTCGCTGACAACTACAACAAGATAGGTACTTATAATTTTTCGCTTGCGTCATTTTCTGCTACAGATGCTCGTCATCAAAGTGTTCGAGCAGGCAAAAGAATTTCTATTCCGCTCAGGCTCAACATCTTCTCGCGGTGCTCACAATAAGACTTTTGTGCACAGCATACTGCTCGGCTCTGCTTGGTCCCTCGGAGTTGGTACCGAACGCGCCATTTCAAAAGGAAAAAATCCCCCCTCCCCATATCGAAAACGAAACTTGTGATGCTGTATATGAGTAGACAAATCGACTTGTATTGCTAGACGGCCAAGAGCCGCAGCTGTGGCCTCGTTTGCAGGCAATTTTCCATGCTGTTCCCCACTTCCACCTGCCTCCTGCCATGCTGAAGATGCAAGGCTTTCCCACGCAGCCCAGCACTACAGTCCGCATCTTTTCTCTTCTAGCATGACTAAGCTGATTTGTGACCACAAATCTACATCACAGATTTCCGTTTTGATGTGGGGAGGGGGAATTTTTGTTATCTTGATACGCCATACTTTTCAACCTCTTCCACATCGTCAGCCGGTGCTCCGTTTCCGTCTGGGAGAGTGGTAAATGATGGAAGAAATTAATAGATATTTCAGCTGCGACCTGCCAATCGCTTCCGACGTGGCAAAAACAAAATGGCGTATAATTAGTAGTTCCAGAATTACAATCAGGTCTATTTCCATTTAATACGCGTGAAGTAGCTACAGATTACAACAGGTAGTGTGTTCTGTATCTACTTACAAGTACCGCGGCCAAGCTTGCGTTCGTTTGCGCTGTTCCACGCGCGCCCGCTACGTCTCCGTCTCCCTTCCGTTATCCCAGCACAAAATGTTCTAGCACGACACCGTATCTTCTCTGAGACTGAGCAGCTCCTCTACGCACAATGAATAATGGATAACGATATAACTAATTGCAATAGAGGTTCATTCTTTTATGAAGAAAGACCTACAGACGAGTGCGCAGACGTTGAATCATGATTTTGTAATTGAAAACTTTTACTTTCCCGTCGGTCTGTTCGTCGAGCAAGTAGAAATGATGAAATCGTAGCTGCTACGATTCGTGCATTGATAAAATTTTTGCAGCATCTTAGCCCACTGCCATTGTTCCCCACGACCAGGTGATTCTCTGGGTCGCTGGTCTCTGGCGTGGCTTCGCCCGCCCGCTTTACCACCATGCGCAGCAACCGGGCGCGCTGGAACTCGCGCCACATGTACGTGTTTTTCGCCTTTTTCACGCCGTACGCCCGGCGGCTCTCGTTCGGCAGCGGCGTGCCCTCGCCCGCGTGCCGCTTCTGCTCGATTTTGGACACCTCCTGTCGCCGCCTCGATGTTGAACCTGTTGTCATTGACGATACTATGATCTTCCCATGATGTGCTACAGGTATTCGTATACATAATACATTTTTGTGCACGCCCCTTCAGATTTGTTTTACATGTCCGTGCAGCTGCACATAGAACGGCGCGAACCAACAAAATCCGCCCTGAGCCGCTCGAACCTTACAGGTCCAACTCTCTAAAGCGGTTTCTGGGTGACAAAAGACACCGTTGGGGGGAGATGGCAACATATTAATCAATTGTATTCTATCTTCCTTTCGGGAATAAGCACTTTCTTTATACTTCTTTTCCCCACTCCGAGAGCCGACGACAGCGTTCCACTCAGGATGCCGCCTGCGCTCGGTCTTCTGGCGGGCCCCGACGCGGCACTAAGACCAGCAGAAGAACTTGGATCCGCGGTCGCCGCAGGCGTACTACCGCCGGTCGCACTTGGATCTCCCACACCTGCATCTGGGCTCTCACCTCCCTGCAGAGAGTAGATCTCTACTTCTTCCTCCAGCACCGTGGGATCCAGGTCCATCCAGCTGTCAAGTTTGTAGATCAGCCGGGAGAGCAACAGGGCAATCACGGTACACAAAACGATCCCCACGATGGCAGAAGTCTCCATGCTATCCTCATCCAGAGCGAGCTCGCGGCGGGCCGCGCTTCTCGGGAGGAGCAACCGTGCCGTGGCCTCAACCCCGAACTTGCGATCGACCTCCTGCCACATCGTAGAGACGAAGAGTTCGTCCTGCTGTGATGCGCCCCGCATGCGAGAAAAGAAGTGTGTTTAGTCTAACTTTGTGGTGTCGCACAGCACGCGCAATGGCTATGTACGTCTACTATCCTGCTGGTCCTTTATTACGCACGCACGATGCCGACGTCAACGTCTGTAGTTACGCTTGATTTAGATTCATTGACCTGCGGGTGTATAGCCAATGCAAACATATTCGATTGTGCCCCCCGCACACGTAAGTATGTCGCTCCGCAGCTCGAGCTGAACAAATTCTTTGATTCCAAAAGGATTTTTCATTCCCCTCAATGTTTGTTGTCACTCTCCAAAGAAACAACGCGAAACAGATGATACCACAAACGAGACGGCCTGGCTGCAATGGCGGCCTTCTACCAAAAGCAAAACGGTAGCACTGCTGCAGAGAAACCAACGGAGATAGGCTGCGTACATATTCACGACTTAATTTCACGTGAAGTAGAGCGAAAGAAGAACACCATTCTCCAACACCATCGTGAGCATTTGCAACAGTGTCGTGGTCCCTGAGTATGCGGCCATCATCTTTTTTCAACATAGACATTGTACTCTGCAACAGCAGTTGCAGTAGCGCCTCTGAAATAATTCCCATTTGGTGCATTTGATGCTGAGCAGCAGCAGAGGTAGAATTTCTTGTTTTCACCACAGGCTACAGAATTTCCCTGCGAAAGCTGGCTTTTTGGATCGGTCGCTCCGCCACAGACACCTCCATCATTTCGACCCCGCGGGCTGCGTATGCAAAGTGCAACCATATTCTTTCGCTTTTCGTCAACCTGGGCCTGGCTGGGAGTACAACAGGAAAAAAGCGAACTAACTTTGTCCTTCTGGTACTGCCGTGCATTTCATTTCGAAAAAATCCTCGAAGTGCCAACTGTATGCTGAACTTCAATCCAGTCGTCCCAGATAACCATGCCGCAGTTGACGTAGAGTAATATCATTGCAGTTGATACTTCGCGCAGCGACGTGATGCCCAGTTGCTGCAACAGTCCGCAAAGAATGAGGTCCCAAATATTCGTATAAACTGCAAAAAACCACGGGATGAGCGTGTCTGCAACTTCTGCTTCCAAATGCGTGGATGAAGAACAATCGCGCAATCTTGACAGCGATACTTGTCATTATCTCGGCTTCTCGCATGACAGATCGACAGCACGGGCTAAATGGGTTCGCATACAGGATGAAAACCTCGGCATCAAGTCTGGTGTTGTACTAGGACTTGCATGGAAAATCATCTATTTCCTTGAATGCGAACGTCAAACTACTATACTTGACACGTATTGGTAATCGTAAAAATTGAAAAATGTTTTGCCCCGGTATATACTCACTTCTACTACTTGCATTTAATATGCAGACATGCTCATTATGTGAGGGATCCATTTCATGGCGTAATACTCGGCAAGTTCTTCGGCTGTGCTGTGCTTGATTGGCAGCAGTCGGCAGTCCTTCTGCGTATCGCACGAAAGAAAAAAATGCTTCACTGAGGCGATCGGACTATCAGGGACTCGCATGACAAGTGATAGCGAAGGAAAGCGCCGCGAGCTGAATCTGCAATGCAAATGAATGTCCAACTCGCGCGACAAGTTCCTTGTCGTTACATAGATTCGTGAGAGACTGCGCGCTCCATGACAAAGAAATTTCATTGTTAGTACGTGCTAGTTCGAGGCTAAACGAGCAAGAATGCGCGCGCTTCTAGCATTTATTCTAGCTGCAAGAAAGCACATCTTCTTCTTCTATGCTGCATCGGAATGAGAAAGAGCCACTACCACCGCGACACAAGTTTTTTAGGTAGCTATAAATACAGTAAAACAATCTTTTCGTGCGATAGCGCGGAAAAGAGAAGTACTGCCCGGACTCCGTCAGTTATCCATGAAAAAAACTATGCTGAAAAATGCAGGACAGGCGAAAAGTGTAGTCGTGCTCCATGATCATCTTCTTCAAGTAATTTATAGAAGATACGACCTCCACAACCTCAGCTGCTTGTTTCTCTTTTTCACATCAGGTACGACTACACGCTCCTGAAGAAGAGGATTTAGAGACCAAGATGTTTTATTTTTCTGTCCCCACGAGCATGGAACAAAACATACCATATCGTTCTGTGCAGCCATGCCTCATTCAGAACAGCACAATTCTTTTTCTTCGATAAAAGAACCTCGACATTTTTTGCGACGTGACGCCTCCTAGCCGCGTCGAACTCGTCTTCCAGGACTACGCGACTTGGATTTGTCTTGCTGCCCTGCTATGCAAAAAAACACCTCGGGATGAGTATGACTGTACGTTGCAGACGACGCAAGACAGCTACACTTGCCATGCTGCACAACACGCGTACTTAATGGGTGACTCCATGCAAGTTCTTTTCACGACGTAGCCACACATGGCAAGTTTTCCCAGTTGTCGTAATTCTGTTCCTGTTGTAACCGTAAGTGCAAGTAGTTGTTCGCCGAAAATAAAGTCATACACAAAACAGAGTTTTTTTTCTTGGATACCGGCGGCTGCTGCGAATCTACTCCAAAAAAAATTGCAGGTGCGCCGATGCTATCATTTCTGTTCTCGTGTTCAGCATCCACGGTGGTTTTGCTTTTTCCTCCCTCTTCTCTCGCATCCACGACGACAGTTTTGCCGTCAGTGTTCCCGCCAGGACGCAGTGCCAAATTACCGGCGTCTCTTTTGCTTGTCCTCGCCGCGTGTGTACTACCTCCGGCGGCGGCTTGAATGACAACAACATCAGCCCCGCGGTCCTCGCACGCTCGAATCAAGTCCGGCTTCTCGAGGACCGATGTAGAAGTTGCACTTTCCGCCCTGTTGGTACCTGATCCATGATGTGATTTGGGTAGCATTTTGCTGTATCGTGGCGCGAACACAAACTTCTTCCCAAATCCCCAGAACGCTGGCGCCCCTCGACGGCTGCCAGCTTTACTTTGTATGTTCTCAAAGGTCACACCCTTCATACTGGTGCTGAACTCCGGCTCTGTATCAGTAAAGGCGTATCTGCGCTGCTTCGCAGCGTCTTGTGTACTACTAGATACAGCAGCGAGGCGTGCAGCAGGGACCGCACCGCGACGTCCGCGCCACAGAGGTGGCTGCGGACGTCGCACTTGTCCGCCCACAGACGTGGGTCGAACCGTGCTCCAGCACTGCGACGAGAGGTCGCAGCGCCGGGTGCAACAGAGGCTGCAACAAGTCCCGAACCCTCCCCAACAGAGGTCGCTAGCGGGCAGTGGCGGGCCACTGCGTCGCCGGAGAGAGGGGCCACGAGCCCGCTAAATCATATATATTCGCGTCATAGACGTCAGGATGTGCCTTGCTAGTGTGTGAACATAAAATAAGATGAGTAACAAGCCGCGCGTGCTTCTCTAGCATGCGCGCGCCATCTTCGCCGCCCTCTCCAGATTGATTGCGCACCGACATCGGCGTGGGCATTGGCTGCGCGTCTCCTGTGCTCCCCCGGTGTCGTCCATTTTTGTAGGCAAGGGCTGGCCACGGGAGAACAAAAATGGGGCCACAGAGGTGGTTGACCCATTCCGGCCCTCACGAGGTTCGCGCTAAGTAATGCTGCGCGACCTAGTCATATCTGTGATGCTTAGAATGTGATGTCTCGAGTTTGTTGTCTAGATTGGGAATGAATTAGGTACCTTGTGGGGGGCACGTTCGAATCAAGTCCGGCTTGTCGAGGACCGATGTAGAAGTTGCACTATCTTTCTTGCGGTGGGCGACAGCCACAGCTCCTGAAGCCGCCTCCTCCCGGTCAGTTTGATCTTGTCCCTCCCGGTTCGCTTCTTCACTCGTCTCATTTGCAGCTGCGCAGCAGGGACATGCTGGTCCTGGTGGTGACGGCGTAGCCTCCGCAGGTGTGGAACTGGAAGCAAACCCTCCTCGTCCTGCAAATAAGTGCAATCCAGCGGCCCGCTTCACCTCCGCGTCCGGGGGTGCCTGGTCGTGGTCTACTCCGTCCTCCGGAACCCGGATTTTCAAAACGTCGCTCCTGTACGGCAAAAGCACGTACTCATTGAGGGCTTTGCAGACCTGCTTCGTGACCGTTTTCACGTCGCCGAAGTCCAGCACGTACCCGTCGTGGTTTACTCGGTTCCCCTCCAGCAGCGTATCCACGGGAAAAAACTCTTGTCTATCATTGTGACATAAAAGTTGTGCCTGTAATGTCGTGTTGAATATCTTGTTTCGGCAAGACGACAACGCTCTTTGAAGATGTCCTCATGCGGGCAATGCAGTTTCTTGAAATTCAAATTCCTCCCGTAGTGCGATAACAACGAACACCGGGTGCAGAGGACGTAATAGAGAACTCCTTGTGCAGCTGTTGTAGCTACAGAATCAAGCTGCAAGTGGTGTCGTTTTCTCCCAAAGATAGCGCACCTTGACCGTGTAATTGTGCCCGTGCAGCCGTTCGCGGAAACCCCGGAAGGCTACAAAGTGCGTATGCAAGTGCCCTAGTCCCCTCCTCCTCGTTTGACAGGCATCAAGAACAGTACTAGGAACGGATACTTACAGGAAAGTAGGTTTTGCATGACCAATCCGGAGACAGAGCGCGGTACTGTTACTGTTTGCGCGCGCAGAGTAAAAATTTGCCGCGCAAATACTGCACAAAACCTAACTTCTTGGCTTGGGCTTGGCTACAATTTACATGACAAATACGGGAAGAGAATTGTGCACTGCCATAGTGCGCGGAGGAAAACTTGAAGTCAACGGAATCGATCTCGACAGAAAAGGGCAACATGATAAAATAAAGCGTCAAATTTTTCAAGTCGGTGAAAGATCAAGATACGTAATTCTATCTCAGCACACAATGACTTCTGACCAAATAAATCTTAATGTGGACACGTTGCAAACGATTGACTGCTGCTCACGAGATGTATAAAAGAAGGAGGTTGATCGCACATTCCTTGCCCTGTGTGATGAGATATAACTACAGTTAACAGCGCAAAAATCGCCCACGATCTGAGGTCGAAGAGAGCGCGGATCATATCGCTCAAACGAGGTGGTATAGCTGCTAGTGCTACCTCGGAGGTTTCGTAAAGTTTCGATTTGTTCTCGACTGAAGGATATCAAACGGCCTCTGCAGAAGCACCGGACGAGCGGCGGCCGAATACTATGTACATAGCCACATCTCCACTTTCCGCCTCACCTTGTGCCTACCCTAAGAAAGTCGATGAACTTGTTTTTCTGATCAGGAAACAGGGACTAGACAATGATCATCTTTCCTCGTTCTCGTTTCGCATCAAACATAGGCGGAGATGACCAACAGGAGCACGTCTCACTGCTTCGTATCCGGTTGCAGGAACGGAAAAATGAAAAAGGCACGGCGCAACACGAGCGAAGTCCACTGTAGACAGGAGTGGCGCAAGATGAACAGTGACGCCCTTCTTTGATCAGGATCTTCATACATGCTGTGCGATCGAAATGCCGGCCATTCGTCGTCTCAACATTTTTCTGAGATCAACACTTTTATTTTGATGAAGGTACACAACGCGGGATTACAGGAACTCACAGACATGATTGACATCCTGTACGTTTACATCGCAAGCTGATCACAGAAATAAGTCACCACGAGGACGAGTGACGAAAACACTTTCGTGCGTATGACACGAACGCTTTGATTGCAGTTGCTGAAGCTGATGCTGACCAAGTGATCAGAGGTGCTCGAATAAGTCCAGCCGGCATAGCCTTTCAGAGGACAACTCTTCTAAAGAAGGCCAAGAACTGGCGTTGAATCCATCACGACAATCTCAATTTCTTCGAAAGGAACGTCTTTATTTTCACATCTTGCGAAGCTCCTTTCAGTTGTGGATGTGCTACTGGCATCAAAAAATAACCTCCGCGATATAGACTGCTATACACGGATGAACAATATTAATTTTCATCGGCAAGCAGTAGAATTCCCCATGTAAAAAAGCCTATTCGACTGCGGTTTACGGTGTGCTGGACTCAGCACGTGCTGCACTCAGTGCTTCGACAGCTTCGTCCGACGTTCATGTGCTGAACTGCACCTCGCTTCTGCTGCTCGGCCTCATGGATCTAGTCGAGTATAGTCGTGTAGTAAAGCAGTGCTGTCGTGTGGTAAAGCAGTGCTCTCAGTCGGTTGCGCCGCGGTCGTTGTTCGCCAGTTCTTCCGCCCCTTTATGGAAGTGTCAGCTTTGAAATCGACAAAGTTGAAACAACTTGCAAAGCTAAAACGAACGAAACCACGACGCAATCCATGGGGCACCTTTCCGCAAGTTTTCGGGCATAAAATGTGGAAGTGCCTATCTTGCACCAGGGATGTCACGTGATGCCGATAACTGTGTGCCTGTTTACCGATAAAAATAGAGCTGCGGAGCATGACAAATAACGCAGCGTTCCATTCTTTGCTGCCAAAATTTGTCATGCGCTACTTAGAAATTGGGGGTTCGAATGGACTTTATGGTGCCGGTTTTATGCGACGTGACAGAAGATTATTTCAGCATTCTTGACTTCGAACCTGACCCTTCCATACTCGTCCGGCAGGGCGTAGTGATCGAGGAAAAACTGCCGCACATTTCGGTAGTGATCGCGATATTGTGAGGACAAACGCGCCCGCCCATACCCATTACTAAATGAATAAAGTTCGGAACTCAGCTACACAGATCAATCGGCTTTGCGAGTCAGCCATGACACAGGCTTTGACGTTGTAGCCATCATCAATTCATCCACTTGCTTATCCTTATTTCGATGGTAGCATGACATTGACATCTTGTTCGTGTTCCGCCTAAGGACCACAAGAAAAGACTTCTCATGAATAGCGGCGAGAGAAAGTCAAAGTACTACTTATCCGCATGGCAGTTCATCTATGCCAGATTTGAATGCGCGACAAAATCGGGCTGGAGGGTCGGTACGTTTTTACCCAGGATAAGTGACGCATGATGGTCATAATCACTGCTCCAAGCCCATTGGACAGGACAACCGCGAGAATATCGGCACGCCAGGCGGTGGTGGATACGGAAGCGACTAAATGCTGTCTATCAAATGTAAAAATGTCTGGGTCTGGAAGAGTCATGCTGTTTTTGCATGACACAGAAGGTCTGGCATGGGAGCTCTAGCATCACAGGTTTCGAGAAACTTTCGCAATGCCGAATTTGCATGACAAATCTCCCATTATGGTGGCAGAAATTGGGCAGCTTTTGCTAACTATGCATGAGAGATTTTTCTGTGTCTTGAAATGCGCATCACAAGTTTGTATTCTTCCAGACCCAGACATTTTTACATTTGATATTGGCCCCTGTGCAGCAAGTGCAGGTCGACGAAATGTGCGAGCGACAGGAGAGACAGCACCGGGGTATCGCTGCAAAAAACTGTTTCGCGACTGAGAACTACGAAAAGCGCCTGTGCGTAAGACCGCAGGAGAGGACGCAAACGAAATTTAATGAATTTACTTTTTATCCTTTTTTCTCGTTCCCTGCTAGAAAAATGCGCCAATGCAGTGCGCAATTTCCAGCCGAGCAGAAAAATGGATAAGTAGTTACTCGCTTCATCTACAGAGCTCGGGCACAGCACTCGCAGCATGGCACCGGATTTTCTTTGTCATGCGTGAGCAAACAGGGTCACACTGCTGATCCTGCAGGAACGGCAACATCCCAAAGTCGCTCTTCAGTTTTTCTTTACAGCAGATACGAAGCCACGCAGGTGTAGTAGAGGCCAATGTGCGTATCGAATTTCCAGGCCAACACGATGGCGCCCAGCGCCGCTATGGAAGCGTCAGGTTTGAAATCGTCACAGTTTAATGCATAAAATGCGACACAAAAAGTGACTCTATTGCAGAGGACCCACGGGAGGTAGATTATAGTCCTGGTAAGGGTCAAAAGTTGGACTGCTAACTAGCATAACAAAAGGCAGCTCTCTTGCCCTAAACCGCATGACAGACTCGCCTCCAGGACCGGGAAGATTTGTCATGCACCGACTACAAACTGTAGGTCTAACTGGTATCCGCTTTATGCATGACAAACTATTTCAACTTGGACGATTTCAAACCTGACACATCCATAGCCGCTGCGAGGAGTGTAGACCACGCGAAGTTTTTGGCGCCCGCCAGGAAGAGCCGGGCTCCGTGGGGCTGAAGTATAGAATTCTCAAACGTTGCATTGACTGCTGTTTACATGAATTTTTTGTGACGCAACAATAGAACAAGTGAATCAAGGCCAAGGGGGCGGGGAGCTTGTGCGCCTTGGATTACCGATGTGGAAACAAGAACGATTCCAGTGCTATCTAGTCCTAGTGCATGGAAAACCTTTCATACGAAGCAGCTTGAATTTGAATCACAAAGTCATGCAATAATCGTCAAAGTAACGTCTTCGAGTTCCATATGACACGCGACGATGGTACAGTACAGTGAGGCAGGATATCACAACGAAACAAAATCCTCTCCATTCACATTGATTCATTCTACACTCGACCTCACCTTTTTTTGTGTAGCACAAGGAGGGTAGTTGCTGTACTAGTCGTAGTAAGTACGCGCTTTGTTTTGTCATGCAGAGAACAAATTTCGGTAGAGCAGTCCAAGTCCGGGAGGTGGGAGTGTAGGAGTTCAATACTACTTGGCAGGGCATTCGCAGCGTCCTCTCTCCCACGAGAATGAATCGGAAACAAAAAGCTGGTCTCTCATGCAAGAGATAATGACGTATAGACATAGTGCCGCAATGCAACGGAATCAATAACGCCGCGGCTTTATATATTGCCTTCCTCTTGTTAATTTGTGGGCGCATATCGAATTCGAAATCAGCATGACGCATTTTTTTTCAGAGTGGAGGAACTAGAGAGGATTTTTCATCTTTCTACAGCAACCTGCAGCACTATTGCGGTGACGAATAGCGCCCGCAATTTGGTCGAATCACCGTAGTACGAGTCCGTGCCATTGTATCATGAGAAAAAAATGCCACAGCTACACCTCGTCATCGTTCTCGCCGTGTTGACGAGGGACATCCGAATACTTGGAAATATGACGATCTTTATTTTCATGCCGGAAGAGCTTGCCTTCCTCGTTTCCTACGTGTTTTCCCGTACCCCGGTCTCCGCATTACAAGTTCTCTTATCCTTCATGCAAGGCAGGTTCTCTTTGTGTCGCTGGCGAAGTTTATGAAACAAGTGTGTAGCTGTAGCGTTTTTTTCTTGGATGCGTCCCATTCTTGACCCTCCACCAGCAGCTTCTCCCTGCGCTCGGCTATCAAATGTAAAAATGTCTGGGTCTGGAAGATTCAAGCTTGTCATGCTAAATCCGAATAATGCAAAAATCTGTGTTGCATGAGTGCCAAAAGCTGTCCACTTTCGACCAAGTTGGGAGGTAGTTTCTCATGCGGGATAGGCATGGCAGAGACCTCACAGACTCTGTCATGCTCGGCGCCGCATTCCAGACCTCATGGGTCATGGAAAATCTGCATGACAAATCTCGCAATTTTCCAGACCCAGACATTTTTACATTTGATATCGCCCGTGACCGTCCCAGTGCCGCTGTTGTCACCACCTTCTTTCCGACTGCCTGTAGAGGTACTAGCTGCTCCTGTATCCTTGCCGAGCAGTGACCGCTCCTCCTCTTCTCCTCCGACATCGACGACGGTGACTTGTCCTTTCGTGCTTCCAAAGCCACCAGCAACTGCGCTCGTTTTACTCATTTTGTACTTTTAGTTAAGTAAAATCCCAAAGGGAAGTTTCAGTTTGAATATGAAAAGCACAATAGCAGCGCGACCTGAACAATATCTCGAAAGCACCAGCACTTCCTTTTCGTTATAGTTTTTGACTTATGCCATTGCAGGAAACTGGCAAATGCGCTCCTGGTCTACTGCGCCTACCCTGTTTGCAACGACAACATTACTCGTCAGCCGCTCTGCTATCGGAAGAAAAAACTGGATTTAGAGGCGAAGCGTTTGAATCTGTCTTGCTGAAAAAGAAAATGCAAGAAGAAGTCGCATGATTATCTGGCGAGTCCTGCGGAATCATCACAATGGAATATTCATCATACATGTGTAAAAACGTCCCCAATCCACCGGCATTTTTATGCAAATGCGCAAACCTAAAACGTTTCTCATGCGCCGCCCCATGAGGACAGTTTTCAATGCTATCTGGAAGTCTGTCATGCTATGATCAGGAACAGCTGATCGATTTCTAATGCGGCTGCACTAGGTAAGCACACTTACACTGCGACCCCAAAACTTGTTATGCGCAACAGCCAAAGCTTACTAATTTGTGTTGTAGCAACAATCTTGCCTCTGAGGTGGGGTTGCGGACGTTTTTCTTTTTACAGAGGATAATTTTATTTTTTTTCGTACGATATTCTATGTCCTGGTGCGCAAGACGTGGTCGAAAGTACGTGTCGACGAAAACTACATTGCAATCTTTTGATAACAAGCTACGTTTCTTTCATTCACCCACACAGCAACAACCTAACCATTCAAAAAACTTGAACCTATGGATTTGAGCAAGCACCTTGGTGGGGAGAGTACTAACTTATTAAACAGCAAGACTCACGCATTTGTACTGGTGCTACGTGTGCGGTGAGAGGGAAATCTATTCCGTCCCGAGAAACGAATTACAAGAGCATGACTACTGCTTGCTGTTCGAGAGTAAGTGAACGGACCTACAAGATCAAGATGAGATCTTCGTGTACTTAATTACAATAACTACCACGCGAGACTCAATAACGTCCTTGAAGCTTGCGAGAGTTTTGGTTGCGCTTCCCATCATCAACGACCCGCATGACCTTCAATTCCACCACGTTGTGAAACCCGAAACAGACAAAGAGGACGCGAAGAACACGAGCACGACGACCACGAATGAATAACAAAGTGATTACTGCAGCTAGTATGTTGAGTCCTCCAGTGCTATTCCCCTTATCTATTTCTCTCTGTGCAGCTCCACAACCACGCGCCCCAGTAATTATATGAGTCGATCTTTAGTATAACGCAAAAGCACCTCTGCCGAACTGACCCACGAGATTGATCTCCGAGCGGGGGAGGGGGACACGATCAACAACGCCAATCTACCACCATTATTTTGAACGGCCTTTCCAAGGTCCGCTATTGCAAAAATCAGTTCTTCTCTGCTACGTACCTCTTACGGCAGAAAAAGATGAAAAAAGAACATCACCTCCTGTGTGTGAATGTAATGGAGACGGCTTCGAACACACTGCGTTGTAGTAAAGCTGCAGAAAGTGAACCTGCACATCGTGCGCCGACTCGCACTCCGGCGCTCCACCCTCGGTTGCTTTTTTATCTTTTTTCATGCGGGGCCGTTCCTTGAATTTTACATTAATGTACAAGCAGATGGATCTTTATTTTTGGGGGAATGATACAATTCTTGTGCAACAGAAAATTATTCTACTCAGAGGATGCATCTTCTATGCCGACCGGAGCAGGGTATCCACGTGAAAAGTGCCCCTACCCCATTATAGCCACAACTTGAATGCTTTTGCATGGCAAAGCTTCTCCATGGTGGAAGCGCTCGTGATCTTGCAGTAGTAGCTGCATGCACGCTAGCAACTCCTAGTGATTCTTGATGGACAAGGATACTTATCAGCAAGTGAGAACTGGTTCGCGAAAAAGCCCAGCACTTGCGGTACCTCTCGTGCGAGGAGTGCTTTGCCTGCCTAGAGTCACGGTGTGGGGCAGAGACCTCGCAGTACTTTCATATAAAAGTTACCACTTTTTTTCTGGAAACACTGCGCGGCAGAACTAGTTGCCACTTCTGGGGACGGGGCACTTTTCACAGTGGTAGACAGGACCTCGCCTTCGAGACATAAAATAGTCTTCATCCATCTGATTCCTACACCTGGTGAAATAGAAATTTACAACACCAGTAGCATGTTGGAAATACAGACTATTTCAAAGTACTCGACACTCTTCGAAAAATGGAATCCAGCGGAGAAGCTCGGTGGAACCAACTACATTTACAATCCGGCGGTTGCACACAGACGAGTCTTGGAACGATTAGAGTAGTCGATTGAAGAGAGTCTTGAAAAATAGTACATACCTTCTTACGTCATGGGGAACGTATCACATCTGGATCTGACATCTGAGAATGAAAAAAAGAAAAACATAGAAGTATGTCATTAGGTTTCGTAAAAATTGTCTTAGAGTTTAAGATTAAGCAAATGTTAAAAAAAAGTGAATAATCAAAATAAAAACCTGATGAATCGATAATACTTAGTGGAATCGCAGACAAAGTTCGACTGCGTCAATTCTTGTGTCGTGCTCGTGCTGCTCGTGCTCAGTTTTGATCGCAATATAAAATGATAATTGTAGTAACAAATCTGAATAATGTCGAAAAAGATGGTTTCCGCTACACATTCACATACATAGTAGTGCTGCTTCTCAATTCCACCAAAGCTAGCGAAAGTTGTAAGTATCAAGCGCACATCTGTCATCTGTGTGTGGAAAAGTGCTGTGCGCTTCTCGTAGTGCTGATTCTAGACCTTCGCTACACGCCATACCGCTAAAGCGCCGCTCCGGGTGATGCTACCGCCTGGCGCCGCCTTAACCGCACGACGCTACGCTTGTAAAAATGGACCACGCGACGGGCCTCGTTGCAAAAAAGAGCCGGCTGGTAGTGCTCGTAGTGCTGCTTGTACTGCGATTTTGCAGCCCGGCTTCCCATCCCCACGCTGTAGACAATGTGCATTTATGTCAAGGAAGGATACGGAAATGACATAAAATAGACTGGGCAAGTACAAGTAATTCGCCATATTTATAATTATATAAGTGATTGAGCCAAGTCGCCTACTTAGTCGAGCTTTTCGACTAAAGAAACGCGACGTCCTCCCAGAGAAAAGCCTGCGGGCCGGGGGAACGGGCCCGCGCGGGCGGCCTGAAATGTCGGGACCAACGGCTAGAGGCGCAGCACGAGAGGGCCGCCGCTGCATCTGCCTAGATTGGACTGCCCTTCTCCATTGTGCGGCGTGCGCCGGAGTTTTCGTCTTTATGCGGTACGGCGGCCTTTTCTCGCTCCTGCGTCTTCGGAAGCACTCTCTTTCCCCCGGCAGCTGCACCAGTACGAGAGAAGAAGGCCCCTGCAAGCGGAAAGCTGCCCCGCCACGGACGCGGCTGTGCTCTCGGCTTGGGCACATTGTCGTGGGCGCACAAATGCACCGCGGGGGCCGTGCCCGGGAGGTCACGCGGAACCCTCCCTCCACTTCGGGCCGCAAAAATTGAGCGGGCCGCCACGCACCGGCCCTGCTTTTCGTGGTTGGGGGCCACTCGCGACTCTGTGCAAAGTAAGCCCACTCAACTGGGAAAACCAACGCGAAGCAGCACAGAACGCCTGCACAGAATAGAGGCCCGGTTGCAGGCATGCTCCCGGCGCTTCTTGCTTGGTCGTGCTCACAGGCGGCGACCCTCGCGAGCGGGCGGCATTACGGCAAAGGGAAACATACGCCCCCGCGCCTTCAGCAACGTAAGCGAAGCAGCGGCATGGCTGCCTGACGCGAACCTGGAAGGCTCCGCCGCAGGACGCACGCGCACCCTTTAGTTTTTCTGTAGTACATGGCTGCGCTAGGGCTTCGCCGCTTGCCCGCGCGGCCACCTCGCCCCCCCCCGCCCCCAGACGCACGCACGCACGCACACTTGAGACCCCAAACGCTTGGCTGAGGCACGCGGAGCGGGCGGGGAGAAAAAAGCGCGGCGCCAGCATAGATAGCGAGCACGAGGGCCTGCCCGCCCGCGACTGGGTCCGGCCGAGCCCCCGTCCCCTGCCTCCGCGAGCGCGGGGGCGCTACCGAACCTGAAGCACCGCAGCGAGCAGTGCCCGCGGTGGCACATGCGGGGCCCTGCTTGTGGAGCAACAAAGACACGCGAGCGCGCGCCCGCGCCAACTCGGGAAAAAAATACGGATGGAAAGCAGCGCGGACGCGCCACTGCGCCGCTTCTTTCGGAATGGCGGGGCGCGGCGGGAGCACCAAAGCTTCCGTGCGGGCTTCGTTCTGCAGGCCACCCAAAAGCTTCACGGGCGCTTGGCAATGTTCTCAAAGAAACGCCGCCCTGCAGTTCCATCCAATAACCAAAAAGAGGGCAAGGTGGGGCTGAACGCGGGCCGCTGGCCCGCCCATTCTTTACGCGATGCCTCCCGACTTTCTTGTACGAAGCCCGCCACCGCGGCCCTTATGCTACAAATACCTGCCAACGGCTCCTGCCACGGACGGATATTTCTCTGCGGGCACCGCATGCAGCCTCGCGGGCTGATTCATGTTTGCAGCAGGCAGGCCGCGGCCCGCCCCATTGCCGAGAGGGCCCGGGCGGGCCGGCGATCGCGCGGAAAGTGAGCGCGGCCGGCGCCTCGCCGGCCGAGCGGCCCTTCTGCGATGGCTTTTTCCGAAACCTCCGAAGGAAGCGCATTCGCTCGGGGCGCCGCGAGGCAAAGCGAACGGCCGCGGGCCCGACATGTGTTCAGGCGACCTGCCCGGTGGGTAAGAGTGCAGCGCGCGTCGGGCGGCCAACAGCAGCGTGCTATCCACGGCCCCATGCGCGCCTATGCATTTGCATCGCGCGCTGCTTTATTATTATTTCCCCGCGCACATACCTAGGCCACTACAAGAATACGATCGCACGCCCGGACCAAATCAAACCGCTGGCATTGGGGTTCGCACTGCAGCCGGTGCATGCTAGGAGGGCGCACAACACTGCAGCCAACGCGAGCTGCACCATCTGTGCTGGTACTGTCAAGCCTGTCGAGCGGTATTCAAATTGAAACGCTAGCGCCACTGCCTGTAGGAAGCAAAAGCAGTGCAGTCACACGAAAACAAGTAGGTAAGCATACGGCAAGAGCTTCCGCGCAACACTATGAACCAGAAAACCGCCTGGCGATCTTTTTGAAGTGCAGCGCCTACGACAACCCAAGAAGCAGGCGCGCGCGGCTTAGCGCGCGTAGTTGCTAAATGTGCGAGCGGCCAGCCGCACGCTATGCCAGCCACTGGCGAAGTTCGCAGGGCACACCGCGTCGGGCGGGCTGAGGTCCTTTTCTTCGAGCCGAAGCGAAGTTTTTGCCTTTAGCGCCCCGGGTGGCAATTCGGGCGCCGTTGCCAGCTACAGGCAAGAGCTATCGGCAGCGACAAGAAGCTGGGCGACCAACAAAAACGCGCGAAGTCGGGAGCGAATGAAACTAGGCCGCGCCCGGAGCCCGCGCGCCGGGATTCCTGCCTTTCGGCGCGCACGCGCGTAACACCCCCGGGGCGCGGGCCGCCTCGCACACAAAGAAAAGGGGGCGGCAGCCTGCAGGCATTGCGCTGCGGCGCCTTCGGTCCGGCGAAACGAATGGCCCGGGGGCGGAGAGCGCGCACGCGGGCCCGCGAGCCCGGCTGTGTCCGCGCGGGGGGTACGGGGTTTGGCGCCTCGCTTCTAGGCATGCGCCCCCTGACTAAAGGGATAGCGCCCTTCCCGGGCGGCTCGCTACGTCGCTCCAGGCTCACAGTCCTCTCCAATTTACCATAGCAGAAAAGCAAGCGGCCATGGTTGGTGCTAACGGACGAACAACTTCGCTCCGCCCAGTCACCACACTCGGGGACCGGCGTGACGCAAACGGCGCACAGCCGGGAGGACTTCGGCTTCGTGACGGTAAACAAAAAAATTGCAAAAGGAGTAGCGATGCACTTGAAAAATGCGCCAAAGGGCTTTCATGGCCATAATGCCTGCAGAGCGCGCGAACTCCACCCTTGGCCAGCCGGCAATGCTTCAAGGTAGGCTTCGCTCAAAACACGCGCCCCGAAATCCCGATCGTCCTGCGTGACAGAATAGTCAGGGGTTCTTACTCTATATAGCCACGCCATCTGCATCTTTTCCAGGTAGATAGCCAAAAGCTTTTCAGGGTATCCGACCGCCCAACAACATTCGGCCAGCGCGCCTTGGTCACGCATTTTCCCTGTGGGTCTCAAGCGCCTCGAACCCGCGAGCGACCTGCGCTAGCGGGGAACGCAGCGCGCCCCTGGCGCCAACGCGTTTGGGGCTGCTCGGTTCGCGCTCGCGGAGGAGGACGGCGCGCGCTATATTTTTTTTTGCGGAAAGGCCGAAATCCCCTGGTGCAGCCTCGCAGACGCTGCGCCAGCATTCATAGAGCCCCAAGCTGACAATCGCGAGGGCGCAAGCCCAGAAACTGGCGACGGCGGAAATGCGCCCTCGCTTCTTTTCGGTGGCCGAGATACAACGAACTGCCAGAGAGCTGTCGACTGGTCCACGGGTGGGCGTCTTCTTCAAGGGCAAAGCGCAAGCAGGCTTTCCGGGGGTGGGTGGGGGCTAGCCTGGCCAGCCACAGAACCCCTCGCGCCCCCGGGCGGCTATCGGGGGCGCGCGCTCGACGCGAAATCGCGCCGGACGCTTCGCAATTCAAGGTCCCCGGAAGCACGCCCAGCGACGGCCCGGCCAAACCAAGTCATGCGCCCGCGTCGTCATTCGTATCGGGGGGCCCCGGGAAGGGGTACGCAAAGGCGCCCGCCTTGGACGCCCCCCCGAGAATCCCCCCTCTAGGGCCCGTAGTAAGTAGGGGCTCCTGCGCATTTTTTGCGAATGCTGCGCGCCCCTTCAGCAGCTTCTTCGGAAAGTTCGAGCAGCATGATTAGCCTTGCCGTCCTTGTCCGGATAGTGCCGCGGGGGTTTCCGTTTTCCTCGTTCGGAAATAAAAAAGAGCGCGATGGCCCTGCTTATGAGAAGACGAGATGCACACGGGCCGCAGCCAGCGCGCCGACCTCACATCCAGCCCCGTTGACAGGAGTATATGGGGCTGATTGTTCGAAGCGGTGGCCCTTCTGCTCACTGACTAGGGCTTGGGTCGGGCCTCCCACTTCGCCGGAGTCCGTCGACCACGCCTGTGTGAATGTTAGGCACAACCAGGCGGCCTCGGCTTCATAGCAAAAGAAAAATGGCCCAAAGATGCTAGCACGGAGGAGGCTACTCCAGGCACGAGGCTGCGCTGTGTGTTTCAAAATGCGACAACCCAGACCCTGACGAGCTGCTATCTAATTTGACCAGATACAGGTTGAGTGGCCATATTCCGTTCTGATGGGTATAAAACGCCGCTTTTCCTATGGAAATACCCACCTGCGCCCCGTTCCATTCCTTCTCTTGCGGAAGTACACACCTGCGCCCCTAGGCAAAAACCTGCCTGCCTCTCGCACAGATATCTCTGATGGCCCCAGCAGGCACAACATTGAGATACTGACCAACACCAGCCATACGCTCATTCGACCGCGAGGTCTTTTAGACTTCATGCACATCGCCGAGTCGCAGAGAGCCGCACACACCATACTGAGACGGCCCGGCTTGAGCGCTTTTTTCAAATGCGAATGCCAATGCTTCTTCACGGACATATAACGGACCCTCCACGATGAGCAACAGCAAGCACGGCGCACGACCTGTCTCCCTCTAGGCCATTCTGACAGCACGGCGCACGCATGTCTTTGCAGGGCATTGTGCTGCATAACGCAAACGCGCAACGGCGTCGGCGGCGCGCCGTCTTGCATATTAGTTCACACAGGCCGCCCAGGCAGGCAGGTTAGGCTTGAACACACGATAGCGGGGCCTTCAGATGGCGCTAGAAGAAGAAACGCGAACCGCAGGCAAGCGATTTCACACAAGATAAGGACGCCAACGGTGCGCCATTGTGTTCAACAGACGGGGCCCCTTCCTTCAACCAGAATTATGGGCTGGGAAGGTCTGCCGCTGCAATTTCGAAGCGTTGCGTTTCCTTGTGTGTCACCCGCTGAATGCTTACACTACATTCGCAACCACGCGCAAAGATGTACTGCTTCAAATGTTCCGCAGCGTTTCCCTTATTGGGGAGAGGAAAATGCCCAAAGCCAGAGAAACAAAGGCTCGCGGTGGCCACCCGAGACCACGCTTCGGCATGGTTACCGTAGCAAAGGGCACGCGCATTCTCCGTGCCTACCTTGACAAAGAAACGCAAGGCCCTGGCGGTCCTCCTGCAGAATTTGAATTTCGGACGGGCCTTGCGCTAAAAAAACAAATCGAAGGGCCGACTAAGTTTCGAAGGCTCGGGGCCAGCTAAGCTTCAAAAGCTTGCGGCGACATTGGGGCCACACAATTCCTGCCCAACCTCTAGGGCAAAAAATAGGCGTTTGGCAGCCGCCCTTTCCGGGGGGGGTCTGAGAGGCGCCGCGGCTCCTTCGAGGCGGCTCCTCCGAAAATCGTTCACGGAATACGCCTTTTCCTTCAAACCCGGCCAGCACAAACAGGGCTCGCACCCCGGCCGCCTGGCGCGAAACGACTGACCGGCCAAAAGCAGAAAAACCGCTGTGGTCAACATGCGTGAGTCGCAGGCCTGGCTGTGCCGCCAGGGCGTGGCCCGCTGGCGCCAAAAATAACAGGCGACCCTGCCGAGCAGCTGTTCAAATGCCCTTAGTGCGGTGGGCTATCTCTGTATGTGGAGTAAGACTGCCTGCGGTAGGTGGCTCAGGGCTTTTTTCAACGAAGCAGCGAAGGGCTTGCCGAGCGGCCACTCCCACCCAGTACCCACTTCAGGTCGTTGTGGGAAACATCGAAGACGCCTGGAGACTGGTAACCAAGCCGCTGCGTGATCAGAAGGCGAACAGGGGGGCGGGTGCTAAGCCGCCAGGCAAGCGAGCAAGCTCCCAAAGGCGCTGCCGTTGGCTAAGCGGCGCCCGCGGTGTAAGGCCGTCAAAGAGAATCGGGGGCTGACTAAACGAATCAGAGGCGCCCGCGTGGGACCAGAGAGTCTACCTGGCTAGGCGAGCGGCGGCCCGCAAAGGCGCTTCCTGCCAAGTACCTTGACCGTCCGCGGCAACAGCGGCCGGCGAGCGCTATCTTCCTCCCGCCCACCCTTGCAGAAGGGCTGCCACAGCTGCCGCGGGCCGCCCCAGACATGCGCAACGCGATTAATCGCTGGCCCGCGAAGCCCGGCAGGCAAACGCATGCTAGCGTAAACCCGAAGCCGCAGACCCGCGCTAGCCGTCCTCGCAGCCGCCGGCTGGCGTCGGGCCGCAGGCACGCCACCATCGCGAGGACTGCACGCAAATCATATCTCTATGACCATCCGGCAACCAACACACAGGAGGTGGTTCCAAGGGTGGTGGCGGCCGGTACCTTGCTAAGCCCAGAACAGCGAACAAAGCGTGACGCCAACACCTGGAAAAGCAGAATCCGGCCCGGATTGGCTGAGTGTATTGTCTCGCTGCGGGGGCTCGCGCGGCAGGACTGTGTAGTATTCAGGAGACTCGGGCACGACTTCCAACCCCTGAATGAATAGATGCGCGGCTGCCTAGCTGCTTCTGGATTGGGCAGACGTGTCTGACGTAGGCACAGACGTGTCTCGGATTACGTCACGAATGGACGCTCTGTATACACATACTCTCCGTTTCTCTGTATGTACGAAGTCATTTGCGTTTGTCTGTGGTCACAAAGGGTCCCCGACTGTTCCCCACGATAGTCGTAGCACACAACAACTATAAACAACAGACTCGAAAGATGCAGAGTCGACCTTCCGGCACCATATCTGCCTTCTGCGACGTTCGACATTTTCAGCGGTCTTCCAATCGTCTGCGTTTCGCCAGTTGGTGCCGTAGTTGTGTACCATGTACTTCATGAAAAAATCCGTCAACACCGCGTGGACGACCCATCGGTGTTCAACTAAGTCCTCGCCCGCGGCGGGCTGTTTAGGATTTTTGAATAAATGTAGTTGGATATGCGAGCAGACCATTCACATTCTATAGATGGTAATCCCGGATATAGGCCTCATCCCGGAGTTTGCCCGGCGGACCCGGCTCTTGCAATCTATGTAAGAAAGTTAGAAGTTGTAGCAAGCATAGTGACGAGGCGCCTTGCTGTTGCTGTCGGGCGGTGGCCCCACCTCTTTGGCATTGCATTACCTGGGGATCCCAGAGTCTGAACTTGGGACAGTTGGCCCGACAAATTGTCGAAACGCGAAGCGGCCGCCATTATCAAGATGAAAAATTGCCCCACCCCATATCCAAGTGGAAATCTATTTGTGGGCGTGGGCGCAAATGGTAACACTCAGAGGAAGTGGAGCACATCAGTGATGCGCGATCTGTCGACACAAATCAGCATTGTGCTGCAGTGACTGCAGGCAGCCGGTGAGCCTCCCTGCGTAGGGACGTTTCGCTTTTGGCGTACTGGAAGGCACTTAGCATAGCAGACGTCTGCTCTGCAAAGGCGACGGAAGCAGAAGGCACTCGCACAATGCGGTGCACTCTCTGAATTTACCCTTCTCGTGATTGCTCTTGGTGGCCACAAACCAGCATCAGAAGTTTTCAGAAGTCTGCCTTTTCGGTATGGAGGGGGTCGTTTTGTACTATACTTATCCTTGCATCCTTCGCTACTGCGCAGGGGCGTGAGGTCCTTTACCTTCGTGGAAAGGTAGCGACCTCGCCGCCTTAGTCGGCAGGCTCGCAGACTAAGCAGGCCTCACCAGTTTCCTAGGGAGCTCCACCCCCGCCGAGCATCCCCCAGCAGGACGGGGATTATCTTCGGCATGCAGCGAGCTGGAGCAGCAAAGGCCCGGAAAAAATCTGTCGTCTTGCTACTCAGGTTGGCCCGGGAAAGGCAAAACAGCTTAAGCGAAAGCACGATAGTACGCGCCCCGAACGTTTGCGCGGTTCGCTTGTTAAGTGTAAGTCCAAGACCCAGACCACCAGAACCAGGCTCCGAAAAAATATAAAAAAAAAAACCATAGGCCTCCGCTCCGCGGCCTCCTTCGCCTCCCGCTGCACCCGTTGATCTTCGTCCACTCGTCCAGTCAGGTGTTTCGTCCTTTCGTCGAACTCTTTCTTCCACGCTTCGAGCGCTTGCACATGCAGCCAGAGTGATTGGAGGATATGCTGCGCACAAACAAAAAGCCACCACAGACCGGGAAAATGAAAAAAAATGCCAAGGTATATATAATTCCAATCTTCTTTGGATGTGATTGAGGCAACGAGGTTGAAAAAAAAGGCAATTTCGTATCTATATACTGAGAGGTAAGGAAGACATGCCTTTACACCTGAGAACCTCGGTAGTACCGAGCTTGCAGCGAGTGAGTAAGAACCAATCCACGCGGCGTGCGCCGCGTGGGAAAAAATAAAGCAACTCTTCAGCGTAGGCCCCATTTTAATGCCAGTCTGTCTGAAAAATTTTCGCGCTCGACTTTGTCGGCTCTAATAAAGTGGCCGCGTTTGGCTTCTCTCGAAGTGGCCAAATTCGGGGGGAAACAAAGACGGCCAGCTTTTGGCTTCGTCTCTGGGGCCCAGACTAACAAACAAGTAACGAGGTCGCTTCTCGCTTTACAATAGTGGCCAGCTTTGGCGGCTTCTATTTTGGAGGCCCGGCCGGATCAGGAAGAAACCAGGAAAGAGCTCGCCCGTTGTCCGCTACCTAGCCAGGCCTCGCTTTTTGCTTTTACAAAAGCGGGCAGCCTTGGTTTCTTGTCAAAGTGCCAGGCGCTTCTTGAGCGACGGCAATCGCGACAGCAGTGCGCGAAGCATCTAAACGCGAACGAGGCCCAGTCGCGCTCTTTCCACGCGGCGCGTTAGAGTTAGTCGAAGAAAACATTTTTTGGGTTCGCAAGCTTGCGGAAAGCTGCAGAAAACCTTCAGAAGGTTTTTGGACCTTTAGAAGAGCTGCAACCTTCTGAAGGCCTTCAGGAAGGTTCTTTGACCTTCTGAAGGTCAAAAAAAATTCGCGACTTTTTGCAATTTTTTTTGTAAAAAACGCCACTTTTTTCGTTTGGCCTTCAGAAGGTTGCAAAAATTGCACCTTCAGAAGGTTAAAAACCTTCAGGAAGGTCAAAAATGAACAGCTGGCAAACCTTCAGAAGCTTTTGTGCATCAAAATTCTTCTGAAGGTTTCAAAAACCTTCCTGAAGGTCAAAATTCCACAAAAGCTTCTGAAGGTCTGAAAAAAAAAAAAAAATTTCTCGAAACAGGACCTGAATCCGTTCCGATTTTGTGTCTTTTTCAAAACAGCCATTTTTGAACCTTCAGAAGATTTTTGTTTTCTTCTGAAGGTTCTTCTGAAGAATTTTCTTCTGAAGGTTGCGGTGATTTTTTCCCTTACAGTCCTTCTATTAGTAAGATGGATTGATGTCTGTAAGTCTCAAATTTAAGCATAGGACTTGCGGAGAACGGTGCACCTGCTACTTACACCACAGTACCAAAACCCTCACTTCTGCACAAGTTAACGAGCTCCGCAGTTCTGAAACTGCTCTGCAAATTGCACAATGATCTATGTTGACAAGTAGGAGGAGCCTGAGGCAGTCTTTAGTCCAAAAATCCACGGGAAGTATAGAGCACGTTGTTGTTGGGAAAACGAAAAACCTGAGATCGGTGGCGCTGCACTACATATATAAACCAACAAGCTGTTTTTTCAAGCGACATAACCAGTATGCTGTGTACGCCATCATGTAGTGAGAAAATACTGAATCATTTTGGGAAAAGCCCATGTCATCGTGGGAAGGCCTATGTCACGCGAGATAAAAAGCAGCGTCCAGCCACTGGCCCGGCCACGCCGCCTGCTGGTCGCCATCTTATAATAATGGAAAGCGCCACCACCCAATACTCCCCAAAGTGCCGTTGTCCGCTCGGATCCGCGCGCACGACAAATGCTGGCTCTGCTAATATATGTAATGAGGTAGAGCAGAAAGAGAGGAGGTATGTCTTTTGTTGAGTCGAATGATTCGAAAAGTCTGGCCCAGCATACTTCAGATCGTGCCTCCCCCCACAAATCTTTCCACGACAAGCACACAGATGACCATATGCTTATCATGCGTTTGCGTACTACAATCGAAGACTTACAAACTACTCAAACAACTACATTTAGATCGCCGTAGTTTCACAAATTCGCAAAGCGTATGGAGTTGGGTGAGTGGCATGCGTTTGGATACCTGATGAGCAAGTTGTATGTTGGAGTCGTTGGCAATTTTTTCCAAAAGCGTTTGGCGTCGAGCACTCGTGTGCGGTCATGGACTACTCTAGTAGTTGTAGAGGCGGAAACAAAAAAAGAATCAAGCTTCCATCGCACTGGGCTTGAGAGCTCCGAAACAAAGAGCCAGATATGCATCATGCTGCTAGCTTGATGGAATAATGCATTGCGGTCTCCGGACCCATTGTCCGAAGACCTAAGAACGGCTAGGACCCAGCAGCACGTAAAAAAATTGGCCGCTTTTCAACTTTGCTCTTATTTCGGCGCTGCACATTATCAAGTGCACGACCCCCCGACACAGAAAAACCAAAAAAGACGGCTTTTGTTGGCCGCTCGTATGTTGCAACTTCTATTAGTTGCTCTTGAATATTACGTACCACCGCTCGCATTGTGAGGTTGAACAAGAGGGAAGGGCGCTCCCGTGCAGATGGAGCGAAACCCGAGGTCGTGCACTTGGGCGGCGCGCGAATGTGAACGCTGGCGGGATCATGTTGGTGATGACCGGGTCCGGGAACGCACTTTGACTTTTCTCGAAGGAAGGAGGATGGATGAAACCAAACGGTAAACCGCCGGAGGATTGGGACGAGCAAAGAGAAGATCACTACCGGAAAGAACAAGAAGTCGATTTTTCATGCCCAAATTGTGGCCAGAAAGACAAGTCAACCGTGCACACATGGCGGGCGGCATTTGTGCGGCGCACTTTCTTGCAGGCAGTCAATAACGCTGTCTGGAGGTGTACAGCACCTGTACTACAAGTTTCAGTATGTAGGCCTAGCACTGTGCAACCTGCCTCAGGGTGATATAAGTATCTCCGCTTTGAGCTTTTTACTTGCTGAGACGCTTCACGTTTGTGGTAACCTCAAGATCTGGCAGCACAACTATGCGCAACTCTCGCTTTTGTTTTCTCCAAAGTATGTGGACATGAAGTCTGGACGCAGACATCCTGTAAGCATTCTCCAAAACGAATTTAAGGTTACCGTGGCCTGGAATGTTTGCTTGTTACGAAGGATATTCTGTGGAAAGTCGCAGCATGCCATACTTGTGATTGGCACGGTACACAAGCATTTGCGTGCGCGCGTCCCGTCGTGCAAGGGCGTGCTACGGATTACAAGTATTGGCAGATTTCTACAAGTCGGGACAGCTGCCGCGTCTTCTTCTTCGTTGTCTGCATCAAGTATTTTCCAGCTCCTCACACCCTTCTATCTATTTCATGTCTTTGCACTTCTGTGCCTGTTAGTTTGACATTGAGAATGAGAATTTGAATTACAAATAAGAAGATGCTGTATAAATATGGCAAGCTGCCACCATTTTTCCGTGTCATAACCCGTGCCAGTACTCACCCCGAACGTCATCTGCGTGCTGGTATGAATATCCCTGTGTAAAACAGAATGCTCCCATCTCATCTCACGCAAGCTTGCTTATTTTTTCAATACCGAACTGTCTGCAATACGCATGCAAGGTCTTCCACGTCTTTTCCGAAGATGTATGATGTTTATTTGCGCTGACACCATACTTGTTTCTTAATTGCTTCGATTTGCCGTGCTAATCGAGAAGAATTTATTCGCGATGTGGCCGCACCAGCTAAACAATCACGACGCGGCCATTGGTTGCTGATGAACACGCGTCGTACCAAACGGAAACCAAACATTCTTCGCAGAGCTCTCGGGACCAACATCTTGAAGACGATGGGCTGCGAGCGCCGTTTTACACAAGATAGCCAGTTTGCTCTTTTTCCAACTGGACTTTGTCGAGTTTTTCCTTCACCAGTTTCCCCACGATATCAGGAGGAGCAACCCAATCGTCCCGCAGACAGATAAGTACTACTTCAAATAGATTTATTTTGCCACGTTCTTTTGTGTCAATCTGCAAAGTACTTTTTATTCCACCATTTAAAAATGCACTCTGCGTGGGTGGGACGCTCGTGCGGGAGCCAAGGCCGCCATCGCGTCGCAGATTGCGCGCAGTAGTGTACAAGGCACAGCTGTCGCTGCCCACGACTAAATTCTATCTTTTTATGTTGCATCAAGACAAAGCTAGCTGTGGCATACAAATCTTCATGAACAAAGAACACATATGTCTCGTCCCTTTGTGCACATATGTCTCGTCCCTTTGTGTATCAATTAACGGGACGGTGGGTAGTGGTTCGACATGATACACAGCCCCCACCCAGAAACCCGCCGAGGAGGCGAGCAAGACGGTACGCGCCATTTCCTATGCATTGCAAATCTGTCTGGATCTGGAAAAGCCAATTTTTTCGCGATGCTCCTCGGTAGACGAGGTCAGGCGAAACTAGAAGCTGTGTTGGCTAAGCAGCTGCAAGAGCAGGACTGCAAGGTTTTCTTTCTCCCACAGAATGAAAGAGAAGCAATTCTAACGTGGTGCGAGACCCTGACTTTTAGAAAGTGGACCATCGCGGATGAACCTGTAGTGACAGCAGGGTCGGACCCATAGAGACCCTCGCGTCAACGTTGGCCGTAGCCAGCATAGTCATCATCATCATGTTTGTGCGTGTCCTTGATGTTTCTTCATCGTCTCACTTAACTTATGGGTGGACGGGCACCCAGTACAAACAACTGGTTGTATGTATACACCTCGCTGCGAGCATCACAAATACTTAAATTCAGACATACTCCAGACACCCAAGGACGTCATTGCAATGGATATCAATTGCATGTTCAGGTGTTTTCGATCGCCCGGCCTTCCAGTTCTACCAAAATTCCGTCAATCTCGCAGCGAAATTTCGCTCGCTCCGCTCTTCTTTTAGTCGTTTACTGCAAAAGAAAAGCGCAGTCACCGTTTGCGCTTGGAGAAGTTCCAACCTTTTCTTTCCAACGCGTCGCCGTCGTCCCTAAGTAGTTCGTGTACTGGCCTGAGTGCCCTATCCTGTGGAAAAACGTTCTAGCACACATAGATTTGTCATGCAGACCTTCCACATCAATGTCTAAAAAGTAGATCCAAAAGTCCTTGACGCGATAAGAGGCGTCCTGTATCTGTGTTCCGAGCGAATTTGTCATGCTCCACTAAGGTTTTTTGCTCGACGTTATGCGGCTCTCTGTATGCAGCTCTCTGTATGCAGCTGCGCGCGACTACATCCTACGTCCACACTTGTGGTGCCCAAGTTCCAGAACTTCATCTACATATTTCTTGCGCACCAAAGTGCGTAATTTAATATTGCCATCTTGACAACGGGTTGCGTAGTACTTTTTTACACAGGATAACCAATCCTCGTCAAGGCTCAGAAGGTCGTGTGTTCGTTACTTTCCTTGTCCTTCCTTTGGAAAAATTCTGCTCGCCGCTCTTCACTCCTGTGAGTGTACTTTACAAACTTTTCGATTCGTTCTTGCACTTTTAAATTGTTGTTCTTCACTTGCGTAAACTTACGTACTGTAAAAACTGCTTGCTTTCAATTGGTGTTTCGTGTTCCACTTGATTGTACGCGTAGTACTAGTAGTTCTTGTTGTTGTAGCTGAGTAAACTCGGGTGAATTTTTTTGAGGTTCGCCTTCAAGAAGGGGAACTGCCGTGGGTTTTTTTTTACGGAAATCTATTTGAGTATTTTTGAAATTATCGAATTGGAGCTGGGAGAACGGCTCAAGCACTGCGACGGAAACATACTTGAAACGTCTCTATCCGTACGAGCACGCCAACGCACAGAGGGGAAAGATGAGCAGCCGACTGATAAAGCGCACCACGAGAACGATGTCCAGGTACTTAGCTGACCGACGAAGCGCACGAAGCAAGACGAGAGCTGAGCAGCTGACCGATAAAGCGTACGAGAACGAGGCGTAGGTAGCTGACCGATACAGCGTCCGAGAACGGGGACTACATTGGCTGACAGATACAGTCGTGTACTATGAGAGCGAGACCTAGATAGAAAAACGTAGCTATCAGCCGATAGAGTGTAGTGCGAGGACACGAAGTGTTTTTAGGAGCTCGAGGGCTACGGTGACCGATAGCAAAGCAGAAAGATATGCAAGACAAGAAGGATACTTCTCATTCGGAGCTCCTATAAGCATGTGAGCCAGTACGTAAAATGGCAAGGAGTACACCCCACTTTTTGTATGTGCTTCAGTCTGCAGGAGGCATTACTTTTTTATCCGCCCACCGGAACCGTCTTTCGTGGACGATTCGGGCAGGCGCAATGTCGCCACAGAGAAGCATGATCATATTCAAAATTTACTTCAGGCAAATACAATTTACTTCAGGGAAAGACGCAATGTTGGCATGCCGATATTTCATTGTGCGGAGTCTCACATTTCTCGTGCACATATTTTCATTGTTCATATTTCTCGTGCACGACCGCCAGAGATGTACACAATCTTGAATCGTTCTCGAGAAAAGACGAAGAAAACGGGAAAGAAAAAATCAATCAGGACAACAAAACGACCACAACATGGACATATACAATAACGATTTAGGATCAAGGTGACGGAAGTGGTTGTGCTTGTGGGGGTCGTGCTCGTTGCAACCAGGTACTAGCACGTACTCACTTACTAGGAGTCTTTGTCTTCTGCGCCTAAAAAGGTCCTTGGAAGGTCGTTGTTCCTGAAGCACGTACTAACTTACTCACGAGCGGTACTTACTTACTCTGCGCTGGTGGCGCAATAGCAGTACGATGTCGGTCATTGGGGAGGCGTCGAGCCTGGCAGTTCTGGGGGAGGCTCGCCTTCCCCGTGCGCCCCGGGGGAAGGCGCCCAGTACCAATCCTGTCCTTTCTCGTGCTTGGGGGGCAACGGCGGTTTCACGAAAGTCAAGTGAATCTGCGGCCTGCCTGGGATCTGAAATTTAAGCGCCGGAGGCGCTGGTAGCACCACCGGACCTCCAAGGGACTCCGGACCGGGACTCTTTTTTGCTGTTCCCAAACCTCCCACAGCCGCAGCAAGTTTACCAAACGATGGTACTAGAGGCTTGAGTTTCATCTCCTCTTTCTGCACCATCGAGGACGAAGAGGAACCAGTTGGCAAGCCTGCTGGGTCTTCGCCTTTCTCAGATACCTTGTCCATTTCCGCCGGAGCCTTTTCGGGGGCTTCATCCTGCCGCCGCCTGCTCCCGTCGAGCGTCTGCTCCAGAAACGTCTCCTTGTTTGCCGTATAGACGTTCGCTCATGTGTTACAATCTCATCTGTGACATCAATGAACGCGGAAATGCTCTGCGATGCAGCTGGATCAACCAGCAATGGAAGACACGAACATGTTCCATTTCTCGCTCGACAGACTTGGACTGGATATGGATTGCAGTGCTGTTGCGTGAGTCCATAACATGTCATGCCGGCAGAGTGGAGACAGCGCAAATCCAAAAATTTTTTTACGACACATGATGATGATTATTGGAAACAGTTGAGATTGTAACACCTGAGCGGGCCATATGCCGCCACGGTCTCCTGTGGTCGCTCTTCGGTCCTCGGCATCGCCTCGGGGGTTCCTATTGTAAATGAATTTTACGTTGGCTACTTGATCTCTGTACAAACGAAATCGTTGCTGCACTTTCGTCTAATTACTTACTTATGCGCCTTACTAAGTTGACATACTCAACGAGGAGGGAAGCCGCCGGACCCGACCGCCTCTCGGCACAGCACCAAATGAATGCAGACAGGCCGGCCCTTCTCCCATGCCTTGACACTCGTACTCATTTCTCCGAAGATGAAATCACGAGTGACGCATGCCGGTCAATATCAACCCTTTGCTCGCCTCTTATGGCCTGCGAGTAACTGTCTGACATATACAGCTAAAGAATCCTGAGAGCAAGTCCTTTGCGAAAACTCCTGAGAGCTTAGGCACTACAACAAGACCAAACACCACCCGTTTTAGCGGTGAACGACCAAGTGTAGGGAGTCGCACAGTATGAGTGAGTCCGAAAACTCACTGCTGCTGCGCTTCAGATAAGCATCACACTACCTCCTCATCCGTGTGAGCAGATCAACCTCCAAAGAGCCGCCAGTGCTGAACAACCCGCCTCACGTGCTCAACCTGACGTCAAACCGGATCCAAGAACCACAGCGCTACCAGGGGTCTCGCTGACTCTCGAACCGCCGGAGCGGAAGGAGAGGTATACCGACGCCACCGGGGGCCACAGGAAAACACGGAGTTATGCCCTGCGCCGCCAGTTGCCACCGCCTAGGCTTGGAGCCTTGCCTTTTCTTTTCTTTTATATGAGTTTTCTCCTTTCCAGCCCGGCGGGTGCTGGAAGGTGGCGCGTTTTTCTTTCTTTTACTGTTTTGCGCTCTTGAGTTTTTTTTTTTTTATTCTTTGGTCCCAATCTTGGCACCTCAAAGAATCTTTTAGGAGGTTGCGCGATAAAAGGAAGAAAGTCACTGGGGGTTTTCATCTTTGCAAAAGATCCGCCGGCCTTGCCAGCCCTAGTCTGCCCATTGGCCAAACGGGAAAAAAAAAAAAAAAGAACAAGCCCCACTCTCCCCCCCCGATGGACTAGATTCTTGCTTTCCTCAGAGTGGTGAGGACAGAAAGAATACTTTATGGCAACTACGGAAGATCATCAGAAAGAAAAGTAAGAATCTCGCAAAAGAAAAAGACACCGATGGCATCTCTCAGGCAAGAGCAAGAGCTGGACTGCCTTTAATACCTGGCTTTCACCTAGGCATTACAGACATTCTAGCGGAACATCAAGAGCTGGAGAGCTACATCTAGAGCTTCAATACAAAATCAAGAAAACGGCTCCTGGTGTTCATTTTGTTCCATTGCAAAAAATCCCGCTGCAGGTTGTATCGTTCATTTTCATCTTTAGGTGTGGGTTATAATCAATGCTCTTTTGTAAGTACAACATCATCTGCTGTGTGATCAAATAGATCAAGATCAAGAGTCAAAAAAACAAGCGGTGCAAGACAAAAGAATTTGCGGAACCGCAAACAGTGTGCAAAATGTCTGGGTTGTTTCTTCCGACATGAGAGTTGAGTTTTCCGTGTTGTTCTTTTTCTTTTTTCGGAGCAGTGCCGGTCAATATCAAAACACCACATTAGTCCTAGCAGTGTCAAGAAAAGTACCGTCATGAGGGTTTGCTTCTGCGTCGCCGGATGTATCCCCGTCGTGTTTTTTGTGAGTCGCAGAGAGACGGCGCTCTCGATCGTCAGCTCCAGTGGTAGGGGTGCTGTCCTTGTGCTCCAAGAACTCACTGATCTTCTTCTTGTCAACGTCATCTCCCACGTCTCCTATCCATGCGTCAGGCGGGAAATCGACAAAATGCAGATGGTTTCATATCGTGCTAGAAAATGATACACCTACTTAACAGAGCAACCACTACTTGCCACAAACGCAACGTGTGGAGGGGGAGCATTCCGCAGATGAAGCGGCTCGTTTCTCACACATGGAACTCCCGACGCCTCCGCGTCCGCCCCGGCCCCCTCTTCTACTATTGCCTCCGAGAAAACGCCTGACACATAGCATTGTCCGCAAAGCGTTCGTATTGCAGAGCCAGGCCCACCAGGGCCGGGGGAGCCAAGTCGTACATCACTTACGCCAGGTTAGGCCGCTCATGATGAAGGAAGGACGAGGAGCTACCCCAAATCGGAGTTCTCTTTGCACACAGAGCACGTGACAGATTCGCCCGATTTGCAACGTGCTTATTTATTACGAACGGCAGACCCGGCTCCATCTAGTTCTAGTGGAGCTGTGGCTGAGCCTAATGATGTGGATGTCGCAACTTTCAAGTTGTAAAGTGCTATGCATTGTGATTGTACAGATTGCCACCACTTGGACAATTTCCCCCTTGACGCTTCCATATTTCCAAGGTCGCAATTAGCCCCGTCTTGGTCTTCACCCCCATTGCATGCGGAGTCCCGCGGTCTAGGCACTATCCCGTGCAAAAACGTCCTCACGTCAGACTTCTCAGGTGAAAACGCGTCGCATGTTTCAAAGCCCATTATGAGCGCCACGCCTTACTAGAGTTTGGAAGTATAATTTCATGGCCTATGCAGCAGGATGAGAAAGAGGGCTAGTAGTGATACAAGCACGCAGCTTCTCTAACCTGGGCACGTGGAGCATAAATATAAGGCTCTGTAGCTTCATCACATTTGTGTTTTATGGGCAATGAAAAAGCCCGACGAAATCATTTGTCTCGCGTTCGACTTCAACTTTTCCGGCGGGACTACTACGTAGTTGTTCCCGTCTTGTCGTGAGGCCTCATGCATTTTTACACTGGATAGCCGGCCCGGCTGCGGCATCGTCTTTTTTCATCTTCGTACCCTCGACTTCGATACGCGGGTCGGGCTTCGCCTGCTTGGTTTCGGTCTCCCCCGCCTCGCCTGCGGCTCCCCCAGTAGTGGCTTTCGCGTTCTTTTTTTGTGTCTTCCGCCGCGCCGCGCGTTTCTTCTTTTTGACCTCCAGAGAGGAGGCGCCATCCGGCGTATCGCTGGCCAGTCCGCGCTCCTGCTTTCTCTGCTTCTCCCGAGCCCACTTGTCGGCTATCCTGCAGAAAAAGGTACTCACCCCATAATCACGATCTCTGCTTGACAAATCTACAAGAGTTGCATTTGTGAGCTCCGCATTAGAAATTCGGACACGTAGTGTAATAATTACACGTAGTCGTGCTTGGGAATGATCATGATGAAAGGCAGCGTCGTCGTGATGTCACAATAAATTACAAACTTATTGAAGACCCCCTTAGTCTGATTTATGAGCAATCGAGAATGAAGATTGATTTGAAAACGCGAATGGCAAATGCTCCTCAAGGGGATGCGCATGACCATGAGACACATCATCATATTGGACTAACAAACACTCGCACCCAGCGCCACAGGCTGCGGATCCCTTCCCCGGGAGGTGGGCAAGAACGGAGACACGGTGACATCCCGGGCGTGGCCGTGGGCATTCAGATGCATGACGACAAAGACATCGGAGGCAAAGGCTTCCATAAAAAAAATGCTGGGGATGGGGTGGGTACGTTTTTACACAGGATAGAGTCGTCCTCGTCGTCATAGGGTCCAAATGGCTCCGGCCCACGCCCACGGGGAGCAGAGCCAAACTCGTTCCGCAAGAAGTCATCCAGAACGGTGGGCTTGGACGTTTCCTGGGTTGCTGCGCGTTTATCCACTGCAAGTGCGTCCTCTGGGTCATCTTCTGGAAACATGCAACTTTGTGTATACCGCTGCTAGCTGTCTCTGTCTGTGGGAAGTAGTACAAAATCAAAATTTTCATCTTGCGTGTTGTGGAGTAGCAACCGCTGCTCAGAAACAGATTTTGCGACACACAGAACAGGTTTCTACTCTACATGCAGGGCACAAGCCAAGGCAAGGCATTGCAAAGCCCTCGCAGATGAACTTGTGACGCTAGGCCATGCACGACAGCAGCACTCCAAACAACATAGCACAACGAACTGTTGCACAACAAAGATCGGGACTCCCGATTCGGGAGCGTTTCAGGAGACCCAGATGACATTATCAGTATTTGCGAGGCATAGCGACCACGATTTCTTCCTCTTCGCGCTGTCTTTGCTTTCCTGCTCGGCGGCCCTTCAACTTCGTGTTCGCCTGCTGTGGCTCGACTAGCCGTCTCGCGCGGGTTATACAGGACAAAAAACTGCCTTGGTGTAGTGCTAAATGGAGATAAACATGCACGACACTAATGCAGTCGCGTAACAAAATAAATGCTGGAAGGTTGACAGCACACACACACACCCGAGTGTGCGCCGCACGACAGGCTGTTCTCTGGCAATTGATGTGATGCTCTGGCATTCCAAAAAAGTTTCTCTTCCTACACTGACACAGTTTTTTTTCTGCATACAGGTCCTGCTGCAGCGGCTCCTGGTCACCGCCCGCTGCATTGGAGGGCGACACCATGTTGAAAAGACCCAGCAGCCCAAATAAGTAGGCGCAACGAAAATAAAAAGGAAAGGAAAGTGTAGTACTACTACCGATTCTCGGCCTTTTCCAGAGCGCCTGCTTTGCCGCAACTTGGTGGTCAGCCCACCGGTCAATGTTCCTGCTCAACACCCCCACAGCTTCCCCCTGATTATCCGCCGGCGCCGCGAGCGCGCCGTTCCTGTGCTGCATGTGAAAAGCAGCGGATTCAGTCTGGCGAACAGCAGGGTCCCGTCGCTCTCCGTCTCCACTGTCAGAATGGTGGTCCTGCATGGCTTATTGTTATTTTGAAGGAAAACAAATTTCAGAGATGCAATGGGCGGGTAGATCTTCGTTTTTGTAGAGGTGTAGGTTTTGATCTTCTAGCACTCGTGGTCGTGCTCCTTCTGTGCTGCACGTGAACCTCTGGGGTAGCAATCGTGCATGATTCCTGTGCATTGTAAGATTACGATTTATTCTGACTATGCGGATTTTCATTCAAAAGGATAAACTTCTTCTTCCGCAGTGCTGCAAGCCATTCGTATTTGTTTCTCGTTCCTCTTTGTAGTTGATTCCAGCCTTGGTGCCACGAAAAAGCTCAACATACGTCCACGAAAGGAACGACCGAGAACTCAGTCATATGCAAATCACCAGAAATCTCTTCGCAGTCTGCACGAATAAACGAAAAATGTTTAATTATTGCACGAAAGTGTTGTACGAAGTTCGCCGAAGAGATGAGAGGACTCACACCGACGAATAGCAAGCTGACTTGCATCTTCTCTTTCCACGGTTTTCTGATGGGACGAAATAAGACGCTGAAGGTACCAGCAAATCTAGTCACAAGTCAATACGAAACACAACCAGTACCGAAGTCTTTCATTTACTTGTAGTGCTATCTTGATCTGATACCGAACGCCGTCTGCAGCCAAGTGCGCGGCTCGACCCGCAAGGCCGTGATAATTAAAGAGTGAGCACCACGGGAGCGGTCGGTCGCAGGATGCAGTACACGGAGTTGCTCCAGTCAAAGTTGATATTTTTACCCTGCATCATGTCCTGTCTCCTATTTCGGTTGCGACTTTTTTTCAGGTCGACGAACCAAGGAAATGTTTTTGCGCTGGCAGTGCTCATTTGGACTTGGTAGTACTAGTCGTGGTCCCTTGGGGAGCTTTCTTTGTACAGCGAGGCGAGTTGAGGACCTGGAGTCCAAAGTAGACCTCCGAAAGAGAAAGACTGCAAAAATGCTTGTGTTTTGTCCTTGTCAAGCTGAGAGATCTTCTAAATCGCATCAATAGGACAGGCGCGACTTTTTTTGTCATGCGCAGTAGCCGGTTAATATCTGCGAGACAACACCGAAGCGTTGAGAAAACTCGATAAGGCTAGGAATGCGCTCAACGCAAGGGTATTCAGCATGGCAGGTCTCGACGAGAAATGCTGAACTAGCATTTTTGCAGCCTCGGAATCTTCAGTTGCTGTTGATATTAATGTACTACGGAGCTGCTGCACCTCGAAAATTATGAACTGCGTAGTCCATAGCGTCTGCCACTCCTCACCGGACATGATCTCTGTACTTCTTGATAAAGAAAATGATACAAGAATAGTATCTTTATTTATGCGATGAAAAAAATGCTGCAGGCAGTTTGTTTTTACAACTTGGACCATCGCACGGCAAAACCGAGATTTTTCTGCGTCCGCCGTGTCAAACCGGCTGCGACCAGGACAAGCGATGAAGAACGAGACAGCAACCGCTATGCTGCGAGGCCTCCGCGGAGGCGACAGATAGAAAGAGAGACTGCAAGCTCACGAGGATCAATAAAGCCCGAATTGCAACATAATTCAGCTGCAGGCAGCGTTACTAGACGTACCTCTCTTTTGAAGCGTCGTGCAACAAGAAAAAAACGATTCCTGCGAACTACCCCCCCACGCATCATGGGGAAACTGCCTGCAGTCCAGAATGAGAATGGCTGTTTCGGAATTTTTTGTGAGTTTTTGCTACAGTGGTTCGAGAGCTTGCGCTTGTTCGGGTAGTTGCGCTTGCACAAGTACAATTATTACAAAAGGGTAGTGCCTCTAGAATAACCCAAACCGTTTGGTAAGTTCTTAGGTAAAAATATACCCACAGATATCAACGACCAGTAGCTGAGTGGTCATCGTCATGCAAAGTAAAAACATTCTATATCCATTGCAATCATTCTTCCGCAAGGGACCTATGCGGCTGCTGCAATTTCCTCTCTGCAAAAGTACATAAATTCATCAATTGACAACTGCATTTGCCAACTTACTACAATGGGCAAGAAAAACGCAAACTCAGGCATCGTCTGCTTTTTTTTTCTTACTTCTGCGCCGGGGACCGAAGTTCACGCCGTACGAGCTCGTCGACGGCATGACAAGGGTAGGAAAAGCGCGAGCTTGGCATACTTTATCCAACGACCATTCGCCTTCCGTACCACTCTTTCCTTCCCCGACGTCCCACAACCACTAGACAATCAGGCTGGAAAATCATCCCCGAGAAAACAGCCAGCAAATCATACTTCTATCTAGTTCAAAGTCAAACTTTCACAAAATCTTCATCTCACAAGTATGTATCGAAATGCCACGTACAGGAGCGTACGTGGCCATATGCCACAACGGGTCCGGCCACGACAAATCTTGCATTTTTGGATTTTCTTTTCTGACATTGCAAATGTGAGCTGCTGCTACGCCTGTTTTTCCGCGATAGGGATGATTTGCTTGGGGGCACGACAACCTTCAGGTGCCCAATTTCGTTTTCGGTCCAGCGGAGGCCTTTTAACAGCAATTCCTGATCCTTGCGGATCTTCATCAACTCCAGCTGAATGTTCGGATTCCCAATGCTCTGAATCTGGTGGGTGATCAATCCGCTCGTGTCCGCCTGGGTCGGCCGCTGCAGTTTTATTATGCTAGTGCTGTCTCTTTGGAAAGCAGTCAAAAAACCACGGGCCCTGACTTCGATCATCTAGCATCATACTCATCGTATGTCAAATCTGAAATCATCCTGAAACAGAGCTAAGCCTTTTTTTCCAGAGCATTTTCTTGATGAAAATTACCTTTCGCAGCTCGGATTCTATTCGCGGCATGTCCTGCTCCTTGAAATCGAACAGAATCACTTCTTGGCTCGTCAACTGGGCCTGCAGAAGCTGAAGCCGGTCTTTTAGTGTGGCAATCTCTTGAGGATATTGTGTGCACAAACGTCCAACCAGAACAGACCCCGCTAGCCAAGATGTCAGTAGCTCTGCTGCAAAATAAATCAGAGCTTCACAACTTTTCGAAGTTACGCGCCGTCACAAGATCTCTGGGCGTACTTGTGCGATAAAGTAGTGATTGGCTTCGGTCGTGTTCGCAACCGCATGCTGACAACTTAGTATATCTTCCGCCTCAGAAGAATCACTACCACAAATACCGAATTCCTGCACAAGAAAAGTATCGGGCTCACCCGCGCTGGACGTTTTTCTAGAGGATAGACGCAGCTCCTGATTTTCGCTGCTTGTTCGGTCGGTGATCGCCGTAGCGCGGTCTTGATGGCGTATCAGAATCTAAAATCGCCCCGCCTCCAAAAGGAGGAAGTAGTGTTTCGTATTTTTGCAAAGCTCGCACTTTCATCAAAAAATTTTTGATGAAAACATGTTTATTCTCTATTACTTCTAGTTTTAGCAAAAGAATATCACAAACACTACTTTGTCCTGGAGTGTGGGACTTTTCCATGCAGTACCACGCTGTTAGTTGTTGAGTGCAGCCGAGGTGTCCTCAAGCTGAGGGAAATGACACGAAGCTTGTTTCTCAAGTATTATCGTATTACAACCGTCGAGAACGAAAGCCAATCACATCTTTCTACAAAAGAACGAAATAACCGCTGTACCTCCTGCCTCAGCCGCTGGTTTTCTGCTGTTAAATGCGCCACACTGTCTTCGAGCCTCTGCAGTCGGTGCGCCACCTTCTCCTCCTATGCATGTGTGCAGGAGTGTCGCTAGTCACATGGCGTTACGATGCAAGGTAGAATCGATTCTTGCTCTCTGTTTCTATCTAGAAGAAAGAACCGCACGTTCCTCGTGACCAGATCCCGTCCTTCGGCAGAAGACCATTCCGTCTCATCTTGTCAACACTGTAATACCACATCATACGCTAGATGCGCGTCTTGTAGTATCGCTTCCCGAACTCCAGAACTGTTTCTGATCTGTAGGAGTTGTAGTAGAGCGAGAAATTCCTTCTACTGCGAAGATCAGACTTTCATCTTCGCGCAGGCCTGCTCGATTTGTACGTCGAAACGCAGTTTGTCTTGCCCGGGTTTTCTTGAGCGCCAACGTATCACATTGCATCAATTGCAAGACAGCGCACATCTTCGCAGGGGTGCCGCTGCTCTAACAGGATCGAGGCGCAGCAGCTGCAAATATTATCTATCATCAATTCAACCATACGAGCACTAGTGCACGACTATGGCACTCTTACACTCGGGATACCTCGACGTGGGTAGCGACTTTCTCTTCCAAAGCGGTCTCCTCCGTTTTCTTCCCCTACTATCCTGTGCGAAAACGCTCCCGCCCTCTATTTCGTCCTGCGTCGTGTAGTGCACGAGCATGATACAAGACGTGCAGAAAAGTAGAAGGGATTTCTTTCATACTGTCATTTTGATCCTACCAGGAGAGGCGCAGTGGATGAGTTCTTTTCTTTGTAGTTGTATATGTATCAGTAAGTGCGTATACTAGTTTGCTCAGGCGCCGTCACAGGACCAATACCCTGCAGCAGGCAACAACCTGTCATGCGCAACAACTTCCAAGTCTTGTGTAAGTACCTACCAGATCATCCTCCGACAAGAGGTGGAGAACAGGGCGAGGGCGTAGTTTCTGCGACGGATACCTCCACGGCTGTCACCAGTACCTGCTGCATTTGCTTCGAAAAATCCGCCAACCGCTGCTCGACTTCCTCGTCGCGAAAGCGAAAAAATTCTTCTTTGAACGTTCTCATCCGCGCATCGTGTCGCAAAGCGCCCCAGCACCTATCCGAATTCTATGTACATAGTTATCCATCTAAATAATTTTTAGTAGCACCACACATGAAATGAGTACAACTGTGTCCTCGCTGGCAGGCCGTTCAGCAGAAATTCGAGCACGCCTTGTCACCACGTAAATAAAAGGGCTACTCGAGGCGCCTAGAACTTGAATCACATCAAAGCGTCGCAGTTATGTCGTTTCATCCCCTCGGAAACTTTACAGCGTAGACATTTGGAACAAAACTTTTTTCCGGGATGAATCAAGAAGATGAAAGGGGCGCTTCGCAAACATTTATTTCCTGTTGATACCGCCCTTCCAGCTGACTTATCTGCTCTGCCGCACGCTGTTTCGTCTCGTCCGCAGCGGCAGAGTCAGCTGCCTGATCCTCTACTACAACCGGCCTTTTGCACGAGAGCAGCGCTGCATGCTGCTCCTGCTTCAGCTGCTCGAGCGCGGCCGCGAACCCGCTCTCCGACCGGTGCGAGCAGTCCTGGATTCGCTGCTCGCAGTGCGACAGCAGATTTGCGGTTACGTCGTCCATCTTTAGACTGATATTCTCGTGAAAATCGTGCATCATCGTTTCAAACTCCGACCGGTTTTCCTCCAGCTCTGGGCGAAGAAGGCGCAGCTTTATCTTCTCGAAAAGCAGTTCTTCGTCCACCCCGCCGCCCGGGTCGCCTCCGGGAGGCGTGGAGGTTGTTGCACCACGAGAGGATGAGGAGGTACCCGTACTACAACTGGGCTGCTGCTGCACCTGCACGCCGTCGACCGCGTGTTGATTTGATGTTCTCTCTTCAATCGCAATTCGGTCGTGTTCCCGCAAGCGCTCCTCCATGAGCGTTTGCAGTTGCAGTTGCGCCGCTTCTTGCTGTCGCTGGAGAAAAGCCGCCAGCTTGACCTCCTGGGTCCGATAGAAATCGGCGCCTCGCTCCTCGTCCTCCAGCACTTGTGCCGTGGCACCCTGCTGGTGCGCCGCGGTTGCGGCGTCGCACAGGCGCTTGGCTTCGCCAAGTACCTCGGTTCGCACCTCCGCGATTGCCGCTTCCAGCCGGGCGTCGGATACCTTCTCCCTCTCCAGCACGCGACGACCCCAGTCTTCCACCAGCTCCACCCGTCCCTTTTCCGTTTCCAGCCTGTGCAAATTCAGCTCCCATCCCGACGAAAACAGCTGTCAAACTACGTCTTCAACATTGCACTTGTATTAGATAGAAGTGTAACAAGCTTCTTTGGCCTCTATCTCTAGAAAAACCGCGGCGTGCTCGTAGTCACGGCAAGTGAATCCTGTGAAACGTCGATGCAGTTTCTCAAGATCTTGTTCTGACAAGTTATTTACATTACGCCATCAATCTGGACTTTTTATGCCTACCTTCATACCCGCAGAGGTGGCCCACCACGAGGTCTTTACACAACGACAATAAGTAACCACGACATAAAAAGCGCTCGCGGATGCGTTTTGGCTTTTTTCACTAAAGCAAACCCCTTCAGAAGAAACAGAAAAAAGTCGGCCTGTGGCATATCTTCATTTCCACCTACAAAAACGGGGAAACTTGAATTTCCTCTGCGAAGATAGATGTTTTCATCAGATCCATTTGATACTTCTGACTTGGTGGCCACCTTGTCTATCGCAAGGAAAAATCCCCCCTCCCCATATTGAAGAGG